GGACGAGCATGTTGTGCACGGGCCATAAGTCTCTGGGCCCAATACCTACTCACAATCACTTTATGTGAACAGACAAGAGTGAAGAGGTAACGCAATTTCGCTCGTTTAATCATACTAGTACATAATGCTATCCCTTGCTCATGACCCCAATCCTGATGATGCAAAGTCAACATCCAGTCGCATAACTCCTCAAGCAAATCACTCGCTCTCTGCGGTGCGAACCCAAACTCCAAGTAATACCACCGAGAACCCCCTCATAACATACTGATATCATACCATCAATGATGCGTGCTTAAGTCGTGGTAGGACGATGGTCAGGTTGAGCATCACCAGCATCTGAAGCTGCCGTCGAAGCAGTCGCAGGTGTCTCTTCAGGAACAGCAGCAACTGCCTGCACCTGCGCATCAGACTGTCCTCTTCTTCTCGTACGGACGCCAAAGCGCTCTCGCAACCTGCGACGCTGACGACCTTCTTCGCCCTGCTCCTGTTGCAAGGCCTCAGCACCATCGAGGTTGTTGTGGCGGAGTTCACGTAGTTCACGTGCAGCTGCCATGCGTTGTCCCTGGTCGAGATGTCCACGGTCAAGTCCAAGTCCGATGAGCAAGCTACGACGCATGCTGACGCGGTAGGGCTGGCCATTGAAGCCGTTGATGGGAGGAGGCAAGTCGCCACTCTCGCCTGCTTCGGTGGCTGGCGCATCTGCTTCGGTAGATCCTTCAGGGCGTAGATCAATGCGACAAAGTGGGCATGTCGAAGATACGTTCAATAGCCAAGGATCAATGCAAGCCGGGTGGAACTTGTGGTCGCAAGGCAGTACACGAAGATCCTGTCCAGTCTCGAAATCGTCGGTACAGATAGAACATCCTAGTGCTTCGCTTGATTCAGCCACGTTTGTTCCAACAATGGCATCAGCATCACCATGCCCTGTTGCTGCGCCAATTCCTGAGCGAGCTGATGCCATCGATTGTCTTGGTTCGGCTTGATCGTGCGTGTCCGTCTCATGAGTGCCATCATTCTCTACTGAGCGACGAACTACGGGCGTATCGGTATCCGCCAGCTCGATATCTGTAACCTTGGGACCTGACTTGGGTTGTTCACCAAACTTGACAACAGGGATAGTATCCAGCATAGCGCGTGCAATGCCTCTAGCTCTGGTCTGCCTAGGTCTTCCCATGACGTTTCTTGGTCCATAACGCTCTGGGTGGCGATGTGCTCGGACTGCTCCGGTAATGATGATGATAAGGAACAATGCCGTGATGATACCAGTCACGCTGTACAGAATGATCATGGCGACCGCTGTTGTAGGAGATGATCCGTAAGTGGATGGGTTCTGCTGCTGGTTACCACTGTTGTGAGCCGATGTGCTTGTGTGCTGGATGGTTGCCAATAGGCCAGGCTCGTTGTTGATGTAGTTGAGCACATTCAGGGATCTGGTATGGTTCGACATGGAGTATACTCTTTGGTATGCCGATTCCGGACTAGTGATGTTGCACTGCTCGGAGATCAGACTGTAGAAGATGATAGCTGAGGCATTGACACTAAGTGCTGTCCGGTAAACATCGGCCAAGGAGAGAAATCCAGAGTAGTCTCCAGAGTCGCACGATATATATGCGATTTCCTGACTGGTAAGATTATCACGATTTGCCGTAGTCACATGGAAAATGGAGTCCCGGATGCNCCATCTGTGTCGCGTGTCAGCGTCATTCTTTGACATGAAGCTGTTATTAGAGGGAATACTTACGTTCAAGTTGGTATCCGCACTCTGGGTCAGAGGTTGCAGAGCGCCGAAATCCGTCCCACCCACAGTGAGTTCGACATCATTGCTGTCTTGTGTAATGTTGGTCGGTTGAATCTGTAAAGCGACTGCTCGACTCGCCAGCAGACTTGCTGACAATAGCCACTTGTTAAGCATGGCTAATGGCTATCCACGTAGTAGTGGGGTGTTTAACGTCAAAGGGCCAGTAAGAGCAGATTATAGGACAATGAAAGACACTGACGGGGTCATGCTCTCGCAAAAGGCACGAGTATAGATGTAAGGTCCAACGAAGGCTGGCAAGGACAAAGGGGACAGTTATGAGTGACGGCGGAGAGTTTGTGGAGGAAACGGGCGAGAAGACATCCGCGGCCGATGAGAAGTAGCGCCACACTTGGTGTTAAGCTTGACTTTTTGTCGATCCTACATGCCCAGCGCGTGCGCCCAGCGATTATACAAATTGCAAGACTCGATGACGCGACTAGGGCCTCTTTGTGAGATCGAGGGTGCAACCTTTGTCACGTCCGCGGTCATGGACCATGTCGACGACGTGCGTCTCCGGTTCTGAGCGAATCGAAGCTGGTGTTTGGAAGCCGTCTGCGCGGTCGATGCCGGCGATTGACAGACTCATCGGCCAATCGTCGCCGAGCGATGCGGGGGAATTGATACGGCGGAACGAGATACGAACGCCTTCTTCAGCTCTCTGCGACTGTCTTGCGCCTATCTTGCCTATTTGCCGAATAACTAGGGTCTTCTACTTTGCCATCTTCTACACCCATCGTTCGCTGTGGCTATGTTGATCTACTCGAGTAGGCAGTGCGAGCGTTGGACTGAGTATCACACAAGAAGAGAAGCTCCAGATCTGGAAACATCGAGTTGTACCCCTCCGGCACTTCCTATCTCACACATCATAAATCACTCGACATGCATACGCGTCCCCATACATATGATATTGCTTGGACCAAGAATGCCATTCCGGGGTCTCCGCAAAGGATCACTCGGCGATGTTGGCATCCGCTGCCTTTTTTCTCTGTTCTTAGTGCCCTGCCACCACTGCCAAGCTGACAAGTCTGACAAGTCCTTGGGTATCTTTAGAAACAAGACCTTCGACGAGAGACAGCTGTAGCGTGAGGAACATCGCGATTGAACACGTGGGATATTTCTGCCAGATCTAGACAAGGAGCAGAGGCATGAAGATCGCTTGGTTTGCACGAGGTGAGCGCAGTCTTTCTGCACTCCCATTGTCTGCCTTCTTTGCTCTCTTCAAGATTTCTTCCTCGCTTTCACTCGTGAAAACTTCGTTCATCAACACTAAACCAGTGTTCTTTCGAGTCTTTGCTTCAAGGTTCGTCAAATACTATATGTCCTTGGTAAATATTGGGTGCTCACCCACCGGAGTCCAATTATGGTTCTTCCACCACGAGCCCACGACTAGGTTTGGAGGCTCTGCCGTCCCAAGAAGCCGATCCAAACTCCTGACGGCTTGAAGCGTTCTGCAGCACAAACAATTGCTATGATTTGGTGATGGAGTTCTCACCGAAGAAGTTGATGGCTAAATGAAGAGTGGGGCACGGCATTCTGCCCCGCCATCTCTTACATCATCCTATATCAAGACCAACAACTTTACGGCTCGTTCATAACTTTCTTTCTTGTGTTCTCAAGACCTGGCAAAAACTCACATCGCAAACATGTCCAAATTCACACTACGCTGGGGTATTCTCGCAACTGGAGGCATCGCCGAGGTGAGTGGGACAAAGCTTCATTGACCATCTACAAGGCTGACATGTTTCATANNGAGCTTCTCCAGAGATCTGACCGTTAATCCCGAAACTCGCAATGTCAATGACATCCAACATGAGATTGTTGCCGCGGCCAGCTCCAGCAGTGCCGACCGCGCCAGCCAATTCTTGAAGAAGGTCGGAGCTCCATCTTCAGCAAAGGCATATGGCTCATACGAAGAGCTGGTTGCCGACAAGAACATCGACATCATCTATGTCGCCACTCCTCATTCGCACCACTACCAAAACGCCATGCTCTGTCTCGAGGCTGGCAAGAACGTCCTCTGCGAGAAGGCTTTCACCGTTAATGCTGCCCAGGCAAAGAAGCTGGCAGAAAAAGCAAAGGAGAAGAACCTGTTCTTGATGGAGGCTGTATGGACCAGATACTTCCCCCTGTCCATCTATGTTCGTGAGGTCATCACCTCTGGCAAGGTATGCTCGTCGATTCCCTTGTTCCGGTCTATCCTCTGATTTACGCAGATTGGCACCGTTCAACGCACCTTTGCCGACCTGTCCATCGGCACTAAGCCTGAGGAGGCCTTTGACAACTCGCACCGTATGGTCAATCCCGAGTTGGCTGGAGGTGCCCTTCTGGATCTCGGTATCTACGCTTTGACCTGGGTCTTCCAAACTCTTTACCACACTCAACCCGAGTCCGCTCGCCAGGCCCCTACCGTCGTGTCCTCGCTCAAGAAGTATCCCACCGGTGCCGATGAGATGACTACCATGCTACTCACCTTCCCCCGCTCCTCCGAACTCGGCGGCGACGCCCACGGTATCGCCACCACCGCCATGCGCACAACCCCCGACCCAGACGGCAAAGGCAGCGCTGGCCCAGCCATCCGCGTCCAAGGCGACAAGGGCGAAGTCCAAATCTTCCACCCTGCCTTCCGGCCCACAAAGACCAAGCTCATCCTCTCGAACGGCACCGTCGAAGAAAATGAGTTTGTTCAACCCGGTCCAGGTAAGGGCTCCGGCTTCTACAATGGCTTTGGCGATAACAAGAACCCAGAAGGCGAGGGACATGGTATGTTCTGGGAAGCTGACGAGTGTGCGTTTGCGCTCAAGGAAGGTAGAAAGGAGGGCAAGTATGAGGGTTTGCAGGAGAGTATTGTGATTATGGAGGTTATGGATGAGGTGCGCAAGCAGAACGGCATGACTTATCCCGAGAAGATTGAGACGACCAAGTACCCTACTCAGCTTTAGATTGAGGTGGGTGCTGCTCTTGCGTAGATTTACGAAATTTGTATGAAGCTCTGAACGAGATGTGTTCCTTTTTATTCTTGTCTTTTTTTGATTTGCTTCGTGCTTTGCCATTGGAGTCGCAGAGCGAAACACAAAAAGTGTGAGAAGCTCACCATAATCTTTCATTTCTACAAATTCGTCCCTCATTGCCTACCCCTGTCCCCTAACCATATCCCCTTTCCTGTCCATTCCCATCCCTATCATCACCACTTATCTCCCTTCTAGTTACCCTCATTGCCCTTTCTCTGTCTAAGACTCTCCTCAATCGTCTTGATCATCTCGTTACCCACCCTCGTGGCCTCTGGGAATCTCGGAGCAAAGTAGGCCTGTATCTTTTCGAATTTGCTGCGGTAGCCGTCCATGTTGCCAAAGGAGACACGTTCGGACCAGTCNNCTGTGTGTAGTGTTAGACGAGTGAAAAGAAAAGAAGAGGGGAAAGAAAAGGCAAAAAAAAAGCAAAGGAGGAGGAAAAAGAGGGAGAAATGCGGAGAAACACTTACTCGAGCAGCAAAGGTAAACTCCAAGTCATCGCGGCGGAAAGTGTTGTCGTCGATTGCGGTATCGATGACTTCTTCAAGCAGCTCGGGGTTGCGGAAGAGGTATTCTGTGATGCCCAGCCAGAGACGGAAGAGNNCTATTCACGTTATCAGTATCTCGTTATTTTTCCCCTCATCGCAAGAGGGACAAGGAGTATTAAAAATCTTTACCGGTGTCGAGCAAATCATATGATCATAAGGCACAATCCCCAGCTTCCACCAACAATCCACCATGGCCAACAGACTAAGATGATTGTTCTTTACTCGTTCGCTGGCAGCAGGTTTCTCTCCCAGACTGAATTGATCGAGCAAGTCGTCTTGGAGCAGCAGTTCATGCTCTTTGCTGCCGTCTGCATTGCCAAACACTGCTTTGCGAGCTGACTCGATACGTTCCTTCAACTCTTGCTTATGGCCTCCGAGCATCAGTTTAAACAGCTCGGTCACTGATTCGGCGTATTGCTTGATCTGGCGCTTGGCAGCTGGGTTCAGGATTGCCAGACCGGCATAGACGTGCCACTTGTTGGCATAGATGCGGAGTGTGATGTTGATCTTGACGTTTTCAATGCCACCCACATAGCGAGGCATTTCCCACGGAAACTGATTGTTGGCTGCCCATGCAGTGCCCATGGACAAGAAAGCTGCATGCGTGACGGCCTGTGTGTCTGCGGTAATGCGATCGTGGGCTTCGGCCGTCAANNGTTTGACGTGCTTGCTCTCAAAGCAAGACAGGATTTCGGCAACGAGATTGTAGCTGGCGTCTGAGGCGCGGTGTTGGATGAGGACCAAGGGTTGGCCTTTGGGGTTTACACCGGGCCCGTGCAAGGAGTGACAAGAAACGATTTCAACGTCGGAGGGGAGGTGTTTTTCGAATGCTGCCATTTCGGGGGCTTTGCACGAGGTTTGGCCGCCGACGATGGCGCCCATCTTGGTNNTGCTGGGAGTCAGACATGTCAGTGTCGAGAACGACCAGCATGGAAGGGAAGCAAGAGATGGAGTTGACAGACATGGACCATAGGCAGCGACGACGGCGTCAATGTTCTTTGCTTCAACAGAGTAGATGATATAGTCACTGCTACGCGAGACATGGTGGCCGTTCTTGAAAACCGTTACGTTCTCNNCTGCTGAAAGCCTCAGCAAGATGTTGTGCATTGCAAGAGCTATATACAGTATAGGCAGGAAGGTATTTCGTACGCTGTCCTTGAATTCTTCAACCAATGAATCATACTTGTCTGGAAGGTCACAGGCGTGTACTCTGGGAGAGTTGCATGTCAGTCTGTGTCTGACGAAGTGGTCACGGATTACGAATGAAAACTATTGATCCAAAGTCAGCGGCTGTCTTGAAGAAGCATCTCAAGTGTGTAAGACAGTGGATGTGTGAAGCGTTTCAGACAAAAAATATAAGGTAGCTGAGATTTTACATCATAGACGACTGCCAGATCCTGCCACCGGAACGGTGACAGGGTGTCCAACAGCCATGCTCGAGCCAAATGCACTCAAGTCATCATTGCAACGCGGGGGAGTGGTGTGAAAAGGATGGAGGAGCAAGAGAGAAACGTACCATGGTCCAAAGTCACACGAGCAGCGTGATGTTGGGCGCAAAAGCATACCTCCATCCGGCCTCACTGAGCCGGCGAGCGTACATCTTTCCCATGTCGCCCATGCCGATCAAGCCCACCACTGCTTCACCCATGTTTGCGGTTGTCGGATTGTGTCAACTGTGAGATGCTGTCCAGCTCTTGGATATGAAGCGGTCCTGATGCGCGCACAGAGGATACGATCGATTGTCGCAAACGTCGAAAAGGTGTGAAGTGATGAGAAGAAAACAGAAGGTGCAGCGTCGCAAGAAAATAAATAGAGAGGCAGCTGCGACTCCGCAAGCTTTGACCGGCAACTGCCGCGCTGCTTCTCAGCCAGAGCGAAAATTTGCTTGGCAGACCCACGGCCAAATTCTGCTCGCAAGGCCGCGCCAAACTTCTTCTCTCTTGTTCGACCCAGTGCACACATTTTCGACCACCAACTAACATCAGCAAAAATGGCACCCAAGGCTAAGCCCGCCCGCGTCCAGGAGAACGTCCAGCTCGGTCCTCAGACCCGTGAGGGTGAGCTCGTTTTCGGCGTTGCTCGCATCTTCGCTTCCTTCAACGACACCTTCGTCCACGTTACCGATCTTTCGTAGGTGCTTCCCCTTGGTGCATCTGCTCTCAGTGCGCTCGCTCCGACCAACTTGTGCGCCATCTCTTCTTGGACCATTGCGACTTTTCTCCAGCGGTCGGAGGCTGCTCGATATATGCGACGAGCACAAGACCACGGACAGAAGGAAGAAAAGAGGCATTGGGACAAGAAGAGACACACACACACACAAGACACCAGACCGAGCAGCGCAAGTGGGAACAGATGCATCTACAAAACAGACATGAGAGAGATCATAAAGGCTAATTCTGGGTGATTTCCAGCGGCCGTGAGACCATCTCCCGTGTCACTGGTGGTATGAAGGTCAAGGCCGACCGTGACGAGTCCTCCCCCTACGCCGCCATGTTGGCTGCCCAGGACGTCGCCGCCCGCTGCAAGGAGCTCGGCATCACTGCCCTCCACGTCAAGATCCGCGCCACCGGTGGTATGTTCTTCTCTTCTCCTTTCCATCTCCAGCTAAGCAACTAATTCATCACCACAGGTAACGGCACTAAGACCCCCGGCCCCGGTGCCCAGTCCGCTCTCCGCGCCCTGGCCCGTGCCGGCATGAAGATCGGCCGCATCGAGGATGTCACCCCCACCCCCTCGGACTCTACCCGCAGAAAGGGTGGTCGCCGTGGTCGTCGTCTGTAGATTGTTGGCCCTCTCTTGTCAACGTCTGCTGTCGATGTTCAAAGGACAATGGTTCATGGCGAAATGTGGCACTGTCGCGCAGAACGGCTTTATCGCCTGGTCTGCAATATATTACGCTTAGCCCTTGTCTTCTGGAAACAATGGAGATATCAAAACATCAAAAAAGTTTTTACGACCCCCAAGATCATGTGTCTCATCGCGTGCATGTGAATTGCATTTCTCCTTGTATTCATCATTGACACTGTCTGTTCGATCGAACTGCTGTCAGAAAGCGCTTATAAGTCGATGTCAGAAACTGTGGTTGAGCGGTGATATGTACAGCTCATTCGTGTGAATAACCATTCCCTTGATCCTATTGACCCAAGAACGCCCTGTCCATGCAATTTCCTCGTGAGAAGTAGACCCCAACGCCCAGGCTAAAACATACATACAGTTCAAGTCATGTATGGACATGATCAAGAAGCAGGCTCTCCCAAAGCACGAGCCAGGACAACATAGCCAAAGATGAGCCCCAGAGCAACATACATCCTGTTACGTCTCAACCAACTCTGTCCCGCATCGCGTGCAACATGGCCACCCTCAACCACAGCGCCCAGACCCGCATGACTGCCCACGGGACGTTTACGCAGCGCATTCGTCTCTGGCGAGCAAGCATTTGCAGCCGGTGGAGGCGGCACGGTCTTGCCAGTCTGAGGGTCGACCTTGTGTTCTTCCATCCACTTCCAGTTCTGCTCGTCTAGCTCTGGCCACTCTTCCTTGAACTTTACACCGCCGTCGCCTGCCCTGATGGCGCCAAAGCCGCGCGTGTTGCTGCTTTGCTGTCCGAGGCCGGGGATGGTGCGGTTGGAGGAGCCGCCGCCTGTGCTGTTCCACCAGCGAGAGCGCTGGGCAAAGACAATGCGCTCGGCTTCAGAGGCAGACAAAGAGCCCGTAGTCATTTCCTCGCTGGTCATGAAACTCTGAAGGCCGAGTAGGATGGTGCTGACCTCCCATGCGGGATTGAAACTCTTTGGGTGAAAGTCTGAGATGCTGAGGCAGAGACGGGTGGAAGGCTGGAAGCGGCCGCTGGGCGTGTGCATACGGATAGCAGGGGGCGCGAAAGGGTAGTCAGGAGGAAAGACCAGAGTGCCCCAGTACTGGCCGCCGGCGTAGGGAGTATCCTTGGGGCCTTCGAGTATGTAGTGCCATTCCAGGATGTTTGACTCGGAAGGGTGGGCGGTGATGTATGGCGGAGGGTTTTCGGTGATGTTCTTGTACTCCTTTGTCAGACGCTTGTGGGCGGCACGTGTAGCCATGATTGCGACTTGTGGGATGTGACTTGTGGTATGTGGCGGCGAGTCTGTGGTTGGTGGGATGGATTGCCTTGGAAGATTAGGAAAGTGGCTTGGAAGGTGTGCAATAGGAGGGCATGGAGTGTCAAAGGAAGTACGTAGACGAGATAAGATGACTGGCCTAATGAATCTAGAAGGCATCGACGTCAGCCCTCCAGCCCATGCCGACTCCCGGGAAGCCATTCAGAACGTCTAGCCTGTCTTCTTCAGCACATGGCTTGAGTGTTTGGATACCCAATCATTCATGAGTGCAAGTGGACGCAAGTAGGTATAGCATTGTCCGAAGTGTTCTTGGTCTGTCTTTACTGTCGAATCGAGTCCATACATTTTGGCTCTAAGGACTGTCGACGGCCTACAAAGGCAAGAGCACGTGCTTGGCGTGCGTTGTATAAGCCTCGCTCTGTGTTCTATATCGATTCTCCAGGGCGTTTGCGGTTGGTGGTAGTAGTTATCTTTGCGACGACGACGGTGTGATCTGTGTTGCGGCTCCAATGGCGAACAATTCTTCGGAAAGCGACGTGAGTCTGCAGAAACTACTGAACATATCTGCAACCGACTGACGAACCAATGCGCAGCTCTTCGCTCTGTTGCAGGACCAGCGCGACCCCAAGAGACAGCAAGAGATAGACGAGCGTCTCGCAAGGCAGTATGCCAAAGCACAGCAGCGCCAGTCCGAGCTGATCGGCCACAACTCGACCAAGCCCGTCACCATCTCGTCCATCCAGGTCCTCCAGGCCGAGCACACGCGCAGAGGCTTCCTCGAGCGCATCTTCAACCCCGTCCTCTCCCACAACCAAGAAGGTCCCTACACTCTCCAAGAAGCTCTGCGCGAGGTTGGCGGCGCTGTCGACAAGCTCAACCGCTTCGGCATCTTCAAGGCTCCCATCTCGACCTACATCGACCAACCCGATCAGACCGATGCCTCGTCCACTCCCACCGACCTCTCCGTCTTCATCCACGCTCCCGAACGCTCGCGCTACACCATCAAGACTGGTACCGAGGCTGGCTCATCCGAGGGATCCGCTTTCCTCGATGTCGTCCTTCGCAACATCTTTGGTGGTGCCGAATCCTTGAACGCTCACGCTTCGCTCGGTACGCGCACTCGTTCCGCCTACTCAGCATACTTCGACACTCCCGTCCTCAGCAGCCCCGATATCCGCTTCGAGATTGGTGGTCTCGCTAGCTCTACCTTGAAGAGCTGGGCAAGCCACGAGGAGCTCATCAAGGGTGGCAGCACAAAACTCAAGTGGTTGGACTCATGGGGCAGCAAGCACGAGCTGGGTTACTCTGGTATCTGGAGACAAGTCACTGGTCTGTCCGAGAACGCCTCGCCTACTGTCCGCGCCGACGCTGGCGACAGCTTCAAGTCCAGCATCTCTCACACCTTCATCAACGACTCTCGCGATGCTCCCATGCTCCCCACGAGGGGCTTCCTTTTCAAGGCTATCGGTGAACTCGCCGGGTTCGGTCCCCTGAAAGGAGATGTCGCATTCGCAAAGTACTCAGCCGAGTCTCAAATGGCTCTTCCTGTTCCTGTCCCTGGAGTTGCCGGTGACAGTGGTATCTCATTCACTGCTGGTCTTCGTGGTGGTCTGCTCTACCCCCTGACCCAGGCTGGTTCTGACAGACCCGCTGCATCTCGCATCAACGATCGCTTCCAGCTTGGTGGCCCCACTGACATTCGTGGTTTCCGCCTGGCGGGACTCGGTCCTAGAGACGGACAGGACGCAGTCGGTGGCGACATTTACGCTGCTGGTGGCGCCAGTCTGCTCTTNCCCGTGCCGGGCATGGGCAAGGACACTCCTCTACGATTCCAGACTTTTATCAACGGTGGACGTCTATTGGCTCTTCAAGATGTAGCCAGTGGCGAGAAGGGCGGCAACAACGTCCAACAGAGCGTGAAGAACGCTTTCCAAGAACTCTCCAATGGTCTTNNCCCTAGCTGCGCGGCTGGAGTCGGTCTTGTCTACGCTCACCCTGTCGCACGGTTCGAATTGAACTTCTCACTGCCATTGGTCCTCCGTAAGGGCGAGGAAGGCAGAAAGGGTGTCCAGTTCGGCGTTGGCATCGACTTCATGTAGAACGACCAGTTCTCGTTTCTCTTCTTTGCCTAATAATGAGGTTGTACAGATAGAAAAAATCAAGTTGTCATTCTTTGTCCCTATCATGATTCATCACACCGCTCAAACCGGACTCTGATCTCTGCCTATGTATTGCAAGAAGCATGTTAGACAAACATTTCTCTCCATAGTTTCTTGATCTTGACGACGGAGCATTCTCATCCACATATTCCCAGGGGTTGCCAGGTTGAGCTGATCACTTCCCGTTCCTGGGATAGGCAGCGGCAGCCAGTGCCGCAGGAGGTGCAGATCTCCCACCCGCAGTTTTCTGGCCTCTTTCCTGCTAATATTCAAGACAACAGAACATTTGCAGATAAACTGTCATAGCTGTAACCATAGCCCATTCCAGAAGCAGATAATGAGCCATCATGCGGTATGTATCCGAGAGAACGCTGTGTCATTGTACAACCCATCGGTATCTATTTTGAGAACAGGTACCTAGCGATGGGCAATGCGGGATGATGCAGTGCAGCACAGAACTCACGACAGGCACGCGTTTTTTGCTGGACGTTTCAGAGAAACCGAAAAGTGCTTGCGACCACGTTCGTCATGTTGATCATGGTTGGGAAGGCATGCTGGGTAGGTGCATGAGTATAACATTGCAAACCAACCCTTCCTCCTTCACTTTCTCATCCCTATACACACCTGCACCTTTACATCCCAATCAAATCTTTCTTCAAGCATCAAGAACAGGGATACTCAACAGCAACATCAAGTCTCCATATCAATCATGCGCTTCTCTATCTTTGCCATCGCCGCCTCGCTGGCTGCCTTTGCAACTGCTTCTCCTCTGGTCAAACGTGCACCTATCATCAACACCACTCAGCCCTTCTATCTCTTAACCACCGACTCACCAACCTACTCTTCGAACTCATCTCTGCTTCCCAACGTCTCCTTGACCAGTCTCTTCGACCCCTACTATCAACCCAACTATCTCCTCCGCCTCATCGCACCTGGCTACGGCAGTGTACCTCAGTTCACACTCTCGCAGGGAGTGTTGCACACACCTGGAAAGGGACCCCACGGTATCGGCGACTACATCTTCAACAGTACCGAGGTACACACTGGCTCCGAGTTGCAGTTCAGGGCTCAGTATGAGGGTGCTGGAGACCTGAGTCTCGAGAGGGGATATCTGCTCGGTGTCAATGGAAGCACGACTGGATGGACCATCTGTGTCGAAGAGTTGGGCCAGAGAGTTGTAAGTTTCGTTTTCGCATGAGAGAAGGGGTGAAACAAGACTGACGTGAAACAGATTGAGTGGCAGGGCACCGATGAGGGATGCACGCAGACTTACATCCAGGCTGCTTTGACCGTGCCTTACTGAACGAACTCTCATCTCACGACAACGGCGCATTAGGTACATCGGGTCCGCTAGGACAATTGAACGAGGATAACCTTCCGGAGGGATCCATAAGCCGTCCAGGCAGTCATGAACCATGCCTGGTTAAGGCAACATCAACGTAACAATATCAGTACGCAAAGAGCAGTAGTGTTAGTAGCCTACTTATGATCATGATATCTCCTGTCTTCGCACCTATCTCTCCCTTCTGACAGTTTTTCAATGTGACGTGTATGTAAAGTGCTCGAATGTGCGTGACTCACGTACCATATTTCCATATGAATACCACTATGCTATCTGAGATCAAGAAAAATCAAGGTCTTTGCGTGACGATGATATCTTGTAGATAGTTTCGAGGTTTTGGCGAGCAGATGACACTGTTGATATTATCTGTTCCGAACACTCTTTCTTCGTTGTTGTTTATCCGAAGCCATCGGCCATCCACTGGCCGTTGCCAACAAAGCTGTCTCGCCGCAGCTTTTCGCACATCATCCTTGGACAAACCATCGAATTTGATATCTCGAATATCACCACAATTATCCATTCAAACATCACATCGACTATAGCCTGCACATTCAGAGCGAATCAACAAGAGTCCGAGTCACTTCAAAGAAGTACAGAGCTTCTTGCAATCTCACTGCTCAACTCCAACATCATCAAGAACATGCGGCAACGGGACTCGCGCTCAATGTCACCGCGACGAGAGAGATCAAATACATCGGAACCACAAACTGCAGGGACAGATTCACGGCGAGACCGTCAAGATCTCGACGGCCATACGAAAACAGACGATAAAAGTCGTGAGGAGGTGGAAGATGAAGATCTCTGTCCAGTATGCCATCTACTACTCTACAACCCTGTGACGACAAGGTGTAACCATACACTCTGTTCGACTTGTATGGCACATTGGGCGGATGTGTCCATGACCTCTCGGATGACTATTCTTCCTCCTTCGAACTCGCCATCGATGTTCTCGGGCGCGGATACAGAGGCTAGATGTCCCATGTGTCGCACACCGACTTCTGCAACACCGGACTCGGATCGAATGGCTCAGCTACAACAACAGTATCCCATCACATACACAGCACGAGCAGCTGAAGAGACCTCTGAAGAGGATCCCAATGCTGGCACGATAGAAACGTTAACACTTTGCATCGGAAATACCCACAAACTCATCTCACCGGCGCCGGAGTCACAAAACATGCACCAATGGACCTTTTTTGTTCGGCCTTCGCGAAAAGACATCATTGCCTCTGTCGACATTCAATTGCATCCCACATTTCGACCCCCACATCTTCGGCTATCGCAACCACCCTATGAGATCACACGCAAAGGCTGGGGATATTTCGTTGTCACTACCCATGTGATACTCAAGCAAGGCTGGAGCTGGGTATCCGAGGAAGCGACAGAGGTGCCATTTAGGAATGATGGCGCAAAGGCTAGATTACCTTTGGATTGGACGCTGGATTTTTCTGCGCACGAAGGCAAAGGCAGTATGGGAAGGTGCCGACTCAAAGTCAGGAAAGANGGGGAGGCTGAGAAAAAGCAAAGAGAAGAAGATGACAGAGCTGAAGATGGGAGATGGGACGTTCAGATGGTGACTGATGACGATGAGGATGAAGATGAGGGGACTTGATTCAATCAAGTGTAATGCTTGATGCTCCCCTGGGACGTTTTCCACAATGGAATACCACCCTGTGTTGCGGTGGCCCATTTCCAGAGGATGCTACCTCCTGAGAGTCGCGCTCTCCCAGAGTCACTAATATACGCGGATTGATCGATACTGGCGACGACAGAGCCACACGATATAAGTTTCAGGACAAGAGATCAGCTTCAGAAGAGCGGAGGAAGTTTGTGGCATACAAAGCCATGAATACAGCAATTTCGATCTTCAAGTATCTCGACGGAGTGGTGAGCTCGAAGCCCTCCTACCAAACTGCTCTGTCAAGCTCCCTCACAACTTTGGAGTGTCAGAACCTCTGAGTGGTGCTGCCTTCAGACGACTAAGCTCAGCCTGGAGTCTTCCAATCTCCTTGTTGGCCTTGCCAACATCGGCCAAAGCCTGGTAAAGCTCCCTGTTAGCCTCATCGACATTGTAGTACTCTCCGCGAAGGGTTTTCACAGTACGTTTGAGCCTGTCTACGAGATCTCTGATCTTGTGCTGGGTCTTATGAAGCTTGTGTAAGGCATAAGCGCAGTCTTCGCAGTATGAACGATGATATGGATCTGCAGCGTTGTCTGAAGCATTGGTCTGACCAGAGAGCTGACTTTCCAATTTGTCGATCTGACTTTACCTCGCCTTGACCAGTAGAGTCATCAATAAATTTGAGTCGCAAGATGAGATGAAACAACCATGCGAGAACTTGCGCAGCATAGGCCAGAGCCAGTGCTGTGCCAAACGACAAATCAGAAAGCTTCTCGGCCAAATTCTCGTTCTCGAGTCCATACATGACGATATTGTTGTCGATGTGATATCTTTTTGCTCAATCTGTAAACGATATTTTGCTGCTCGTCAATGCTGATGTTGTTAACACTGTCCATGAGATTCACTCTGTTCTGGTGGCCTCTGTGAAGTTGGGCTTGAGTGTGCGCTTCACGACGTCTTCTTCCTCTCGAAGCAGGAGCATTCGACACCCACAACCTTCTCACAGGATGAGAGAAATCCAAGAACAGAACCAGAATTTGCAGGAGCGACCAGCATCTTGCTCAACGCAATGACAAAGCCATGAACTTGCGCGACCTCCGAGTCGGGAATAGTCCAAACAATCCATCATCGACGACAACATCAACACCTCCATTCATATTCACTTTCGTATCGATAGCTATCGCTGCACTTGTCTTCCATCCGACCAGTCGCTTCTTTCCAGGCGAAGAGCTGCCTCCGTTCTTGGTCATCTCCTTCGTCCTTTCTTCAGTCAACCACAAGATTCTCGACATGGCTACCGACGGACAACCAAGCACGATGCAATGGCATAACCGAGAGAGATGCCGCAGCTGTCCTCGTTGGATCAACACTCTCCCCTGCTTTAAGTGCGAATGCTCCTACTACTGCAGTAGGGAATGCTTCGCAGTGGATATAAAGATTCATGGTACTCTCTGCAAGTCATTCGCGCACTTCAAGAACAGACCCGAACCCAACGTACGTCGTGCCATCTTNTTTCCGGCCGACCGGCCCAATCCCGAGTTCGTATGGCTGGAAATGGACAAACGATATGCCTACAATCAACCTGATCTTGCCGCTATGCGAAAGAGATTCCTCGGAGGTTTGAGCGAGGGCTATGTATGGCCGGTCGAAACCCACACAGATATCGTCCTCATGACAGAAATACGTCCTCAAATCATAGTCGGATGTCGCCCGGAGCCTCCTTCGAGCCAACTCAACAAAAGCGTCTGTACGTTGATTGGCGACAGGAACCACGAACTGAGAGGGCCATTCATTGCGTATGGTCAAACCACACAAGAGGATGAAGATGGAGAGAGTCATCATGTTGTCACAGATCTTGACACAACACACCTTACGCCAATCACCAACAACTTCTTGGCTAGCCATCAAACTGAGGCAATGACTACAACCGCCGTACAAATCTACAGCAATGGAGTACAGAGAAAATTGGGCCATTGTTCCAGCTCCATGGACTTTCCCTCTTTGCACGCATTCGAATTGGGTGTCGTATCTCAGATTTCGGTACTCTATGGCATGCCCCTCACGATCATTTTCCCTCAGCGATTCGGAGATGAATTCCCCAACACAAATGGGCTTCAGGAACACATGGAGAATATTCGTCGTGCGCAGCCTCCAGACTCTGGCAATAGGCTAGCAGCACTCCTAATGATGGAAATCGGCACCTCTATGAATGCGTTTGCCCAAGATTTTGGCACAATCCCTGAGAAGTACGTATCATGTTCTTTTTCTTCGTATCTCCACGGTCAAGAATCAGTCACAGCTAATACGCTAGTCGAATCAGATACCGCTCTAAANCACTTGGGAAAAGCCATCGTCATACGAAGAGACTTGAAACCTCTAACAACAGACTATGTGAAGAACTTTTGTGCTTGGATCGACGAGGATCTGCTCCCAATGTTTACCGATCTCAACGGGCAAATCAAGGGTGCTTTGGCCACCGATCTCGACGATGAGGACCCCAAAGCATGGCAACGAGCTGCTGACTTGATGGATTTGCGCGACAAAATGTTGAATCGCTGTACGAGAAAAAGGTTCTACAATTGGTTGATGACTGAGAAGGGATTGAGTTTGGGTGTGTTGGGTAAATAACTGTGATAGGAGTGGTGGTAATCAGAATGATGAATGTTGGACAAAGCCAGCGATGCATTGGTGGAACAGAATCATTGTACTAAACAAAATTGGAGGATGAAGTATCGGACAGGAGGTGATGATCAGTCAGTCATTCGTTGAAAGCACAATGTGCACGAGTGAAACAGGTAAATTCTGGAATGTGCCAGGGGTTCAAATACACACAAAACTCAGTGCAGCAGGGGAATAGCAAGAAGCAAAGTAACGCCGGGATTATCGTAGCTCCAACATGAGATGGTCGTAGAAGCAGTTACATGTCCTCGCGGAAGATGCTGCGACGCTCAGAAGGAGAGTCGGCAGACTGAGCACCTAGACTCTGCTGGTTCTTGTGGTGCGGGGCCTTCTGATTAGAAGCTCCAGAGGTTGTGTCGACAGTCGGGCGAGAGCCATTGTTCTTCAGACTGCTTCGCTCAGCCGTGTCATCGCCAAAAGGGTTGGTGCCGTGCATCTCCTCGTCATATCTCGAGTCGAGTTCGCGTTGACGGCTTGCAGCACGCCCTCTTGTCTCTTCGATTCCTCCAACACCAATGCTTCCTCCTCCATAACCGTGTCCGCCGTAGGGTCCCGAGTTCATGTCGGGTGAGCCCAGGTCATGCTCTTCGTAGTACCCTTCGCGATTGACACCGTAGTCTGCCTCGTTGCCGACACGCGTATCCCAGGCCTCATCAGGGTCCAAGGGACCAAAGCCACGATGACCACCTCTTCCGTAACCACCGCTAGGCTCGTATGCGCCTCCAGATGACCTGCCTCCACCGACACTGCTCTTCAATGCACCGACTTTGTCCTTGATCCAGCCACCGATGCCTCCGGCTCCTGCTGAGGGAGCTTGGTATGAGTTTTGTTGTCGTCGACCACGTGTGAAGGGGTTGAGCGAGGGAGCGGGGAGACCCAATCGTCGAGCGCGGTATTGTGTGANAGCTAGGAGAGCAGTATGAGCAAGGATATGCCGTATATCGTGTCTGCCATGGCAGCTCACGATAGGACGCAAGACTTACACTATCCAAGCGCATCCGCCTATGACGATGAAGACAAAAGCGACGAGGAAGAAGATGCCCCAGCCGGAAAGGCCGCGGTCGGGGTCGGTTGCCATGTTTTGTAAGTTGCAGAGTACGGTAGAATTGAGAGTGACTGCCGTCTAGCTTGTTCTTATTGAGGAAGGCATGAACTTGTCAGGTCAATGGGCTTACTGGCAGGAACGAGGCAGCTGCTTGCTCTCTCTCGTCTCAATGATCCGCGCTATGACGGTCAGCTGAAGCCTGACGGCCCAGTATTGCTTGGCGTACTTGTGCTCGAATGTGCACATTTGTGCACGGCGATAACGGCCCTAACCTATCATTCAATCATCCTTCCTAATTTGACACCATCCATATAATTAAGCGCCTGCCTGTCCTTGGTCGCAATCCTTCGCTTACGCATCTCACATTAACATAAATCATCAGCCATCTCTCGGAATCCTACAACTTTTCCCCAAGCTCTTGCGTTTACGACTTTCTTGGGCCTTCGTTCTCCTTGCTTGACTCACGAACCATCCTTCATCTTACGACTTTGAGTTGAAGGCCTGCAAATCAAAATCATGGCATCTGCTCGCCATGTCGTCGTTTCTACGGCTTCAGGGACCGGTCAAGCACAATCTTTCTACGAAACACATCTGACCAACACTTTCAAGTCTCTCGGCTTCAAGGAAGGAGAGCAATTCTTCGTGCATTTCACAAAATCCGAAGACACCATCACGGAACTTACAAGAGATGTATTTCTTCCCGCCGCAAATACCGGCGCTGTGATTTCCATCATCTTGCTGAGCGGTGATGGCGGTGTTGTTGATATTATCAACGCCATCCTCACTTCATCACGAGGCCCTGACTTCTCTTGTCCTGAGATTACGCTACTGCCATTAGGGACTGGCAATGCGCTGGCAAACTCTTTGGGTATCACAGCGGATGACAGCATGGGTCTGTCGACTTTGATGCAGGGACAATCACGACCCCTGCCAATTCTGCGCACCACTTTCTCTCCAGGCTCAAGACTGCTCATTCACGAAGGCAGCGAAGAAGCTGAACTCTCCAATTACAACGGCAAGCCAACGATTTGGGCCGCTGTGGTGTGTAGTTGGGGCATGCATGCTTCATTGGTTGCCGACAGCGACACGACCGAGTATCGCAAACACGGCGTCGAACGCTTCCAGATGGCAGCCAAAGCAGCGCTCTACCCCGAGGATGGCTCACCGCCTCATAAGTACCGCGGTCGTGTCTCTGTACTGCGTGGATCAAAATGGCATGAACTAGAAGAGCAAGAACATGCATACGTCCTCGCAACCTTTGTCTCTAACCTCGAAAAGAACTTTACCATCTCGCCTGCTTCAGAACCACTGGATGGAAAGTTGAGGTTGATTCACTTTGGCCCCATGTCCGGTGACGAAGTCATGGCAGTCATGACTGAGGCATACAAACAGGGCAAGCATGTCGAAGATGACAGGGTTCGCTACGAAGAGATTGATGGCTTGAGAATAGCATTTGACGATTCAGAGGAACATGGCCGTTGGCGAAGGATTTGTGTCGATGGCAAGATCATCCGTGTAGAAAAGGGAGGCTGGGTCGAACTCGTCAAGGAAGACACTCGTGTTCTCGACATTGTTTGCAACTCTGAGCATGTTTAGCAGCATGGTCGTCGTCGCATACACCAAGGCAATGATAATGATTTACGAATGCTCAAATACAACGTCTGTGCTGCCGTTCTAAGAAAATCAAGTTTCTCAGCAAAATTGCGTTGGGAGTGTGCACGCAAACAACATCACTTGGAATGATCCGACAAAAAAGTGCAAAAAGATATAGCTAAGCTTGGTTTCGATCCAAGGTCCTCCGGGTTATGAGCCCGGCGCGCTTCCGCTGCGCCACTCAGCTGGCCAATTTCGAATACATCGATTTGTTGACTCAGCTGATTCTCAGCTAGTATATATACCCTATGCAAACCTTGACTCAATACTAGTTTGTCGGACCACAGATGCTTTCTATAAGTAATTATACCAATTAAATATCAAGCTGATTTCAATCAACATCTTATGCTATTTCTCGCGATCGTGGCAAGCTAGAAATTGATTCAAACCATGGTCTTGGCATTTTAAAATTTCACGTCCGCGCATTAACTACAAAATTCATCGAAGATCAAACCCTAGTCCTATTAAGTAGGAGGTTTCCATTGCTATCTAATACTCGCTGTGTCGACAGAGCAACTAGAAAGTTAATACTAGGCCTTACGACAAGTCGCTATATTTTCTATCTTATAACTTCTAGTCGCCTCTGCTATTAAAATGAGGAAATAAGTTGTGGTCTACCCTAGTGAGAATATGGAATTTGATGGATATCAACATATGTCACAATCAACATGGAAAGAGGCAGAAGCAAAAGAATGTCTGTAAAAGAAAAATAAATGTATTCATCACTATGAGAGGTTGGAAACCTTACCTGTAACGCCAAACCCCTAGAAATACAGTCTTCTATCGACCGGCGATGTTTGCACAGTTACATGGACTTGTTCACAATAATCCATGGCTTCTGAGCCAGATGATCCAGTTCGCCCTTTCTGCAGAGACAAACCAGGTCTGGTAATCTGTGAAATTGTTACGTTGCATGGCAATTTGCTCAGCGTTTCGAAAGGTTTCGGGAATCTGTTGAGGTGGTTGAGCAGTCTGACTGGGTGGCCATATACGTCCCCATGTTCCGCTCGGTCTACTGGACTCGGGGGTCTGTTGATGCGGTTGGGCAGGTTGACGTGGTGGCCATACACGTCCAAAGTTTTGGTTTGGTGGATGGGCAGTTAGACGTGATGGAGGTATACGACCAAAAGTTCGCATTGGTTCATTGGGCTCAGGAGTCTGTTGAGGTGGTTGAGCACTTATACGCGGAGGAGGTATACGACCGGAGGTTTGATTCGCTGAAGGTGGTTGTGCTTGGTGATTGGGTGGCCATATACGTCCAAAGCTTGAGTTTGGTGGAGGTATACGTCTGACCGGTTGTATCACACCATTATATTCAAGAGTGTGTCTACGTACAGTGTCATCAGCAGACAGAAAACATTCTTGGTAAGCGACAGTTGTGCTTTCAAGCCAACGAATTGCAGTAGGGTTTGTAGAGAGCAAGGGAAGAATTCTAATCTGTCTGCTAAGCTCTTGTCTCTGCTGTCGCTCTTGCTGTTCTTCACGACGATCAAGTTCTTGCCTCATATGAACCAATAGGGCATATAGTCGAACGTGCTGTTGATCTTCCGGCAAGCTGAGAAAATCGCGCTGATCATCTTCAGTAGGTAGTCCTGCTAGCAGAGCCTGGAGATGCGGCGGGTATTGAATGGCGAGAGGTTGCAAGTCAGCGATGATTGATCCTATGGGATTTCCCATGATTGGGTTGGGTGGTGGGGTGGACAGATATCTCCATTGGTTGTTGATGATTTCTTGAAGAGCAATTCGTCGCTCTGCTTCAGTCGGCAAGTTTTCGATTCGTGTCTGGGTTTCAATGTCAGGGTCAGCAAGCAGTCGATCAAAAGGAGTGGGTTCATCGTGCGAGTCAGCAGGAGCCTCAGCAGCCTCATCATCTTGGACAGCAGGAGTAGCATTAGCATTAGCAATAGATTCTGCGCGTAGTTCAGCGAATCTAGCCTCAGGATCCTGTGGAGGACGATTTTCGAGTCGATCGAGTTCAGCCGATTGTTGTGTCTTCGTCCAACCAAAGACAATGTCTCTGCTTACACCAAGCTCGACAAGTCTATCCTCCAAGGCGACATTCTTTAGTTTGTCTGCCTTACTGGCTCCGGATTTCCTATTAGGATCCTTCTTTGGGGCCATATTGTAAGTTTATGTTCAGTGGATTATGTTGGTTGTTTTGTTGATAGATTTTGGATCTAGGTTTCGGATTTTTGAGGATAGTCCAACTAGAATAGCACCGCCTGCCTTCAACTTTAATACTGTGCTGCGAGCTTGTTCAGAAGGCAGGTACCCGAGTATTTTCATTGTTGATGGTCACCCATGGCGTCGGACAAGACTAAGGACTTCCATTGATCTGAACAAGGCTGCATAGTTGGATTGTCGAATTGTGCAGGTGTACAAAACGATGCTCAAAGGACCATCTGAGATGCCTCTGAAGTCTTGAAAGAATGAGAATGACAGTCAAAGACCAAAAGATACAGATGCCTGTTGACAAAGAAAGATGGTACTCGGGCTTCTTTCCTTTGTCTCTCTTGCTTGGTCCCTGTGTCTTTGTTCGATTGTTTATTGTGTTCAAGTCTTAGGTCACTCAAAGAGTCTTTGTCGTTACTGGAGACAGAAAAAGTTTATAACATCTGAGAATTCCTCGTTGACGCGAACTGAAGCAAAAGAACAAAACAGAAGTCCTGGCGACAAAATGAATAACGACAGCACAACTTCTGGCGCTGGTACGCCTAACGCTCCCTCTACGCCTGATGTCCCATCTACACCCAGCCCATCGACTCCTATCATGCCTTCTTCACCTTCTTTCGTTGATCTCACTATTGCTGGGGAGGAAGCTATCCTGCCTCCCACACCTGAAGGTCTGAGTAAAAGACAATACAATCTATTCAAGAGAAATCGAAAGACTGCTCTCAAGGCTGCTATGAAGGAGCTGGAGGACTGTGCTGAGGCCGCTGGAACTGATCCTATTTCACCAACAGGATACAAACAAGGTGACTTTGGTCGTCAAGCTCGTAAGCTGATCAAGAGCACTGACAAGCACGGTATGTTGAGTCCTGGTACACACAAAGTTGTCAAGCCTGCTGTAGTCCGGTACTATCAGTATAAGCGCTGCTTTAAGGTTGCCCAGCAGTTTGCTGAGCGCAAGTCCAACAAGAACGGTGGTATTCGCATGCTTTGATAGATTAGACTAGATCCTCATAGTCAGGCATTTCGAGGTAACTCAATGGTTATACCCACACATGATGAAACTAATAGAGCCGTCTTACGGACGTATTAGAATGAATTATCTTTCTACATCTTCTTTCCTCACTCGTGATCGTATGAGTATCTGTATCGAAACAATGATAGTCTGTAATCCATAAAAACTCTATGAAAAGTAGCGCGTGTCATATCTCTTCTCCTCTCCGACCTATATATCCACTTCATAGATATCTTGCTGGCCCTGCCGCCAACGTACCTTCTGGTCCAACTACTGAAGAGCTTCAGCAACAGTATTGAGCTCTCACATTTCCTCCGGGGACGTCGAGTCGAGGCTAGTGCATGTCGACTTTGTCGTTTGCCTTCCCGAAAAGGAATATTCCACGACTTCCGCCTTCACAACAACAAGTGACTTGTTTTCTGATTTCGTACGCAATACACTGTCTGCCATCTCTCAGCACAACACTCACGCGGATGCAGCTCATCTCTAATCACCCACATCCGTCCAAGACCAACCAATTCAAACACACACTTCTGCAAGCAGGCATCGTGTACATGCTGCACTCAGCTATCTACCTACGCGCCAAACAGATCAAGACCAAAAGTAAGTACCCACACGTTTCATCCAGTCTCACTCAAGCTCATATCTCACCAGAAATGTTCTCCACCTCCATCACCATCGTGGAGGCTGATCTTCACGATCAAACCTCTTCCAGCAACCACAACAACGACGTCCCTGGCACTGGCAGCTGCGCTAGCAACAACACCAAGCACGATCAGGCCACCGTCGTCTCCACAACTTCTCACATCCCCAAGCCTGAGCCTATCCTTGAACCTCCTATCTCTGAGACCATTGATGACGGTTTGGGTCCCAGGCCTGAGCCTACTCCTGTGCCTTACCCTTCTCCTACTCCCATCTTCTGGAAGGTCGTTTGGGCTTCTATCATGGCTCCCGGCAACCCTTCTATCTGAGCTATCCGTCAGGAAAGCTCGTTGCATTCTCTTTGGGACCGGAATGTACAGAGAGCATCGGGTACTCGGCAATTGATCAACAAGGTCATCAATCACAGAAGCACGAAGTCGGCACCGGCGTTCCATTGTTTTTTTTTTCTCATGGGTCTGATTCTGCATGGCATGGTTACATGAATTACGACAAGCATTGGAGAGGTGTTCAGGGGTAAAGAGGCAATCTCATACATAACAAGCATTAGGTCGCTATCGATCAGAATCGTTACTGCTTCTCCACTACACATCCACTATTCTCTTCCTCCGTGTTGTCTTCTTGCGATGTGGTTTTAACTCGATACCATATCTCGGGATGCTTGGGAGAGTTCGACAACAGTCTTTGGTCGAACTTTTCTCCCGAGCTCAGATATTATGCGCTTTGATGACTATAGAGATGCAGAGTATTCTCCTGATGCGCTTGTCGTCCTTCAAAAGTATAATCTACAGCGACCTCGCTTTCACGCGTACCATCATTGCCGGTTTATGCCACACAATATGCATCTTCGAATCTCTCAGCCAATCCAAATCAGTGTTTACAAGTTCCAGATCGTACTTGTAGTGCAACTTGCACATCGTGATATTGAGCTCTGCCCATCCCAAGCTNNTTTTCTATTGTCAGCTGTCCACTCCAGGTACCAATTATGCTGATTCGACTTACCTTCGTCCCATGCAAGCGCGAGGCCCGTATGAAAAGGGTTGAGTTGCGTCCAGATCATCTTCTTCGTTATTACCCAACCAGCGGTCTGCTGAGAACTTGAAGGGGTCTTTGAAGTTGGCCGAAGACATGGATGTGGCGAAGGGATTCGTGGATACGGTGATNNCTGTAGTTGGACAGAAATCATCAGCATCGACCGTTGCAGACACATTGAAGATCGCTGAATGAGTTTGACCTACACCTTCAGGAATCATATGGCCATCGACGCTATCACCACCACGAGGAACCACTCGAGGCAGAGCAAATGGAAGCGGAGGATACATGCGCATAGCCTCGAGACAAATCGCATTGACAAGTTTGACTTTCGAAGCCGAGATAGAGTTGATCTGCTCGTAGCTGGAGAAAGCGCTGCGGACTTCCTTTTNTAGCCTGCCGTACAACTCAGGATCGCGTAAAAGGTGATACGTAGCACAAGACAGTGTAGTTGCAGTGGTTTCGCTGCCTGCAANTGCTGCGGTATGTCAGCAAACCCTTGTCTTCTGCGTTTGAGAATTATCTTCGTACATGAAATCGGAGGAATGCGCAGCGATTTGCGTATCGGAAATGCAGTTCGCTTCACTCTTCTCAATAATGCGCGTCAAGAAGTCTGGCCGATCCGAGTCTTTTGCTAAGCGTCTGGATTGGGTCAGTATGATTGGAAGAGTGTTGTTCATTGCAGGATATATTCACCTTCTCACAAGATTCATCGTGTGTGCTTCGTGCTTGCGAGTGTCCTGAAGAATTTTCTCAATCATGCTAGGAAAGAGGGTCTTTATGGCAGCTGCAACTTTAGGATAGCGACCCAGAGAGTCTGCCAGAGCTCCTTGTTTCATAGATCCAACAGCCAGCTGAATCCATTCATGAAACTTGGCTGACTCCAGCCCTCCAAAGGATTCGCCGAAAGCTGAAACACGTCAGGATTTATGAGGTTGTTCGTGGAAACATACGCACCTAANGCTACCAATGATATCGAAGGTCATTAGGTTGAACCACATAACGATATCAATGCCTTCGGGACCATCACCCTTCTCTCCGATCTGGGTGATAAGAAGGTCGATAGGCTCGTTGATCAAACTCTCCTGATCACGAAGACTTTTGTCCGAAAAGGCAGTATTCAACTGCGCTCGCATCTTCTTGTGACTTGCCGGGTCTGTCTCGCTGATGATCGAGAGGGTCTTTCCATCGAAACTCGCACCTTCATAGAAAGGGGCTTTGCGGAAGAGCTGATGTCCTGGTCTAGAGCCATAAATGTCTTTCCATGACTGAGAACTACTGAACGAGAGTTCGTTGGGCGAAGTTCGGACTACCGGTCCATACTTTTCGTGAAGCGCAAGACGATCATATGGCTGTCTGCCTCCAAGGAAACTCAGGCAATGTGGGATACTACTCAAAGATGCGAGGAATGGTCCAGGAAACTTGTATAAGGGATGCCGGAGATGCGAGACAAATAGATACGTGATATAGGCAACCGCGACCTAGAAAGGTTTAGGCGTGCTTCGCTTAGCTCCTGCCATACTAACTTACCAGTTCAAAAGCGACCACGGAAGGAGGCTGTGAAGATGTTTCCGGCAATGTATACATTTTTGACAGGCTTACACTTATCGCGACCAGTTTCCAGGCTCACAGTGACATATCAGTGGGTAAGTTGGAGTGTTCTTTTCGCGATTAAGCGGATATCCATCTATCCCTAGGTATCATCGCCTTATATACTCGCACACATTAACACTCCATGCATGTGGCATTCTGTGATTCGTTCTCAAATCACAATAACAGGAACAGTCGAGATTGATAATTAATTATCCACTTCTCTACTGCAATATAACATGCAGTGCTAAATGGTCACGCCACGCGGGGCGAGCGGACGAACCCTCCGAAACACTCAAAGAAGTGGGGAGCTCCTTGGTTGTGGAGCATCCCTTGCCGCATTCGGACTACATAAACGATAACCGATTGCAAGGCCCTGCCTCAATGTACCCTGCACTATACTTTATGTTAGAATAAGGCCAACCTCTCGGCTCTAATATACGTGACCATAATCAACATTATGAAAGATTCGAATCTGTCGCAACTGCCCCTACAGACGGGCAAAACCGTCCTTATCACTGGCGGTATGTGTCAACATACAAGTCTCTGCTTGATTTAGTCCTGACAAAGTGAACTACTGAGAATCAGTGGTTTGGGTCGTGGGCTGGTGAGATGTCTTGCCGCCCTTAAATCAGCCAAGATATTCTTCACCGGTCGTAATCAAGTACGGGTAGGTGAGATCCTGTCCGATATCACCCACAGATACACAAAAGTTCAGGCCCAATTCGTGCAGATGGAGTTCGCTTCGCTGACTGATATCCAACGGGCTGCAAAGCTTGTCGTACCTCAGCTGGATGGGCGTCTAGATCTTCTGATATGCAGCGCGGGTATCATGGCCACTCCACCTGGATTGAGCTACGACGGCTACGAGATTCAGTGGGCGACCAACTACCTTGGACATGCCTTGCTCACACAATATTTATTANNGCCGATAATCACCGCGACTGCATCAACTCATGGATATACCCGCATTGTCAACACCACATCNAGGAGCCTAATGCTCGCTCCATCAGACAAAGAAATCGTTTTCTCTGACGCNAAGACCAAGCAAGAATACGGCTCTGGAGCTCGATGGAGACGCTATGGNCTCGCTCAAGTCTTGTATACTACTCAACTCGCCCAGCGGTATCCGACTGTGTGCACCATTGCCATTCACCCAGGAGTTGTAGGGACTGATTTGGTAAAGACATTAGGGTGGGCAGACCGCTTACTCGTCTATGCAACGTCAAAGATCATGACACTAAAGAATGGTTGCAAGAACTCCATGTGGGGTGCCACTGCGCCTCGCAAGGCTATCGAAGATGCTGCTCATTACTCCCCGATTGCTGAACCTGGAAAGCAAGCGAAGTGGATTCGGGACCAAGACCTAAGTGATAGACTGTGGAAGTGGACCGAGGGGGCTTTGCGGCCCTATGTGACTTCACAGAGTTGATTTTGTGATGTTTGATGTCCAAGCGTGTTTGTATGGATTGTTTGGTCTTGTCCAGTGTGGTTAGATGTTTCTATTCTTCGATGTATAGGTCTCACTCTTTAGGTCGCAAGTCAGAATGCTAGAACAAAGAAACAACAGAGTTGTTTTGTCATGATGTTTGATGTTTTCGCGTCTATGCATAGCTAAACTGCCCTATAAAGAGTAGGTTGAACCACTAGACGTCGGTAGCAACAACTCCAAGTGATCGGTCTGTGATATTTCATGGCACATAAGCACAAGATCAGAAGACTGTAAACATTCCTCACTAATCAACCTTCACTTACTTCGTCTTTACCGGTATGCGCGACCATGGCCGAAAACGGAAATTTCTTAGCGTCGTCATGCCGCAACCATCACCACAACTTCACTTACTGCATTTCGACGAGTGTGAAGACTCGACCGAAATTTCAAAGCTAGTCCGGCGCACAACGACCTTTGCTCCAGACAATGAACCCCCAACCACNAAAATGAACGTACGAAAACTTCTCGAATCAATCCCTGAGCGCCAACGTGGTTATGAAAGGTACTCAGAAGGCGATTGCAAGCTGCGCGCAAAGAAGGGATATGATCCTCGCACTGGCCGTTCAGTGATGGTGTTCAAGAGAAGTGGCCCGGGCAGAAAGCAGGAACCTTGTGGCATGCCGAACTGTCCGACTTGTGGTGTCTTCTGGCGTAAGTGGTCCATCGTCGTTACTTCATGTTCGAACGAACGACTAAGCGCAAATTCGGCGACAAAACAAGCTGACCAAGTCAGGNNAATGGACATGGAAGATCTCGAGAGAACTATTCCGGGCCTCGTCTCGGATCAGCCTTACACCTCAAGTGCACGCAAGGCTATGTTTGGTCCTTCTGCACCCTCGACGACTGGATCCACCACTTCGACCCTCACCGAATTCACCGAGATCTCTGAGATCTCTCAGGAGCTGCTGGGTCACGCCTCCGGGCCTGGCATTCTCACACCTTCGTCAACATGTTCTTCTGTCACGTTTTACGCGTCGTCAGCTCCAAGTCCGACATCAACTCCTACAAAGTCTCCCAAGGACAGGGACCTTGACAGATCATATGACCTCCCATCTCCAGCATCTTCAACAACATTGGCAGACATCGACGAAGACTTCGCATCCCTCAGGGGCAGTNNCTGGCTGCATCATCGTCCATCTCGACTTTGACCGAATTTACCGAGCAAAGCCGTCGCTGTAGCATGTCGAACGGCTCTGCTGCATCAGCTGCTACCTCTTCGAGCGCCATATCCACCTTGACCGACTTCTCGGGGCTCGATTCTTCATCATCAGTCTCCACTGCACCGAGTAGTCTCTCGTCGGTTCCACCTACCATGTCTACAGTCACTACCGCCACTACCATCTCCACCACGCGTCCGTATAAGATGGTGAAGGTCAAGAAANCACAGAGCAATGATCGAGATGTCTGATGGCTCGGCATGGATACCACCAACCCTCGAGCGCATCCAAACATACATCACTTCCCAAGGCGAGCGCCGTCTGGCTCCTTCGCATTCAGCTCGTTTGGTGGTGGCCTCGCACGCCGAGAACGGTTCAACAGTCGCTATGAAATATGAGAGAGCTATCGCCAAAGTCGATCGTAAGGTTGGAATCCCGCCGGAAAGTAGACGTGACATTCTTCAACGTTGGAGTAGAGAGTTTTTGGACGAGGAGGAAGAGTAGAGACAAGCATTGGGTCTTGTGGTTGTGATATCGGAGAGGAAAACTACATCCGGATTGTGGTTTCAATCGAAGAGCAGAAGGATTTGCACTTACCGTCAGTGTCTCTCATTGATTGGGAGAATCTCGTTGAGTGTCAGCGAAGTTTGAAGGACCGCTTGGCTACCAGATTGGATGTTGTATATTAGGGATTCTACAGAGTCCAGCAGGGACTTCGGATCAAGTAGTCGCATGAGATCAACGAAGTCTGCCCATCGGGGGCGACAGCACGTTCGTACAATGGATAGCAGTAATCGACTATCTTTCTGTCAAAGTCCGAGAATTGAATGAAATGTGGTGAGACCATGAAGCGCAAGATGTGACAAAGGCCGCATGCGGAAGGAGCTGACGTCCAGTCATGCCAAGCATTCCAGACGCTTGCGATCGTTCTTGCGACAAAGAGCTCCTTCCTCTTCCTCAACGCAGCATACGTCGGCACTTTTCGACTGAGACAGCGATGTGAACATGCACAACCGTCGGGCAAACGAGACAGGAGCTGCACTGCGTTCATGTGCTTCAGCTGTGAGGGAGAGATGAATGCCCCGGGCAACTCAACGGCCGTAGCAGTCCAACTTCTCCCGCCAACCGCCCACCACCCACCGGCCAATTGTGGCAGCTGACCAATCGATAATTCAGCCTGTCTGGCAAAAACAATTCGTAGATGTCCGGCATCACAGCCTCATCCTCATGCGACGACGACGTGGCGAGCCTGCGTGTCACTGCGCGCTGATCAGAAATGCCTCCGCGGCATCCTTCTGGCCCCATCGAGTTCATCTAGATACACAAACGGTGGTATAGATCGCGGCTTCCGTCAGCATGTCACCAATTGCGCCCGCGGATACTGCACAGAGAAAGAGCTATGGGAGATACACACACGTTCTATTGAAAGCGAAAGCATTGCTTGAGCATGTACAAAGTCCGCCTGTGAGCTTCCGACAATGTATTGAGAGCAGTGCCTGAACCTGAGCTGCAACATCGTTGTATTAGATCAAGTACGTATCTTTTAGCACTCCTATAGGTTTGGCTAGTTGCGTCGTACTATTATCAAGCCTACTTGTGACGGACACGAGGGATCTGCAGCACAAGGACTCGAACGCCTGTCAAGTCCTTGGACTCGTCTAACCAGAGCCTCCTCCAAATTCAGAGTCAACGGAGAAGCTCACTGGTTGTTTCTGAAACCGAAACAACAGGTAGGGCAAGATATCTGGCAACACGAGAGGACGCAATTTTACCATATACAAGAATAGCCAACAATAGACTCGCTTGAGAGAAAACATCTCAAGATCGTGGGAAATCAACGCGCAAAGCGTGGATCATTTGGCCAGAAAGTTTAACAAATCACTTTTACCCGAGCCCCGAACACTCGAACTTTTGGACGTTCTGTGATCTTCAATCAACCCCTCTTTTTACATCTCTTCCATCCAAACCACAAGGCTTCCATCATAGAACTTCCACAAATCGCATACACTTCGCTTGCGAGGTTGTCGCTTGTCCACGCCACGAACCATGTCATTCGTTGGAAGAAAATCGCGGGGAACCCTTGTTAGCTCGCTGCAGATGAAACAAGCCACGGGTTGAAAGCTTCTTTGACGACCTTCTCTCCTCCTCCTCTTATTAATCTATTCTATACAGACGGGCAGGGCTGTGATAGGGCTTTGCTACAGTACGACTCTAGAGGTAGTCTTGAAACGCGATGTCCTGTAGGCCGCCGGTTCGAAAGCACGGTTTTAAGCCTAGCAAGGGTTGCATTTTCCGCCATGTCCGTTCATGAGGAGAAGGTGAGGATTCATATATAAGCAAGGCCCAAGTATTGTTGAAACAGTTTCTTCTCATATCCTGCGATTGAACAACATTTTCTTACTCCGAACCAAGGCCAGACTGGTGCTGTCTTTGTATACCATACCCTCTTTGTAACTTTCTTCCATATCCGAACGCTTTATTTTCCAACAGTATGAAGTTCCTTACTGCGGCTGCCGTCATGCTGGGCGTTGCCTCGGCTGCCCCTACTGCTACCATCGAGAAGCGCGCTCAACAGTGCGGTCAGTGGGACAGCAAAGTCACCGGTGCCTACACTCTGTACCAAGACCTGTGGGGCATCTCCGGCTACTCTGGATCCCAGTGCTCGGACATCAACAGTCTGAGTGGCAGCACCCTCAACTGGTGGACCACGTAAGTCTTACCAACCTCAAACATGTCCAATGTCAGTCACATCTAACACATTCACAGCTGGTCATGGGCAGGTGGCTCTAGCCAAGTGAAGTCGTACGCCAACGTTGTCACCAAAACCAAGGCCGTCCAAATCTCCGCCATCAAGTCACTGGCCACAAAATGGACCTGGGTACAATCCGGCAGCAATGTCGTCGCCGACGTCGCCTACGACATCTTCACCTCGTCCACCGCCGGCGGCAAGAATGAATTCGAAATCATGGTCTGGCTGGCTGCCCTCGGCGGCGCTGGCCCCATTTCCGCAACCGGCGCTCCCATTGCTACAGTCACTGTTGCTGGCCACAGTTGGAAGTTGTGGTATGGCAGCAATGGTGTGAACGAGGTTTACTCGTTCACCCCCAATGGAGCAAACGTCAGCAGTTTCAGTGGCGATTTGATGGATTTCTTCAGTTATTTGATCAAGAGTCAGGGATTCAAGGCTAGCCAGTACTTGATCTCTGTTGGTGCTGGTACCGAGCCTTTCACGGGATCTAACGCTAAGCTTACTTCGGCTTACAGCTTGGTGCCTGCTTATAAGTAAAGTACTGAGCATGAGAACTGCTGCTAGGATCGTTGCATGGGCTGTCGAAACGGCAAGGGTTTTCTACGACACACATGAGGGATGTGTGTGCTATTTTGTCTTTCTTGAGCAAGACCGTGTTTGGCTAAATTCTCACATCTATCGCAACTGTTTTGCCAACTCAATATGCAAAACAACCATACAGAAAGAAGCCGAAAGGTGAACAATGTGACTATGCCAAGTGTTGTACGCATGCCACGCGACATCAGCCCATCTCACTGCCTTACGAACTCCGTCTCTACCTTGCGTCTACATCCTACTTCTCCAAACTTCCTGCAAAGTCAACATCATCGAATACTTGAGGAATGGTGAGAAAATTGAATGGAAGGAACGATCTTGGCATCAACCGAAGACTCTAAAGAAAAGACATCAGTGAAGTGGGGAAAGGAAGGCAGATCAATTAGGGAGAAGGAGCCTCTTGGCTATGTATACGTGATGAAAATGGATAAGGTCAACCTATCCTAAGCACAAATAGCAGGAGCACCGTCTTAATGCTGTGTTGCATTGCTCATTCCTCCTCATTTTTGTGAGGTTACATCAAATACACTTTCGCCAACGAGCCAATATCACTTAAAGAGGAGATCAGAGAACAAGTAAAGGGAAAGACCCACTCAAAAGCACCTCGAGTCAGAGTATGCAGCACTCAGAGGCCCGAGAATGATAATCGTCAGGAGCATCTGATCTGGGTCTCGGAGCAAAGCATCCTCGTTGGCAAAGGCTTGAGCCCAGAAGGTATGCTGCATAGTCATGGGGTAAACGCCAGTTGCTCAACGGCAGTAGAATGTGTAACGCATGACTTCAAAGGGTGCAATCGTGCATGAACTCTATGTGCATGGGAATAAGAACAATTGTGCTGACGTATTGCTCGTGTGTTTCATATGGTGGCCTACATGTGAGGATAAGCATCGAAATTTCATAACACTGTGATGATATCAGCGATATATACAGCATAGCGTATTTCTACTCCTCCAAAGCCGTACATGTCGCACATGCATGCTGTAAGCCGAAGAGGGAGCGATAGAATGTGGAGGTCGAGATCTCTTTCTTCGATATGGATTAAGCTCTTCCAGCCAGTAAACCGTTGTGTGCAAGAAAACGTCGTATCGTACCATCTATTGTATTTTCAAACTCAAGGACGGTGACCTCCGAAAGCAGGGTCTGGTATCGTCACATCGTTGTCAAAAGGCGTGCGCCACTGGGCTGGCTGGAAGAGTCGCGGTATATGGCACGAAATGGTCAGAGCGAGCAAGTTGCAAAGATGACTGAGGAGAAATATGTGGTATGTACATTTTTGGCTTGTTTGGAATGACAGCAAGCTAGGTAAAAGGTCTATGGTTGATGGCAAGATGGGGTATCAAGGAGCTTTGAAGCAGACAGGAAAAAATGAAGAATGTGCACAGAGAAACAATTCGCTAGAAAATGCAAACAACTAGTGTCAATCAGAACGACTGCAGTTGTAGTCTCACAGACGTCCTGACGTGGACTTCTTTGGGTCGGCCACATTCCAAGTCTCTCAATGCGACGTTTTCCCAGTCGGAGTTGTTACTCGTCAAGCAAAAGGAGTCGGCTTGAGAAGGAGGTTTCCCGATGAGGGTCGCGATGCTTGTGGTGTGGCTCTTCTTCTTGCCATTGAACATCCTCGATGCAGAGTGGAATGAGGAGGTGCCGTCGAAAATGACGTCCTTGTCGAATTCGTCCCAGGACATGGAGGGAGGCATACAGTCTCCAGCGGAGTGGTGGGACGGGTTGTTGGATGGCATATAACGATCTTTCTTAGACGAGAACCAAGAAGTCAATTGTGTCCAAAGAGGACGGAGTGAGGGGACGCAGGCACATAGCTACATATAAGCGTCAGCATTATGACTCGAGGTTGCAGAGGCATCCAAAACTTACAANNGACCAACATAGATCTCAACATCTGCGCAGATCCATAGAGGCAGTGCACCCCATGTCGAGTCCTTGGTACCGATGAAGGCACGATATACGTACACCTCTCTGACAATGCCAGCAGCTGTTGCAATAGTGCCCAGAGAAAGGAGCACTGTTGCCGCGAATCTCTGTTTGAACGCTACGTTCAAGCGTGCAACAATTGGGAGTGGTAGAATGTTTACTACAAAGTCCATCACGGACAGTAATGCTCCAATTGTGGTGACCGCGACACCCTCACTGAAACAGTGTGCACCCGAGGCGTTGGGCGTCCAAGCTGCGGATATGGGACTGTGAGTTGTCAGTACTATGCACCGGACACAGATCATGAATCCAACTCACCTGCATCGGAATATCGAAACAAAAATGCCGACGAGGCATAGAGCAGCATTCAAGCCCATCACCACATAGATGATTCGTCTGAGACTTTTTTCGGCGAGGTCTTTGATGAGCCACAGGTAGAACAGCAATAGCGCTGTTCGTACGCACGTACTGCTCACAATGAACAGTATCTTTGCTGCCGTATATGCTTTGACGGACTTTGATAGTACGTCTAGAGGAATGTTCCAGATATGTCGATCCCATCCATAATGGCCCTGATAACAGTGTTAGTGGTCTTGATGATAGTCCTAGTCGACACTAGCGCACTCATACCATTGCTATGTTCACGATCGCACCAAATCCCACTGCAAGCATCTAGATCCCTCATGGTCAGTCAAAGATGAAGATGTCTCAAGCATTGATCATGATCCACATACGAATGCGAATAGTATGAACAAGTCATCCCACCATAGTCCTCGCTTCGATCCCATGCGCATCCGACAGTAGAACCGAGCCGAAACAACCACGGCTGCGAAGCCCATGAGAAGGTCATTGCCAAGGATATAGCCTTTGGCTCGATCCGAGAGGCCGCCCCGGTCCATGGAGAAGGAAGAAGACACCAGATCCACCAGTAAGACGGCCGTGAGTTTGGAGATCCAGTGATGCCGCGCGTCTGTGCACTGCAGAAGGAGGCTGGGTGGTGGTGCGGTTTTCCCGAGTAGTGTCAAAAAGTCGCGTCGCGTGTTGGAAACCTAAGGGGAGCTACTGCACGAGGAATGCAGGCATGGAGTTTATTATACTGTGCCTTGACTTTTAAGGTGTATCGAAACCTGGAGCTGTCTCAGTAGTAGGAGGGCAGCCACGACATAGAGTGCGTACGTACAACGTGGATTTTCGCTGCCATGCCTCTTTCAGCAGGCATAGGACTCAGCTCTGCAGCAATATAACGATTTGCCGGGCCAGCTCTGTCTCGGTCAGAATGCCTGTTGGCAATTGACGGGTGCGCACTAGGACCACGGCCATGATGATTTGCTCGGCATTCTGAACAGTGCAACGGTTGTATTGAGCGGGCTGCCGTCTTTTGCGTGTTGGCTGATATAGAACGAGGGCAGGGTCAAACGGTCACGAGAACTATTCGATGCGATGCTCGAGGCGCAGAATTAAATTTCTTCAGCAAAAGTAAGTGGACTCGTGGTGGGAACGAGATGCATGTCAGCACTGTCGATTACATCAACGTGCGCGGCAAGTCGGCCAGAGAGGTGCTTTGTGGGTCTTGCTTTATCAATGTCTCGCAGAACACATATAGCCATCATCTCAAACGATAGTCACCTCGAGCGCAGACCCCAAGGCTTGAGTGCGGCTTGTCGAAGTAGAGACATTTCTCGTGTATTCTTGCAGGCCGCCAGCAGTTTGATCAAGCGTGGTTCCCACGAGAGCGGCGTTGAGGTACTGAATACAATCGCCTCGTGCGACAATCCTTCGGCCCTCGACTAGAAAATTCGAACGTAACGGCGATGAGCAACATGTCTTGGGTCTCAGAGTGCAGATGAATAAGTGCGATTGGGGTGGGAAGGGGAGTCCAACGCCAAGCACCTTCCAGATTCGACTTTGACAACCACAAGCGGAAGGATCCGATCCGGCCGTCCGTGCGCGCCCAGACTATTAGTCCGTATCGACAACGTCTTCTCCTGTTATCAATCAAGGCATGTTGATCATGATCGATTCTCGCATCGCAATCCGCGAGGAAGAGCGCCGCTGGGGTCATCGTTGCTTGTTGGCAGCAGATGCAACTTTTCGAAACTCGTTCATTTCGAGTACGCTAGACTGCAAGACTGGTGATGCGTCTCGGGCGGCAGAGTGATCTCGTTGTCAACGGCCACACGCCATGTCGGCTCCTGTGATTTCACACGAGGAGGACCCAGAACACAATCGTTCAGAAGCGATCTCCTTCAGAAGCCGACCTCCCAAAGAGGCGCCTGCAAACGATGGAGGTGGCTTTCGGCCCTAAACTCTTGAGGCAAACGTTGACACCTTACGAACCCGTCGCAAATATTGTGAATCACTCTGCGACAATGGGCTGTGGTGAGTGTTTAAGGGAGTCGCGCTTGCTGCTGCTCGCGACGGAGCTCTTTTGTCGTGTCGCTTACACTCTACCACGAGTTGTCCTCTCTTCGCTAAGGATACTCGCTGCCTGAGGAGCAAACCAGGCACCGGCCCGGTAGATGGTCACTTCCCAGTTGGCGCCTGGTGCACGGTTCTTCGTCCCTGCATACGGTTGATTGCGAGCCTTCTCGCAACCGGCCACTCCCAGGCTCATGGTAAACAAGGCTTCGGGACTGCAGGACCGCCCCAGAACTATCCCTGGTTTTCAGCAAAGACCGGTGTTGTATACTGACCCATGGCTGGATAAGCTTGTATCCACTCCCCTCTCGAGTCATATCGAACCTCGGTCGCAAACAATTCCTGGTGGGTGCCATCAAAGATGCGCGACGCGACCAAGCTTTTGCATGGTAGACCCCGAGGCCAATGACGTTATACCCGGCCCTCTCACTACTCGAACATCCTTCAATCGTCGAATCTCATCAGCAACATCAGGCTTTGGCTTATCTATCTTATCACCTTAGCCATGTTCAACACCTTTGGAACGTTTGGTCATGCGGTATCATCACTGGGAGATTACTCGGAGCATAACAAAATGTGGTGATGGATGCCGGTTCTCATTGGTTATCTTCCAACATGACTACGTACGAGAGGGAGCGCTAAGCCGCGATCGCAAGCCAACGGCTGTAACTTCACCCTGAAACTTCACGCCTTTCATGCAGCCAAAGGAGCTACTCATGCATGACACGCCCTGGCCAAGTGCTATTCGTACACTATCCCTCAGGCTCTCTCGGTATACCATCATCCCTGCGCCACTGCAGAGACTGCCCTATGCAAAGAAGATCTAGGTTGCCGCACCGGCCGGCTCTATCGCGCCTCGATGCTGCATGGACGATCCACAATCTGGTTCGGTTGCGACCTTGTTCCTTTGCCTAGGAGTTGCATCCGAGGATGGGCGGCAGTATGGTTAGTATATAATGAGCTGGTCCGGAGGTTGTTGCTCAAGAGATCATTCAGAGATCATCACTTTTGAGTTTGAGCACACTCCTTTCTCCTTTCGAAATGCCTATCCTTCTCACCTCTCTCCTGGGCACCGCAGTGGGTTCTGCAGTAGTCTACCTCACATCTCCCACTCTGGCTGCTGTTCTTGCCGGATCGGCACTCAATTGGATCACGATTCACTCCTTGGCAATCGACGCTCTCTTCGCTATTCTGATTTGCTTTTTCATCCTCTGTTATCTGGAGACGAAATGGATCGCAGTCAATCAATCATTTCCTTACACCTTCCATCTCAAGAACAACCTCGGGAAATCATCTTTCGATTTTCAGTTGGTTGTGTTTGAGCTATGGCATACAGACAAGTTGAACAGATATGGTCACATGGTGTGTTTGTTCTGCGAACAACTTCTCTGGCTTTATATCATCAGAATCACATTTGGTCTTTCCGGTCTGGCATTGACGAATATCGCTTTGGGCATGCAAGCCTTTTCTTTTGGAGATCTCAGACTTGGCTTTGGTACTGCCGTGTTCAATGCCGCTTATTCATTGCTCGGCATGTGGGCCTTTGACAGATTCGCACCAGTAGCCGCGATCGACATTTGCAAGATTGCGCTCTTCTGGGTGGTGGTTGTGCGCACTGCTGTACATGCCGCCGAGCCTTTGCCTCCGGTCTACGATAGCGAAACGGATTCCTTCGGCGAGACCTGGGGTGACGATGGCTACCACTTGATCTTCAAGAAGCCCTTTTCTGCTCTGTGGCTGTTTATCCTGGGCATTGTCTCTGAGCTTGCCTCTGGTGTGCCTGGACGTCTTTTCGGCACTGCTCTTTACAAGGCTCTGTACCGTGCTGGCGGTTTCCGCAGCACCACACTCAAGGGTGTTGATACCGCCAGAGAAGAAGCATTGTCTACACTGAAGAACGGCTGGGCCTCTAACGAGATGCTCGCGCCTTACTTCCTCAAGTCATCATCTGTGGCTATTGTCGAGAAACTGCCTCTCGAGTGCTGAGATTCCATCAGCCGTCCGTCTTTTCCTTTTAGAGAAAAGTCTTTTTCGTATTCTTTTTCGTCATCTGGTTTCTTCCATTCTAGCGCGGAGCTCACATTTAGACGGAGGTCGGATTTCAATTTGGGCGGCGTCGTTCTCCAATTTTTCTTTTTTTTCTTTTTTTTCTTTCCCCTTCGAATACCCAGTCGCGTTTATAGAAGAGTTCGGTGTCATAATGTTCAAGTCATTCTTTCTTGGTGTACCAGCCCTCGTATTGTTCGAGTTCAATCCACGCTTTGCTTTGCATTAATTGTCCCTCAAGAAAATCCATGCTGTTCGTCGGCAGACACAAGCCATGGGTAATCCACGGCCCGTTCCGTCCTTGCTGCAGTTCCTTTCAGCTGGCCTCTGCAAACCATCACAGAAGATCCATGCTGACAAGCTTCCCGAAACAAAGGTGAAGCTAGTATTGTAGCACTCACTGCATGGACCACGGGTTTGGGGTGACTAGCATGTCTCCGCGAGATCGCAATTGTTTGGGTCAAGGCGTGGCTTTCGGGTCTGATGTCAGAGGAGAAGTCTTTTGTTTGACTACCACTCGTCCAGATGGAGCGTTCTCAGCGACATGCGTCTTGTTGTCTGTTTACTACATTTTCTCGTGCTGATCGGCTAAGGTTTATCGACCATTCGGGATGTTGCTTGAGGCATATGCTGTTTTGGTCGCTGTTGAACAGTCGGAGTAGTTAATCGTTTATTCCAAAGACGAGCTTCGTGGAGTGATCGCTGGAAAGCTAGGGAAAATGTTCCATTCAAGCAAAGCAACCAAGTGTGAGGATATCTAGGGGCAAAAGGTGCGACGCATCAACGCTCATCGTCAAAGACAAACTTCTCCTCCACTTCGACGAACGGTCCCTTCTCATCTCTGTATTCCTTAACCGTGACGTATCTTGTCCACTTACGACTGTCCTGCGGGGCTGGCTGAGGTTCATACTGTCGTGGAGCTTTGCGAGGCTCACTGCCCTTCTCGAGGACAAAGTCGTCCTTGTCAACGTGAACTTGCATGCTTGGTGTAGGTGAATTCTCTGCTCTGTAGGGACCATGAGCGTACGACTCTTCTACCAGAGAAAGTTCGCGGGCAGGAGATTCGCTGAGGGNGGTCCATTTGGGCTCTGGAACATAAGGTCTTTCGGCAGGGTCGATATAGGTGCGATTGCGGTGCTTCTCGTACTCGTAGTCGTCGTGGACACTCGGCATACCAGTGAGATCTGGAGGCCGTGAGCGAATGCGAGAGAGACCTTGCATGGAACGATCATCACGCTCAAAAGGCAAGTCTGGCGGAAGAGTAGCCACTTCATCCTCGCCCGAGAAAGAGACACGACGTTTGATGGGCTTGGCGTTGGCAAGAGGTGCAGGTCGTTCTCTGGGAGGAAGCGAATACTGCTTGGTTGGTGGTGGACGATCTCTGATTGTTGATGAGATGTCTTGGAATGGTGCGGGATAGTCTCTGACTGGTGCAGGATAATCTCTGAAAGGCACAAGATTGTCTCGAACAGGCGCATAGTACTCTATGAAGGATTCTGAGTGATTTTGACGAGGAGCAGAGTAAGGATCTCTTGCAGGTGCAGGATGGTCCCTGGAAGGTGGTGGATAGTTTCGAGCTGATGGAGGATAGATGTCTCTGGCTGGAGCGTCGGGCCATCTGCGCGTATTCTCCCTCTTGACGACGAGGTACTCATCGTATGATGGACCAGGGGAAGGCATGATCTCGATGGTTGGAGTTGATGAGATGCTAGGTTCGACAGGTGGAGCAGATGGAGCAGGTTCAGGTGCGGGCTCGATGTGTTGTAGTTCTGGTGCAAAAGGCTTGACGTAGCGGAATGGGATGTTGCGCAGTTCTGGTTGAGGTGGTGGTGGACTGGGAGATGCTGAGGTCTGAGGTGGTGGAATCTGAGGTGGTGGAATCTGGGATGCTGAGGTTTGTGGTGTTGAGATTTGTGGTGCTGGAAGCGAAAGAGGCAACGGCGAAGAAGAAACTATGGGCGCACAGCGACGACAGACGCTCTGGGGCGGCGAGACTGCGAGGAGACCTGTGTCAACAGGGTGCTCGGCGTGATAACGAGCAGATCGTGGCTGTTGGCAGATCATGCAGACATGCCAGACAGTGAAAGGCGAGCCATCGCGCGTCTGCGCCTCAAAGGGAACAGATGGCGGACGCCAGCTGAAGTTTGACATGATGATGTTGATGGTTGACAAAAAGGAAGGTGGGGCTGGTGCGAGATGAAAGGCGGGTGGAAAGAGTGAAAGAAGTGACATGTGACAAACATACTTTAGTGAGCTTAGGCGACGACCACTGTCTCTTCGACCCGAGGGCCGCTGGCTGTCTGAACCACTTGTCTCTGAACAGGCACTCCGCCAGTCGTGTAGGCTGCACCACTTCCGCTAGCACCACCAGCACCACCAGGGGCACCAGCAACATAAGTACCACCACCCGACCCAGCAGCCCCAGCAGTTCCAGCAGCCCCTCCGGCCGGGACAACAGAGACTACAGTCTCTCCACCAGGGCCTGTGCTGGTAACAAATGTATTGCCTGGTCCTGCTGCTGAACCATAGCCGCCGCCCTGGCCGTGTTCACGTTGGCGCTTGTGCTTGCGATGCTTGTGAATTCCGAATGCTGTCCAGCCGATGATGTTGGCGAGGACAAAAGGTACGACGAGAGCAGGAACGAGGATGATAGCCAGGGCCGTGCCGTATGTGGTGATTCCGCAGACCATGATGACGAAGAGATGTATGAGTATGTGCTAAGCGATGGAGGTAGAGGTTGATGATGATGATGAAGATGGGATTGATAGGAAGAAGCAAGCTGGATGTCAACAACACTGCCCTTGAAGCTTTGGCTTTTCTAAGGAGGAAGCAGCGAGTATCTACTGTACCTTCCCAGATACACATAATCCATGCTGACTGTCGATCCCGTCCGCCCAACGTCTCTAGAACGTCGGCTTTCGGTCGAGTCTTTCAAGGAACATCTATAGTTTGAGAGACCGTCATGGACTGGGAGTTGTCAGCTACTCGCACTTCATTTCCAATTTTCTGGTCTTGAGAAACATCATAACTCACATGGGCAGACGACAACGTAGAAAGAGACAAAAATATGCATGACATGGAAAGAAGACTCAAAGAAACACAGGGATAGAGTGTACGTAAAAGCATTAATTAATGTTCGGTGCATCTATCAATTCGTGAACGGCTTTAACAACTAAAACATGAAGCTTGGGAGACATAAAAGAAAAAACGAAAAAACAAGGGGTGGTATCGCTGTTGCTGTGTTGCATGTCATGTCCAAAATATTGCTTGTCCGACCATCATACAAATGTGTTGCAAAGAAAAGAGAAATCAAGAGCAGCATGCGTATATCTAGCTCTCCATTCTTTTAGTTGTTGCCATCATCCGTATCTTCGAAGAAGGTCAAGATTGCCTTGACACCTCCGGGTCCGAGACCGTGTGGTGGGTAGCACACGTAGATGGGGTCATCCTGGGCACCGAGCTTCTCTCTGAATTCCGACTTCGCCGTGAGCTTGAGCTCGGTGGCGATGGCGTGGTAGGCCTTGCTAAGGACCTTGATGCGAGTACCCTTCAAGTTGTGACCGGGAGTCAGCTTGGAGCTGGCACCACCACCAAAGGTAACCGAAGTGGCACCGCCGGCAGCGCATTGTGAAAGTGCGTGCATGACGAGCAACTCGATGGCACCTGAAGGTGCACCGGGGAAGTCAAGCGAGAACTTGACTTGCCAGCCATGGTCGGGCGACAGCTGAGCCATGATGACGAACCCAGCGATCTTGCCGTCCTTGTCGGTGGTGTAGTGGTATTGGCGATGGGCCTCGTCTTGCCAAGGGTGAATGTCTGTGAGATGGACCTGCTTGCCCTTGCGGTTGGCTAGCCAGTCCTTGATGCGACCATCAATCTTTTGCTTGATCTCAGCCGGAATTGGCGAACCGAGCGGGTAATCGTGCACCTTGACACCCTCCTTGCTTGCGTGACGAATCTTGCGCTGAATATCATGATCATGAACAGCTGGGTTGTTGCCAGGATCCAGACGTTGCTCGGCAGCAACCGAGAATGTACGCCAGTCAAATTGGTGCGAAGACAGAACTTCTTCAACGGCACCACCGCACAGCAGCCACAGGGGCTTGATTCCACGCTCTTTCTTGATGTAGTGCAAGTATCCGGCAATCGTGCGAGCGTATTGGGACTTGTGACAGAGAGGGTCACCGACGGTAATGGCGTAGCCTTGGTGAGGCACGAAACCAATGGCGGCACCAGTAGCATCATCTCTCCAGATCTCGGTGCGAGGCTCGAGCCATGAGGTGTTGGAAGCGTCTCCGTAGTTGGCGATGAGCATTTCGACGGATGGAAGCTCGTATCCAGCAGAGTGGCGGTCTTGGCCTTCCCATTGAGGGTGCAATGTGCTGGCTTCGGGGTGTCTGAGTTGCTTGACGATGGGCTTTGCGGGAAGAGACTTGGGATCGCGAGGGAACAGAGTCGCATGGCGAATGTCGCCCAAAGAGAGCAACAACATCAGCATACGTTCCAAACCAATACCACCACCACCATGAGGAGGAGCTCCCCAGGCAAATCCTTGCATGTACTCATCGAGCGTGCTGGGGTCCATCTTCAGGCGCTCCATCTGCTTGGTCAACATCTTCTCGTCGTGGATACGCTGGCCTCCGGAGAGAATCTCTTGTCCACGGAGGAAGATATCGAACGAGTTGGTGATCTTGGGGTTGTTGGGGTCGGGCATGGCGTAGAAGGGTCTGGCGCCGGCTGGGAACTTGTCGAGGACGTAGTAATCGGTGCCGTACACTTGCTTGATGACCTTTCCAAGCTGGATTTCGTCGCGGGTACCGAGATCCTCATCTTCGGGAAGAGGATTGCCGTTGTCGTCCCTCCAGCCGGACTCGTTAAGCAGACGAATACCCTCGGCGAAGGGGATGATGGGTGTCTTGTCGAGCCAAACAAGGTCCTCGTGAGGGAAGTGCTTCTTGAGTGTGTCGATTTCGTGGCGGTAGTTCTCGTAGACCTTCTTGAACATGAACTTGAACAGGCCATCCAGAACGCGAAGAACTTCGTGGTAATGCTCGTCGATGGCCATCTCCAGATCCAGACCGGTGTACTCGGTCATGTGTCTATGTGTGTTACTGTTCTCCGCGCGGAAGACGGCACCGATCTCAAAGACTCTGCCAAAGTCGGCAGAAATACACATCTGCTTGGCCAACTGGGGCGACTGAGCCAAGAAAGCAGGTCTGCCAAAGTAGTCGACCTTGAAGACACTGGCACCGGACTCGGTAGCACCACCTTGCAGCTTGGGTGTGTGGATTTCCATGAAGCCTTGGCCACGGAGGTACTCGCGGAAGAAGGACGAGACACCTGACTGGACGCGGAAGATACTCTGCGAGGTGTTGGTACGGAGATCAACGATGCGGTTAGCGAGGCGGGTGCGGTCAGAGATGTGATGACGGGCGTTCTTGGAGAGCTCGGCCTCTTCACGAGTGACTTCGGCTTCGGCAACGTTGAAGGGCAGGGGAGCGGTTCTCGAGCCCTCGATGTGCAACTCGTGGATCGAGACCTCGATGTTCCCGACAGAGCAGCCGGTAATCTTGCCCTGCTTGGCCTTGGGTTCCTGAACCACGGCACGAACGCGGACGACCGACTCAAGCTTGAGATGCTTGGCCCAGTAGACCATACCTAGCGAGACACCAGCGTGCTCGTGCAAAACACCCTGGATTGAGGCAGTCTGCTGGCGAAGAGCGATGAAGACACGACGGCTGCTGATCTGGCGGATCATGTGGACGCGAGCACGGAAAGTGACCCACGAGCCGACATCTCTCTCGGATAGCTCGAGCAGGTTGACTTTCTTCTCGTTGGCGGGCTGTGCAGGGGCGTAGGAGTTGAGAGGAAGAACGCCATACTTGGACTTCATATCACCTGTCTCGTCTGCCTCGGCACGTGCCTGTGTTTGTTGTTGCAGCTTGCGGTCTGCGGCGCTGTGCTCCTGAGCCTTTCTGTGTCTCTCCTCCTTTTGCTGGAGCTTTGCACGCTTGCGCAGCTGTGCCTTTGACATGGGCTCGCCAGCAGCGTTCAGGGGACGTCCATCGTTGGACGATGAAGACGAAGAGCCACGACGGAGCTTGTGTCTGAAAGCGCCCAATGGGCTGTGTGTGGGTCTGTGATGTGAAGTGGAACGGGACTGACGGCGGTGGGAGAGATCAGTCGAGGCGCGGCTGTGATCGACCGAGTTGCGCGTGTCGATGGAGGTCGAGTTTCGCGGCGAGGCAAAGCGAGCCTTTGAACTGGGACGGTCTCTGTTGTCCAGAGAGGCACGAGGACGCTCGACCATGTCGGTACTGGCTCTGCTGGCAGATGTGGGCGTGCCGCTGTCCGAGTTGGAGTAGTTGCCGCTGGCGCTGGTGCTCCGGCGGTGGTGGCCGGGCACGAGCTTATGCAGTGCTTTCTTCATGGCTGAAGGCACGCTTCCTCGGCAATGGGAATGAGGTATAGAGGAAGAGTGAGAGGGTGGAGGGGGATACAAGATTCGACAGAAGAGCGTAGGTAGACAAAGTTTGATTGAGTGAATAGGGCAGGAAGACGTGCCTGGTCGAGGGTTCAGGTCAGAGATTACCGTCCGTGGTACTCCTCTGAAGCATGACGATAGCCAAGCCAAGCTTCGCTCCAAGCCTGCTCCTGCTCTCCGTACTTCTTCACCTCATACAAGCATCGTTCCTGCCTATTGCCGGGCTGCTCTGTTGATCCCGTCGCATGCGTATTTGAACGTCATGCTCATCTATCTACATGGCCATTCCCATCCCTGCTTTCCCTTGCTTGTGGTGCTGTCTCCTTGTCGACTTGCGGCCTTTTGCGGCTCCAAAGCGGCTACCGTAAACTATACATTTCCAAATTACCAGCCTTCTCCGCAGAATGCCTATTTTCCTCTCTCGTTCATGCTGACCTCTCGTTTGCCAAAATTTCAATTCTCTCTGACGTTCTCTTTTTCGCTTAATATGCATCAGATTGGGACCGCCTCCATATCAAGAACTTGTCTGCGTGGCCATATCAATCGACAATACTGACTCCTTGTTGTTTGTGTCGCCCCGCGATCGCGATTGCTTTTAGATTGTTTTCCCCAAAGCGCACACCGTGCATCATCGACATCGACGTCACCGCTCCCATCGAAAGCTCGCTGCTCCCTCGACATTTTCTCTCCAGCTGGATACGCTCCCGGACACCCAAAAATTCGGTTTCAGTGCCCATGGAAAAACGTTTGGCTGAATAAAGTATATCACTTTACGTTATGGACAGGATTGAAACCTTGCTGAGAAATACCGTACTTGGCTGCCGACCGTATCCGGTCTCCTATATTTATAGGCGGGTATCCAGCTACCCGCCATCCGATTGGAAGCCAAAATCCTGTTTAGGCAGCCCACCGAAATACAGGCATCTGCGCCTCCAAATTGTACAACGACACTTCTCATTCGAATTGAAACATGCTTGATCGTACGGACGTGCAAACATCAAAGGTCAAATTTTCTTATCAACAAATCAATTTGTATCACGATTGTCTACTCAAAGAGGTCCCTGTGTAGTTGGCTTATGGTAAGCCACCTCGATCTGCTGCTCCAACTGCCACTCCAGCATCCATTCCTGCACAAATTGAATTTCCTGTCTCTGAGTGTCGGCTACGGTCAACGGTGGAAGGGATGCAGTGGTCTCGTTGGGGAACAATCCATTTTCATCCCAATGGTGAACGGCTCCATCGATCAGAATGAAAGGTTCACTGGCGGTAGAGTTGCGCTTTTTGGCACCCTGAGCATATGCATGAGGAGTTGCGGGACGCCAGGGGTCAGCAGAGCCATCGACAAAGGCAAGACGAGGGTATGAAATGTCATAACCGCCGTACTTGTTGACTGCTTCCACATCGGATGGGGTAGTGATGTTGAAGGCATCGACGCAGACAATACTTTCGTATTCGAGATCAAGCAGAGAAGAAACGATGGGAAGCTCTCCTGGAGGTGCGTATCCGGTCTGCAAGTAACCCCACTCGGAGCAGTATTGGTAGGCCCATGAACGCCAGCCGTATGACGATAGGTCATCTTGCTGATAGTATGTCGCGTTATGATTGCTAAAGCACTGGTCCTGAGTGCTTCTGCCTCTAACGCAGGGCTGCACAGACGTGACATTCACGTAGCCGATGAAATTGAGCATTCGGTTGACCAAAGTCTCTTCAACAGTGTAATTGGTGTTCTTGATCAAGGACTCGACGTCAGAACGGAGCGGAGAGGTGCTGGGATAGAGCGTTGCGTCGGATGAGATGTTGCTGCAGTATAGATCAAAGGCAGGGCTTCCGACCTTGGGGTCCCAGTTGCGGCTTTGCCAGCTTTCGATGCCGTTTGACAGAACAGAAGCAAAGTCGTTGTCATAAGTGATATTCTCAAGGCCAAAGGTGGTTTTGAGCTGGTGAGTCAGGTCTGTCTGATTCTTCTTGAGAATGGTGTCTACAATGTGAATGAGAGTCTTTTGTGTTGAGATGCATTTGGGAGGTCCATTTTCGGCGATGGGGGTGAAGTAATCATAGTAGTCATAGATGGCCTTGGTGACACCACTAGAGGAGATTGTTCCCCAGAACACATCGGGATAGACGACTCTCAAGAAAGCGTTGAAAGCACCTGCATATGAACCGCCATACCCAATGTACGCAGCAGCATCACTAGTGAGATCCAGATGTTCAAGTCCGGGGAAAACAATGTTTCTCGCAAAGTATGCCTCATCGGCAAGCGCTTGCTCGGTAGTCAAGAACCGGAGATTCTTAGTAGAAAGATCAGGAGTAGGAAAAGATGTTCCATAGTATCGGTGCTCAAGCACGACACCGATACCATGAGTTGCTTGGGCCAGCTGAGCGAGAATGCCTTTCTGCAGATAAGGCAAGCGTCCCGAAGCATCGGTCTCACCAGATTGGAGCACGATGACAGGTCCGCCAGGCTGATAGTACGATGCGTCAAACCAGTATCTCAAGTCGAAAGTGGCATTGCTGTGTGGCTCATATTGCGTTGAGTTGTGGAAGTGGTCAACGGGCACTGAGATGTTGTGCTCCGGATAAAGGCTTTCCGGGTCAATGTCACGCTGAGGCAACCATTAACAACTGGGTAAGGCTCTTCGCGTGAAGCGTCATACCTTCTCGAGGCTTGAGATGGCCAAATCACGCTTGTGTTGTCTGCTGCCCAAGGCAGCGACAAGTGGAAGTGCATATAAGAATGGTAAGACCCTCATCGTGGCAGTTTACAAACACGGATGATGGTGAATGTAGTGAAAAGAAAGCGAACAGATGGATGCGGTGAGCGATTGAAGTCATTCAAGACTGTTGAGGGGCGTCATGAGTCTTGAATCCTCGCCTCTTCTTCCCTGCATATTCGGTTGTAAAAGAGGAAGGCGCGTTGTACTAGCAGATAAGTACCTTCCCGTACGGGTTTCTGGAAGCGGCGATCCTGGCTTGGTGAGTCGGCCAAGCTTCCGTTCGTATCTTCACGAACGAGGGCAACCAGATCACGACATTAACAGATGAGAGAATACGAAGGAGAGAAAGCTGTATAGTACATGCGAATGGATGTACCCCACCTCGAACCACAATGCTGAACCGAAGTTAGGTACGTACCTGACCCATGACGTCTGTGCTTTCGCCAGGGTGGTACCTGTAGCATAGATGTTGGAGTCTTGAAATTTTATCTGTACCCTTTGAGGTTTTTATATGCGTATCATCCGGTGCAGATATGTCTAAGCAATGATAATCCTCTGTATTTTTGTTTTGAGAGAACGAGTTACATAGTTGGGCGATTTCCAGCTGTGTATACCTGTTTGCGAATGTGCAATATTGTCATGCTGAAAATCTACTGACAACGCTCCTCATGCCGTCACTCATTCAAAAAGAAATATGATACTGGGCGCGAACAACGATTTAATAACCTCGCAAGTTTTCAAGATTATTTGAGATGTTACCAAGCTGATACGTTACTGGGATGATCGTGAGTTTATTGGTACATGAATATCCTTAGGCAAATCCAACTCAACAAGCCGCTTTAGCTCATCTGGGAGAGCGCCAGACTGAAGTCAACTTCTGTCCATCTTGTGTGAGCAAGAGTATTCTGGAGGCACTGTGTTCGATCCACAGAAGCGGCATTTGTTTTGTCCAAGCTGGGATGCTACATCCTTTTGCTTGCCGAAGTCACCCAATCTTTGCAAGTGTCGCAAGTTGCCATCCGTATCTCCTTGACTTCTGCAAAGGACTGCAGTACAAGGCGACAAGCAAGAGCTGAATTCGAGGCTTCATCCGATGGTCCATCGTCGGAGCCGCTTTTGCGGGGGCGCATGACCTATCTGATCAGTAACCGCTCAAGGTTTCGGTAAAGTACTAATAAGGACGTGCCGCCAGGGGGTATCGGCTGCTGTCACCATCATACCAGAACGACAACCTTGCCGCAAGGTTAGGGCAAACACACTTATAAACCTAGGTGCTCGTCGGAAGTGAATGACATCCATTCTCCATCAAATCTCCAATTCGTCTCGCATATCTTGTTCGTACCTTGAACAACCCGTTGTTACATCGATTGTTACACTGCCCTTGTATCGTGCCATTGCCTACCATACTTGGTCATACCACCTACTGTTCTACAACATCCAACAAGAGGAGTTCAAAGCTTCAGGATCCGCCCAGACAGCGAGAACACCACTTCCACAAAATGCTGCGAATCATTCAAACTCTTCGAACACCATACCGACTGTCCAAGCTACAATTGTCAAACCAACTGCGGACAGCTGCAACAACTACCACCGGCAAGGCCGAAGGGACAATTGCAGACTCTTTCGCTTCTTTATCTGGTCAGCAGTTCGAAGCACTGGAGCCACGCTTCGCTACGGTAAAGGAAAACCTTATTCGAGGAAATGAGCAAGCCGTCAGAGCGTCATGGGATAGGTTACTCTTGACTTTGAAAGACGAGGTCCGAGAAATCAAGCGATTGGGCTCGTCGATTGTACCTCAGATCGACTTCAAAGATATCGAAAATCCTTCCGAGCACTTCAGCAGCGAGTACAGAAAGCGTGGTGTCGCAGTCATCAAAGGTGCAATTCCCGAGGCCGAGGCCTTGCAGATGAAGGAGGATCTAAAAGAGTACATCAAGGCAAATCCTCAGACGAAGAGTAAGCTTCTATCTTGCCCAGTAACAACCCGTGTAAGCAAGCTGACATGCCTTCCAAGGCTTNNTCAACAACAGGTCTTTGAACTCTACTGGAGCAAATCGCAAATTCGGGCAAGAGGTCATCCAAATCTGCTCAAAGCACAACAATTTCTGCTCAGCTTCTGGCACTCCAAAGATCCGAACGCGTTGTTTTCGGATACACCGATATCGTACGCTGACAGACTTCGCATGCGCGAACCCGGTGATGCAAAATTTGCCCTTGGCGTATGTTTTAAGATCCTGAGGTTTAGTTCTCGCAACAGTGCTGACCTTTTGATANNGCCTCACGTAGACGGAGGAAGCTGTGAGAGATGGGAAGAGACTGGTTACGGCAGAGGTAAAGTCTACCAGAATATTTGGGAAGGCAACTGGGAACATTACGATCCTTGGGAGTCCAGCAGCCGTTTACCTGTCGAGTCGGATCTCTACCAAGGAGCTGGTGCTTGCAGTGCTTTCAGAGCAGCGCAAGGTTGGTTGAGCTTGTCTCACTGCAGTGCTTTCGAAGGCACTTTGCTTGTCAACCCACTACTCCAGCTTGCGACTGCCTACTTTCTGCTCCGTCCCTTCTTCACACCGCGGAACGGCCCTTCTACTAGCGTTTCGGTAAACGGAGCGCTCGAACAGTCCAACACCGATGACTATCTCTCTCCAGATAACTGGAAGCTCGAGGACGAGCCGAGCTCGTGGCTGCAGGGAGCGAATCTGGGGCGTGGTCAGGAGCTCAATGCACTGCTCCACCCTCATCTCAACCTGCCAGAGACTATGGTACACATACCGAAAGTGCAGCCTGGCGACTATGTGGTCTGGCACTGCGATGGCATCCATGCGGTCGACAAGATACACGCCGGAAAGAGCGATTCGAGTGTACTCTACATTCCCGCTTGTCCACTTACCGAGCGCAACGCTGAGTACTTGGTGGGCCAGAGAGACTGTTTCTTGAGAGGTAAGCCAGAGCGCCCAACACCAATGCAGCAAAGCCATGCTAATAACAGCCACNNAGGCACTCCCTCACCAGATTTTCCCGGAGGCATTGGCGAAGGTCAGCATATCGGTCGCGCAGTGCAAGAAGACATCTCGGCGGTCTCGGGAGTCAATGGTCTACGTGCCATGGGCTTGGAGAAATTCGACGAGAAGACTGGTCGCACGCCAGGAGAGAAAAAGGTCATGGCAAGTGCGAACCGCATTCTTGGTTTCAACTGAGGCAGAGCGCATTGTGTTGCGCGTCTTGCATGGTTAGCGTACATGGCAGCAGCAATTTTACTTTTGACTGGTTTGATGCCTGACGTGTACCACGATTTGGAAGCATGCTGCAGTGTCGACGAATTCAATAATTCAGTTGCGGTGATTGCAGTCACATCCTTGTTGACGTCGTCAGGCGACTGGTCGGAATGGGGGCCAAAATGGCTTGCTGTGCCTCTGGCATTGTGTAGATGAAGGTCCCCGATCCGATGCGCCGCCAAGAGGAGCTCACTGCCGACCCCCTTCGGCATCACCTGCCGGCCTCCGCGCTCTTGCAGCTCTGCTTTCTCACAATTCGAACAATTTCCCACGAACGCAGAACTGCTGTTGCCCTCATGCTTTTCCCACAAACTGTCACCGGAAGACGTACCGTGCCTTTCAAGGTACGATGCAATTTATAGATGCGGGAAAAGTAAGCATCCAATACGCACCGCCCCCAGAGTTGTACATTACATACACAGTGCGACATGACAACATCGCCCCTTCTACAGTAATAACTCTAAGCCATGCTGTGAGTCTTGTGTCCCGGGGTGTTCATGACGAACAAGGGCGGGCAGTATTCCCAGTTGCGCCGTCCACGATCCTTCGCTCAGCCCTCCATGCACGCAGAGCAGCACGGCCCCCTGATGCGCATGTGCATGCAGCAACCTGAGGAAGCCATCAGAAGAGCCCTGATACCGAGTGGTCTATCCCTATTTGCTTAGCAAGATACGTGATATGTCTGCGTGCGCATGGCTATTGGACAAACTAACCATTGTTCCCGCCTGCCCTTGCCAACTCTGTGGGGGCTTTTCTGGTCTAAACCGGTCAGCGGATCGACAGTACTCTACTTGGTGGACTATTTGCAGCCCCCACGATTTCTTTCTGGCAGAAAAGGTACTGCCCTGCAACCAGATCCCCGAAGTGGACGGCGTTCTACTTTGCGGAAAAGCAGCCATCGTTGGCCAGAGGAATGCAGGTAGGTGGGTTGGTTTCGTTTGATTGGTTGTCACTGCCCCCGTCGTCTCTCCTCTAACCACCTCCTTCTATATATGCACCTGCTGGCCATATCAACGTGCTGCCTTCATCTGCTTTTCATATATCTGGAATCAACTTGATGTCCCGCTTGGATATTGTTCACTTTATAGCTGTCTCTGTTGGATTCCAGCTTGACGCTTCTGACCTTCGATATTTACCACCACGTTAGCCTGAAAGACAACTCATACAAAGACACAACAACCACCAAGCCTCGACCTCTGACATTTGATCACACATCACCTCTCTTTCCCAGATTATCTTTCACCAGACACCACCACTGAAGATGGACGCAATCATACGAACCGACATCATGCACGATGAAGTCGACGAACAACACTACCCAGCATTTGTCGTTGACAAACCTTCCGAAGCTCCCTCGATGCAAGACTCGGCATACTCATCCCCACGAGAACCATCCTTATGGCTCTCATCGGAGAGTATGAGCGATAGCTGTAGCGGCACATGGTCTTCTCCTACTCCGAGTGCCACCTACTCTCCCTCTCCACGACCAACAGACTACCGCAACCACTATTCTGCATGGTTACAAGCAAACTCGGGACATGACATGCAGCCTTTCACCTCGCTGATACAAATTCAGGGTCAGCCTGACGTTTCTGCATACTATTCGCAAGAGCTCGCTTGCCATCCTTACTACCAGGATCAATACTTCCAGCCTCAAGTCTCCGAGGGTGAAGCACTGGAGACTTTTGGTCTAGGAGGATGGGCGGCAACGGAGGATTCTCAAGTTCATCCAGAGCATATCATGGAGTCATCGCCAGCCCCTTCATCCGAAATCACACCTACCATCGAGTCTTCCAACAGTTCGTCGATAAAACCCAACCCTTCTTTCATCAAGCAAGAGGAAGCCGTGGAGTATCAGCATATCTGCCCAAATACATCTCCAAGAAAACAACAAGCCAACAAAGCAAAGACAGCATACCCCTGTCCTTTTCTTCCTTACGGCTGTCCAGCATCCTTCTCTTCCAAGAACGAGTGGAAACGCCACCTCAACACACAACATCTTTCCCTCAGCACATACCGTTGCGACCTTTGCATCCCCAAACCCTCTGCCTCTTCCACTCCACCACAAACAAACGACTTTAACCGTAAAGACTTGTTTATTCAACATCTACGCCGCATGCACTGCGAGAACTCGTCAGAATCCACGATCTCGGTCTCCAGCATGAAGACGGCAAGATACAACTGTATTCCGATTTCCAATACGCCCGAGTCGCTGTCCGAACAAGCTGATCGCTGTTATATCGCACCGCCCTCGCCTCCTACTTGCACACAATGCATCTTTTGCTGTTCTACGTTCTCAGGATCGCAGGCTTGGATCCAGCGTACCGAACACATCTCGCGTCATCTTGAGAGACTGCGTCGGGATGGTCTAGAAGTGCCCAAGGTGGAGCAATGGAGAAGGGATGTTGAGCTTGAGAGATGGTGTTTGGAAATTGGTGTGCTTGTGCTTCATCGTGGGAGGGATGGTGTGGGAAGGGTCCGTGTCAAGAGCGGAAGGAGAGTGTGATTGTTCCGAGCTCTGTACAGATATGGGGTTGTGTGTCAATGTGGCGATAGCGTAGATGGGTCTTTATGATGTATACGAATAGATCTCTATTTTCTGTCTTATGGTCAGTCAATCAGTCTTTGCATGAGGTTTGCCAGAGTCACGATCACAACATTCAGCAAGAAACAAGGATCAACTCAGTTGAAAACTTGTCTATAATACAATCAATCTTTGCTATCTAGCAAAGCTCATTGAGAGTCTCAACCTCCACTACACCTCTTACTCGATCTTCCAGTAGCCCACCTCAGAGTCTTCCTTATCTCCCCTCAAGTTCTCGGGTAGAGGAAGCAGGACTGGTTTACGGTTGAAGTGTAAGGCCAGCTTGGAAACACAGAAACGCTTGTTTCTGATACAGTTGGCACAGGCGAACTCGCGCGACAAATCCTCGGAGTTCGGTGCGCTTTGCTGTTCCTCTAGATCGTCTCCTTCATCGTCTACCTGATTGCTTCGCGTCGATCTTCTCGATGCTGCCTTCTTTGCAGGCTTCAATGTTGCAATCTCACTCTTGTAGATACGGCCCCATATGCAAGTAGCATTGCCCCTCATGCCTCTGTTGAACTCGAGCTCAAATGTAGTCTGAGACCAAGTGCACCAGGCTGAGTTCTTCAGATCCACGTAGAAAGCAGCTAGGGCGTCTCCCGTCAGTGGCTCGTCATCGAACTCTTCGTACTGTCCGTCTTGCATCCAGATGCCGAGACGTGATGCGATTTCTGCTGGCAATCTTTGAACTCCGAGGGCAGCACGCTCCGCAATCACAGCCGGAGATGGTGGAACGACGACTTGTGGAGGTTGTGGTGAAATTGATGACGGAAGTTGCGCAGATGAGGTTCGTGCGGATGTGGTCTGGCCGGATGCTGTGGTGTTGGTAGATGTGGTGTCGATTTGTGGAATCTGAGCCGGGCGAGACAGTTGGCTGAAAGAGAAAGATCTCGGTAGACGCAGAGCAACGACCAAGGAGGGCTTTGTGATAGGAGCAGTGGATGGGCCAGCGACCGAGGCGTCGTCAGTGTTGGCCAATGTGGTATCGATGGCCGAGGGTCGTTTACGCTTGGGATTACTGCCTGTAGAAGTCACAACCAACTCCAAGTTGTCGTGTATGATCTTGGTAGCCTTTGCCGCCTCCTGTCCAGTGGTGACGATCTTCTCCAAATCCATGCTGAGCTTCGCATACAGATTGTCGAAGGGTGTTTTGCCTTCTTGAATCATTTCCCAGTACTCAGCGTTACGTTGTTTGACCCGATTGACGTCGTCGACTACCTTGCGAGCAATGACCAGAGCTTCGAAGAGCTCATCCGCAGTCCAGTAGTCTTTGACCATAGCATCCTCGGATCCTAGCGCCCACAAGACGTGCTCTTCGGTTCGAGCCTCACTGGCGACGAGGACTCCAAGTTGTTTTGCAGCAGCCTGATGCTCAGGGAACTTCAATCGCTCTTCTTCCAATGCGTATTTGTTGGTGTCCAAAAGGAACTGAAGGCATGCAGTACGTTGGGCTCGAATTTGGTCCTTGCTTCTGGCAACTTCTGGGAGAGTGCCCTTGGCGTTTAGTCCTCTGAGGACTTCATCAAGTTGATGTTGCATCTGTTGGCGTTGACGGCGTAGGTCATCCTGAGTCAATAGTTGCTGCTCATGTAGGGCAATTCTTCCAGTGTTTTCCAGGGCATCACGGCGGATCTCGTCGATGTTGACGTCTTCGTCTGGGGCAACTGCACCTAGTCCAATCGACTCTGTATGTGCAGTCTGGATTCGGGCAGATGTGATACGGAACTCGATAGCTCTGTGGATCGCTGAATCGACCAATTTTTGGGCAGCCGACCTGTCCAAGAAGGACCTACTCTGCGCCATGCTGCGTAAGAACTCAGTATGTAGGGTGATAGGGTAATGATAATGTAAAGATTGGATGGGCGAAGCGGATATATGATATCTTGACGACAAAGCCCGTGTTTGCTATGTCAGTTTCACTCGTGAGTGCACGCAAAAAGGACAACAAAGAACCAACATGACATTTCTGTGTTGTAGACAGACATAGAAATGGACACTGGTGATGGAATCAGATGTTCCTCTCATCTTTGAGACTCATCTTTGAGACATAATGAAAACGCAATAGGCACTACCTGTGCACACAAACCAAGACATCAGCCGCTGTTGACCAGCAAAGACTGGAGCTTTTTATCCTCAGTTTCTCCGCTTAGTTGTCTTTGGGAGATAGAAGCTTCTCCGAGCTAATCGATTTCGATAATGCGACGAGACTGTGTTGTTTGTTTGTAGACAGGTGACAAGATGTTGAATGGAGGACGCAGGTCTTGAACAAGGCAGATGGACAAGGGTGACAGAGATCAAGCTACGGTCGATGTGACGGCAAACCGCCGTCGTAGCGCACTCGCTGTTATCCAAGGATCGGTCGTCCCAAAAGGCAAAGAGAGTGGACTGGTGGAGAAGCTCAATGTTCCCCATTGACAAAGTTGAAGGAATTCATGTTGTTGTGATGGTATTCCATTAGACTAGAAGCCAATCCAAGTCCTCAATTTCTTGTCAAGCGTCGCGGCCCGAGCTCCCTACTGTTGAGAACATCTGAGCCCTGGTTGGTCCCCGCTCCTCTTCTTCTCATGCGACAACAAATGGCGATAGTATACTATGGCATAGCATGAATGCAATTGAGGGAGCAGTGAATCCAGAGAGAAACAGATGTTGTTGGTATGTATGGTCACGGAACCTTGTTGCCTACCGAGCTTGTGCCTTGCGTTCCAGCTCCGCAGCGCTCTCCTTAAATCCTTCTCTCCAACAAGCTCTTTGTGACACCAAGGTCGACAGTGAGCCTGCACACCTCACCGATGAGCTCTACCCTCTCCGAACGAACTGCCTTGGATATCTCCTTCTCTACGGCCAACGCCTTCTTGGTAACTTGAGCATCGTGTTCAGCAGCAATCAGCTTGTCGCGAAGCTCTGCGATATAGCTGCGACGGTCTGCCTCACGCTCATCACCGCAAGCCTCTCTGTGCTTGGCCTCATCGAGTCCTTGTTTGACCTGGTTGAGCTCTTGCTGGAGGTCGAAGATGGCGGTGGTGGTCGAAGAGAGGATTTGAGCACTCTCGAGGGCGCTGATGCGAGCCTGCGTTTCTTCGAGAGCGACACGGCTTTGCTTCAGCTCGTTGTTGCTGGCTGCAAGCTCCTGACGCTGTTTGCATTATCAGTGACGGGCTCTGAAGTCAGTCACAGTGGGACATCATACCAGTTGCTTTACAAGAGCATCATAGCTGTCAAGCGTCTTGGGTTCCTGACCGAATGCTTCGGTCTCTTCTATCTTGATCTTGTCTTCGTCGTGAATGTCCGACATGATTGATGGTGGTGATGGTTGTAGAATGACGGAAAACAGAGAAGTATCCGTCAACTTGCTGTGGTCGTTTGCAAGAGAGGGGTCACGGGATTGTGTTGTTTGTGTTTGATAGGGTCCTCGGTCGTCCTTCCCATTGGCATATCATCCATCAGAGCTGACCCGCTCATTTGCAGTCTCACACGCTGGCATTTTTATGCTATACCTATCCTCCAGAATGAGGTAGGTTCCTCGTAAATTTCTTTGTGTTTGTGTCGTGCCATCGGTGTCTGCTGGGTTCCATACATGATCTCAATCCAGGTGAATCCGAAGCCGTGGAAGATGTCAGATAGGAGACCTGTCTTCCAACACAGTTTGATACCAAATTCCATTCATGGAAGCTAACGCAAACTTTTTCTGTCACTCCACGTCCACATCGAAGTTCCACACTTTGGCAGCATTGCATCGCGTACGCTGAGCTTCAAATCACCTTATATCCTGCCTCTTGCTACTCGATCGAATACTCATCATGGCTGCTCCGTACTTACTGTACGTCGACCCGCCACTGCGTCGGATGCGCACATCCTACGAAGGCACTGGCCTACACGGACTGTCGAGATGCGTACTGGAACTGGAGAAGACACATGCCATCAGTCCACACACATCCAGAATACTAGATTCAGATGACTATGACGGAAACGCTGAACTGCTTCTTGCGCAGATACCCTCCAACATGCTTGTAAGCATTCTCTCAAACACTCTTCCAGCTGATGTCGCTTCTGGCCGCCTCGTGCTCGAGCGCTGGGCAGCCATTTCCTTGCATCCCTAACACAAAGACACCTTGGAGCCAGGTATTTACGCAAACTACCTTGCCCCTGAAGATGGTTCTCCACTGGATCTTGCCGAATTCGAATACTTTCTGGACGGTCTTTACGCAGCTGTCCATAACACGCTCATGACCGATCAAGCCCAGACCAACGCCAGCCAGCTTGTCGATGCTTACTATCGCCTCAACTATGGCAACGGCCGCACTTTGCTCCACGAGATTCGCGGTCCCAATCTTGTAGCCGGGTTCGACCAGTTCCTCCAGATCAACAGGGCACGACTCCAGGATGCCCAATCCCAGAATGCAACCCACATTACCATCCACGGAGACTGCGGTTGGGCTATCAACATCCATGACAGATGCAAGCAACACAGAACATTGGTTTCATCACCTGCCCTGTTCAGACTCGCAGACTGTGTTTTGAGTGTCCTGTTCCCTCATAGACGTTTCAAGATGCACCACTTCTGTCTATTCAGAGCATTCAGATTCGAGCATGCTGGCACTGGAGAGTCAATTGGCAGTCACCTCATCACATCCTACAGCACATACGGTGGCTTCAACTTTGTGCAGGCCGGCTACTCTGTATCAAAGGCCAAAGACCTCACGGGTGTTGGTTGGATGACCGTGTGCGACCGCTACGTCAGACTGCTGGAGAAAGTCACAGCCAGGATCAACGACGAGCACAATGATCTTGTTGAACAAGCTGAACGGGAAGAGGTAAACATAGTTCTNGCATCTTTCGAACACGCAAAGTATACTGACACAATACAGTCCGAAGCACAGCGTCGCCGCGAATACCACACTCTCGCCCAAGGAAAGACCACGCTCCAAGCCCTCGAAGAACAAACAAAGCAGGGCGCTGACAAGTTGGACTTTGATCTGAAGGTCATAGCCAATCTCGTAAAGGGCGCCGAGCTAAAGATTGCAAAGAACAAGAAGAAAGTCGAGAAGCGGTTCCAGATATGGAAAGCTCTGGCAAATGCTTTTGGTGTGACCGCTGGTGAGGATACTCAATCTTCTTCTGGTGGAGGAAGCTCCAATACCGGTCCTATGGTGGAGTAGATGTGGAAAACTGCATCAGTCCGAATGCCGAAAATGCACGACTGGGTGGCGCTGCTATCTGGTAGGCTTGCTACAATAACAAGAGTCTTTGGCCACTGCTGCCAGCGGTAGGATCTTTGGAACAGTGTCAGGGGGGTTTCAAGAAGGATATCTGCAAACCTACTCATGAATGAGACGGCCTTGGTAGTTAGCGAAAGTTGAATGGTCTGTATCATTATCACTATGTCAGAGGCAATACCACTGTCCCAAGATGCGCTTTTGCATAACCACAACCACAACAACAAACTCACGAAAACTGCTTTCCCTTCGTCCTGCCATTTTATAATCATCATCGCGTCATGTGAAACATTCGCGACGAAAGCAACACCATGAACGAGAAGGAAGGCACACACAGCCAGAAACCAAAGACCCTTGACGACTTCGAGGCTCTGGTCACTGCTCGTACAGGAGTCGACGAGATCAATAAGGTCAGAGCACGTATGTCGACAGCTCCACTGAGGACAAGGCGCCTCAAGAAACCGACCCAAAGAATGGATTTCAATAGACATTGCTCTTTTGCTAGAAACCATTGTGCATCCCCACCGCGCACACATTACTATACTGCTTAGAGGAGAACAGTGGATACGACAAATACCAACACACGAGGAGATCAGAGCGAAAAGATTCAGGCGATCAGATGACGCATAGGAGAGAAAGTGACGCACAGAAGAGAATGTGATTTCAAGTGGCAGAGCTATATCTTCTGCAGCCTCTTTCGCATCTCCCACTCTACTTCAAGTATTTTCGCCATTCTCGAGCTTTGCGCTCTGCACCCTTCGCCCATCCTTTCTTTTCCCCTCTCCTAAGGTTTTGAGCCCACAGTCCTGATTTGAAATATCGCTTGAGGCAATTCGGCAGTTTCGGCGTGAACAGTAACAGCAAGCCCAAATGCAGAGAGCGCGCCGCGGATGACACCACAGGGGAAATAGAGAANACTGTATTTGTTGCATTAGTACAGGTATATCCCGAAGGAAAGAAAACACCCAAGCACAGAAGAAGCCAAAGAAAGAAATGTTCGATGCAAACATACCGGTTGCGCCTTCCTCAACGCCTCGTCAGCACCCCTCGCACCCCTCCCTCTATCCACACTCATCCTCCCCAGCGCCATGAACTTGTTGTCCGTCAAGACAAACGTGCCCCTGTGATTTGTTTTGAGATTGTCGATTTGCTTGCGAAACACGACCTGCCACAAATCTTTACAGATGAATTTGATCATATCCAATGGCGTCGTTGGTCTTGGACTGTTCTGTGATAGCTTTTCCACCAATCCCAATCCAACGCGGTAACCCAGGGCATCTAAGCGATAATGGACACTCTCTTGNNCAAAGCATCGGCACTGTCTTCGTCGTCTTCATCTTCGGCGGCTGTTGCTGCAGTGGTACTTCTTGCGGTGGCTGCCTCTGTGCTCTTGAGACTTTGGCGGTTTTGTGTGACAGATGCCGAGGACGCNGGTGTTCAAGGTGGCATTTCTTTCTAGTGAGAAGGAGAGGAGGGCAGTGTCTCTTTGGTGTAGGTCGGCGGCTATGCGTTGCGCAAGCGGGACCAGTTCTATGAGTAGAAAGTCTAGAGTCGAGGCTGCGACTTTGGGGTCGTTGATTGATGTGGGATCTGTGGATTGTGTTGTTGTTGCCATGGTGTGTCTGTTTCTGTTTCTGTTTTTGTTGCTCTTTCTTCTCTCTCTGGCGGTTCCTGGGATTGCTGGCTGTAGATGGACGAGTATGGGTCAAGGCGGAATTGGTTTGACGGTGAGTGGTCAAATTGGAGATGCAAATGGCAGTTATCGCGAGTCGAGTGCTTTCCAGGGTCTTTCAACGTCTTCGAGGATCGATTCCGGCAAGAGAGTCGCGCAAAAGAGGTATAGTCGCAAATGATGGTTGATCGCAGTTGCTTGTTTCACAACGAATGGAAGTGACATCGCTGAGCTTGGACCACCTTCACATGTCTTTTGCTAGTCAAGACACCCTGTCTCTTATCACGACTACGCTCAGTCAAGATGGAAATGGATATTAGAGGTTGAGTAGCAGGCTAATAGCAGTTGTTATGACATATGACAACTTACCATTGATGCTCAAGTCTGGATCTGCCCTGTCTTGTGTCCCTACTAATGGCATGACCATCTCGATATCCTCATTGCATGTCAAGACGCGCTACACCACCACGAGCCAGGCACGATCAAAATCTTGTAAGAAGATGAATTAATCAATCAACAAGACAATGCGCTCCAAAAGTGAATACAAAACTGCTCCTAACGTATATGCTCTACCTTATGCAAACATCAATACCGCATCTCTTTGCACACCCACCCTCAAAAATAAAACAAAAACTCCAAGCCCAGCAAGGAAAAAAACAGAAGAAGAATGATTTGTTGCCTGACGCGTGCACTGCATGCTTGTCTCATTGCATAGGAGAACCACCTCTTGATTCGAATACACCCATGCCTCCTCCCTTTTAACGATTTACAACACCGTCGCCTCCATAGTCGTACACAGAGTCGCAGACATCTAGTCTTCAGACTCTTGCTCAACAAGCCATTCCATGACGCTCTCATAGCAGAGCACGAATTGGCGTAGACTCTGCACCATACTGAGTCTCTGCTTGCGAAACTCTTCGACCGTCTTTTCGATCAAGTCTTGATTCTCGTCATCCACCCACTTGCCATCTACTTCGTCTTCTTCTGGTGGCTGCGGTGCAGCGGCAGGTGCAGTGAAGAAGGGGCTGTTGTCGTCTTTCATCTGCACAGAACTTCGGCGTGTGTCAATGTGCATGGGCGAGCTGTCGCGATAGTGTCTTTTTCGTGATGTTTTCTGTCGCTTGAGCATGTCGATGACTGTGGCTACCGTGCAGAATGTGCCTGTGCGCCCACAACCGGCACTGCAATGCACGACGATCGGCGGTGCCTCTGGGGGATCCGGTTCTGACGGGTTGGTATGCGTCGTGCTGCGGACAACAGCATCACATTGCTCCACCAATCCCAGAAGATGTGCCGGATGTGCTGGAGCACCGAAATCGGGCCAGCTGGAGTATTGAAGTTGAGTAATTTCGCGCATGCGTTCGAATGGGTAGCCTTCGTGTCGGAGCGCAAGTTTGCGGACAATGACATATGGTTGGTCATCCTTTGCTGCATTGTCGGAGGTGGTTGTATCAATACGCGCGAGGATAGCACCATCAGTAGACTTTCTTCCACCTACTGACGGACGTTGTTGACGGTGTCTCTTAATCTTTGCCGGATCCAACGAAGCACGCTTTTCCGAAAGGAATTCGAGATGAATGGGACCGTACTGCTTGTCTGACCAGTAATTGTGAGCCTTGACTTGACCACCCTCCTTTTCAGCAGTAAGCATGACAATGACTCTAGTCTCTTGCTGCCAGATGACATTCCAAAAGTNCCTGTTGCAGCGTTAGATATTGCATGACCAGAAAGGACAAAATAAACTTACAGCAAAAGTAGCAGGAATGGGGCCTTGAGTGGCAATATAACGCTTGTGCGAACGCTTCGACGAGACGTGGTTGGCGTTGAAGTAATCACAACCATGCGAAGGAACACCTTCCAGCTTGACGCGGGAATGCTCAAAGGGCCAGATGTTGTTGTATCTGTTCTTGGAACCCTTTTCAATACCTGCAATCTGAATGCTAGACTTTGGCATTGATTGTGTTGGTGAACCATACGAGACCTTTCCTGACAGAGCTTCTTGCATGCGCTTTTGTTCTCTCTTCTCGATTTGCAAGAACTTGTCAGACACACGAGCACCCTTGTCCTTCTCTTCCGATGCTGATTGCAGCCAGGAAGGGAAGTGATCTTGTATATCTTTCGTGAGATGTGTCGGACGCTTGATATCCATCTGGCCAACGCCACCAATAAGATCCATGTTTTGTCTGATGTTTCCAAAGAAGGGATTGGCGGCATTCTTTTCGGCAGGCATGGGACAACCTCCAATGACTGGTGCAATCTCAGGACCTGTCAAGTCAAGCTTCATCGACATGGGAGCACCGGCACGACCTGATTGGCCACCGACCCTTTCAACATGCGAAGGATGCTTCTTGGCAAACTCGGCAAAACCACCCTTGAGAATATAACATTTCCCTTCAACTCCTTCACTGTCAAACTTCTTGATCGTATTGACACAAGAGGTGGCGTCCTTGAGTTGAAATGAAGCCGAGTCATAGACGATGATGTATTTGCTGCTCTTCCAGTTTTCAAACTTTCGACGTTGATCGGCGTTGTCCTTGAAAGTTTCGGCCAGCTTGTTGACATTGAAGGATGGGCGTTTGAGGAGGGTAGTAGGAATACACAAGTTGAGGGCTCCCGTCAGATGGGCACTGGCATATTGAGTCGAGACTCGCAAGTCCAGTATCAACATTTCCTCGGCAGCGGATTCAAGCAGATTACAGAGATGCTGGGGAGTGATGAAAGAGGTCGAGTCGTTCAAGGGACCGGCCACGGGAACAGTCTCGGCTCTGGGCTTGAACTGGGGTTGAGGAGGGAGGTTCAGGTTGAAGGGCATGTTCAGCCTGGGCTGGCTGCTCGGGCGCTCAGGTGCATGGCGAAGACCGTCTGGGAACGGCGAGTCATTAGAAAGATGTCTTTNTGGAGAGCGGCCCTGGTACGCGGATTCGGGATCGAGATTGAAGTTACCTGCACCTGAGATGGAGCCTGAGGGAGCACGTCCACCTGATATTGAGCCAGAGGGCGCGCGGCCACCCGATATTGAGCCAGAAGGCGCGCGGCCGGACGGAGGCATGTGTCTCTGCTCGGTCGTCTGCTTTGGACTGGCCGAGATGTTGATGTTGTTGAAGAAGGCCGAGTTGTTTGCGGATGATGACGAATTGTTCTCAGAAGGCAGCGCAGGCTTCTTGAAATCAAAGTCATGCAGGGAGCCCAGGTTGAAACCAACGCTCTCGGACTGACGGCGGAAAGCATCAAAGTCGGGGTTCTGGTCGACGGGGATGACGGTGGGCGAAAAGGCGGCGGTAGACCTCACGGCCGACGAAGGGGGACTCCAGTTCTTTCTGGTATGGCGATTGGATTCCGAGTCGTACGAGTCTTCCTGGGCGGTGTTGAAGCCAAAGTAGTTTGGGCTGGGGGTGCGCACATGGCCACGAGGTTGTGGTGACTGAAGCAAGGGACCCATATTGCGCGCGCTGGTTGATGGCGGACGAGCGCCTGGCGTTTTTGCCGCAGACATGATGCTGCGTGTGCGGCTGACAATGAGACTCTGGGGGAGGTGGCTTTTTCTTTCGGGAGCAAGACGAGATGCGCTGGTAGACAAGATGTGTCTGGGGGTGGTGATGTTGATGTGTAGTGTCGGACTAGGCGGCGACAGCTGTAGCAGCAGAAGCCATCGGTAAGAGTCGAGTCGGATGTCGTTGTCCACAGGCTGAGTCGGTTGGTCTGAAAGGTGGGCCTCGAAGACCTGGACCACAGACACAGACCACGAAATTGATGACGTCGGGTACATGTCCAAGCGGCCCCTGCTGAGTCTCCCTCATCATTCATGCCTCCCCAATAATCCCCTTGACGGCGAACCACCACCCGTCGACCACACCTCTCTCAGCTGCTGCTTGCAGACCTATACCAGCCATCATTCACTGTCAACTATTCTTTTTCTTTATAGCATCCTCCATCTTTTTCTGCTCTTCCCACTTCCCAAACTCTCATCTCCCTGGACCCTGACGTCTCGACTCGGACAACAAAGAGGCACAAAAAAACCGGGTCCACGTGCCTCTTGCACATCTTTTCCCTATCCACCAGACCCTTTGCCCTTCTTTCTCGTATCCTTTGCCTTCGATTGCCCAAACAATTACCACAAACAGCGCAAGAACTAACAGCACGTCTTATCTGATCGTCTCGACTCCTCTTTTCTCTTGCATGCTGTTCGCTTGAACATCATGTCCCATCTCTTTTCAACACAACAAGAACGCTCTGGAACCGAACAAAAAGTCTGGCCTAGACCCTGTCCATCTTCCGTGCCAAGTCAGCTGCCGCAGCTTGACCTCATCATCATACTTCCGGCTTCGGACAATTTTGACAAAACACTCTCACATGACCTTGGCTTATTCATGTCTCGGATGTTCTGATAGACTAATATCAAGAAAACAACAGTCATGCCTGTCTATATCACTCTTGATGTGAACTTGCTCTTCGTAAAGTATTTAATAGTGTAGCTATGGAAATGCACAGTATGATTAACAAACAAGACACTATCCACTGAGAGCCGACATCTTGGCGACTCTTTCTGGCTACTCCTGTATTCCGAACAAGAATTGCGCGTTTCTATAGCGTGCAACTTGCTCTATGCGCTTTGGGAGATAGGTGGAATTACAGACTCTGGCACATAAACAAGCTGGATGAAACCGTGGAAATGTAGACGTGAGAGGCGCTTGCTGGTTGTTCAGCCTCAAAACAGTGGCAGTGGCAGTGGCAGACGACAAAACGGTAATTCGTCATGTTCAATGCGACCGTTCTTGTTCTCGACTGAGCAATGGAAAGGGCATGGCCATGGTCGTGATCATTGCGTAGCGTCGTAGTTGAGATGAGATCCCGTGTCAGAGGTGTTATCAAATGTCATCTGTGCAGCGTTACAGTCACGCTTACTGCCATGGCTCAAAATATCTGTTGCCTGCTTCACAGTCACCATGCTCGTCTTCTATATAAACGCATCCCGTGAAGAACATCATGCAGAAGGTCGAGATAGAGTCGATCCGTCAAGTGTGATTTGTGACCATCGCTGCTCTCTATGCTATGGTACAGATTCCATGCCATGCTTCCTCTCGAATTGCTAGAGCCCCAAAACTCCGTACTCCACTGCTGCATACGAGCCACGATTCCTTCGTTGTAAGCCTCGTCCTCCCATCTACTTCCATAGCTTGGTGAGTGAGACCTGTTGATCGTTGTGTCTGTTGAGCACCTTTGCGGTTGCAAGGTCAAAGTCCTCCTGGGTAACATGGACTCTTCTTTCTCTGAGCGCAAACATGCCGGCTTCTGTGCAAACACCCTTGAGCTCGGCACCCGAACATCCATTCATCTTCTCGGCGACCTTGGTGAGGTTGATGCCTCTGGTCAGGTTCATGGAGCGACTGTGAATACGGAGAATGTCGGCACGAGCCTCGACGGTTGGTGGGGNGAACTCGATCTTTCTGTCGATACGTCCAGGTCTGAGAAGAGCGGGATCCAGAATGTCGAGACGGTTGGTGGCCATGATGATCTTGATGTTCTTGGTGGGCTCGAAACCATCGAGCTGGTTGAGGAGTTCCAACATAGTGCGCTGGACTTCACTGTCACCACCACTGGAACCCTCGACACGCGAGGAACCAATACTGTCAATCTCGTCCATGAAGATGATACTGGGAGCGTGCTCTCGTGCCATGACGAACAGCTCGCGCACCATTCGTGAACCCTCTCCAATGTACTTTTGCACCAACTCGGAACCAGAAACTCTGATAAACTTGCAGTCGGTGTGATGGGCCACAGCTCTTGCCAACAGCGTCTTTCCTGTTCCAGGAGGGCCATACAGAAGGACACCCTTGGGTTGTGCGATACCGAGCGATTCGAAGAGTTCGGGGTGCTTGAGACCAAGCTCGATGACCTCCTTGATTTGCTTGATCTGTTCGTCGAGACCACCAATCATGTCGTAGGTACTGTCAGGCACCTTCTCAACCATCATGAGCGAGACGAGAGGGTCGACGGATGAGGGAAGCATGGATGAGAGCTTGTATGAGTCGGAGAGGAGAGTGACACGCTTGCCGGCGGTCAGTTTGGACATGTCGATATCGTCGGCGACATCAACGANCTGGCGCGAAGAGTTAGCAAAGCACATAGCGTGATGGCCATCTTATTTCCACGTACCGTATTTGCCTTCGGGATGCACCTTGACCAGGACCTTCTTTGTGCTCATGACCTTGACAACCTCACCCACGTAGGAGCCAGGTTGCTGAAGCAAGCCCAACTCCTCGCGCAGCAGGCGCACTCTTGAGTTGTAGTCGTTCCTTTGCGCTTCCAGTCTGCGGAGGACGGCTTGACGCTGGATGATCTCGAGCTTCATACTCTCGATCTTGTTGTGGAAGAAAGTGTCGAGCGCCATTTTGGGCGATCGGAATGGTGTGAGGCGCTGAGAGGATGGGAGATGCAGATGGAGGGGAGTCGACCAGCGAGCGACGGCGAGTTGTGATGATTGATGTGCTTGTTGTAGAGATGGCGAACTGCTAATGACGATGCAACACCGGACGGAGGGTCGGAGCTTCACCTGCGAGCATAAAAACATAATTTATGCAAGCCCACTATGCCACCTATACCACGCTGAATCATAAACGACACGAATTGGATCGAACATTCTGAAAGAAAGTAAAAATACAAGTCTACACATCTATAACCTACACTCGCTTCTGTATCCTGATCTCCAAGTATCGAAACGGCACATACAGCAACGCCGTGAGCACAAAAGCCATTTCAAACCCAATATCGCCAGTCACCTTTGCAATTGGTCCTGTGTACCATACTTGGGCCATCGAAGGAATGACCAAAGCAAAAGACAAAGCACTAGCCCCCAAAGCAGCGATACCACTAGGTAGCATGTTGGCTTTGTTCCACTTCTCATGAGAATAAGCCGAACAATCCGATTTCCTGAACCAAGCATGCTCAATGACGACGACGGCTACAAAAGCAGAGGCCCAGTACCCAATGACACCAATGAAGTTCTCAAGGTTGTTGAAAAAGCTGGTGGCTGCGCGAATGGCGACGGGAATCACAATGGCTGTGATGACAATGGCGAACAAGAAACGAGGAACCCTAACCATCCAAGGCAGCAGAAGCTGGAAGTTGAGCGTGATGCTGTACATGGTCGCTGCAATGTTTCCGAGCAGTGAAAAGGCAAGCAGGACAACGACGAACTTTCCAAAGCCACCCGCAGGTTCGAGCATGGCTGCTAGCACTCCACCGACCGAAGTCGACTCGTAGCCGGCTTGCCAGGAGGGTACATTGGGGCATGCACCTCCGATTGCAGCACCTAGAACCATAAGAGGTACTGTAGGTAAGAACAATCCACCGTACGTGTAAGCGAAGACTTTGATACTGGATGTTTCAGGCACCATGTAGACAGCAAAGTCTCCAGCCAACGCCGCCCATGGGATGAGGAATCCAGCGATGAGTGCAGAGAAAGAGAGGACAGTAGCTGCTTCAGGGGTCGGCTGGACAGCTTGGTTGCTCAGATGCTTGCCTCCTGTTCCAGTAGCAATCACAATGGCAATCAGAGCAGGAATCCAAGCGAAGCGCTCGTAGCGGTGCAAAATCTTAAAACCACAGAAGCAGACCAACATGGCCAATATAGCGATGACCACGATACCCACGTCAGGCGTCAGATGGCCATGGGTGATAGCAGACAGAGATTGACCACCAATGACACTGTCAATGACACAGAATCCGGTCAGTGTTGCGAGATTGAGGATGACAGGCACCGACACAAGATAGTAACCAAACGAGAATCTTGCCTGGATCATCTGTCGCATACCAGTCTTGGGTCCCAACGTCGCCAAATATCCAACGGGAACTGTGCACAAGATACTGAAGAAGAGGATGATCAAAGAGCAATCTCTGAGTCCAAGTCCATAGCCCAGCGGTCCAGTCATACCAGTAACAATNNTCTTGATGGACGTTAGCAGCATATCCATATTCTCATGTCTCGACAAGGAAACATACGGCAGTAAATTGACGCTCATAGTAAGCCATAGCGTAAAGATTCCATGAACTCTTGTATTCGTTCGCTCAGACAATGGAATAGGGACAATGCCTCCAGTTTCGACTCCGAGCGATGCGAACTTCTTTAGCGACCATGATTGAGCAACCTCGACATCTGCATCCTTTCCAGGTCCGGGAAGTCCTTTCTCTTCGTCCGTGATATTGGCATCTGGTCCCTTGTGTGCGTGGTGGTCCATTATGAAATCGGATCCGGGATAGTGACTGAATATTCGATACCAATAGCACTCGAGCAATGAGATGGCGTAAGTAAATCGATTTTCGAGTGGGAAGAAAAATCAGGGTGCCCTTTGTAAGCGATCTAGACCATGTTATAAGAATATGACTCTTCCTTCTCCAGGTTTTGACATGTCTCTTCGCAAAGGTTGCCACTTTTTGGCCCGAACTAGAATTTTTTTGCCGTTGGGCGCTTTCTGGCGTCGAACCATTTTTTCTTTGTTTAATTTATTCATATTATGGCAAACCATCGTTAGGCTGACATTTTCCACACCATAGCATATCGAGACTCACTAGACACTCATAAGAGAATGGCTGGCGCTGCCTTATGCCAGTCGCTCGTTGAATCAAACATGAACCATGTGTATGGCAACTTGAACATCACTCAAGATAGCACGAAAAGTAAGCATGATTAGGAAATAGTTGAACACTGTTTTTCATTCATAGCATTAAGTCGTTGACGGTGCGCGATAACACACGCTGGTATCAATTACCAAAAGAGCAAGCAAGTAAACACCTGTGCCTCATCCAAGCCAAATTTTTGTTCTGTTGCAGAGTCCCTGACGATCAAAGCATTTAGGAAGCCTTAGCGCAGCCGTTGCAAGTGCACTGGCCGGGAGGGCAAGGGCAGGAACCCTCAGCACCACCGCAGTTGCACTTGGTCTTTCTGGGCTCCTCCGAAACGACCTTCATGTCGGCAGACTCGGCGGTGACACCGGAAGACTTGTCAGAGTTCTTGGCGCAACCGGAGCAGGCACAGTGTCCAGGAGCGCAAGGGCAGGCACCAGCGTCGCTAGAGCAGGAGCCTATATCATGTTAGTGAGGTGGATACAAGCCTCAGATGTGATAGGACATACACTTGGTCTTGCCGTTTCCGACAGAGTGGACGTCGTTCTTGCCAGTCTTGAGGTTGGCAAGGTGACGGGCCTCGTTGTGAACGTCGAGGACTTGCTTGCTGCCCTGGTTGTAGAAGTCTCTGAGCTTCTGGCCAGTGGGAGTGCTGATAGCCTTCTCAAAGTATGAGTTCAGGCCAGACCAGGCAGCGACACCCTTGTCAGAGACACCGAACTTCTGGTCAATGCCCTGAGCCTTTGCGGTGGCCTGGTACTTGGCATCGAATTGTTGCAGAGTAGAGGTGAAGCGGGCGCTGACACCGTGCTGCTGGTCAAGGGCAAGAGCGCGCTCGATGGCCTTGTCGCTGATGGTGTAGCCGTGTGCAAGGTACTCTGCGACGATGCGAGAGCGGGGCTTGTCTTCTTGAGAGATGTGGTCCGAGGACTCTTCATCGGCAGCTGAGAGCTTGCCGCCAGAGAGCTGGTCGAGAGAAGCGGTAGAGGTGACGTGGACCTGGTTGGCACCGAGCTGGGTGTTGTCGAGGAGAAGAGCGGTCTTGGCAGCAGACTCCTTCTCGAAGGTGACGGAAGCAGACTTGATGCTGTCGGCCTCGTTGGACTCGGGAGTGACGGAGATGTTTGAGATTTTGCCGCTGTGATGATGCGTCAGTGTTTGCCAGGTGTTGTGCCGCTGAGAGGACACGCCTCACCAGAAAGAGAAGAAGTCGCGAACTTCCTTTTCAGAGGTCTGGGCAGAGATGTTCTGGACGCTGACTGTAGTCGACATGATGAATTAGGTGATGAGTGTGGTTGTGTGATTGAGGTGTTAGGGAGAGATGATGGAGCAAGACGTGTGGTGAAGAGGGTTTTGGTGGGTTCATACCCCTCAAGGCGGACGACAAACTGGAAGCTCTCACCTACGTCACACTTGTGGCGCAGTCAATTGCACTTCCATTTCAGCTTGCATGTGATACTTGATATTGAAACCTTACAACTTTTCGCAATGTGCGAATGACTTTGACAAGATATGGAAACTAGGCACAGTAAGTCATCTACGATACTACATGCTGGAACCATCAGTCTGTGTGCTCTTCAGCACGAAAAGTCGTCGAAAATGTGGCTGTGAACACGTCCAGTCAATTGATCTTCTGCTTTGGAGACCTTGAAGTCAAGCTATATCGGTGTCCATTCCTGAAGTCTTTTCCTTGATAAATGAGAGTCTTCTCCTTGATAAATGTCTAAAACCCGCTTCGGTCTTGACAACTAGCTACTCATATCTCGTTCCATACGCTCTTTCCTTCCGTGCGTTCTGCTTATCGATTTCAATGTTCGATAGAAGAAACACAAGTCGACTTCAGGTCGCGCACCACCCATCATCATCTTTCCCACCTGCGCCTTATCCTCAAAACCAGCTGCTCCACCTCCCGTATCCATATCATCTTCATCTTCGAAACACACTATCAAGACATATCATCGAGTCATATATCTATCCTTTCCCTCGGCAGATGAATCGCCATGGCCCCACAATCCGGCTGTTCTCAACAGCCTTTTTTCTACGGTGAGATTCGTGTTTGTTGTTACAATCAGCGAACGGTCAACCCTGCGCCGGGCTGGCCCTCTGCCGTCTACAAGTTCGCAGAGCTGAGAAAATATTGGGTTTAATTGCCGATACTGAAGCAGGCTGAGACCATCTTCTTACAACTAGACATAGCAGATAATGTCGCGGTCAGACGACACGTGTCGGTCAATAGAGACCTTCACTCCCCCAACTGCAGAACCATCTCGAACTGTTAGGAGACAAAGAGCGACCGTGTTGTTGGCTACTTCAACCACTCACGCGACACAACCAGCTTCGTGTTCCCCGCGTCCACCTAGCCGTGACCGAGCTATCCCAAGTCTGGGAATGAGCCGATCAATCACAAGACGCGCTCAACGCCCATTCCCGTCCGTCTCTAACGATCTGTCACCATGAATGCTGCATGCCACAATAATTCGCTCACATCAGAAGAAACATGGAGCTTCGTACACCACATGTATCTCAGTGTAACCACTGCAATGCCTCAAGATGAAGTTGTTGAATCAATCGAGGATTTGAACATCTTCCGATCGATGAGGCTGGCCGCCGGGTAATGGAAATGAAGCATCAAGTAACGGAAATCTCGCCTCCGCAAAACCATGCCTCCTTGAGGCGAAATCGCTGCTTTCCGTCCGAAGATAGCGCATCCGTTGAGCCAGCCAATCAGAGAAGGTTTTTATTCTCGACTCGAGTCGGTAGCGCTACATACAAAAGATCTTTCTCCTTTGCCAACATCTCTCCCTCGTCGCCTTCCTCCAAATCTTCGTCAGCGACACCATTATTACGCAGTCTGCTGCTACTTGAGGACCGACTGTCGAACGTGCAAATCAGATCAGAGTACTACCTTTTCAATAAGCCTAGCATTCTGTTTGAAGCCTCTACAACACCCGTGAAACAATCCCTCGACCTCATGTCTCCTCCTCAGAGACAGCGCCGGGATTTCAACAAATTTCCCACTTCTCAGCTCTTCTTCTTGGGTGAGTTTATTGTTGTTTTCGCCTCGGTGAGACTAATCTGACATTCTCGCNNAGCACTTGTTCGAGTCGCCGAGCCGATTGCTCTCACCTCCATCTTTCCTTATGCCTGGAAACTCGTGCTCGACTTTAATGTAACTGATCGCGCAAATGCATCCTTTTATGCCGGCTTGCTGATCTCAGCCTTTGCTCTTGCTGAATCTCTGACAGGAATGTGAGTATTCAGTAGCTGAAATGACTTTTCTGTCGCAAAGCTGACATTCTCGCAGNNGTACTGGGGAGGTCTTTCGGACCGCATCGGGCGCAAGCCTGTTTTGCTCTTGGGAAGTGCAGGCACCATGCTTTCCCTCCTTTTGGTCGGCGTTTCCACTAACTTCTGGATGGCTCTGGCTGGAAGAGCCATTGGAGGCTTCCTCAACGGAAACATTGGAGTCATTCAGACAATGGTCGGAGAGCTTACTGTCAACCCCAAACACGAACCTCGCGCATACTCGGTCATGCCCTTCGTCTGGTCCATCGGCACAATCATTGGTCCTTCGATCGGTGGAATCTTCTCAGCTCCAGCGGAAAACTTCCCCGAGGTCTTTTCTCCCCACGGAATCTTCGCCAAATTCCCCTACCTGCTGCCCAACCTCATCTGTTCGGCTTTGATGCTTTTCTCAATCATCTGCGGATTCTTCTTCCTCGAGGAGACTCATCCTGATATGCAGCCCTGGAGTACGGAAGATGATCTCCAGCACACTGAAGCCGAAACTCCACTTTTGGCTGCTCAGGCTGGAACGTTCACAGCTGCAGTCGACTTGCACAGCGAATCTTACGGCACCTTCAACAAGGTCGTCCAAGATCAGGAATGGAACGTTTTGCCCGACGGAACGGATGCGCCAAAGGAAGCAGAACCTCAGGATCAAGTTGTCTTTACCAAGCGTGTGGTCATGTTGATTATCGCCCTCGGCATTTTCACGTACCACAGCATGTCCTATGATCATCTCCTGCCCATCTTNTTCCAGGACTCGCGTGTGGAGAGCAGAGTTCACGGAAACAAGCTAAGTTCAATGGCGGGCGGTCTCGGATTGACAATTCAAGATGTAGGCGTCGTCATGTCTGTGAACGGCATTATTGCATTGGGCGTCCAAGCCATTGTGTTTCCTCTGGCAGCAGCTTGGCTGGGTGTTTGGAAGCTGTTCATCGTCACCACTGTCTTGCACCCTCTCGCATACATTGTGGTGCCCTACTTGGTGCTTCTCCCCGAAGAGTGGCTGTACCCCGGCATCTACGCCTGCCTCACCATCCGCAACATCTTTGCCATTCTCGTTTACCCCGTGATGCTCATCCTGCTCAAGGAAGCTTCTCCCGCACCCTCATGTCTGGGTAAGATCAACGGTTTGGCTGCCAGCACTGGCGCCGCCTGCCGCACGCTCGCATCCCCCATTGCAGGTATCCTCTACGGCATCGGCATTGATATCGATTTCACGGCTTTGGCGTGGTGGGTCAGCGGCGCCGTTGCCGTCATCGGTGCCATTCAGGTCTTCTTCATCAACCGCAAGAAGAGCAGTGAATGGCATCAAGTGCGCGCACGTGCTCCCTGCCGTTTCATGCCTCCCGAGGAACACAGACAGGAAATTGTGCACATTGTTGTTCAAGACGAGGAAGAGCAGGAAGTTGAAGTCAACGAGCAGCAAAGATTGTTGGCATAGAGGACGAGATATACTAACCACGATTTGAAAGGAAAAGAACATACAAAGGTATGTACGAGACGAGGATCTAACGTGTACGAACATTGTGCTGCATGTATATGATCATAGCATTTAGCGTCTTTTGGGCTTGGAGTTTTGTTTTTCTGGGCATTGGGGATCGTTACATCTCACTCTTTTATAGCGAGCGTGGCGTTTTTTTCTTTTGGGGCATAAAATGTTTGAAGTAGAGCAATAGTGTCATATCATATCATCTTTATGATTCGCTTCTTCGCTCCTCGTTCTACTTGTGGCAAGTTTGTCGCTAAGGGAACGAGAAACAAAAATTGTGCAAAGACGCATGTAACCAAGAAAAGGGAATGAGAATAGGGGCATAATGGAAGAAAAAAGGGTCGGGGATGGTGCATTTGTCTCGATGGACATTGTCGTAATTTCCGCTCGATTTGTGTATTCTAACGCAGATAGAGACTGTACTGCTGATGCGACGTTAATGAAGAAAACAAAGTCGGATGGTTGATAACTTCCATCGGATCTCAGCGAAAGATCAAAATTGATTGACCAGAAGTTGAGCAATGCCGAGAATTGGTGAGCTTTCTCTGAGACATCTTTATGATACCAATATGTTTGCCTGAATTTTGTAGCTCCTTGGCCCTCCTGGTTTCGTTGCAATCGAATCATCACTCGAGGATCTCGCCTTCTTCCGAGACAATAGCCATGTCGTCAATCACGAGAGCATCTGAATCGCACTTCTGGTGGCAACGATAGGCAGCATAGGACGGTTCGTTGAAAACCCGAGTTTCGTGCTCTTGAGGGTTGCCGGAGTTGGTGTCGGAGCCTAGAAGGTCGGTGAAACCAATGCAGGAGGTTTGTTCGGATCTCTGCTCTGCGATCTTTTTCTGGAGCTTGTGCAACTTGGCTTTGCGAAGTGCTTCGTGGCTCGGTGTGTCGAGAGCCTGTTGCTGGCGGCGCTTGATGGGAGAAGGGGTGGTAGGGGGTTCGCGAGAGTAGCCGTGATCCAGTCTACCATGACCGTTGTGAAAGGTCGCACGCTTAGGTCTCGATGGTCGGTAGAGGTCGTGAGCCCTGTACGTGGCAGTGCCTTGGGTCTTGATCTTGGCCCTCTTAGTTGATGGTGATGCGTGAAAATAAGAGCCAAGCACTGGAGCCTTGCGTTTGGTCGAGGGGATGGGTCGGAAGGGGACCTCGTAATGCTCGTCGTTGGGACCCGGTGCAGCTGTGTAGCTGTTGCGGGTACTGTCGTTACTGGCCCTCTTATAGTTGGGAAGACGAGGCGCAGCGACAGCAATCTGGTTGGCACTCTTCAAGTCTGGAACGGAGTCGTGAGAAGTGGATAGACGTGAGGTGCTGTGAGTAGTGGAAGGAGGCAAGTGACCGGGAGTGATAATTGCCATCAAATGACGAGCCACTGTCCGCTCGGCCCATGCTCTCAGCTGAGGAGCAGTGTTCTTGCCTTTGAAGGCCAGCACGTTATTGCTGAGCTGGTTTGAAGTTGCTTGGGCGTGAGAGATGATGAGGGCGGAGCGACTCTGCTCCTTGTGCTTTTGGTTTTGTTCCACCGACCAACCACGCCATTGGGCGATGTAGATGTCCTGCACGATCGTGGCGAGGATCATCATCGGGTCCGGAGCATCACGCTCAAAGAGCTCATGAACGGCATCAGTGGTCAAGAGATTTCTGATGATATATTTCCCGTCAACTTCCAAAGACAGGAGCTCATAAAGGTCGGCTCCTTGGTCAGAAGCATTGCGCAGAATATCTCCCGACACTTTCCAATGCAAGCGAAGAGCATTCATGAAGAGGTTGATGCAATTCTCATCCGCAAAAACGCTCTCTTCATGGCACTGGAGGTAGTTGAGATGAGCGAAACTGAAAGTGTGTGCTTTCTGGAGGACGCTCTTGGGCATTGTCAAATCGAGGCGTTCCATGCTTGGAATATATGCGGATGGGGTTTTTGAAGAGGCATGGGACTTGATATTTATCGGCGCCATGGTGGATCTGTTGTTTGGGTGATAGATGATGATGCTGGATTGGGGTGATGGGATGATCGACGTTGATTGATGGTGATGATCGATGTTGATTAATGGTGATGATTGATGTCGAATCGCGGTCGTGTTTGTGGGTGATGTGAGAAGAAAACAAGAAGCGTAGAGGCGTAGAGAAGAGAGCGCATACGACAATATCAAGAGAAGGAAAGAATTGAACGAGTGAAAGGTAAGCTCGCAATCTGCTTTCACTTCCTACCAGCAATCTTCGAGTAGTCGACCATATGCAATTACCCGACAAGCCGGTTGAGCAACCTCCATTCAATCACGAATGCCTTCGCCTACCATAGCTTTTGTTTGCCCAACAAACACGACCACCCTTCCCTATACTGCAGCAACCAGAAGCCCAATATATGATACTCCTTGTTTATGCTTGTCTAATAGAGAAAGCAATCAGCTTGATTCAATCTCCTAGATTTCCCTTGCTTCAGGTTCATATCGCTCTTCCAGGAAGGCCAGCAACACCTGACGCAGGAAGCTGACCACTCTCAAGTTGAGGTGTTCAAGGAAGGAGCATTGATAAAACGACTTCTAGTAGTCGTCCTGAGGTGGAGACATTTAGAGTCGCCGTGACAAGGCCGCAACCAGCAGTCGACATTCCAACTACGAATCGCAATACAAACGGTATGTCATCTGATAATCGCGATTAATCTATTCCATCGAGCTGAGGACACGATCGTAGAAGAGATCAGAAGAACAGTGAAGGAGTAATGAGAGGAGAGTGTGGGGAAATGTCATCACTCTACCTTTAGACTTTCAGTTTTGGAAGGAGCGACTCACATGCATGCATGACGCTCAGTGACGCAGGAGCTATTGGAGCTCTCGTAGCTTTATTCAAAAGAGCTCGAGCCCGACACAGCAACACTTTCCTCTCTCATCAATCCTTGCAACTCAAGTCACACGACACATTCAACCTAATCAACCAAACCAATTCACCTTCACATCAATCAAAATGGCATCCCGCAACGCTGAAGCTGCTTCCAACTCCGACCCTAACGGCTTCCACGCCTCTGCTCCCAGAGACGAGCCTCTCACCAAGACTGGCCACCAGCCCGGAAAGCTCGTCGGCAACGATGCTGCTCCTGAGTTCCACGCCCAGACCCTTCCTGCTGGCACCGCTCCTCCTGAGCAGTAAGTTCTTGTCAATTGCTCATTTCCTCGCAATCCGTACTGACCTTCTCCAGCNACCTTCAAGCCCAACAACGATGCTGATGCTACCCCTGCTCAGGGCGGCGTCTCTGCATCAGACACCATCGGCGGTGCCACCTCCCAAGAGGTCCACACCGGTCTTGGTCACCCCGGCCAAGGTCAGTCCTCTGCTGAGCTGAGACACGACGGTGCCTCGCACAACAAGCACGCCGGCACCGGTCTTGACGGCCTTCTCTCTGGCGCCCAAGGCAAGACTGTCGACGCTCGTCTTCCCGAGAACGCCGGTCAGCGCAACCTTGAGAGCGACAAGGCCATTGGCGGCACCCGCAGCAACATCTCCAACGCTGAGGACAGAATCCCCGACTCTGCCTAAGCTTTTCGACTTCTCTTTTCCTTGAACCCTGCTTCAACGAGCAACGATACCAATGCCTCCGAATTTTATTGTAAAACTAGTCTAGCATTCTCCCACGCATCCACGCAAAGTGGCTACTCGGTCTTGATGGCCAGATGAGAAATGAAAACCAATACTTGCAAAACACATTTCCTTCTACAATCGTTCCTTTCTCTCGCAAGTACACATCGTCTTTCAAAAGGTGACGAGATGTCGTGCTTTGCTTATTATTTTTAAGCCTCAGAGCGGGGCAAGATCTATATCATCGGAGAAGCACTGACATTTTTGCAGCTCCATCGTGGTGGAGTACGATCGCGGCTCAACCAAGAGTGGGCAGAAAAAATAATAAGGTCCGTGCTTTGGTAGCTCGAGTCGAATAGGCAACCCTGCTATATCGTCAAGAGCTCAGTCAAGGAGCGAAAGACTTGCCCGAAGCAAAATTGCGGAATTTATCTAGATAGAAACGAGTTGGAATTATAGGTTGAACGACCGACGAAATAAAGAGTGTGATGCCGAGGGTATTAGTGCATTATCGAATGAATAAACAACGTATGTCGAACAGGTGGAGCAGATTAGATGAGATCGTACTTGATGTCTATGAGACAAGCAGTCAGTAAATCGTGAGCCTCGATGGCACATGATCAAACGTAATCAGACAGGCAGATACTAGAAAGAAGTCACAAAGAAAAGTACAGCAGAAGATAAACCTGTTCCAAAACCGACAGATTCCCCGTCATTGAAACGATCAAGAAAAGCTGATGAAAGCAAGACATAAGACTTTGTAGAAATGGTATCTCGAAACTCATGAAACAAATGCAACACTCTATGCAGACAGCATCCATTCTTCTCGTCTTACTCAGCACCCATCATCACAGAGAAAGACTCACCAGTCTCCTTTTCAATTCTCTCAATCGATCTCTTGTATCCTTCCATGTTATCCAGCTTGTTGACATACGCATCCAGCTTTGGGTAGTCGGTTGCATTGATAATTTTCAGTCTCTTCTGGCCAGCCTGCAGAGGGAACGACATCAAGATATCAGCGGCAGTGAGGTCTTTGCCGCAGAGGAAACCTCNCCCGTTGGGTGCAGTGGCGAGTTGGGATTCCAAAAAGTCAAAGTGGGTTTTGAAGTTTGGCTTGAAGTACATGGCGTCCACTCTGCTGACGATGGTGCCGGTGATGGGGCGGATGAAGAAGGGGATTTTGTCGCCCTTCAGGACTGTAGAGAGTGTGCTGTTAGTCGTCGCGGGCTGAGATGTGTATGAGTTAAGATCTTACANGCTGAAGATGAGGTTTGTAACCATCAAAGCCATCAACGAGCCCTCAGCATAGTGCATGAAGAAGCGATAACGCAAGTACTCTTCAGTCTCGAGCCCGGGGCCCTCCTTGCCGTCTTCGTATCTTTTGGGTGCGAGGTGAGGAGCAAAGTGCTCGGTCAGATACTCTGTGATGAAACCCGACTCGGCAAGAATCAGAGGGTCGGTTCTACCAGGCGCGGCAATACCAACGACAGGAGACTTGCCCAAAGGATGGACCTTCTTCAGCTCGGGAGGGGCGAGCATTTCGGAGGTGCGCTTAAAGACTTGGATGTTGTAGTCGACATTGCATTCTTCGAGGAGCCAGATGAAGCGCTGAGCTCTAGACTTGTCGAGNNCCTGTATGATCTTCTGTTGGATTTTCCTATCGAGGAACCGTGATATTGATGGGTTTGCCTACCAGTACAGAGTGACTTTGGGAGCTTCGGTTGCCATGATGAAGGTTCTGTACGACTGACGAAAGTTAGATTTGGTGTTTAATTGTTTTACAGCGCATACACGAAAGGCCCGAGACATAAGGTGATCTACAGTGTTACACGACGAAAGAGAAGGTGCAAAATGCGGTGAGGAAAGATAGTGGATTGCTCTTGAGATTGAGTAGTGAGGAGAGGATAGCAGAAACGTCAGGAGACCCGATTCTTTGTACCGATCCAACGGAGTGTCCACGGAAGTGGGATCAAGACTTACTGCTGATATGCGACTTGTGAGGATGAGTTCTTTGGACGTCTACAGACAAGACGACAGATTATTTCTTCAGCAGAGAGCACTCGAGGCAATTTGTTTTGATCTGCTTTACAAGGCCGAGATAAGCTATGTTCAGCGAGCCGAGGCATCACGATCACAAGCAAGAGAGAGATCATGATGGTTTTGCCCGATCATGTCGGTAGAGTCCCGCCGCACGTGATATCGAAGCAGTTCTTGGCAATCTCGAACGTCAGCGACAGCGACAGGCATTGAAGATGTGAACGACACAACCCTCCCAATACCCACCTTCAAATCACAGCTACACATCAACTCAAGATGGCTGGCGGTGGTCACAACAGTGCGCAACTTCTCGGAATCCAGATTGACCCCAACGCCGTTCACTAACACCTTCACAGGTCTCGCCTTTGACCCGGCGCTGGTCAAGTACAACCGTACGCTCCCGACTTGAGAAGATGCGCCCACGATATTCATAATCTGACTGCGACCGCANGAGATGCAAGTGGATCGTTACAGACACTTCAAGTGGACTCCTCGTACTGCCTGGCTCTCGATCATCTTCGCTATCGCTATTCCTAGCTCGCTTTACTACGTCGCCAACAAGACTGATGTGAGTCGCTATCTTTATCTCGGGCCCACCAGAGCTGGACGTCAAGAGCTGGGAACTACACACGAAGAGGTGGACAAGAGGGGGTGCATTGAGGAAGAAACACGGCAATGGACGGAGGTTTGGCCAGCTACTGAGACGGAAAAGGGCGAGGACGACACGACTCTTTCCACCGAAAGAAAGGCTGCGAGAAGCGCGCGAACGAAACACCACCGGCCCAAGGCGTCCACCTCCAAGCTCTCGGCCATAGCTCAGAAGGGGCAGTCTATTCTTGACATGACGGATACTAATGCGACAATCACAGGGCAAGTACGAGTTCCGCGGCAAGAGAAGAGGAGATACCATGAAGGAGTTCTAAATGGAAGAGACGAATGCGAGATCACGAACGAATGCAACATTGAAGTTGGGGAAGATACAACAATTATACCACACACGTCAATACCCACCCACAAGACTTAACCTACGCTTTCTTTCTCCGGTGCTGGTCACCATAGCTTACGCTGTTTGTGCAGCTGCGAACCGCTCGTCCAAGATCACATGCAAAGAATCGAGTGCACACCGGAATAGACTCGGACTGTGGTGTGAAACCGTGATGGCTGTGTGAACCTTGTACCTGACTTTTGTTCTCTATCAAACTTGACGCTTCGGTGTGCCTGATCTTTCTCGAGTCAAAATGCTCGTACCCCGAAGGAATGGCTCCAAGTCGTAAATGCAGCAAAAGCATCCATGACACGAAACACAAAACACAAGAATAGCAATGTGACTCTTCTGCACACGAGAGCAGACCCTCACACAACCCCTGTGCCTGGTAGTGATCGTCACTGTGTTGTGTGCTGTGCATGGGGTTGCCCGGGACGAAATTCCTTGATACGAGTCGATGCAAGGACCCGCGAACGTCAGAGCACTTTGCAGAAACCTCAACAACTTCGACTCGAATCCTCGCGCAGACGCCCATGAGTGGTACCAGGGTTTGTGATTTCCCCATTTGCGATGAACTGTGACGTGGGCAGCTTTGAAAATACACAACAGTTTAAAGAAATAAGGTAGTGTCCACAGAGAGACGAGTTTCTGTAGGCTCTCTTTGAACTCGTACCTGATTCAGAGACGTTCATGCCTTTCTGTACTTACTTCAAACTCTACACGTCGCTCTGAGCAGAGGATAGGAGCTACAGATTTTGGCGCATGGGGTGTTCTAAAACGAGGATCCGAGTTTGAATCGCATCCACAAGTTGACGCGTCGGCGGGAAGCGCTGCAGACAGACGAACCCGCAGAAGAAATTGTGGGCCTCTTTCGTCTGGAGTACCACAATGTCACAACCTCCCCAATGAGACCCCTGTACAGATCGTCTTGCTCTTGTCACTGTGGTGATTTTTACGAGTAGGTACCTATGGTGATCGATCATGTCGTGCCTTATCTATGCCCTCTGCCCTGGTCGCAGGTCATATCTTTTGCTTCCTATCACTCCTTTCACACCACATCTACTTTTTTTGATCTGTTGCAAAAATGCAAGAGAACAAAGCTTTCCTCCCAGGAGGCACTTCGCCAGAAACCGCATACGACGGCGCGCAGCTAAACAACATGAATATGGCGCCTACTACCTCAAAATGGAACCCTATGGGCTGGCAAAAGAAATGGAAAATCACAGGCATTATCGCAGCTATTGTTATCATTATCGTTATCATTGTTGCAGCAGTGGAAGGCAGCAAGAACCACAAGCCCAAGGCCTCGTATCCGGATTATCAAGCCCTCAACTATACGCTCGAAGACAGATGGCAAGGAACGAATTTCTTCGATAATTTCGACTATCACTCCACTCCGGATCCTGCCAATGGCTTTGTCAAGTAAGCACCACTATAGAAATGCACAACAGTTTTTGCAAGAGAGGCATTGTTCATGGAGAGACGTGGTTCTAATATATACGTNAGCTACGTGGATCAAGCCACTGCCATATCTACCAACCTGACATACGCTGGCGACTCGTCTGCTTTCTTAAGAGCAGATTCTAAGGACAACAACGCAAAGAACGGCCGCAACTCCGTACGCATCACATCCAAGAAACAGTTCCACTCCGGCCTCTTCGTATTCGACATCAAGCACACTCCTTATGGCTGTGGAACATGGCCCGCTGTTTGGCTTGCCGATCCTAGCGACTGGCCTGGAAATGGAGAGATCGATGTCGTCGAAACTGTAAATCAAGGAAATACTGGAAACCAGATGGCCTTGCACACCTCCAAAGGATGCCAAATGAATGGCAGACGTGCTCAGACCGGCACTGTTCACGGAACCAACTGCTACAACGGCACGAATGACAACGCTGGCTGTGCAGTGATGGGAGCTTCCAGCTCATACGGTGCCGAAGCGAACGATGATGGCGGTGCAGTCTATGCAATGGAGCTCCGTGATGCTGGCATTCGTATGTGGATCTTCAACCGAGACTCGCCTCCTGGAGATCTCAGAGTCAACAACGACACTACTCCAGACCCCTCAACATGGGGTCTACCCATCGCCGACTTCCCCAGCACCGATTGCGATATTGGCTCCCACTTCAAGAACCAATCAATCATTGCAAACATCGACTTCTGCGGCTCCTGGGCGAACAGTGTCTATTCGAGCCAGTTCAAATGTCCTGGCAAGTGCGAGGACTTTGTTGCAACGAATGCCACAGCCTTTGAGAAGGCTTACTGGGAATTTGCGAGTTTCAGAATTTACTCCGAGAAGGACGAGTAAAGCTGTGGATTGATCCTGATTTTTATGTTGATATGATACCCTTACCTTTATTGATAATTAGTTCATGATTGGCCTCTGTGGTGTGATGTAGTTGTTCCCAACTGTTGCCTTCAAAGGCTCAATCATCAGAAAAAGCGTTGACGACATTCAAGACCCCGCGCTGCCGATCTGCGGGTGTTTTCTGTCTTGGTGCCTGGCAGCTCGAGCACACCTTGATGACTGTCTGCTTATACATACCTACTTCTCTTCGCATCAAATATTATTGCTCACATACTGCATGTTGTAAACCTGGTCTAAATATCACGTATCACGCCTTGAGCTACAAGGTCAGATGTTACAGACGGAACAACCTGCTTTGCGCGAAACATCAGGTCGCACATGCGTTGTTTCCCGATATTGAAAAGATCTAATAACTTGGTCGGATCATCAACCTCTACGATTAATGGTGGTATTCGAGTCTGATCCCCTTCGCGGCCTGCAACACAAGAGACAGAGTCGTCTGTCAGCTGGAGACCATGTCCCAAGGACGTCGTGAAGCACGCCGCGAAGCACGTCGAGCAGAGTCTCCGCCAGATCCACGAGGCCGTCGTCGCCGTCGTTTGAATTCATCTTCGATTGCGATTGACCAACCGCGTCCAACTGAATTTGTTTCCTCTTGGCTTGAACAACAAGACTTGACTCGATCGGGTGTGCCAGCGCAAACAACGCCCTTGACCAATTTTCGCATGTTCCCTTCAACACAACTACGCGCAACAAGTCACCCCAATTTCTTGAACTCGGCGCTTGAGCAAGAAACCACACACAGTGTCGTCAGCATGCGGGATCACAACACCACAATGCAATACAATGATGCTGGTCCATCTTCTGCATATCACCCACCCGCTGTTGATATTGACGCCGACGATCTTTCAACCTCAGCCCCTATCGGCGATCGCTCAATGAACTCTCGACGCAGCGGACCTCTCTTGAACATGGGTCAGATTGTTTCCAAGAATCAATCCGCCTCTGCGCCTACGGATCTNGCAGCTCTGTCCGCCGCTGACAGCGACGACATATCATCTGACACCTCGGAAAGCTCACAGGAAGGAGGTGTGAGACTGTGGTCTTCTCACGGCGCATATCCTCTTGCTCGCTCTACGGGTGTTGAAAACAACCCATTGCAGTCGAGTCAATTCCCTCGTCATGTCTGGGGTGCGCGCAACATCGATATCGGACTGGCCTGTGAAGACGAACGTTCGGCCAAGAAACCAACCTATCCCGAAAATCCTGCACTTCTCCTCGTCTACCAGTTGGATCGCAATACGCCTGAGCCTACTCTGCGCTTCTTGCCATTCATTTCCGTATCACAGAAGAGAAAGAACAAGAGCAAGAACAAGCGTTTCATGATCCAACCCTCGCACAAGCAAAGCATTGACGCTTCTCAACTGACGGCCAGAAGAGCACAATGGGTTCCTGGTGAGTTTCCCGTTGAACTCTTCGAACTCATCAACCAATACCTGTCCCGCGATGACATCAAGTCGATGCGTCTGGTAAGCAAGGAGTTTGAGCGTGGTGTGTCAGGCTCTCTGTTTGACACTGTTGTTGTTCCATTCAACACGGAACTCTACGAGATGATTGAGCAGAAAGTGGTGAAGCGCGACCTCAAGGGCAAGCGCAGAGCCGACGATCCCATCAACCACTTTGTCAACCTGGACCCTGGCTCGCTACTTTGGAAGAACGCCTTGGACGACACAGAAGATAAGGTCTATCGCGGTCATGGTCTCAAGGTTTTTGAAGGGTTTGGCCACCACATTCGTCGCTTCGGCATGAGTTTTGAGATCAAGGAAGACGCCCTCCAGAATCCGCCCAAGAAGAACAAACTTGACAGCCACGAGAGCTACTTTGGGTCGTATGAATGGCCATCGCAAGAGTACACACGCTTCGAGCTGCTGGCTGGTCTCGAGCGTACAGCAGACGAGACTTCGCAAATGAAGATGGCCTTCTCACACTTGTCGGTCGTTCAGCAACTTGCACTTTCCATGGACAGCGGCCTTGGATGGATGAGCGGACCTGACAAGTCGCTACGCAGTACGATCTTGCAGCGACCTTCTCCTCTCTTTGGTTGTTCGCACGGCATAGTGGACGCACAACAACAAGAGCGTATCAGATTGTGGGAGTCTATCGAGTCCGCGCATGTCAGATTGGGTGCTTTGGACGACTTGAAGGAGGGCTCACTCGAACATGTCAACCTGGAGGAGAATTTTTTCTTGCGTCTTCCATTCTCAACCACCCCATATGCCTCCNNCCCTTCTCTGTGGGCCACTGCTCCTGCCCAACAGATTGTCGCCATGGTGCCTGGTGTTGCCGATAACGAAGATCACGACGGTACTGAGACAGGAGTCCTGTACATCACTCCCCCCGACACACGCGACCAATCATCTCACGCCGAAGCTCAGAGACTGGAGTATTCAAGAAGGCTTGAGAAATTCAGTCCTGCCAGCCTAAACACTCACCAGAAGGAGTGGCTCTTGGAGGCCGAATGGGCACAGAGAGCATTCCTCACCACATACATGCTCGGCGTCGTAGACAACAGCTCGGTATTTGACAAGGTGTCGGTCCTAAACTTTCGCGTCTCCAGCCATCTGGTACCTTTGCTTTGTCGTCACGACTTCTGGACCGCTCTCCCAAAGTTGCAAGAGGTCAAACTTGCTGTCATCCCTGATTGGCGCACTGTTGAGAGAGATGAGGCTGGGATCGTCGAGACCAAGGACATTGATCCCTCGATCGCCGTCGACAAGACATACAGTCTGCTTCAAGACTTTATCGGTGTTAGACCGAACATTACCAAGCTCAACTTCTCCTGGGCTGCTGGTGGCGAGCACGCTGAAGGCATCTTTGCTCGTAACCACCACATCTTGCCTGCCCCCATCACCGCCGTTGCTCGCTCCACAGCCACTGCTCCAAAGGATGACGAACTCATCGATCTGCCACATCTCAGAGATCTTACTTTTTCTAACTGCTGGTTTACACCCGTCGCCATCGTGGCGATAGTCAAGAAGCTGCGCACAAAGACGCTCAAGAAGATCAAGTTTGACTCTGTTTCGCTTACTGCTATGCCACGCGGCAACATTCCCATAGCCAATCCCAACAACCACCCCATGGTTAATCCGAACCTGTTTCCTCAACAAGCTCCGGGACCTGGCATGATGGTGATTGGTGGTAATTTCGCTGCCCAATTCGGCGCCCAGGTCTGGCAAGGTCCGCCTCCGGGTATGCCTGTCCAACAATGGGCTCAGGCAATGATCCATACTCTGAACGCCATGACACAGCAGCAGGGTATTGTACTTCATCAGGTCCCTCAAGTTTGGACGAACCACCCGATGGGACTGACGATGCAGCAAATTCATGGCATGTTGGCTGGACTTGCTGATGGCAATGGTCCACTGATGCCTCAACCTGGATTGCTCTATCAGCTTCCTCAGCAGCAGCAGCAACAGCAGGCCGGCGCAGCCCAATTCCCACAGATTGGAGGCCCTCCACCATTCCAAGCACCAGCTCTTCCTCAAGCTGCTGGCTGGCCTCTGCCTCCTCAGCCTGCAGTTCATGCCGCTACTCCTCAGATCAATAATGGACCTTGGTACGAGGGCCATCGCGTTGGTTCATGGGTCTGGGTGGTCGACAAGATAAGTCCAGGGCCCACACTCGAGATGTATCAGCCGCGCGATGAGTTTGAGCCGGTACCCGAACCACGCAACAATGAGCTCGTGTCTGCCGAATTCAATTCATGCGGTTACGTACAGCTTCGTGCTCCAACATTCGGCGACCAGAACAACATGGAAGCACCTGCTGCATTCCGCATGAGCCGCCACTTTGTCCGTCGCCAGAGCCTTCTATCATCCGCCATGCTTGCTACCCAGGACAAGCTCCTTGGCTCGATCGTACAGTACATGTCTGAGCACGAAACGGATGCTCTTCACCACGCATGGGGTATGACACTGGGCTGGAATGATGTAAAGCTCGCCGAAGAGGTCGAGTATGATGGCTACCTCACCGGAGGCACTGGCCGTTTCTCAGGAAGTGTGACCAAGGACTCGGTCATGCAGGAGGCCTATTCTGCTCAGCATTCTTGAGTGATTGACGAGTAACGATACGAATTTCATGTCAGGAAAAAGGAAAAGGAGTTTATTGAATTTGTTGACACTCGTCAAGAATTGTTTATTTGTTTTTCGCAGCATTGCAAGCATGATGGGACAAGAATTACTGGAGATTCTGGTTGGTTCTTGAGAGGGTGTGAAAGATGGCACACGACTGAGACGCAGAGATCAACAGACTCTAGTAATGAGGCAGGACGAAGGGATTGTGGATAGATGAAAAGTTGAAAAGAAACCCCAATGAAAAGTGTAGAGTACTGTAATCTGTTGCAACGAGAGCAAGAGGTGACGGAGATAACAGTGACATGCTCCGAGATAGGAAATTGCTCGGAGGCTGGCGGAAGTCGAGCCGGATGGGATGGCGCCAAGGCCATGGATTTCTAGGAGCTTTCTTGAGGTGCTCGTCCAAAGTTTGGAAATCGTCCCCTTTACTTGAACACTCTTGATTCTAACAGGTTGCAACCAATTTCGAGCTGTATCTCACCACCTTCATTCGCGCCTTTTAGCCAAATCGCATCATCTCTGTTCCTGTCACTCTAATTCCTACACGGACCCGGCCATCAGCCCACCGACCATCCAACTCTCGGGACGAAGACACTTTGTCTAGTATATACGATTCAGTGCGCTCTCCAGCGCCGTACATCTCTGGCCTACCAGAAACTTGACTCGTTCGCATCCGAAACCACACATACAATCACAATGTCAGCCAGAGCCGCTGCTCAGGCTCCCCTGCAAGATGCCCAAGTGCCTAGCACGAGCACCGCTGTGGATGCGCCCAAGGAGAACATCTTCATGTTTGTGCCAAACTTGATTGGTAGGTTTCAACATGTTCAGAAGCACGACCAAGAGCTGACTTGAAGTTCAGGCTACGCCCGTGTCTTCCTCGCAATTGGCTCCCTCAACTACATGCCCCTCCACCCGCGAACATGCGCCCTCCTTTACAGCATATCATGTCTACTAGACGCCCTCGATGGCTACGCTGCCCGGGCTTTCAACCAATCCACCAAGTTCGGAGCCGTGCTGGACATGGTGACGGATCGTTGCACCACCACCTGCCTCCTGGTCTTCCTCTCAACCGCCATGCCGCGCTGGAGCATGGTCTTCCAACTGCTCATCAGTCTCGACTTTACCAGCCACTACATGCACATGTACGCTACACTCGCCATGGGCGGCAGCGGCAGCAGCCACAAGAAGATTGATGCAAAGAGGAGCAAGATCATGTACCTGTACTACAACAACCGCACCGTCCTGTTCGTGTGCTGTGCCTTGAACGAGCTCTTCTTCATCGCCCTCTATCTGCTCGCCTTCTCTTCGCCCTACCTCAGTCCTTCGCTGTTGCAACCCGCTGGTGAGAGCGCTTCTCTGCAGCCTGGTTCACCAATCGCACCNCCTAAGCCTTCGACAATCTTCTCCAGCCCTTGGTCTGCTGGCGCAATGGAGATGGCCAGGTGAGATTTTTCCTCCTTGACACCTGGAATGACTCTTCGAGCAAGAATACTGACTGCAATANNCAGAGCAAACAAGATGGATAGTACCGTCCCGTGGATCTTGGTCGCCATCTCCGCTCCCGTCATGCTGTTCAAGCAGTGGGTCAACGTCATTCAGATCGTCAAGGCCAGTCAATGGCTTGCTCAGGGTGATCTCGCCGATCGCGCAAAGGCTGGACTGCCCAAAAAGACACAATAGAAGAACTAGAAGAGGAAAAGCTGCACGATACAAGGGAGTGACGGACGAGCATACAAGGAGAAGATGGGCAACATGAGAGGCGAAGCTTTGCTCTTGCTTCCCCCAAGTCGAACTTGCAACACGCGTGTTTGCACAGTTGAGAGAGCGAGAGCATTCAGTGGCGCAAGCACACGACACAATTCCCAACCTCGAAGGACTTGATTCAAGATGATCGAATCAGCTGTTTTGTCATGGTCAGTTTGCTATATCCTTGGTCAAGGCTTGAAAGCGTACAGCGACCAGCTCAATATCTGCCTCTTACTAGATATCCTCTTCTGGTTGCTTTATTTTCTCTTCGACTTCTTTTTTTCTTTTCTTGTACTACCTTTTTACTTCTCTAGAGGCTTTTTGCCCGGTTGCTATGGCTTTTTACATTACACAAAAGACGGCAACAAGAGGCAGAAAATTTGACATCAATATTTGCTTATTCTCGAAACTTGTCCAATATATGTGCCTTGCAGGAACTCTGGAACAGGTGGTGGATGTGTGTGTCGGCATGTGTTGTGTAAGGCTTCCTGCAGAAAACATAGGGTTACACAAGGCAGGGTCGAGCGATTTGTTTGAGAATAGATGAAAAAGAGGCTCTGCAGAGAGCTGAGCATGCAAGGTGCAGCTGTTGACTCGAGGTACACGAACTCGAATTGTTACACAGAGAGATCGACTCTGCAGTTTGTTTCGGATGGCTGGCAGGACGATACCCATTTATCTGGCTCGACTGGCTGATCTGTTGCATGCAGTCATTGTCTCAGATGATGCATCGGAAACTTCTTTCTTATATATCGAGGTCATCAACAACAACGGGGAGGCTCTCATGTGCGAGCGTTTACCGTGCCTCCCATTGAGACCTCGATATCTTAAGGCAGATGATGGTTCGGCAAGTTCTCTCCGAGGTTGTGTACCGCTATCTTCTTATGCGTAGACGTTGTGATCTGTGCCTTTAGTACGTGCCTCTTTTTCCAGTTGCAACCAAGGGCTGGCAAATGCGCATGCATACGCCGAGGAAACCAGCAAATCCCAGGAAACCGGGAAAGTGCGCACCCAGAGGCTCTGTGCGTTTTTACGGATCTCCAGATCTCGATATCACGATATCAGAGGTGGCTGGTCGCGTAAAACTTCATTAATATCTGAAGAATTAGTGAATACGTGTGCGCCTCACAAACGGCAAAATGACGAACAAAGCAAGCCATTGACGACAAGGTGCGAGAAGTTGACAGTTTGGGTATTCTTGGTTGCAATGTCATTGACAGTTGACGTGTGAATGGTTGGCCTTATCATAGCGTTCTCGTGTTGCTCGAGTCGTGGGCATACGGGTACAGGCAAGGAAGCATAGTATAGAGTAGGAACACGCGTATGCCATGCCATGTCTTTACACACAAGACCGGAAACACGCACGCGTATATGCCATGCCATTTGCACACAAAGAAAAATCGATCTTCAGTGTTCAGCTTCTTAAAGTGGCATGAGGCGTGATGTTTCACGGGAGATTCACGGGTTGCCCTTCACAACGACCATCGCGTGAAAGATCTACTCAAAATCACACTGCTTACAGTTCATGCAAAAAAGGACGAACAATTGAGCATTGATGACATTTGGCAAGAATCCCGAAGAATCAGAGTCTTTTCGATCGCATTTGGACGCTTTGATGTAGTGATGGCTTTTGCTTTGCATGCAATGGCACTGAGGGAAAGGGGTCACGATTGCCGACATAAGTTTGTGCATGGCGTGTTGTGTAGGTACAGTGCAAGAAGCGTCCCAAGCATGAGTACAATCTAATCGAGATGTGTTTGGTGATGCATGGTCGCTATAGTATGTTCGAGTCAAGTTGGAAGATCAAAAAGTGCTCATGCATGTAATCGTGTCTCCCGCCTTGCGCAACGAGTGTGATCTGAGACAAACTTCTGTTGAAAGATGGGTAAAATGTATGGCTGGGAGTGATGATGTGCAGAGGCACGGCAAAGCAACCGAGCGTTGGCAGTAGTAAGCAGGCCGCAGTTCTTCAACCTGCCTTTGCACAAAAGCTGATTGGCAGAGCAAGATGATCGAAAGCACAATCAAAGCTCAAGGGCGCGTATCCTCCCCGCAAGGCCACCAAGACGAGAAACGCGGACATACGCAATGGGAGACGAGATCTCTGTGCCTTGGAAGCGGGCATCTTTTGGCCATGGCAGGAATCACTTTCAATAGCAAGTTCGATAGTAGGGAAAGTGCGATCGTAATCCTTCAAAAGCAGAAGAAACGGATAATGGTAAACTGAATGGACAGCCACCCATCGCTACGGGCGGCCCTGTCTTCATCCTTCAAGGACAAACCTGGTTTTTTCGCGCAAGTCTACGGTTGCGGCTGGAGGAGGGAGTCGTGCAAGTAAGCGGGACTTTTGATCCGCCTTCTTTATTTGGGTATTCAATTTGTGGGCGGGTCGATCATATTGAGGGGGATCTCTGAAAGGCGGGAGGATCTGTTTTGATATTGAAAGAGTACAAGTGACTTTTGTTTGGAAATGCTTCTTTCTCAGCTACAAGAGAACAACCAATGGAGGAACATAGAGAGGGAACAGTGGCAGATGTCATGAGGTGTCGAGAACTCTCGAGATGATCGTTGGACGGGCGAACGCATGCGAGCCACGGTACAAAGCAGCGGAGCTCGAAGGATGAAACATGTGGATCCCACATCTCATCGATGTTGCGCTGCCGGAGCCTAACTTTAACGCTTGCGCTCACCTCGTGCTTTGCGAGTTTCCTGGTTCGGCGTCGGTTCCAGCCCCCTCTTTTCTATTGCGAATATGTCATTCTCAGGTTGACCATTATTGCTCTCATTTTAGCAGTAGGGAGAGATGATTTTAAAATCAAGAACGGTGAAGAAGGGGGGGAGTGCTTCATTACATGGTCTCACACAGAATCCCGTCCTAATCTTCTTTTCCGTCTTCCCTTTCGAGAGACCCCATTTCGGAGTGATTTGCGATAGATCTGTTCAGCTACGACAACACACAGACGACCGCGCAGCAAAGAGCACCCTAAATCCGGCGTTGGGGATACAGCATTAGCCTTGTGGAGCAACCCAGCACCAGCAGCAAAGCATCAGCCCTCTACGGCGCTGCGCTCCTGCCGTCCCATCATCGCGAAAAACGTCCCGCTTGCATAAACTCGTCCTCCACGCTTTTGCACCATCAAGACTTCCAAGGCCAACCCTGGTCATCCTTTTGCCGAATCCAGGCATACGTCTTCCCGTGGGGTCCACCAAAAGGGCAGGGTAGTTGCTAGCTGAGAAGGCCGAATCCACCGCCAGCCCCCAAAAACTTGTCATCGAGGTCGTTTCGTCGGGATCGCCTGTGCAGAAGGCACTACTACTGTACACCAAGGCGGGAGACGTACTGCAGGCATAAGAGCCTTGTTCCTTGTCAGCAGACTCGACATTACAACAACCCCCTCCATCCGCAGCACAGTTCGACTCTTTCCATTGTTTCCTTTTTCGATCTTCTCGAGGACCCTTGCATGAACACAACAAAGCAAGAAACTTGTCTCATCTATTTTCGAAGAAGCATATTCAAGACTCCATAACTTATACGAGAAGCAACGTCCTTTGACTAGGCCCGTTGAACCCTGAACCACAGCAATGGATTCTACTACTCTCGTTACTTTTCTCTAGTAAGTCGCCGGACTCGAGTCCGAAACTCGAGGCGACACGATGCTGACTATATGATTGTAGCAAATCAAGACCGGATGTCCGCACAGTAGAACTCTTCGGATCATGGGACAACTTCTCAAGACCGTACCGCATGCAAAGCGATGGACATAGAGGTCGTGGTGTCTGGACTGGCTGCCACTCATTCGAGAACATTATCTGTGATGGTGATCGCATCAACCAGCTAAGACCTAGAAACGGTGCCTTGAAGCAGGGTGGAACCTACTGGTACTATTACAAACTGGACGATGCCGAAGAAGCCTGCGACTCAACTGCCTTGACTACATGTGCATGCCCACTGCTACCTGGTCAGATGGTCAATGTACTGGAAATCCCTGTCGAAGTTATCGAAGCACCTCAACGAGTCTGCAGCGCCTCGGCCGACAAGCCAACAACTATGGAAATCCCCATGACCATCAATCCCGAAGACAGATACAAGAAGATCTACAGCAAGCCGCCTACCAAACTCCCTCGCTACTACTGCTCTAGTGACGCATTGCGGGAAAGATTTGCAGCGGATGCAACAATGTCGAGGGACCTTAGATTTAAGGAACGACCTGCTTCTCGAGGTGTTAGATCTATCAAGCGCGTTCGTCGCGAGGAACCCGAATACCAAAGACCTGGTGCTTGTCAGATTGATGCTTCTTGGGATGACATCGAAGCGCTTGCCAACATGCCCGACCTGAACCAAACGATGAACCACCTGCCAGAGCTCAGGCCCTTTGCTCCTTGCCCTAGTGCCTCACCAGAAGAGAGACCAGTCACCCGAAGCGGAGGCCTTTTCACTGATTTCACCAAAGGCTTGGGCNNTTTTTCTTTCTTTGGCTCGCTCAGACAACCAAAGAAGAACACACACCGTCTTAGTCAGGGAATCGCAATCGAGTTTGACGAAGCACCATCACAAATACCTCGGTACGACGGCGCCTACGACGAACCTCAATCCACACAATGGCCTCTTAGTCCCCCAATGTCTGAACTCGCAGATGAGGAGAACTGGCCCTTGCCACCTTCGAACCGCTTTCGACCTGCTTCTTCCCACACACCACTTCACGGCCCATCAACGCCAACCTCTGCAATTCCAATTCTAAATCTCAACAGCCAGCCCCGAACCAACACATACCACCAGCCTCTCACATCACCAGCATTTTCTTCTTCAGTCACATCAGACGACTTCCACCCAGGTTTCGGACCCAGCAAAAGCATACCCGGCAGTTTCGACATGGCCTCTCCAACCTTTACAGCCGACACCCTCGACTCGTCATTCTCCTCTAGCCTCACAACGCCTGATCGCCTCAGTTTCCGCCTCGATGACCCTAGCCACCAGCACTCCCAAACGTCGGATGTCGACACCACAAACTTCCACACCGGTCTCGAAGACTTGAGCCACCGTCTCTCCGCCCTCTCCACATATCCACCCTCATCTCACTCAGACGACTCCAGCGATGAACACCACAACAAGAGACCAGATTTCCTCTCTTTCTTCCCTCCCGCCGCGCAGCCTTTGTATCTCCAAAACGTACAGGCCCGCCGCAGCAGAAGCAGTGGTGACTGCGAGCAAAAGTCCAATGCGAGCTGTTTGACGTTGAAACCTCTGGGTACTGCGAGGGGAGAAAGACCGTTCTCTTTGTGTTTGCCCGTGGGGGCTGGAGCATGGGATGCAGAGGATGCAGGATTCAGTAGCGATGTTTTGGGGGCTTTGGGGTTGGCTTGATGGGAATAAAGATGAGCCTTGAGGACTGAGATACCTAGTACAGATCACGGTGGCATACTACGCAAGAAGCAAAGTGATGTTGTGTTTACGGAAAAGGTGATCTGGCATTTGTTTTTGTGTTTTGCGATATCATCATCTAGACAAAGAGAGCGAGGAGGTCAATCCCGCACTCTCCATCCATATCATTGTTTCATCCATGTTTCCGTATACACGAGAAGCGAAGAAAAGCTCAAAACGCTCAAAGGAGGAAGCCGAAGAGAGAAGGGGGGTTCATGTCAATTCGTTACAATCTAGCTGCGAACGCAGAAACAGTCAGCACACAGATAACCGAGATGCCACAAGAGATGCAACACTCACTTGGCAGGAGGGTTCTTGATAAACTCGACACCCTTGCTAATGTTGCCACCCAGACCCTCATAACACTTGGTCAACAACTTCTTCTCGTAGTCGTTGGCCGACGAAACGACATTGATGGCCTTCTTGGCACCCTCGGGGCCGAGCTCGACGGGGACGGAGAAGAAGTCGCAGCCGGTCTCCTTTTGAATGGCGTCACCGCCGTCGACGCCGGGCAGGTAGACGAATGTGGGCTCGGTGATGCTGGACTCGCCCTTGACGGCCTTGAGCAGCTTCTCGGCGAAGCGGAAGCCGGCGTAGGCCATGGAGAGGGTGGCGGAACCGGCGCCGTCCTTGGCCTTGACGACCTCGTCACCACCGAATTGGACGCCTGGGAATGATTAGGTTTGCTGAATGTGGAAAAGAGAGGATTACAGAAACTCACGGTTGGTCAGGGCATCGAGCTTGTCCTCGGGAATCTTGATGGCGGGCTTGGCCTGGCTCCACAGGGGGACAATGGTCTCGCCAGAGTGACCGCCAATGACGGGGATGGTGGTCTTGCTGGGGTCGCTCTCGCCGGTGATCTCGGCGACAAAGGTCTCTGCACGGACAACGTCGAGAGTGGTGACACCGAACAGCTTCTTGGGGTTGAACTTGCCGGCGGCCTTGAGGACCTCGGCGGCGATGGGGACGGTGCTGTTGACGGGGTTGGAGATGACGAGGACAAAGGCGTCGGGGCAGTACTCGGCCACGCCCTTGATGAGGTCGCGAACGATGCCGGCGTTGATCTTGAAGAGGTCGTCACGGGTCATGCCAGGCTTGCCTGTTGTGGCAAGTTGTTAGTCTTTGGTGAGGCCTGTTGTTGTCACGACTAGCAGCGGGGACTTACGGGGAATGCCAGCGGGAATGACAACCATCTCAGCACCGGTAAAGGCGTGCTTCATGCCATCGTCCTTGGGGAGGAAGCCCTTGACCTTTGCGGGCGACGAGATGTGGGAGAGATCGGCGGCGACACCAGGGGTGTTGACAACATCGTAGAGCGAGAGCTCGCTGACCAGAGGGCTGGACTTCATGAGAAGAGACAGAGGCTGGCCAATGCCACCAGAGGCTCCTGCGACGACTGGAGAGGTATGCCATGTCAGCTCCTGACTCTGTTTACCCAAGTCCGGGAGGCCTCTCTACATACCAACTTTGACCATAATTGCGGTGTTTGTGTGAGGGAGAAGAAGCTTGAGTGTTGAGGAAGGAACTGTTCAGAGATTATAGAACAGGAAGGAGTCTTTGCAAAGAGGAAGAGTGAGAGGAAACAGAAGGGACGACTTGTCTCGGACTTGGGAAACTCAGCTGCACCTGCCAATGCTGCTCTTTGCATGTGAGAGCTTGGACCCCAACCCTCTCCCCCGCTCGGGGTTCGAGAGTCCTGAATGAATGCCCCTCCTCACTCATATGCACTAGCAATCCACCGACATGCGCCCTCCGCAGATCCGACCTATCGTCCTACTCAACACTCTTGCTTCAACTTGTATACAGCTTCAACTTCCCTTCACCCTCTTGCATCTTCATCAGTCTCAATCACAGCAGCCATCACTGCCATCGGGCTTTGCTGGACTTCACCCCGCCATGCCGAGGCCGGCTTCGGCTAATGACCAACAGGGTCTTTACGGATCGTTCGTCTCTCCAACATCCCGATATCATCAAGGTACTCAGCATGACGGAGCACTTTCTTGTGACTAGTGATAGCCAAGGCTAGAGGTATAGAAGAGAATAATACGGAAAGCCTCAGTCTTCAAGACTTCCGGTTTGAATTCGTGCGCCATCAATAGGCAGAGCGATAGTCCCGTAAAACCAAAATGCAGTCATCCCGTAATCTTCCTTCTTTCCTTGCCTTGTTGCTGTTCCTGGAACTTATCGGCCTTGTTCCGATTATCGTCTGTCTTTGCGTCTGTCTCTGTCGTATTGTTTTGTTTGCTTTTTTCTCATGTCGTTGTTGTGGTAGTGGGGGTATCAAGTTGTTTGTCATGTCCTTCGCTGCATCCATCCGTTCATACTTCGTACTGGTCCCTCTCGCCCTCGGCATCGTCTTCAGGTGCACGATAATGGTGTTGGCCGTCGTTAGCGGTCATTGAAGGATCCGCCATTCTAGGGCCTTGTGGAGGGTACATTTGNNCTAAACGCTCGAGTCAGCTTCGTTCGAGACACTCGGTCGTGTCACTCACCGTCTGTTGCATAATGCTGTAGCCACCAGCATACATGTTAGGGTCAAAGCTGTGTGGCTGCGCATAGCCGGCCGAGGGTGCAGGAGGCGGGTACATGCCCTGCTGCGTCTGGTACGGCTCTTGTGCCACGTGCTGGCCCATGGCAGAATAGTCTGTCGGCTGCATGTGTTGCTGTCCCTGTTCCTGGCTCTGAAGCTGTGCTGCCGCGGGTGGAGCCTGCATCGAAGGTCCAGCAGTTGCTATCTGCGCGTCCGAAACTGGGAAGCTGCCCGGCGGGAAGTCCTGTCTGCGTTTGTGTTGAGGGGTGGCATCTTCGCGAGGCACGATGTCGATGAGGAAATCAAACATGTCGCTCTTGGCCAGGGCGCTTGCAATATCACTACGTTGCAAGGTGCGTCTCTTGTTCTCCTCTGCGTGGATCCATGCGCGCATAGTCAGCTCTGTTATGAATATGTCACAGCCCTTGGCGAACAGGATGGGTGCTTCGGCTGAGATCATTTTGACTTCGGGGTCGGCCTTCATGACTTTTTTNNTGATGCGAGCCAGTGGTAGTTGGTGAATCTTGTAGTCATGCTCGTCCGTCTCGAGCTTGGTGACTTGGTTTTGCCAGTATGTGTTGAGAATGTCTCTGTAGTTGCCGGAAAGTCCTTGGGATACNNCTGTGGAGCCAGGAGTGTCAGTGCAAGTGGCATAGGAGTCTTGTATGTCCCGACTCACGTTCGACCACTGTCCGGTGAATGTCTCTGGTGGAGGGGCGCTACCCTGCGATGCGATCTATAGTCGGTGTCAGCCAGACTGGTTGTAGTGTCGCGCATAGCCTTGAACATACATAGGAACTGGCGCCTGGATCGCAAAGTCAGCTGGAGCACATCACAGCAATGCGCACTGATTGCACCTACCATAGTGACCACCATGGCTGGCATCATAGACAGGACCTCCGTCGCGTCCATCATAGCGCTTGGGCGGAGGTACGTTGGAGCCAGAGCTCTGCATGGCGCTGTAATTCGGATTCGACATGACCAGTCAAGCTCTGCAGTCTTGCTCGAGCTATATGCGCCGAGTATCTAGACGACTGAAAACGATAAACAACGACGTCAGTACAACAAACTGGTATTGAACGGAAGGTCAATCGAGATGTTCAGGTTCGCGTCGCGTTGCCGAACCGCGGGCGGAGTTCGCGCCCGACCCTTTCTTGCTCTTTGACATGCTTTCGCAATATCAACGAAACCTTTTCGACGCGATGGTATATGAAACCTGCGACAAGGAGCATGAGGGGAACTCACCGACCTATGATTTGCTTTTGAGAAACCAGTAGAAACTCTGGCGAATCGGATGGCCTGGCTACACGCTGGGCCAGTACCCGTAGCCAACCTGTGACTGGACCGTACGAGTGGAGCTTTGACACGCTCTGGTTGGCAAACCAGACTTTGGAAAGAGCGAATCCCTGCTTCCTATCTAGACAAGAAAACAACGAGAGCCACTGATACAGCGATAAAGATGATTTGGTCGTTGATTGGGGATGAAAGCTGCCGTGATGCACTTTGGGCATGCAAGAGTCGTCTATCTCATCAAAAGCTACGAGGACAGAGGTAGTCAAGCCCTTTGCTCTTGCACGTGACCATCTTCTTTACTCTATATCGAACGCATGCGCTGTCAATCGGCGGACGCCCGACTGTACCATTTGTCTCTTATGCCTTGACTCTCTTTGCTTCTTTCCGCCTTCCATATGGGCAAACCTCTCTTGAATCCTGATGCTACCCATGGGATACTTGCATAATCCACCATGCGATGTGCACGTTGGCATAATGCAACGTCAGTTCAAGGCAAGTCTTGATTTGAGAGAACTTGATGTACACCATAGTGTCAGCAAGGCAGACGTGTGTGACGTGGGGGATAAGGTGTGAGTGACATGAAAGAGACAAACTGAAACCATAAAATCCTCCTTTTTGTCATTTTATACAAGAAATACTGTACATAGCTGAAAGGCGCGTCCAAGATGCGAAGAAAAGTAGAAAGCCTTCAGCTTTAGTTGGGCTTGCCGTAGGTACCCATAGGTGCCAATGAGCCCGAAGCACCCTTGAAGATGTTGTCATGGATCATGCCGTCAACATCAGCATCATCAATACGATCGCTGCGTCTGCCGAACAACTTCAGTCTCTCGTCAATCGAAGCCTTTGCCTGTGCAGCCTGTTCATCCATCTCTTTGCTGACATCCAGACTCGAGTACTCCCACACATTCGCCTTCATACCCACACCGTAGTAAGCGTACTTTTGCAAGAAGCCCAACCAGATCTGCACAACCTCGGGGTGTGCGTCTTGAATCTGAATCAATCTCCTCAATGTGATACGCTCAAAGTTCTCCTGACTCTTCTTGTGCACAAAGTTGGATCTGGGAACGGTCCAGCGCTCGGTGATCTTGGGGAGCGGTACGGGGCCCTTGGCAGGGATGTTGAGGTAGTAGGCGGCGCGGAGAGCAAAGTCGGCAAAGAATTCGAGGTTGCGCACGCTGTAGGAGCGCAGTTGAAGGTCGGCAGCGGGAACGCCGTGGACTGGTGTGCGCTTGAGGGGTCTGAGGTAGTTGAGATGGATGGAGCGAGGGAGACGGAGAGCTTCGAGTTCACGCTGGATCTCTGGGCTGAAATAGGGCTCGCGTGCTGGGAGGGTGACACCTCGTGCTCTGTGGTGGAAGGCGTCTTAGTATGCCATGTCTGTTGTATCGTTGGTCGGGTTGGAGAGAGCTTACTCTTGTGCGGTCTGGCTCATAAAGTCGTCAAAGTCGACAGATGCATCGCGCTGGTGTTCAAGCACGACTGATTGGTTGCCATGCCACGGTTGGCGAGACTGGTATACTGTGCGGACTTGAATAGGTGTGGGAGGCGCAATNNCTGTCGTCGCGCGCCATGTCAGTCGCTACATCTCATATGAGCACATCAAACCCACCCTTAGACGCTTTGCCAGCCCAAAGGGCGACCGTAAATATGAAGCCATTGTATGCTGTCCAAACACCACCGCCGCGCTCGCAGACTGTCAATCTAGAAATCACTCCCGGGATTCCTGGCCGCCTCACACCGCTCGGCAGTCAGCCTTCTTGGCATCCAACATCTACTCGACTCACGACCAGCAAACACAACACTGTCCTCAACCGCACTCTTCTCTAGGATACTTGAACTATCTGACGACTGACAGCCAACATGGCAGCAGTCACTGACCACTTGGCTAACCCAAAGCCTCCCTCCGAGGCCTATCAGCGAGCGTCTGGCTCCGCAGACTTCATCAGGTCCAAACTACCATCCCACCTACAGAAGCCTCGTGTAGCCATTGTCTGCGGCTCTGGACTCGGAGGTATTGCAGACACCGTAACTGCTGATACTAAGCTCGAGATTGACTACCATGACATTCCAAACTTCCCAAAGACCACTGGTGAGTCTTACCATCATTCGTGGGATATTGATGCTGATAAGCACATTNNAGTCCAAGGACACGCCGGCAAGCTCGTGGTTGGCACCATGGGAGAGACCAAAGTCCCTGTTGTCTTGTTGGTAGGCAGAGCACAGTAAGTGAGATGAACAATAATTGAGTAATGGGATGTGATATGCTCATTCGTATCTTCTATCAAGNNTTTCTATGAAGGTCATACCATGGAACTCGTAACTTTCGCCACAAGAGTCTGCAAGGTGCTCGGTGTCGAGACCATGATTGGTATGCGTCTTGATGTTCAGCCATCATGACAACACTAATGATGATGCNNAGTGACCAACGCAGCAGGCGGACTGAACCCAAATTACAGCGTGGGCGACATTGTATGTCTCAACGATCACCTGAACATGGCTGGCTTGGTTGGTTTCCACCCTCTTCGTGGACCCAACTCTGACGACTTTGGTGTACGTTTCCCTCCTCTGTCCGATGCATATGATCTTGGTCTACGCCAAAAGGCACACCGGACATGGCAGAAAGTGCGCCCAGCCGACGGCAATCGCAAGATGCACGAGGGCGTGTATGCGTTTGTTGCTGGTCCAACATACGAGACTAGAGCAGAATGTCGTATGTTGCATCAACTAGGCGCTGATGTAGTTGGTATGTCGACGGTGCCTGAGATTATTGTTGCCAGACACAGTGGTATCCGGATTCTCGCCTTCAGCCTGGTGACTAACAATGCTGTGCTGCAACCTGTACCGCGCGGCGACGATGCAGCATTGAGCTCCATGTCACCACAAGAGCTTGTTGATCACCTTGGCAAGGGTAAAGCGAACCACGAGGAAGTGATCGAGGCTGGAAGGNNGGAGGCCGCCAAGGACATGCAGGTGCGTATGACTGGTGATGGTGATGGTGGTGTGGTTTGTAGAGGGATATGTCGACTGACCGGATACAGACACTGGTGTACAGTATTGTGTCGGATCTGTAAAGACGACACCTCATCTCTTCTTGGGGTCGAAAGAGCGCTTGGCCTGGAGAGCCTTGTAGTACGACTTCTTTCCGCTAGTCTTGGAGGTCTGTATGTCGCCATACTTTCTCTTGAAGCGGCCAGTGTCCTTTTCGCTGGACAAGACTTCGTCGACAAAGGTCTTCTTGCGATCCTTGTTGTTGAGTCTGCCAGAGAAATACTCGGTAGGGCCCTCGACAATGGTACCGACTTGGGAGTATTCTGGAGGCCTCATCTTGCCACCATCCTTCTTGTAATGTCTATGCGGGTCAAGCACGTTACGCATCTTCAACAGCTGGAGATCTCTCTTCAACTCGGGAGTGAGGTCGGTACGGGGCATGTTGTACCACTGTTCACCGGCAGTGGCTTTCTTAGNACTAGAGAAGCAGAGCATGTTAGCAAAGGTCTTCTCTGATGATGATTCTCAAAACAGGTGGTTGTGTGAATGTGCCTCAGAGTAACTATGAATAAAAAAACTTCAGTTTGTGCAGAGGGGCACCAAGACGGTACCCTGATTCCGCGTCAGGAAAAAGTTGGGATAATTTTCCTCATAGGCAAGGGGGGAGTGAAGAGAGGTAAGGGAACAGAAACATACCTCAAGCATCTTCTTCTTGACAGCGACAGGATCCTCGACCTTGCGGATCTGATTCGACAACTTGCGGTCCTTTTCAGCCAACAAGCGCGAACGGTCAACAGTGGCGACATCTCCAGCGTTCGAGACATAAGGCTGCACCATCTCTCCAGTGTTGAGCTTGGGGAAGTTGAACTGGCTGGCCTTGTCTTTGTCGTCCTTGTCGAGAAGCGCAACGCTGGTATTCTCCTTGCGGCGTCTGGCCGCCTGAGCGAGCATCTCCTGCATCCGCTCATCGCTCAGCTCTTCCTCATGTTGAGGTGCGAATGAGATTACGTCCGCCATGTTTGGATGGCGTCCAAGGAAGGAAGAGAAGAGGTGCAAGAGTGTCGCAAGCCGGAAACTTTTTTAAACTTGGGCTTTGCGCACCGCTGGTCTGTGCACCGCGCCAAGTCTGTATTCACCTCGTCCCTTCCTCGACTGTGCACAACTCGTCTTCGCGCATTGCATATTCAAGATTTGTAGAAGGAACGAATGAGTGCCGCGTACTCAAAGGGCTCTGTCGATGATTCAATGTACATCAACATACAGCTCTTTTGGGCCCAACGCCCTTTACACCACACGAACCCAAGAGGATCATCTTCGCTATTAGTGTCACTTCTGAAGACGAAAGGTCGCTCGCCGATGGCCATACCGATCATTGTTTCGGACATTACAATCGACTGAACAACATCGTAATCACACTTCTTGTCGGCAATCAGTAACTTGAATACCCATGTCAACTGGCAACTGATTATTCTTCTCGATACAATAAAAGTACAGGCAATTTATCATAGTTCCTATGGACACACTAGACAAGCTTTGAGCTGTTCGACAACACTCTACTCCTTGCTGACCTTCTTCTTGAGATGCCTCTTTGCAATAGCCTTCTCCATTGCAACAGACTTCAACACGTACATCTGCTTGGTGGACTCGACTGCACGAGCAATGATGTTGTCAACATCGTCCTGCATGTCAGCAGCAGTAAGAGCCTCAATCGAAATCGCACCTGAGATGGCATTGTGAATCCTGAGTACCGTGTCAGTCTTCAGTTCATCGAAAGCAACTGTGTTGGGGGTGGTTGGTGAGGGAAGTGCAGGCATGCTGATGACAGTCTTTTCGAGGTGAGTGAGGTGCTGGCCTGGAACGTCGTTGTAGGCGTTGGCCAACATGGGGTGAATTCCGTACCAGCCTTCGCGGTTGAAATCGTCCTCGGATTCGTCATCAGTGAGGCTCTCGACAGGAGACTTGATTGGTGCCTCCGACTTGTCATCAGACTTCTCTGAATCATCAGAGTCATCAGAGTGAGTCTCGTCATTCGAGATGGATCCGGGTTCTTCATCATCTGCACCTGCGGCCACGGACTCGGCATCTGAAGCAACGTTAGCCTCGACATCACCAACAGAGACGCCGCCCGAGGAGATCTCAGAGCAAGTATCAGAAGAAGAGTCGGACGAATCATCGGAGACAGCACCAGAGACATCGACAGGTTCCTTGCAAGATAACTCGACCTTACGGTGAACACGGTAGTAGTCCTTCAAGAACTCAGCCCAAGCCTTTTGGCTCTCCTCGGTGTAGTGCAGGAACCTGGCTTCGGGTCTGGAGAACAACTCAGGCTCAGGCTGAGCTTGAAGGAAGCTGGTGTGCAACTGTCCATACCTACCAGACTCAAGCTTCCAACGGATCTTCTCATCAACATTTGCACGCGAGAAGTCTTTGCGGCGACGCTCCTCATTGATGCGGTTGAGGTTCTCCAACTTGTCAGTAAAGGTCAATGGGGGAGAGGTGTATGTATCGAAACGGTGCTGGACGTAGGGATAGCTGGAGTCAGCCAAGACAAAGCTGTAATGAGCGAAAGTCGAGTGGCTGGCTTCAACCTTGGTAGCAAGGTCAGAGATGTTGTACTCGGCATTTTTCCACGATTCAAGGAGGTAAGCGAAAACGCCCTCCTTTGGTACAATCTCAGCCCAGCGAGCAATGCTACACAAAAGGTCGACCCAAGCACAGATCTCGTCAAAGTCAAGACTGCCGGCATGAGTGCGGACTTCAGCTGTAGGAGGTCCATTGGGGTTCTTACGGTCGCCCAAGCCCCGGAGGCTCAAAGCGACGTACTTGTCCTGGGAAGATATGTCCTTCAGCTCCTGAATGTTGGAAGCATTCTTGATGAAGTTCAACCAACTGGGAACATTGAAACTGGCAAGACATTGCTCGATAGACTTGAAAGTCTGGGCCGAGATGGCAGGGACAGGATCAGCGGCAGCGGCACCAGTCGGGCTGTTCTGTGGAGCAGTGAACTGAAGCTTGCGGGGCTCGATGTTCTTTGCCTTGCACCAAATCTGATTGTGGACGTGTTGGATCATGGTCTTGGACATGGCTGGACACCATCTGTTATCAAAGTCTTGCTCTGTGTCGACGAGGCCAGGCTTGTACAAGGCATGAAACCCGTCGACCTGGACACCAGGAAGAGGGTTATGTTGGTTGGGGCTCCACATACCTGGGACCGTACCGCCAGTCGAACCACTGATGCGATAAGTAGGAAGGATCTGGTCGAAAGAACGCTCAAGAGCAGTCATGGCACCCAGAAGTCCTTGGACGACGTTTACTGGGAGACCCTCATCGCCCTGGCCGAGATGAACGTGGAAGCCTGTGGTCTCGTTAACAAGCAAACAGAAACCAGGCTCGCTGAAGGCCTCGTGAAGAAGGTCGAGGAAACACTTGATCTCCTCACGCCAAGTCCACTGGAGAGGCTCCTTGGTAACAGGGCACTTTTGAGACAAAGGGCAAGACGAGGTGCCCTCAAACTTCTGCACACGAGAGATGAGTTCCAAGCTGGCGTAGTCTGAACCAATGAGATCATTGCCAATCTGCTTTGCGGACATGTCGACGGTCATGTCATTGGTCAATGTCCAGTAGTCGTTGGTCGTGTCGTCCTCATTGTCGTGAATGGGCAAGTAGCGCAAATGCTCCTCTTTCTCACAAGTGCAGGGAAGCTTGACCTGGCTGTTGCTGAGATGGCTACGAACATATTGCTCAATGGAACCATACTGCTTGGCAATCCTCTTGGGAACAATGGCGACGCACTCGAGTTCGATGCCAAAGGTAAGTTTGGAAGCACGCTGACCAGCAGCGGCATTGCTGTTGATAATCTCAGACATGATTGTTGCTGGAAAAAGAGTGTCGGGGGTATCGGGGTAAATGGAATGATAGATAGTTGATGTGAATACAGTAAAATCGCCTGGATTTGTCTTTTTTCTGTTTTCGCGAGTTGAATTTTTGCTAAAAACCTTTTTGCTACTCGCAATGGCAGTAAAGTGACATTTATATGTCTGTACGCTGGACTCGAGGGGATATACAAAGGGCCTTGTGGTGGATGACAAAGGAGGACTCGAAGCTTGATTTCGATATACAATGGTGCTTGTATGGCAATATCTCTTTGAAGCGCTTGTTGATCAAAGAGATGTCAATGGAAAATTTCTCAAAGAACTTCGAGATGAGGAAATGACAAACCATCTGCTGGGTGAGGAGTTGAAAGCAACAAAGACTGCAACAAAGACTGCGTATACCAACGAGAAAGACCGTTCAGACATTGTGATTCTCTTTTGCCCGGATTTTCTCTGTGACTTGATGGTCTAAGCGGCAAGAATACGTGGAAAGGACCAGAGCGCTCATAACAGCATCAGAGTTTAGAAACACAAGGCATGTATAGCTGTAGCGGATGGTTACGATATTTCGCAAATGTCGAAGGGATAATATTCGCGAAACAAACAAAGAAACAGTGGCGCAACGACGAAGTAATTGTGTCATTGTTTGTAATTGCTTTGAAGCACCTTGGACGAGTCTCATAGTGTCGGCGTCATCACCGGCTGCACAGTGTTACGCGATGTGAAAGAAACTGTGGTCGTGGATGCATCTTTGCAACCCCACCACCCTGGTGTCAGACAATTTGAGCTGGAGGTCGTTGTCAGAATCGATGTTGTCCTTGTAGTGGGCTCATCCAGACAGCTCCACCAGCCTGGAGTGTGGCAAGTGGTAGTCGAGCTAGCAGTAGATTGTGTTGAAGGACATGTCTTTGTCGAGCTTTTGACTGGTTCTGTTCCGTTGCTCGTGAAGAACGACCATTCAGAGCAGTCATTACAATCAATATCCTGCGTGCAAATTGGTACCGAGTCGTAGGCTTCAATGACATCCTTGATGACGCTGCTTATCCTGTGTGTGCCGATTGAAACTCTCCAGCCGAGCTCACCCACCGTGTCGTAGGTGCAATTATAACCAGTGTGGCATTTGCTTTGGAACGCATAACCTGCAATCGTGCATGGAGAATCGAAGGAATTGCAGCTTCCAATATAGATCGGGTCCGCCGTGTGACCGAAGTGGAATGTGCCTGTATAATGGCGTCTAGCATAATCGCCTATCTGGTGACCAGGCGGGGTAGGGAGACCTAGACGATGAGCAGCAAGAGCATCAGGAAAAGCTTCAAAGGTCAGAGTCGGTAGACCATAGGTAGTCCCGAGAAGAGAAGACACTACGCCTCCCAGCGAATGTCCGGTCAGCCAGATACTGGCATTGGGGTACAAGGCCGTTACGTTGTGATAAAGATGCCGAGCAGCATGGTAGTAGCTGCTTTTTTCCTCCAAGCTCCTCACCAAACAAGTCGAATTGCAAGTGTACGCAGAAGTCTGGCAATCACAAACCCGTTTCCAAGAATACTGTCCGCCTTGCCCACAACAGCAACTCCCGAACAGATTATCGTTCAGCCTGTCGTTGTCGGTAGTCTCGGGGGCATCAAAGAACCACAAAGAGGTCCCCTTGAGACCGATAACGACAGTCTTGTTTTCAGTATCGACAAAGATATGACCGCGCAGTCCATCATCCTCCCAACCGAAATCTTCCGTGTAGTTGAACCCGTCGCCAATGTCGATCCAGTCACCTTTACGAGGCGCGGAAACGTATGCATTGGCAGCCATGTGCGCGAAACTCAGCACTGTCTTCTTGTCCGTCACATCAGGACCAGGAACTTCGTCTATGGTCCAGGCTTGCGCATCCAAAACTCTGCGTTTGCCGTCAATCCCGTCCTCGAGGAAGCTGTCAACGATATGTCGTCTACGATCACCAAGGCGCTGAATCGTCAATGGGGTAGAATGCGCCGAAAAGGACTCCCATGCTGTGCTGGGAGTATCAGACCCATCTGAGATGTCGATTTTCCGAAAGAGGTGTGGGTAGCGATGGGATCCTTTATGATATATATGTCTGAGAGTCTGTTGATGTCAAGAGAGAATGTCAGACATGTCAACTTGCACTACGAGACATGGCATGGTACAAAACTGAGTTCTGTTGATGGAGGAAGCTTGTATGCAGCTTCGAGAGGTAGTTGGGTGTCATGCGCGGTGGCGCATGAGAACACGGAGACAAGGAGACACAAGGAAAGAAGGAAGATTATGTTTGCAGTAATGCTGCACATCTTGATGCGAGCTGAATAATGGAGGTCTGATATAAGCGTGTAGTGGCTATTTCGACAGATGGACGCCTGGACGAGAAGAAAGCGGTGCCATAGAGAGGTGGTGGAAGGAGCGAACGGCGGCTGGGCACAAACAAGCCGTAGCCATCGTGTTGACATCGTCCTTCGAGACTACCGTTAGCCATCCAAAATCATTGGCAGAAACACAAAAGCCATGAACACGCTCGAATACTTGCGGCTGCACATGACAGCAATCAAAATGAACTCTCGTATGTGATGCCAGTAATGGTGGGTGGCGATAGAACAAAATCTGTAATGTCATGTATTTTCACCATCGCTTCAGCTTTGGGAACACACACCATCATCGCGTCGTGCATCCATCGAATTTTGTGTGTATATCGACTGCTCCTGATTTTGTTCCTGTCAGCCGCGCTGAAAGTCTTGAATGTCGTACTGATTGCTTGCGAAACGTCATTCTCTCTAGTCGTGCAACATGATTACAGCCAGGCAACCGTGACAACATCAAGTATAGTAGAAGATAAGAGCGAGCGATGCGACTGCATGCATTTTCAGCTCTAGTCGTCGAAACCACCCCACTCCTCATCTCCTTCGTCTTCCTCATCTTGAGCTTCGCTCACCTCCTTCTCGTCCACTGCCCCGGTGGGATCTGCGTCAGGACTTGCGTCGGGATCTCTGACGAAGCCGGCAACGAAGAAGCCCATGGTACCCTCATCAGTACCTCTCTCACATCGAATACAGGCATCCGCAAGCACCTTCGCGTCCACCAGATCCTCCTTGCCCTGAAGCGCTTCTATTGAAGCTTCAGGATCACCTCTTCTTGCCCATCTCTTCATGCCATCAACTTGGTCTTCGCGCCTCATGATCTTCCAGCCACGTTCCTTGGCAACCTTGGAAGCTAGAGCCCTGACGACAACGTTCTCGTTCTCCTCGGCATGTATTGAGCATGTGGAATATGTGACCTTGTTAGCGGCTGGGAAGGCGAAGGCGTGGAGTACAATCTTGAGTTGGAAACCCGCAAGGTTGTTCAATCTTGTCTTCAGCTTTTCCTCGTCATTCTCAAGCTCGGCTGCTTGCGGGGTCTCTTCGCTGAGCTCATCTTTGGTTTCGCTGACGACCGGAACCGGGACCTCCACAGCTGCACTAGCCTTTCGCTTGCGCTTCTTGCTCGAAGGTGCAGGAACGGACGAAGGTAGTGACGGCAAGTGCAAGACTGCCGTGTCATCACGACCGATGATACCACTGCCCGAACAACTTGGATCGAGTAGAAGTGCACCAACGTCAGCAAACTCCTGAGAACGAGGATCGAGTTTCGTAAAGTCTTGAGAGGCCTTGACAGTGATGATTTTGCCGGCACCGGCCAGCTTGACCATCTTATCTAATGTTTGCGCTCTGATAGGATTGCGCTCACAGGCTGTGACAGAGGCCTTCAGACCGTACGACTTTTGAGATGACAAAATTGCGGCAAGATGGGTAGTCTTGTTGCCAGGTGCTGCGCATGCATCTATCACTTGACCATCCTTAGGCTGAGGGTCCAGAAGATAGGCGGGGAAGCATGAGGCTTTATCCTGGAAGATGATCTCACCAGCATGGTATGCAGCATGCTTGGAGAGATCTATCGAAGGAGGGATGGCAACGAGGTCTGGGATATGTTCGTCCAAGTAGATGCCTCGAGGAGTAGTGCTGAGCTCCTTGAGCGATGAGACCTTGGTAAAGTCTGCGAAGAAGGTGCTTTGTGCCTTTGCCATAGACGTTCTCACAGCATTGACACGAATCCAACGAGGATGAAACGCCTTAGTGCCGTTCGCAGTGGCTTCTGCACTCTCGTCTGCGGCGGCAGCGTTGATGTGTGCGCGGAAAGCATCCAAGGTCGCAAATCTACCCTTGATGCGGCACTTGGTGAATTCGGCATTCAATCTCGCTTTGTGACGAGAGATGGCGAGGTTGAGAGGATGTGACTTCGGAGCAGCGACTCCCTNTTTGGCTAGAACAAGATCATGGGCTAGCAGCAAGGCAAGAGTCGGGGTCAGCTGCGAGAATGTTAGCATATGGAAGTAAATAATGAATTCGGACAAAATTCATTGTCTTCATCAGGGGTTGAGAAGGGCTGCACCGAACAGAAGACAAAGAACGAATAGATCAAAGAAACATACCTTCTTCTCAAGTTTCAGAATATCACTCTTCTCGACGACTTCCTTCAGCACAGAACTCCATTTAGTGGTCTCGGCTACCAGAGCGAAGATGGCGCCAGGAGAGCTTTTCAAGTCCTTTTTGCCAAAGATGCGATTCTTCAACGAACCGCCCTTGGCTTCTGCATTGGCGAGGATGTCGGAGGCTTCGTAGTATAGTGACATGGTTGATGAAGTTGACGAGGGCTAGAAATAAAATTTGTTCGACAAGGAGCGTATCGCGGCCGTATTGGCGTCGGCGGATTTGAAACACACCGGACGTCTCACGACTCGACAGACAGGTGTAGTAGCATTGACACATTCATGATGAGTGGTATACAGATTTCAGGGACTGATTCTTGGTTTCTAGAAGCTATTGACCTTTGCTCGGGCAGCTCACAAGAGATGTCTTGGTGTTGAATGCTTGATGGTGATTTCAATGCCAAGACGAAGCTCAGCCACGACGATCAGCCTCGTTCTAACGGCTACGGACGTCTCTGGTGGCATCCGACCGGTTGAGTCGGGAGCAACAAATGTCAAAGCTGGGGGCTCTTTCCAATTGATCGAGGCGCACCATGGACTCGATCAGGCTGACTGTTGTACCTGGCAGAAGGCCGACGCTTCCGAACAAAGACTGACCTAACCCTCTCTATATATATCCATCCATAACTTGTCCACCTCTCCCTAGAGCTGCGGTGCCTGCCATTCTTTCCGCGTCCTGCCCCTCGGTCCTGGGAGCTTCCTGTGTCAGCCCTAGCAACCCATGCACCAACATGACCTGAACACCATGTCTGGTACAAACCCTAGTCCCGAACGGCGGCCGCGAGCACTCGCCGACATCCACTACAACAACCTCATCAATGACACAGCAACGTCATCCGAAGACGAGGGTCCCGAGACTCGAGCCATTGCACCAGCCGAAGTACAATCCCTCGTCGGAGTCAGTCTTGGACGAGCCCAGACGCGCCTGATCTTGCCTCAGACTCCGGCAGCAGAGAAGCAAGCTGCCATTGACGAGCAGGGCGGCTTCTTTGGTGGGCCACAGATTCAAGACGATGCAGACTTGGACGATGACGATGTACCTACGCAAGAGCCAGAGCGTGTGTCCAGACCAGTGACCAGAAACGGAGGACTAGTGCAAGAGAGACCAACAGCAGGACAACGGCCGGCGACGACAACAGGAGAGACAACGGCGCGCTTACCCTCGCCATGGCGCGCGGGACCTAAGAAGTTCAAGAGGACGGATGAGAGCCGCTCTATGCTCAAGGATGGTTTCCGCCGACGAGCTTCCTCGACCAGTCCAGGCCCGGCCTCATCGCTCGACAACTGGCGAGACGCACTCAAGACCAGCATACACAACTTCACCTCGCCTTTCTCCACCACCCACCCGCAAGACCCTGCCCACAAAACCCGTCCGTCAAACAGACAGAGACGCTCAGGTTCTCTGTTCGCATCGTTGGCTTCGTTATCGTCCTCGTCGTCCACCCACATACTCCCTACAAGACCTCGCAGAAACAACAGCATCACTGGCCTACCCGCCGACTCACAACCTCGTTTACCTGAAAATCCGCCGACCGCATCACACGAATCGATCCCTGGGACCACATCGCACGAGACGCCTCCTCACCATATTCTGCAACATCCCAAGACTACGCCTGTGCAGAGAAGTCCACCATCAGATGAATCCATCTCTGGCAACGGCAACCCCCACTTTGTTCCAATTCGCCCAGGAACCGGCAAGACAACCATCGGTCAAGCTGAAAAAGCTCTAAGCCCTATGTTTAGGGTCAACAGTGGCAGGAGTCATCGAAGCTTGCGACGCTCCGCCTCCGAGTCCTCTCTACATACTTTCCGCACTCTCTCACGGGTACCGTCCTTGGGTGACGACAGCCGCTTCGAACATGTACAAGCACAGGTCAACAGCAGAATGAAGGCTATCAGAGACAGCTGGCAGGACACTAACATTAGACTGCCACTCTTGCCTTCATTTTCCTCCTTGTCCGAGCTTTCTCTCACACGCGCAAACTCGTTCTCNAAAAAGAGTCAAACTCCAAATCCCAGCTCTTCAACTAGTGCTCTTCCATCATCTGCAAATCAAAGGTACAGCACCAACTTGCCCAGAGCGACGACGGCCCCGCAAGCGAACAAGACTGCCCAACAGCATCCTCATTTCTCCAAAGCGCTTGATGATTTGACTGGTGATGTCGTTGTACTTGGAGGCTACCGTGGTTCTATATTAAGATCCGCCGAGCCCCCCCACAGACAGTTGTGGGCACCCATCAAAGTCGGGTTGAACGTGAGAAAGGTAGATCTGGAAGTCGGCCTCGATGCAGACGCCGACGAGAAAGCCCAAGAAAAGATCATCCCAGGCGGCATGCTCACTCACATTGGCCCTGTTGACATATCTAGACGCTTGTTCAAACGTATGCGTGCCTCTGAGAATGCCAAAAGTGGGAAGCTACGCGTTCATGATTATGGCTATGACTGGCGTTTGGAACCACTGTTCTTGAGCAAACAGCTTATCGAGTTTTTGGAAAAGTTGCCGTGCAACAGACCTGGAACTCCCAAGGACAAGCGTGGTGCAACAGTCATTGCGCATTCTTTGGGCGGCCTCATCACCAGACATGCAGTGAACCAGCGACCAGAGCTTTTCGCTGGAGTGGTATATGCAGGTGTGCCCAGGACTTGTGTCAACATTCTCGGTCCCTTCAGAAACGGCGACGATGTGCTTCTTAGTAGCCGTGTCTTGACCGCTCAGGTCAACTTTACCATTCGTACGAGTTTCGCTCTCTTGCCACTCGACGGTCGCTGTTTCTTTAACAAGGAAACCAAGGAGGAGTACCCTGTCGACTTCTTTGACCCACAGACTTGGATCGACTATCGTCTTTCTCCCTGCATAGCTCGACCATTGCCATCTCTCAACGACCCTCCGCCGCCGACCGGCCTGGCCGGTGTCATGAACAGCATGGCAGGTGTAATGAACAGCATGGTACCCGGTCGCAAAAACAGCATCTCCCGTACAAGACAAGCAGTCCAACACCCTGCCGCCCACGCCATCGACGGCCTTGTCAATCCTCCCGAGATGGACGGTTCAGCAGCGGCTGGCAGCAGCGATAAAGCCGAAGCAAAGGGCAACATCGACTACAACGGCACCGACAACATGACACCCCAGATGGACACAAGCAGCACTGCTCCTTCCAAAAACTCCACAGACGCAGCAAACAGCGATCCGAACACCTCCATCGCAACAACTGTGACCATTCCCCGCGACCAAGCCATCGCATACCTAACCCGCATGCTTGCCTCTGTAAAAAGATTCAAGGAGGAACTATTCTTCCACCCGCCACACGCAGAGGCCAACGCATACCCACCGGCCGCCGTCATCTATGGCAAGACCACACCCACGGTATACGGTGCCAAGGTAGTCAGTAGGGAAGCCATCAAACACGCTTCCGCATACGACAACCTCGCTTTTGCGTCAGGTGATGGCGTTGTGCTCGCCAAGGCTGCCATGCTGCCTGATGGTTATCAAGTCGCTAGAGGTGGATTGGTGAGTTCGGAGCGCGGGCATGTGACTCTACTAGGTGACTTGGAGGCCGTGGGAAGGTGTTTGAGGGCTGTGCAAGCGGCGAGGAGAAAAGGTGTTGGTATGGGTCTGCAATAAACAAATTTCACAATCACCAAAAATTCACTTCCGACTTTCCTCACTTCGTGACTTGTTTTGCAGCACAACAAGAACATTCACTATCTATACTCCTCCTCAAGCTTCACAGCTCCCCTTTTTTCTCTAACCACTTTGGCGGTACCCCCATACTATACAGCTCCGGAGCAAGCAAAGAGTGCGCTCGTGCAGTTGTCGTCTGGTGCTGTGTGCGCACCAGCCATACAGCGAAGGCAGCAGAAACGATCAGATTAGCGTCTCTTACCAACCTCTCCGTTGCTCCTAGCTGAGACGAGAGGATGTGTGAAGGTATTCATGGTTGGGAAGATTTACAAGGACTTGTATAAGGATCATGGGGAACAGGTCATTGAGGAGAGCGATGGTGAACTGATGACTTGGTTCTTCTTGCTCAGGCAGGAGAGGAGAGCTGGTACCAAATCCCTGGTGTACCTGCGCAAGTGCGCCATCATGTCTGCATCATCTTCGAGCGCCGATTTTCGAATTCGAAAGATAGTCTTCCAGAAAATCCTTGGTCAAAAAGACTCTATACGGTAGGAGGAGTAGACAGAATCCAAATGGCTAGTTTGTTGAGGAGTATGGATGGGGCAGCGTTCATGGCGAATGTACATTTGCAAGTGCAACCTGCCATCGATCTTACCGTTTTATGCATTTGTACCCACGAGTGGGGTGGTAGATGTATGCTGTAATGCTCAGAAAGCCATGACTTCCTTACTTCACTGTATGGACAAAAACAAGATCCATAATCCGTGCTAATGGCATTCAAGTCTGTGTGTGATGAAACCGATTTCAATATTGAAGACTCGGTCATCGATTCCTTCAGGAGGTTGAGACGATTTCTCTGGGTCCGCGGTATCTCTTTCTCCTATTCGCCAAACCGTCCATATGTTCTGACCCGGTGTTATGTTCGTGCAATGCAGCGGATGGAATAAGCGCCGTGGCGGCGCTTAAAGTCTACATCAGATGGTTGATGACGCGGGCTTGTCGAAACATTGTGTTTCGGAGATGCGGACTGGACGAATGGACGCTACAAACTGAACATGGCATGAGCTCCATTGGATTCCCAAGCGATGGCAAGGAGTTGTACACAAGCCATCGGATGTGCTCGAACGACTTCCGTGGGTCTTCTCAGTCAGGCGCAGTACCGGAAAGTCTTATAAAGGTACGACATGCCTGCCGTTTGACCAAGCTATTTCTGCAAAGCGACAAGAATATCAATCACCATATACAAATTTGCGATCGAATTCACGAGTCCGTCCTGTGGAGTCTCACCAAACAACTGCCACTTCGACAATGCCGTCAAACAAAGCCCGACTGTATGTAGCGCTCTATGTTCGTGCAGGAGCTGCCAACATGGAAGGTAAAGAGGATACGTGCGTATGCAGAATCACCACAGGAACCGTTGAATGACTAACCGAGTTCAGCTACCACTGGGCATTATCGGTAGGGCCCAAGAGCGACAATAACGATGCTAGAGGCGTACGATATCACGCCCGAGATCGTGCAACTCAAGAAGCAGACTCTGCCTGGGCTTTTGAAGAAGCAAAAACATCTATGACTCCCACATAGATGATCTTGGTTCGGATTTTGATAGCCAAGATTGAAGATACAGATAAGCTTGCTCAACTGCTGCGACAAATTCCCATCAGACAAGGACAGCAGGGCTGGAATTGTGTCGCTTGGATCAAAGAAGCGCTTTCTCAACTTGATATGTCGAAGAACATTCTGGGTACTAGCGTAGTTGGGTGGGCAGCGGTCCGCGATGCAGCTATGACATATTGCCAGAAGAAGAGAGACCAGCATCGATTTGACGGCACGGTCAGCTTTGACACTTCGCGGGTGCCGACTTTCGACTTGATCCAAGGAAAGGAGACAATTGTGTAGAAGTGAGTGCTCTCAGAACAAATCTCCAAAATATCGTTGTCGGAGTTGCTCCATTGCATATGCTTCTGGCATGGCTTCCAGAAACTTCTCAATTTCATCTCTCCAAAATGAGTTCTGTGGATTAACCTGACAGGCTGTAGTATACTCCCAGTAAGATGGATACCATCCTGCAGTCTCCCAGTCGATGATACCAACGATAGTGTCGCCACGTAAGAGAATATTGAGACTGCTTAGATCGCCGTGAGTAAAGGTAGGAGTGCCCCAATCTTGAGAATGCAAGCTTATGAGTTTCGAAAATTACTCACTGTCGTGGCTGTGTGCTTGTGTGCCATTTCGCAAATGGTCGTGGAACTCTTGACAGCTCTTGAAAGGTCCGAACCGGTCCTTCATTGACGGTATCCGGAGATCAAACAAAGGTCCCCCACTGACGTTACATATGGCATCGCTCTGCTTGGTCAGGCTGCGCATCTCGAGGACCATTTNTTGTAAACTGTCCAGAACTTCGAGCTTTGAAGCTTCTGACCTGTGTACCCAACCTGAGGCAGCCATTTTACCCTTGATTCTCTCCATTAAGATGTAAGTGCAGCCTTCATGGGTGAACGCAAAGTGTACCTTCGGAACAGGGATACTGGTGTGTTTGGCGATGAAAAGCATGGTTTGTGCCTCGACAATGTCAAGGCGGCCACCATATTTTACGCATAAGTTGCTCGTCAGCATGAGTACACTACCGTTGCGATTGCGAAAGCGTCTCAAGAGATTGATGGATGCTAGCAGGAGCCATCTTTGCAAACGAGTCGGCTGAGGAACGTCCAGTGGGTCGTTGGGCATTGTGGTGAAATTATCCAAGTCGACAACGTTGAGTGAACTTAGCGCAGCAGCGATCTGCTCACGCCAATATCATCTGATGCGAAGAGGGTTTCGCTCTCCGAGTAGTGTTGACAAAAGCGGCCCAAGCCAAGTTCCGCACGCTGATAGAGAGTGGAGGGTAAGTAAACAAAGTGCAGTCGCGGGTCGCGACATGGGTCGACTGCCCCGATGCATTGGCACACGTTGGCAACAAGCTCCCGCACCTCTCAAGCCTAACACCAAGATGGGGACTTCTCATCAGCATTGTCACGCAAGTTCATTGTTATCGTTCGCCCTTTCTTTCAACTTTCTAAACATTCTTTGTTCCGCCCAATACCTTGTCCCGGACTTCTTTTTACATCCAAAAAGCCCATTGTTACGAAAAATATTCCTGTGAGACAACATCCAAGTCGTTTCTCTGAGAAATGTCTATATATACACGCATACCATCAACATATATCCAAAACAGATCCAACACTACCTTCCAATCATCAACAGCCAAATCCAACACTCTACAAACATATCAAGATGTGCAACAAGAACACTTCCATCACTACTACTGACATCATTCTTAGTGATCGCTTTGGCAACACTCCGAAGTGCAGATCTTGTGGTATGCCTTGTGTGTTCACTCCTTACTCTGCTGACTTGATTTGGTACTGCTACTACTGCAAGCGCTACTACTCTTGAGCAGTCCACATTACCCTTTACACTCACGATTTTCCCTGGTGCGGTAAGACCTTGATTTTGAATCTCAAACAATAAAACATACTTTTCTCTTTTGAACTACTTCCTACTACTTTATTCGTGAGATACTTTTCTGTATTCGCCTCTCACCTTTGACGTGCTTTTTGCGCTCAATGATGATGATGACCAGGATGATCATGACCCTCGGCCTCTTCCTCGTCAAGAGGGTTGCGCCATTCTTCCCATCCGTCTTCGAAACTCCTACCCAGCAGACTCTCTCTTTGCTCGTTGGTCAAACTCTTTCTCTTCATAATCTTTTCCCACTTCTTCATCTCTGCATCATTCAAGAGACAGCCATCGAACAGTTCTGTGATGGCCTTGACGTCGATGCCTTCGCCGATGAAGACGATCTCCTGTCGGCGGTCGCCCCACTCGCCCTCGAAATCTTTCTTGATGAGATCTGTAACGTCTTGGCTGGGTGAAGGCCATTGCTCCTCTGGAACCACAGCGAACCAGTTGAGGCCGCCAGAAACGGTGAGCATCGCTCCTGCTTGCGACCAGTCGCCGCTGACGAAAGGACGGGTGGCCAGCCAGATGAAACCTTTCGAGCGGAGAAGGGGTTTAAATACAGGATGGGCCTTCTTGTTGGCCAAGCGAGTGGGCAGGTCGAGGTCTGGATACTTGTTGTCGAGTGCGGCTTGATCGTCTGAAGCCACAGAGGTGGCATCGGTCTCGGAGGCCGATTTTAGGCTTGACGAGTCTGAAGAGTGAACGATAGCGTCAGAGTGTGCTCTTGCCAGAGATTGGTCTACCTCATTCTCGTCGCTCTCAGATTCGCTGGTTGTATCATCGTGCTCTTGACTGTCGTCTGCATCTTCCTCAACTTCGTCCTCTTCTTCCTCGTCGTCTTCGTCTTGTGGCTCCAGGATGACAAACTTATCATGTACAAGTTCGTACAGTCGACCAGGCGAGAAGGGTCTCCTCGCTCGGTAGACAAAGCTGTTGATGCCATNATCTGACAAGACGTCAGTAATAATGATGCATATCCTGAGACTGACCACTTACTCGAGCGTTTCTGGCTTTGGCGTCATGACCGTACGACCATGATTGTCAATCATGGACATCTCATTGATGCTCTTGAGCCAGCCAGAGCTTTTGATCGAGGTCTCTTCGCTGTACATGCCGGTCGCGATGATTTCTTTGACGTCCAAAGGTTTGACACCATGCGGGTTTTCGGATTGCTTCGAGACTCGAAGGCTGGTCTCGATCACCTTTGCTCCGGGGTTCATGGTTCTGAGGAGACCACGAATGCGAGCAAGCACATCGTCGTTAATCATGTCAANTCTAAGAGGCGTTAGCGGTGTACCGGATATTTTGCTCGGGCCGTTATCCACCTTGTTGACAATGATCACGTCAGCGAATTCGATCTGGTCGATCATCAAATCGCTGACAGTCCGTTGGTCTTCTGGCGTCTCCACCTCCGACTGGAAGCGTTCGTGCAAAAGCTGAATGGTCTCGAACTCCTCGAAGAACCTGAAGCCATCCACAACCGTAACTGTGGTGTCGAGTCTGGCGACTTTGTTCAACCCTCCGTTCTGAGCACTGGCAAAACTGTGAGACAACTTTAATGAATCGAAAGCCACATCAAATACTCACATCTCGTTGAAGACTTTCTTCTCCTCGTCATCGAACTGGTCGAGAGCGCCATCGGCCCCCATCATTGCCTCAGTAAAGTCGGTAGTAAAGCTCTCGGCAACCTGTTGCGGCTCGCTGATGCCAGTACTCTCGATCAGAACATAGTCGTATTCGCCAGCTTTGGCCATCCTAGCTAGCTCGATGACAAAGTCACCACGAAGCGTGCAGCAGATGCATCCGTTTTGCATGGCAATCATTTTGTCTGCTTCTCGACCTTTCTTCTTTCCATCTGCGACGATGATGCCTTGGTCCACATTGACCGCAGCCATGTCGTTGACAATCATCGCGATCTTTAGTCCATGGTCTCTCGAGTTGAGGATGTAGCTGAGAAGGGTTGTCTTGCCGCTTCCCTGTTGCAAGATCAGACGATGTCGTCGGATGAATGATACTTTGGACTGACCAANGAATCCCGAAAGCAGCGTGATGGGAAGTGTTTTGAACGGGGATGCTTCTCTGACTTGTCGTGTCATTTTGGTGTGCTTGGTCTCCTTCTTCACCGAGGATACCTGTTGTGAGTTTTGCTTGCGTTTGGGAGCCATGATGTTGAAGAGAACGTAGCCGACCGCTATAAATCCTGACCTTTGTAAAGTGTCTGACGGCCACCTTGATGATTTCTGCTAACCATTGATTGGCCACTTACCTTTGCAGTGGAGCTGAAAAGTCTACCTTGATGGCAGACATAGCACTCGTGCACAGCATCTGTCTGATAGACTAAACATGTATGACCAATAGCCGAAGGATACGATGAGTGGTCAGCGACACACTGTACTCGGTGGCTTGTCGCGTCCGTTGCTGTCTTCGTGCGACGAGACTGTTGAGGAAGGAGAACTTGGCTCCACAGCACCTTGATGGCAGCGTCGCGTGCGAAGTGTCCCACTCCCTGCTCGTGCGTATCTTTCTGACATTTTCCTGCTCTCTTATTGGTGTCTTGGATGTATGTCGTCCGAGGATGATTTGGGAAGGGATGTGTTGGCGGGTGTATGACGACTGCCGGGCGGTCAGGCAAGGAATGGCGATGCGTCTCACGCCGATGTGACTTCCTGGTTTCCTAGGCCTCAGTCGTCGAGTTTGTCCAACAACTTCGGGTCGTTTTCATCGGTCGAGGTTGCTTTTACGTCTTTTTGTTCGTCTTCTGGGGTCGTGTTGCAAGAAGTGAACTAGAGGCAGTTTGGCAACCTGGACCTTGGAACCCCATCAACGACTCGCCACATCCGTCGTATCTTGCAAAGAGGCTACCACGATCGAGATCATGCTCGACTCCTCTCACAGCCTCCCAAATAAAGTCGCTGGCGGTACTCTATCGTAACCGGACATTGTTAGCTAAATGTAAGGTCAATGCATTGTCAGCCTGCTTGCAGCGAAGTCTTCCAAGATAGCCTATCTGCTGAGCCCAGGACCAGCCAGTGCGTGCTGAATCATACTTTCCCGGTAGCATGTGCATTCAGGAGAACTGTATGGTAGAAAGAGCTCTACTGAAAGTCTCTTTCTTGCCTTTGGAGGTCACGTTCCATGCTTCGAAGAAGACCTGCTTGAACGCAGCCGGTCGGGCGATTGCAATGCTCAGACATCTCGGAGCTGGCGTGTGACTCTCGACGGTCAGCAGTGTCCTGAACGTGAGATGGCTGATAGCTCGTTCGTCTAACGAGTAGGTTAAGAAAGAAGAGAAACAAGCAGTGTCATGAAGTGGCTGGAGAGAATGCTGCTTGAAGTGCAAGCTTTCGGTGACTTGAGCATTCGAGGATCAAGCTTGAACGACGCTCTCCCAGTTCAATGACCTCCAAAGCTGCACAAAGTGATTGCGTCGAGTTCACTGTTCATCCTTGCTTGACCAAATGGAAAACCCAACCACTAAACTTTTCTTTCCGCTCTCGAACCTGCACAACCTTTACCATCTGCCCAGAGCCACTAAAACATTCTTCCTTTTATTACACAAAGCATCCACACCAAGAAGAAGCCACAATGAAGGTCTTCGCCATCCTCGCCTTCATCATGGCTGCGCTGCTCAGCACAGGTAAGCGAGAAGATCTATCGATCGCTACTTGTGCATACGCTGACAGCTCTAGTCTGCGCCCAGAATGTCACCTACTCTACCGCTACGTCCACCTTCACGAAGACGGTCTACCACACCGTGACCATCTCGGTCAACATCGCCACCCTGCCTGGCTTCGCACCTCATGGTCCTGCCTTCGGCTCTTCCGCTTCTGCTGCGTACGATCCCTCTGTCGAGCTCAAGAGTATGGTCGTCCAGACCATTCAACTCACCTCCACCATCTACTCGACTGAGGTCGACGGTGTGATCGTCACATCCCTGAGCACTGTTGTCGCTCCCGTCACCTCCACCGACCTTCAGGAAGTGACCTCGACCACTACCAAGCACGCTGGCACCACCGTCACTACCACCACGACTTCACTGGTCGTCTCGGCTTCGACCCCTAGCGTGGCTGCCACTAGCCTCACTATTCCGCAGGAGGTTGCGCAGATGTGGGGTCTGAACGGAATTGAGCAGGTGGAGGCCAGATCTTGGTTAGTCTTCAGTGTGGTTTTGTTGGGGGTGGCTCACTACCTGTTCTTTGCTCACCACTAAGCACTCTCCTGATATGGAAGGAGCGTTCGGGTGCGGTGGAACTGCACAATCATGTATCGTAGCTTCGCTGAGGCAAGGAAATGAAGATTATTACCCCACTCCCATCTTTCATCTCACCATGATAGTCATCTATAAGAACGCAGAATGTTCTACGAGATGTGTTGATGTCCAACGAGAGCCTGTCGAAACATGGTTGCAGTTATGGCTCTCTATGGTGTGTCTACTACGTTGTATCACATTCTGCATTTTTATAATATACTATTAATTATGCTTTGCGATGTGAAGAAAACAGGCAGTCGCGACTCTCCCCTTCGGAATGTACCGCACATATGTAGCTATAAAAATGCACAATAGTATTGAGTTGCAGGATAAATCCTACTGAGAGCCAGTAACTCTTAGACTCTTCTTGGATACACCTTCGGTTCGTAGCCCATCTTGCATTCTGGATCGTATCCCGGGCCTAGGGAAAGAGTTTGCAGATCGACTCCATGCCTGGATAGACTTCGAGAGATTGGTTGAAACAGGCAGGCCATTCTCCGACTCGTGGAAAATGGCAGTTTCCATCGCTAAACGAGTACACCCCTCGCTTTCTTGAAGAGTTACACTATTGGGGGTTCGGTATACTCCCTTGACGTTAGGGTGCAGTCGACGATCGGCAGCTGATCACAAGAACGGATTCGGCTTCGTGTGCGGCCGTGTCTTTGCTGCTTCTTCATGCTCCCGTGTCCCATGGTTGCAGAGAGAAGCACAGGTCTAGGGGCTGGAAAGTCAAAATAATCGATTTGGCAGCCCTAAAGGTCTCTGCTTCGAGTTGTACAAGACCGTGTCAAAGAACGATAAAAATACGATGCTTTCCCAGCCACTGAGGCTCCCGGTGCCACGCACGCTTCATCTCCACCATGGCCGTCTCACTATACAGCAAACACAAGGTCCCTAGGTCAGAGCTCATGCGCTTAATCTAAGGATCAGTGACAGGCTTGTATGATATGCTTAGCGAGGCTTGATGTGATAGGCGCATGCATTGATGGAAAAGTCCCGCGTGGTGCGAATTAATTTGCCTGCTCCCCAGACGTTTATCCCCACATTGTTTGGCGCACCGTGCAGAAGATGGCTCCGGCTGAATGCCACCAAGGCGACTCTCGAACTCGTTGCTCCCCCTCTTTGTTTCACCATCGTCCGGCCTCGAGGAATTTTGACAGCTTCTGCCGACGAAAAGGGCCTTCTACAGAGGTGATCACTTTGATATATTGCTCCAAACAGTCTGGGCCGAGTTACCGACCTGCCTCATTGGACGGAAAATTCTATCATGTCAACTATAGCCTTCCACGCTATGGCGACGGCTTTGGAGAGCTGACGATGCCACGAGCCTCGAGGGCGAGCGAGATTGACAGTAGGGCAGAACCACGGTTGACGAAACAAGTTGGTATAGGGCAGACAATCTCGCACGTAAGAGACAAGGTATAAGTATCCAGGTGACCACCACCACGTTGACAGACCAAGCAACACAAATCAACTTCCTCAAGCCGGCCTTGAAGTACTTTTCTCACCAATCTTTCATTTCTTACCGACCAAATCCCGATTACTGTCCAACTACTACATTCGTTCAACATGCATTTCTCTTCCCTCGTCGCAGCCGCCATTGGCGGTGCTGCCATGGTCTCTGCTGCTCCCGCAGCCTCTCCCCTTGAAAAGCGCGCCACAACCTGCACCTTCAGCGGCTCTAGCGGTGCTGCATCTGCCACCCAGTCCAAGGCCGCTTGCGCCACTATTGTCCTCAACAACGTTGCTGTTCCTGCCGGTACCACCCTCGACCTAACTGGTCTGAAAACTGGCACGCACGTCATCTTCCAGGGAACCACCACCTTTGGCTACAAGGAGTGGGCAGGTCCTCTGGTCAGTGTTTCCGGTACTTCTATCACCGTCACTGGTGCCTCTGGCAGTGTCCTTGATGGCGACGGTGCTCGCTGGTGGGACGGCAAAGGCTCCAACGGTGGCAAGACTAAGCCCAAGTTCTTTTATGCTCACAGCTTGACCACTTCGTCCATGTAAGCACATCTTGTAGTGCACTTGATAACAAGCAGTAACTAACAGAAACACAGCAATGGACTCACCATCAAGAACTCTCCCGTCCAGACTTTCTCCATCAACGGAGCCAAGACCTTGACCATGGATTCCATCACCATCGATGGCTCCGCTGGAGACAGCCTCGGACACAACACTGGTATGCTCCCTGCCCTAAATTGACAAGGTTGGGACAACTTTCTTACAAGANNTACAGATGCCTTCGACATTGGAAGCTCAACTGGCGTCACCATTACCAATGCTGTCGTGCATAATCAGGATGACTGTGTTGCCATCAACTCTGGTTGTGAGTCTTCGTCAACCTCTGTTCCGCCTTTTGCATATCGCTGACACTTGTCCCTAGCTGGCATCACCTTTTCCGGCGGCTCTTGCACTGGTGGCCACGGTCTTTCTGTCGGCTCCGTCGGCGGCCGCGACGACAACACTGTCAGCAACGTCAAGTTCCTCAACAACAAGGTCATCAACAGCGACAATGGTATCCGCATCAAGACTGTATCTGGCGCCACCGGTTCCGTCTCCGGTGTCACTTACAGTGGCAACACTCTCTCCGGCATCAAGAAGTACGGTATCGTCATCGAGCAGGACTACGAGAACGGCAGCCCTACTGGCGTCCCTACCACCGGTGTCCCAATGTAAGAAACGTTCTTTGCGCATGATTTAGGTGGACGCTTGACTGACAAGCTCAACAGCACTGGCTTGACCATGACCAAGAACACTGGCACAGTCACCAGCTCTGCCACTGAGATATACATCCTCTGCGGTAAGGGATCTTGCTCGAACTGGACCTGGAGCGGCAATTCTGTCACTGGTGGCAAGAAGTCCACTGCATGCTCCAACATCCCCAGCGGTGGTGCTGCCTGCTGAACGTAGCGGCTAGAGATGCACGCGTGAGTAGGTTGGTGGTATGGTGTAAGGAGCGAGTGTTGAGTGCTGGACGATGACTCTATCGATCTTTTTCTTCTCTTTTCGTACAAGTCTTGCTCAAGCACTTTTTCTCTATCATCTGGAAGAAATAATCATATCTGTTTTTCGTCCCACGAACTTTCACTCCCCTTCACTTGTGCCAACCCGTTTGCTCGAGACATGTCGTGACCGAATTTTTCACGCACAACACTTCTCCTCCTCTCCCCCTGACCACCGGTGGGCATCACGTCTACAACACCGCGACTTCATACAAACACGCCATCGACATGGGCAATACTTCTATAGCTACGAGCTGGTCTGCCACAGACGATGGCGCCGTTCCTCCACACATCCAGGCCTATGGCATCCTCATCATCCGCGCCCTTGACTTCCTTGCTTCCAACGACGTCGCCTCTGCTCAGCGCGTGGCTCGTCTCCTCCTGCGCAGCCCAGACGTCTGCGATGAACACAAATCGGTCTGCCACCGCATTCTCGCTCACAGATCCAGGAATGTCGTGTGAGTCTTGCTCGCCCCTGATTATCTCGCTCTTGCGCCTTTACCACTTACTAACTCAAGACTCAGGAGCCATGAGAAGAACGGCTGTTACACAGCCCGAGCGGTGGAAATGCGCGCCTATAAGCGCGAGGACGTGAAACTCATCACCATNTCCTCCACGCACTTCTCGCGCTGCCGGCAACAACACCTCTGGCGCTGCTCGCGTTCCTCCCGCCTCTATCCTCAAGAAACCCACCCCCAACTCGCGCTCCCTCAGCATTCTCAAGAGACCCACCACCAACCCACCTTCCCCCACCATCCAGCGCACCCCTCCCGACCCCATCACAAAGGACTCCCACTGGGTTCCCCGCGCCCGCGTCCCCAGCACCCCCATCAAAAAGACGATGCCTGGATCACCACTCCCCCAAAGACTGTCACTGGCACTCAGGGTACACCCGCCACTTCTTCCAGCACGAAGAAAAAGAAGGTCAGATTTGTGGAGCCGGTCGATCCTCTGGATCCATTGAAGCAGAATATGAAGAAGCCCAAAGTGGGAAAACTGTTTCCGGAGTTGATGGCTAGATTCGAGATGCAGTGAGTGCATTTGGTTGAGTCGAGACTGGTGGTGAAAAGAAAAAGGCAGTAATGAAGTTATGATAAGGGATACCCACGTCGAAGAAGAAGGAGTTGAATCGAAATGTTTCTTTGGACGTTGGTGTGCTTTTGATTTGAACTGTGCATTTCTATAGTATACTCGGTGATGGGTACTGCAAGGGAAGCGACAGGCATAACGTTTGTACTGGTGATCAGCCCGGCATCCGCTTGCATGAGCCAGGGATCATCTTTCCCAACCGTTTTGGTGCATCTCCATCTCATCGTGCATCTTTATAGTATCGACAGCCAGGGCAGTGGTAGGGGAAAACAGCCATCATCGACCAGAAGCCCAGCGTGCGCGAGTACCAGTACCTTATGGAGGATGGAGACGAATTCTGATCTCCAAAGACATGACCAGAGCTTCAGACTGCTATAGAAATGCAAGATGGTGCTTGAATACACAGCAAGACCAAAGAAGCACGACAACAAAAAGACTCTCTTTGGACACGGCATAAAGTCTCAACTGCTTCTTGCATTTTCATAGCACTAACGGCGACGACAACGATAGGAGAGATGCCTGGATCCCAGATAATGACAGTGATATTCGATTGATGACAACGTGCTTTCCTTGTGCTTAACACTCCACACTTCCACCTCTAACACACCACGAGTGCATTCCTCCTCCCCTCTTTGCAGCCAAAGATGAACAGTAGGCGATTATGGTGACTTGAGCTATGTCAGACAGGCGCTATGTACAGGTCAGTGATGCTCACTCAAGCGGGATCGCAACTGTTCTTACCTTGTTGGATGATTCATAGTCCTCGAAGCAACACTTGACATTGCAAGCAGAGATCTTAGCAACAGACAGTTGAGGCGATCTCAGCATCGATGGCCAGCTTCAGGATGACCAGCGCAGCAAGAGGGCAGCCAAAGCGCAAGTAGACTGACGAGGAGGCGAGCGAGATGACGATGCTGGCGGCGATGATGGGCATCATCAGCCAGACCAGGAGGCCGGGGCTGCTGAAGAAGACTTTGATTTGGTAGAGACGAGCATAGAGCAAGATGAGCGTGGTCAAGATCTCATAGGTCGTCTTGGGTCCAACGTGCTTGATGGAGAAGCGGATGATGGTTTCGAATGCAGTGATGCTGATCATGTTTGGTATGTATTTTGTTGATTGGTTGGGTCGTGAAGAGGACGTTGATGTTGGTATGAAGGAGGGGAAAGGATGCTGAAGCTTGTAGACAGGAGAAGGTGATTCGAAGCGCGGTAAAGAACGAAGTAGACGAATTTTTCTGCGCGTAGGGAGCTGTCACGGTCCAGGATGAAAGTGAAGTTAATTTCATGCAATCAAAAGCGGCTCTGATCTGGAAGTATGATGCTAGTGATTGTAGCCCTTCACTGTCTGATTGTCAAGTGGCTGACTATTGATGCTAGCAGTCAGTGTTATGATTTGTCGTTGAGAGATGCACGACGACTGACCTCTTGCATCGTCTTGACCTTCTGTGACGGTGGTTGCTATTCGAGCCACATGTACGCAGCGATGAGAGTGATGAAGGTATGAAAGACATCTGCGTAATTAGGCTCGGCTCCAATATTTGCTATGCAGGAGGCTACATAACTGTGATCGTACGTGGCATGGAGGATCGTTATCCAGGCTAAGCCGAAGAGGCCAAAGAGCCACATGTCGCCGAAGCAGATTCGGATCTCAAAGAATCCCGATGTGAGGACAAACCAGAGTGTTACTCGAGCCGCAAGGTTCATCAGACGAAGGATGATAATCGCAACTACGGGAGTGGGTGAGAGAATCATCGATGCGTTGTACTTTGTTGCTCCAGAACACGTTCGTGGTGGAGCTTTGGTACATCGGCGACTGTATTGTAGATTGAGCGACGAGCAGAGTGTTGGCAGTATTGTTCAGCCACAGTTGTGTTACCGAGGTGTCAGGACTCGAGGGTGAGCATGTGGTGCATTGCAGTCCGACGTGCATGCGCCTTCCTCGAGAGCTGTCGACAGAAGGACGAGGTCACGACAACTTCGACGTGTATACTCGCCCGCAGAATGGGCATCAGGCATGTCGCGCCTTCCCTTCTCTTCTGGGCCATGCATCTTGTCTGAGAAGAGACTACCTACTCGATCCCAGCGACAACGGAAGACGCTCGCTGTTCTTATACTCGGGCCAAAGAACTTCGTCCATCTCAGGAGCCCATCTCGATCCGACAATCCTTATCTACTCGTAAACAGAATGACCTGGATAACATGCTGGATTCACGATCGGAACCTTGATCGCTGCCACTCGCTCGCTATCACCGGCACGGATCGTTGCGGCAGACGGTGAGATGGTGATCGTTGCTGTCGCGGCAGGAACCACGATAAACCTTGCCACTGCTTCCAAGTCCTCAGACGGAGACTTGAACAACTTATCGCACAGGTTTAAGCGGTAAGACACGCGTTCAATGGAGAGAGAAAGTAGAAGGGAAAAGGAGCCTTCCACGTTCGGCGGACCCGGAATGAGACGACCATGACATCATCTTCCCAGCCGCCGCGGCCTCGCACGCCAAAAAGTCAGTCCTGCGGTCGAAATGAAGCCATGATCTCGACATAACTTTTACCCTCCTATTTACTCAAAGTATCCGTGCTTTTGTTCTAAATCTCGTTGTTGCCCATACATAATTTCCATGTCTCTTTGATCATGTCGCGCTTCCGATTACCGCCGATTCTTCGACCGCGCCTGACGCCCAAATACGTTGTCTCCTCTGTAGCTGCCATCTACGTCGTCTACTGCTGGCTGTGGGGAATGCCTTTGTTGTCTTCGAACCTCCCCGCCTATACGGGACCGCATTCTGTTGGTGTGATCGATATTGAAAGTCCTTGCGATGGCCGAAAGACAAGCGACGTCAAGTTCAAGTCGACGGGTGAACCTGCATTCTTGGTATTGATGTATGACGCTTAGACGACCAACAGAGCTTGCTAACATTTTTCATAGCTTGAAACAGTACTGTTTTCTGTATACTACCCAGCCGTGAAGGGAGCAAAGTCTGATAAGCCGAAACATCTTTGGGTGCCTAAGCCGCTCGCAATCACAGCAGAAGGCTATGCGAAGTTCGCCCACATCAGCAACTTCCTCACGAACAGTATCTTCACCGTCGCACTCTGGGGTATTGCGGGCAGCACTACCATCCAAGCAAATGTCGATGTACCTCTACGAGAAACTGCGCCCAGCTTCAAATTCACCGAGCATCGAGAGGGCAAGCCAGAGGTGGGAAACGATGGTTTCCCCGTAATTGTCTTCTCCCACGGCATGGCAAGCTCTCGCACAGACTACACACACTTCTGCGGCGAGCTTGCTAGTCGAGGATATGTCGTGGCTGCCATCGAGCACAGAGATGGAAGTAGTCCCGGAAGCATGGTCATGAATATTGATGGCACCGAGCGACCAGTTTATCACTTCGGTCTCGGCGAGTTGGATGTGGACAACAGCTTCGACACGCCTGAGCTCAAGCAAGCTCAATTAGATTTCCGACAGGCAGAGATCGAGGAGACTGTTCGTGTATTGAGAGCCATCAACGACGGCAGTGGCGCCACTATCCTTGAGATGAATCCTCGCAAGGAGGGTGACGACCTGCCTAACTGGGAGGGAAAACTCGACATGACCAACGTAACCATTTCTGGTCACAGCTACGGCGCTACAGGAGCTCTTCAAGCCTTGAAAGGCGCACCTTGCCCGCAACGTCCCTTCCATGGTGGTCTCATCCTGGACCCCGGCAAGTCGAGCGGCCCTCTCAACCACGACGTCGATGTTCCAATCTTGATTGTTCACTCCAACTCATGGTCGAAGAAACATTCCATCTTCTTTGGCCAGCCTCATTTCACCGTCGTAAAAGATCTCGTCATGGATGTCAACAAGCGCGGAAGGGCAGCTTGGTTTATGACTTCCCTCGGTACATCGCATCCTTCCGTTACAGATGCGCCTCTCTTGGAGCCCACGCTACTGAGCTGGACAACTGGATCGACAATTGATGTGATCGATGGCGTGAGAATGTACGTCAACGTAACGGAGGAGTTCATGCTCTTCCAAAAGGCCCACCGGAGGACAGGACTGCTTGCTCTAGAGGTCACGCATCCCGACTACGACAGTACCTCTAATGGCACGCAAGAAATGCCAGAACTCTATCACCGATTCTGGCAGATTCATGTTGCGCCAGATTCAGTATAATAACCATTTACGTACTATACATATATCTCGAAAATGATTGTTTGATCTCCGTAATGAGTTGGTTTAATTCAAGAAGTGTCTTGTCTTCCTCTCTTTGGACGAATCTCTGTCTGTCGATACTATCTTGCCTTTTCATAGTGAAGTCACACTCTTGTTCGTTGTCGCGCGGTGTCTTATCGACACCAATCCATGCTCTGCATCTCCCGAGAAAAGGCAGGGCAGGGTATAGCTATAGAATTGCACAATACTGTTTGAGACACGAGACTTGTCAAGGAAAAAATGTGCCATGGATGACTCTCTGGCCATATCTCCTTCGCTGAAATCATCGTGGATCTTCATAGAGCTACATTGCTCCGGTGCTTCTTATGGGAGAGCTCGGATGTCTGTGGTATCATCACAGCTCTAGACTGCAGCACAACAAAAATTCACTTCTTTCGAACCACATGTCCCTCGAGAGTTAGTGAAGAAGTTCCCGCAAGACTCATTCAGTCACCTCTCCCTACTCTACATCAATCACCTTTGGTGCTTTCCTTCAACCTCCTTACCAACCACATCGCCTGCTCGCAACCTCTCTCACCATGAACCCACAAAGACCCCTCCGTGACGATTTCACCAACCTCGACTCCCGCGTGCGCGCCCTCGAGTCTCGCACCTCCATCCTCGTAAGCCCCACCATTGCCGCACTGCAAAAGATATCTCCTACTAACACCATCCCAGTGCGCCGAGCAAATCTATGATGCCATCACAACAAAACAGGCATCAGAGGCCACTCTCCAGGCCTTCACTCACCAAGCCTGGGAGATTTCTGTGATGAGCAGCAAGACCAATTTCGCCGAGAAGAAAGTGGAGAGACTTGAGCAGGAGCTTGAGTTGACGAAGAAGGAGCTCGTCGAGGAAAAGAAGAAGCGCAAGCAAATGGAGATCAAGATGGATGTCATGTACGAGTGGTTCAAGATGCAGAACCAGTAAAGGAGTGATACAGAAGTATGGGGGAGCACCAACAAAGTTCCCAGATACGAATCAAAAACTTGACAATCTTGACCTCAGACTCCGCAGCCCCTTCCCTTCTTATCATAAGCATCGCCCAAGTAAAGACAATATCGAGTCAAACGAGTGAGGACCCACCACCGCAGATTCAAGCAATGAGAGGCTAAATCGAGCCAGTCGGTCGACATTCTCAACCAGAATACTCTCAACATCAGACTGTATGCATCTTCAAGAATGCCAATCTAAGAGATCGCTTTCTCACCCGTCGTAGCTTCCCTCTCAGGACTGGCTTCAATATCGGCGACCTTCTCGTCGGCACGATTCTGCTCAAGCGCACGTACATGCTGGTACTGCACTCTAGTCTTCCAGGCTGGAATCTTCTGCTGGAACAGTGCTTCTACTTCTTCAAGACTCTTTCCGGATGTTTCTGGGAAACAAAAGAAGACGTGGATGAACATGGCGACGCAGAACACGCCGAACACGACATAGACCTTCCATTGAATGTTGACGAATGCGGGTGGAACAAAGTAGCCTGGGATGAAGCGTGTCAGCATTTTGGCTGTGGGCACGATCAAGTAAAGAGCTACGCAGAACACGATGATGATATCTGTCATCCTGCGTGGTATGACTTACTCAGCGCGAAGTTCATGATCCAGTTTGCAGCAGTGCAAAGGGCCACTGCTTTTCCTCTGACGCGCAAGGGGAATAGCTCTGGTGGATAGATCCAAGAGACGGGTCCCCAAGTTGGAGCGACCAGCCGACAAACAATGGTCAGCATAATAACAACAACAACCGCCATGGACTCTAAAGATTGTGGAACCTCAGAACGAACTTACAAGATGCAACGAAGAGATAGGTGCAAGCAATTACAGCCTTGGACGGCGGTCCGGAAATCTGCCAGCTCTCCTCCGGGACGTTGTTCACACCACCGGGCGGTGCTGGGTGACCATAGGAAGCCATAAGACCGGCATTGATGAAGAGCCAGAGGGCCATGAAGAAGCTTCCGACCAACAATGGAAGTCTTCTACCCCAGCGGTCGATAAAGATCAATGCGAAAATCGTCATGAAGACGTTGATCACATATTGGATAGAGGAGGCGACGAGATTGTTGTTTCCCTTGAGACCTGCCATGCCGAACAAATAGGTGATGTAGTACATCGGCACCGAAAATCAGCATGGGAACCATGTAAAAAGCTGCTTATAGCATAGTGTGATTGTTAGGGGAGTGTCAGGAAATGATTCTGGCTTTTTTTTTACTTTTTTATTCTGCACGGGAGAACATCGTGTGGGCATGAGGGGACAGTTGAAAGTGTAAGTAACTCACCATAACATTCATGCCAGTCAACTTCACCTCAATGTTAGCATTATACACAGGAACCCGGTGGCGCTCAACTTACTTGTGACCATATCTGGAACCAGTCAGCGGATTCTTGTGCCACTAGCAATTCTTCTTGACTCACCTGAGTGAAAACACCAATGTGGGTTCTGTTGATCATATGCGGCTTGAAGAGCTCGAAGTAAGAAACATCTTGGTTGCGTCTCTCGAACTCGACCATCTCTTGGATCTCTTGTAATTCGCGCTTGACGAAAGGGCTATTGGGGTCGCCGTGACCATGAACTAGTGCAAGGACTTTCTCGCAGTCTTCCCAGCGATCCTTGCGAGCTAGCCAACGAGGAGACTTCAGACAATTTCAGCAACACAGAAGAATATCACTTTGCGTCAGAGACATACCTCAGGTAAAAAGAACAGTCCAACTAGGAGGAAAGCGGCTGGCAGAGCTTGGAGTCCCCACGGTACCCTGAATGCTTTCGCACCGTCAAGATATGAACAGCCGAACGAGATGTAAAACATGATTAGGATGCCTAAGACAGTATCAGTCCTCATGCGAATGCACGAAACGGAATTTTGCTTTACCCCATGTAATAGCCCACTGCTGCGCGCCAACAACCCGACCACGTCTGCTTGGATGGGCCAGCTCTGCATCGAGGTTAACAACAGCATGTACATTCTTCAGTACCGACATACCAGCGACGTAGACAGGAACTTGAGCTGACTCGATGCCAACCTGCAACGGTTTGTGTCAGGGAGTTTTGTTATTCATTAGGTATCGGAAGTAACGTCGAACTTACGGACAGACCGTTTATGAATCGACCGACGACAAGTTGGCCAATGTTCTGTGACGAGCATACAATCATTGAACCAATGATCCTGAACCTTATCAGTAGTCGCAGCCTCTAGTTGCTTTCCAGGAAAATTACCATATGACGGCTCCGATCTGAATAGCTCTCTTTCGACCCAGCCAGTCGGTGAGGAAGCCAGAAACTAGAGCACCAACGAAACTGCCACCTGGCATGGCAGCAGTAATTCCTCCTTGTACGTCTGCTTTGGGACCGGAGCAGTCTAGGTCGTCAGTAAATGGTGGGCCAATAGGGCCCTGATTGAAGTAGCATTTATACTGGTTGGTGCCCAAACTATGCTATTCAGCTCAAGATCCAGAGATGGTCCGAGTTCGCTTACATGGCCGACATAGATGAGATGTCGAAGCCAAACAGTCCACCTCCAATGACCGAGATGGCCGTAATGTAGTAAATGTTACCGATCTTATACATATTGTTGATTTAGGTGTCGCATCAAATTGTGAGTGAAGAAGAGTGAAAGCCGCAGTGAACTTTAGGGTGCAGGGAGACAATTTAAATACAGTGTGGGATGCTCTTGCTCTTGTCGTCGGATTTTGAAGGATTGCTCTTGGTGTTGGTCGCTCTGCACATGGCCAACCCCGCAGGAAGAGATCAGCATAAGCTACAAGTGCAGTGAAACATCGCATTGGTAGTTGCTCAGGACTAGCATGCAATCTGAAGATTGACGTTACAGTACGCGGCTCGTGACATATTCTTTCCGAGGGCATCGAGGTAGAATCCAGCGCGGGGTCGGAAGGCCTGAGAATACTTACCATTGTCGCGGAGGTACTAGAATGTATCCAGGCAGGGCTCCTGGAGGACTTGAACCAATAGCAAGAGCTGGCCCATATACAGCGAGGTACCTACGCCGAATCCTTCATGACTCGATCTCAGTTGATTGGTGCGTTACTCAGCCTGACACCACTCCTGCTTACTGGGAAGCGGTGTTGATCAACACTCTTCAGATGCCTTGCAGACCGCGTTGAACAGCAGTGGTATTAAGTGCGTGATCAGTCCCGTCTCGCTTGATGTGCTTGACTGGGAATGGTCGGACTTGAAGCTTTCATCAGTCAATGTTGTGGAGACCACAGCAGCCTTCCTAGAGACGTCGACGAGAGATCTGTCGCATCAGTTCAAGAGGACGCAGGATGAACACAAGCGACACCAAGCATTAAGCCAAGGCCGATTGCAATATGATGAAGCAGATGCCAGGGCTTGCTTGCGTTGTGTCAGCCACGCGGTCGGCAGATGTCGGGTCGATGTCCAGATCACCCCGGTGTGGCACTGTTGGTATGCAAAACCATTGGATGCAATTGTTGCTCTAAACGACAATCACTTTGTGGTGCATTCGTTGGTAAGTTATGGAGCAGAGACTGGGGAAGGAAGGGACGAAGAAAGGGTGGGCCGATCGCGCGGCCCGATCGTCGGCCCGCACCCAAGAGCGTTTCTCATCGATGACATCTTCCATTCATTGTTTACCCATCAACCAAAAAACGATCACGATGGAAGCTCTTTTTAAGCGCCATCAACCGTCTTCCGCATGGTGATGTGGTACAGATCACCATGTCGTCCCTATTGTCTTCCATCTTTGACGCGACACCGAGACCTGGCCTGCAGCCTGTTCCGAACACAAAACCCTTGACCTTCGAGGCCGCCATCCTTCCTCCGATAATCTATTTCCTTGCCTTGTTATTTTTACCGCCGCCTCCGCCGCAATCCATTGATACTGTTGCGATCAAGTTACTTCGGAATGTCCTGGCATTGCTAGCTGGAGTCTTATTCTTCCGGCTGCCATTAGCTTACTACGTTCCTCAAAGCATCGGACTTAACTACCAGCTCGCTCTTGTCGGTTTCTACGGTGGATGCAGAGTTCTCGATGCATTCTTCATCAGTCCCTATGGCTTTGGGCACATACCTCGTCGTGTTCGCTACAAGCACATCTCTCGAGCACATACACCTGCACTAGTCGAGACCGATAATGAGCCCCAGGACCCAGCCAAAGCCGCTGCTAAGGCCAAGAGCGATGAGCAAAGCGTTCCTGAAGCTGTTACCGATGCTGCCACTCACGCTCGTCGCGGATCATTGGCTGACTCATATTACGTGCTTGAGAAAAAGCTTTCCAACCTCAGCGAAATGAAGCCTGTTTACGAATTGGCCACAAGTGAAGAAGGTTGGCCGCACAACTTCCTGGATCGCGCTTCCTGGGCTCTTGAGCTCGAAACCAGCATGCGCGGTATTGGCTTCACCTGGACAACAGCCGACGTGCGACACTCTCGTAAGACGTGGCTGCCAACTGCTACCAATCGTTTTCACTCAATCTTCTTCCATGTCGGTCCTGTCTTGGCCGTCTGCTTTGCTATCATTAGGACCACTTATGTCAATTACTTCGAGGGAGTGCCGCAAGCTGAGTTTGGCATTCATACAGAGAACCTGTTTGACAACCGTCTACCCTTATGGCTGCAACTCCTTCTGACTGCAGCTCTTGGTGCATTCCTTATGGCTGCATTCTCTGTCGCACACTCCATGGCCGCTATAGTGATGAGCCCTTTGGCACCTTCACCACTTGCATACTTTCCTCCTCTTTACAGCACCCGCATCTGGGACATCAAGTCTGTGAGAGGCTTTTGGTCCTATGGCTGGCATAGGCTCTTTGCTCGATTGTTCTTGGTATATGGCGTTTGGCCTGGAGAGTGGCTCGAGAGGAAGCTCACAGGCAAACGAAGCGACGAGCCAGCAGATATTGGCAAAGTACTTGGCGGCTTCATCTCCTCTGCTTTTGTCCATTCTTTTGCAGTCAGATCTGTGCTTGGTGGTGAGTGGAGCCGTGCTCTCGGAGAAGCCAAGTTCTTTGCTGCCAACGGCTTTGCTGTTGTGGTTGAAGAAGCTTTCCGAAGACAAGTCATGGCTTGGAGGAAGAAGAGAGATTTACCTTTGGAGATGTGGTATGACTCTTATATTGGTCGTGTCTGGTGGATCACTGTTCTTTTGTTCAGTGGCAGAAATTTCGCACGCGGTTGGGTAAATGCTGGTCTGGTCAGAGAGATGGCTGGCAAGTAGCAAGCGTCGCATTTGAAGCATCGCGCATCAAATGCGGAGATCATCCCGAGCGAAGGAGTTTGAATGAACAATGGCATATCGCCCAGGCAAGATGACCACACCTGAGACTCTATGACAGCCCGATGGACTGCATCGTGATAAGCTAGAGACGGATTCCTAGACAGCTGCTAACCATTTGATCGTTAGCCTCCTTAATTCAGCACATTCCTGCTACTTTTCAAGATTTCTCCGCGTTTGAGATCGTCCACGTAGGATCTACATTCGAGCCTCTACGTCATGAGTACCTATGTACATGAGATCACAAGCTCGTAGCCACGAACAAGTATAGACTGACTCGACTGCTGTTGCTGATGCTTTCACTTCTTCTGCGACTCTTGCGCAATATCGACTTTGAGAACCAATATGTCTTTTGAATATCCTGAGAAGAAAGAGAACTCTCTTGACCATGGCGATGATCTGTCGAGACCAGAGACTGGACGCCGCAAATCATCAATGTCGAGACGAAAGAACAGTGCATATGAGGACCCTTTTGCACGGAAAGAGAGTGTAGATGAGGGCGAGGTTCAAGATGCAGAGATTGACTATCAGTCGATGGAGTGGTGGTGAGTCCTGTATTATCTTCAGTCTAGATTCTTCCTTGCTGACCAATTTATAGGCAAGCCGCCATGAGTATGTGAAAGCTTCCAATGAATTGTAGACTCAAATTCTGACAGCAGAAAGTCATGATCGCCGAAACGATTTCGCTGGGTATCCTCTCGCTGCCTTCGGTACTTGCCAGGATTGGTCTCGCGCCTGGACTCCTTATACTCGTTGGACTTGGTATAATCGCAACCTATACTGGATGGGTACGCATCATTCTAGCATACGGGCTAGAGGTAGTANNATGGCACTGACAATGAGTCTCTCAGGTGATCGGACAATTTCGAATGAAATATCCTNNTGGGTAAACACCACATATCCAAGCCTCCTGAACAAACACGCTCATGAACTCTTAGGTTGTATCATTTGCAGACGCAGGCGAGATTCTATTCAAGCCACTCAAGATGGGCGCCATCGGCCGCGAATTCTTCGGCGCAGCACAAACGATTTTCCTCATCTTCACTATGGCCAGCCACATCTTGACCTGGACCATCTGCCTCAACACAATTACCGACAGTGCCACATGCACAGTGGTGTGGGCAGTAATCGGACTGGTTCTTTTCTGGCTTTTCGACTTGCCTAGAACTCTCAAGAATGTGTCATTCATGTCAATCGCATCCTTCATCTCCATCTTTTCTGCTGTCATGATCAGTATGATTGCAATTGGCATTCATAAACCTCGGGGTAATACACCGCTGGCTGCAACAACTGTATTGCCGTTCACAGATGCCTTCGTTTCTGTCAGCAACATTGTGTTTGCCTACGCTGGTCGTAAGTCTCGTATCCTGCCATCATTACTGATACTTAAGGTACTGACAAAATCTAGANNCAGCTGCTTCTTTGGATTTCTAGCAGAGATGAAGAACCCTGCCAAAGACTGGACAAAAGCTCTGATCTTTCTCCAGGTGTGGGATATCGGACTGTACATCATTGCCGCAACGGTCATCTATGTATTCGCTGGTCCAGACGTCACTTCGCCTGCTCTCGGTTCCGCAGGTCCTATCATCAAGAAAGTTGCTTGGGGTATTGCTATCCCGACTGTAAGTCGTGTCTGGTTCTTTGATTTTCTTTTTACTTTTTTCTCCTTTTTCCTTCTCACTCCCCTTTTCCCCTCACCCTTTTCTCGACCTGGATCAAGATACCGGTATCCTGACGAGAAGCAGATCATCATCGCGGGAATCATCTACGGTCACGTCGCCGCCAAGTACATCTTTGTGCGTTGCTTCAGAGGCACAGTCCACATGAACAGGCGAACCAAAACCAGCACCCTCGCCTGGACAGGCATCACCCTCACCATCTGGGTAATTGCCTGGATCATCGCGGAATCTATACCTAATTTCAATGACCTTTTAGGTTTAATTAGTGCTCTGTTCGCATCACACTTTACATACACGTTGAGTGGCGTTTTTGGACTTTTCCTCAACCACGGACACTGGTTCGACAACTCGAAGCAGATTGCACAGTTTTGTGCCAACTGGGTGGTTATTGCTATTGGAGCGACAGTATGTGTGGCTGGCCTTTACAGTTCGGGTACGGCGATCGCTGCTGATGGTGGAAATGGCTCGTGGACTTGTGCTAGTAATGCTCAGTGAATAGGATCAACTCAGGGCTCTCCGCAAATTGTATCAGATCTTTTCGAACATCACAGTTGGCTAGGAGTATGGAAACGAGACGAGCCCCTAATCAAGAGCATAGGAGTTATACATCACTGGCTACGACTCTTGTGTTACCATTGACAGACACCTTCGTTTCTGTCAACAACATCGTTCTTGTCTGTAGGACCAAGGAAGAAGCACGGTAATGTGAATTGAATCGTATTGGACATTAAAACGTAGCTAGGCCTAACTGATCCTTAGCCATATAGGTTTTCCCTGGGACATCATTTTGCATAATTCGTAAACAGTTCTGAGACGTAAGCGTCTAGTGAGAAGCAACATCTTTCGCTTGCCTCATCTTGACCCAAACACCATCTGCGGGACAACAGGTCAGCGTCAAGCGCATCTTGGGTTCGGCGTCGAGAGTGGGTCCTGTAGGCTCAATCTTGTCGAATCGCTGCAGCAGTCTGACCATGACATAACTGGCCTCGGTCAACGCAAATTGTTGGCCAATACAGATCCTAGGACCTCCGTTGAAAGGCAAATAATCCCAACCGGGTCGTTTGGACGTCCACCTTGATGGCTTAAACTCATCTGCGTCCTCGCCCCAAATATCCTTGCGTCTGTGCATAACGAAGACCGAGTAACTGACATCAGTACCCTTGGGAATGAAGATAGGCGAAAGACCGTCCGCGCCACCACCACGAGGAATTGTGGTATCGGCCAAAGCACGTCGACCATCCATAGGTACCACTGGGTAAACCCGGAGAGCCTCGTTCAAGCAGTGTTGTAGGTACTGACAGTCCTTCAGAGACACAAAAGTGATGTCTCTAGGATTTTCGTAATTGCCAAAATCATGGATGACAGTCTCGCGAAGCTTCTCAAAGACATCTGGGTTTTTGGCCAAAAGCAACAGCATCCAGCTGAGTAGACAGGCAGTAGTGTCACGACCGGCAATCAGAATGTTGAGCAATTGAGTGCGTAGTTCGACAGGATCCTGTGTCTGAGCAGCGAGCTCTTCGAGGAACACAAACTTCCTCGTGAGTGACGGTCTCCTCTTCTCATTAGTTCGCGCCTTGATTGCTTTTTCCACGTAGTAGTCGGCGAAATTGTGAACGTCTTTGCAGAGCTTCTTGAAGTGCTTGTCGTGAGCCATCCAGTAGAAGTTTCCGAATCGTGCGCCTTTGAACAGGTAGCCTTGGGAGCTGTCGATGGCAGTGCCGAATACTCTTTCGTCTCTCCAAGCTGCAGCTGCACCAGCTTCTCCACCTCTAAGAGCTGCAAGCTGAGTGTCAATGCTCTCGCCAAAAAGAAACTCAGTTGAGCTGTCGAGAGTAAGGCGGAAAAACAAGAGCTGTACATTGGTCTCCTCAACCCAACCATCGGCGTTGACAGGCAGAGCCTGCATCATGTTCTGTACATGCACTTCTTCGAGTTCCAAGTCACTAATGTTATCTCGAGCGAATTGAGGACGAAGCAGTGCCCTAGAGTGCTCCCATCTTTTGCCATCGGATGCAAANNCTGTGAGCTAGGTCAGCAAACATACTTAGACTTGAAATTGATGCACACCCACAATACCATCACCCATCAGAGGACCAAAGTTGCCAATTCTTGCGGACCCTAGTCCGAAGTCCTTGAATTGAGTTGCCAGCAAAGCTTGGATATTTTTGGGATCCGATGTGAAATGAGCCTCATTCCCTAAAATAGACAGGCGCATGGTATGCACAGGTCTGTTCTGCGATTCGGACAAGACTTCCTCTCGCTCACGGAGATACGCGGGGAAACGGCCTGCCTTTTGAGCCGCCATCATTTGTTTGATCGTCGAGATGCCTAGATGCGTGGCGGGCCATAGTGGTGCTGGCTCACAGTCCAACTTGCGGGACTTGATAGCATGTTGTCGGCGAATATAGAGTAGACTGATGCCCTTGTAAACTATCCAGGTAATCGAGAGCCAGAGGAAGGCGTAGAATATAGGCGCCATCTGTGAGGTTGACAGACTGCAGGGTGTAAAGAGGGATCGACAGGTCTCTTAAGGAAGCGACCAGAACCCTGGTCTTGGCCTGCCACCCTCGTGAACAACGAGCTGAGTTGCGCTTCGGCTCTCGGTAAAGCGTATTAGTTTTGCTCGAGTCATCAGAAATGCGGATGGCAAGGAAACGGCCGTAAATGCCCGCCAATGAACGACATGTCAGAAGCATTTAAGTTGGCAGCGACACCCAACCAGTCTTCGTATATCTTGGCTTCCACAACGGTCCGGAGGTGATCCACCCTTGATATCAGGCATGGCTTGCGAGTCACCATCACTTTGGAACGATCATGATATGATAAAGGATACTTCCAAGCGCCGTATGAGACCGCCAAATGCGCGTGAACGAACCATAGTATCATTCCTCCGTAAAAGTGTACCGGAGTAGAGGAAGGAGGAAAAGACGTCGGCAAGACCTGATTTGGCACGTCATTGAGATTAGCCGTGCTTCTCTTGGCAGTGTGGGGTAGTGTGTGGTAGCGGTCCGGACGATCGCTTTGTCCCTTTTTGTTCTTTTTCTTCTTTATGCCCTCCTGGGCATGCAGAGAATGCTTGCGTTGTCTGGAGGTATGCTTTTCAACCATCTTGTTGACGGCTTGACGCAGCTGGAGTGCATGTCCTCCAGCGCGCGTTATGAACGCCGACACGTATGTGGTGTGATTAAGGACACTGAATAAGGCTGTGGTGGCTTGCGGACAAACGGCGCCCATACCGCAACCGGCGTCAAAGAGAGGTGTGGGCCTCGCATTGGTTCGCGAGGTCGCAAGCACGTTTCAACGCGCACGACAGACCCATCGTCCTTTTCCTAATCGCGAAAGCACGCCCGTCCTGTACCGGTGACATGGGTGCGGTATGAACGGTCAACCTGCTTGCTGGCTGATAAGAAAACAAAGGTCTCGAGCACCGTCCGAGCGACGAGGAAGGTTGTCGTCCCGGTTCCAACGCGGGTGCGCGTCTGACTTGAAGAGATGACAAACCTTACAAGAGGCTGGTCACGCGCCTGCGGGCAGTCGTTTTGTGGTTGATAAAGAAGCTTTCTCTGACACATTCTATGTTGGAAACTTTGGTTGACGATTTCTAGGTGAGTAAAGGGCGAGTGTGACGCTGGTGAACTCAATTCGGCCATGTAACACAACATGAATCCTTCCGGGCAGTCGTCTTTCCGACTCCTTCAACATGCTCACCAGACTTGAGTCGCTTGTCATCCTAAGGCTGACGACTTGGATCTCGTCATCTGCAACACGGATAAGTGACCGTATCTCGGAAGGAATCACGCAAAGGTAGGTATAACAGCATTCGAAGATTTGCTCAGCATGAACACGCCTCACTGGAATGTCGACGTGCGGCTCTGTTTCAACCACGGAGCTCCTGGTGACACAACATAACAAAGCGATGCTCGTGCGAACGCCGCCATGATTCTGCATCTCCTTGATCTCAGCGACTCATCTATGACCAATCTGAAGCAAGACCTATGGCTGTCCGTGGGACACGTCGGTACTGACACTGAGCCAGCTCTACTGCGGCCACTAATCCTACTTGTGCTAGTAGTCGTGGCTGTATGCAAGCCACTCACTTTCAGGCTATACTCACACAAGCCTACGGCTACAGGCATGTCATGGTTGCACAGGTCGCTGGTATTCAACCCTCATAGATCGCGAAAGATCCAGCATATAAGCAATACCGCTGTCGCCCCTCTCACCCCAGTACCAAGCTTGCCATCAATCACATCCACAATGGCGAAATGCGGACGTCGATTGCTCCCAAGCTTCATCGATGAGATCGCGTCGGACAACCCAAATTTGAACTTTGTTGAGATACCCAAGTCTACTGATATCAATGAGGGCCTCTGTCAAATCACTTTCTGCGATCTCGCCAGGAGCATCGATAGATGCGCTTGGTGGTTAGACTTGCAACTAGGCAAAGGTCATGGCTTCCCAACATTGGCTTATATCGGACCTCACGACCTAAGATATCTTATTCTTGTGTTTGGAGCTTGCAAGGCGGGTTACAAGGTATGGTTGCTCCGAAAATACTTTCCGGTGTGGCTAACCATGGGACACTCANNGATGTTCTTTGCTTCCCCAAGGAACAGCTCTGCTGCTCTCCTCGATTTGCTTGATCGAGCGGACTGCGGCACTTTCCTGATGCCCGGGGACGCACCACTGTACTCGAATTTGTTGATGAGTGTGTTTGCAGAAAGGCCGATGCTGACCCTTGACCTTCCGGATCTTGCGTACTTCTTGGACATCGATCCAATCATGAAACCTTATACATGGAAGAGGACCTTTGAGGATACGAAGCATGACCCGCTAGCAGTCTTTCATACATCTGGAAGCACTGGTATACCGAACTTGATAACTATGAATCATGGCGCAGTGGCTGCTCTCGACACGTTCAGGAACATCAGAGCTCTTACAGGCCAGATGATACAGACCGATGCTTACAAAGGCAAGAGGACGCTATTGCTCTTTCCGATGTTCCATGCCTCGGCTATCAGTACACTCTTTCTCTCCATCTGGAATACCGTCCCGACTGTTTTGCCGCCTCCGATACCATTGACAGCAGAACTTGCAAACGACATGCTGGTCAATTGTAACATTGAAGCCAGTATCATGCCGCCAACAATCCTAGCCGAAATTGCAGGCAACCAGGAATATCTCGAAAATCTCTGGAAATGCAACAGTGTAATGTATGGAGGAGGACCACTACCTACCGAGGCCGGCAATCGCATCGCTTCAGGTACAACTCTCATTACGGTCTTCGGAGCTTCCGAGACTGGTTTCTTCCCTGTCGAAGTCATGCAGCAAGATGACTGGCGATACGTCAAATTGAGCGGCTATGCTGGCGGTTTGTATCGCCCATATACAGATAACCTGTACGAGCTGGTCATTGTGCGGAAGCCTGGACTAGAACCCTATCAACCCGTCTTCTGGATGTTTCCTGATTTGATTGAATATCGGACCAAAGATCTGTTTTCCAAGCATCCCACCAAGGTCGATCTGTGGTTGTGGCAGGGTCGTATGGACGACATCATCGTTCTCAGTAATGGCGAAAAGTTTAACCCTGCCGCGATGGAGGACATGATCAACGGACATCCTGCAATAGAGTCGGCTCTTGTTTGCGGTCAAGGCCGTGATCAATGCGCAATACTCGTGGAGCTTTCATCCACCGAATCCAGTGAGGAAGACAAGACCGAAAAGGAAGTCGTTGAAGAGCTGTGGCCAGCTGTGCAAAAAGCCAACGAGCACTGTCCCGAGTATGGACGATTGATGAAGGACATGGTCGTAGTCGCAAAGCAAGGCAAGAGGATGGTTCGAGCAGATAAAGGTACTGTTCAACGCAAACCCACGCTCGAAACTTTTGCTGCTGAACTGGATCAACTTTACAACCTCCACGACCCTGATGCGTCTTTGGCTCAAGCAGATCGTCCAATGGATCTTGCCAGCGTGAGGAAAACTGTGACTAGGATTGTACAAGACATTCCTGGATATTGCACAATACAGCCCAGCCGCAGCTTTTTTGATTTGGGTTTCGATTCGCTACACGCCATGACTATAGCCAAGAAGCTTAGGACCGCCTTTTTCAACTCGCCAACACCGATCACGACCAAAGCTATCTACGACTACCCAAGCATCGACCTCCTTTCATACTTCATAAGTGGCTTGAGCACTTCGCAAGAAGATTCCGTCAAGACGATGCAAAGGTTGTACGATCGATATTCGCCGATGAGTCGACAAGCACTGCCTCTTAAGACATCACGGGACGTCATAGTTCTGCTTGTTGGCTCTACTGGTCACTTCGGCACTCAACTTTTGCACCAACTGTCAAGAAGAACAGATGTCGAGAGTATCTTCTGTTTAAATCGGGATCCCCACGCCAATCTCAGACAGAATACTCTGAACCTACCTTTGAAAGACGCAACTTCGATATACATCAGGTACTTCCATGCAAACTACTCTGATCCAAATTTCGGATTATCTGAATCAGACTGGCTTGTTCTGCATGGGAAGGTCACTCATGTGATACAAAACGCATGGCCAGTCGACTTTTGCATGCCACTGTTGCACTTTGAACCTAGCATTCGTGTCACCGTTGACCTTATGGACTTTTGCAAATCTGCAGACCACTGCCCGACTTTCGTGTTCATCTCTTCCATAGGCTCCGTCCTTGGCAATCATAGAAATCTCGTCACGGAGGAAGTCATTCACGATTGGTTGAGGGCGGAGTCTATGGGCTATACACAGTCGAAGCTTGTTGCTGAGCGTCTCATAGCCACAATCGCTATGACTACCGGTGTCAAGAGTGTAATTTGCCGTGTCGGCCAACTTGGTGGAGTCTTGAATTATGGAGTATGGAAAGACAAAGTACCCCAATGGCCAGAGAAAGGATGGTTGCCTGCTATGCTGGCTTCCTCGCTCAAGCTTGGTGCTATTCCGTCTTCGCTAGGCTCTCTTGACAGGATAGATTGGTTGCCAGTTGATGTCGCTGCAGCCACTGTGTGCGAGCTCATGTCTGCCTCGTCTACAGTTCACGAGGTATGCCAGGTCTACAACGTTGTCAATCCACAGTCTACCACCTGGGGGAATCTGTTGCACAACCTGGAAGCTTACGAAGATCTTGAGAAAGTAGCTTTGATTGATTGGATTTCACTGTTGAGAAAGCGTATCGATAGTGGACAGGAGAGTGCCATGCCGGCTATGGGACTGATTGACTTCTTCGAGAGTGCTTGTAGAGCTGCAGTAAAAAGGTCTGTGGTTGATTGTTCNAGAAGTCTTGCTCTCAGTCCGACTCTCAGAGGTACACAGCGCATCAGTGTTGATCTGGTGGAGCGATGGATCAGTCAATGGAGTTTCAGTGGTTGATGGGTTGCGATTTGGAAGTATCAAGATAGAAAAGGAGACACAAAATGAAAGAATGCTACCAGAGATCTCAGGAACTTGTACTTACGATGTTTTGTTGGTTTTTGTAGCTGTGAGTTGATCCAGGGGTTACCCCCAGCAGTGAACTGCTTCAGCGCAGCCAATCCTTGTGTTTGCAAGACCATGCCTTTGCTTCTGCAGTTGAAGAACTTAGCAAGGAAAGAATAGCTTGTGTTTGCAAGACGACTCGATGCAAGTTAGTTCAGTTGAACGGAACAATGTCCCGCGAGATACCGGACGTTTCGGCCCCGCGATTTTTGATCAGTTGAAATGGTGACAGTCTAGTGAGAAGTCAGCAAATTGATCTCGCAGAGGCTCGAACTCGAGATCTCTGGTAGCAATTGACCCATTGGGCTATTGAGATTATTGGATGAAGTGGCAGATTTGACTGCTTATCAGACTCACCGCAGGCGCATAGTTAAAATCTCTACTCCAAGGTCTTTTTCATCTTGCTCTTTGCCAGAATATCAGACGACGACAAATTTCACTCAAGAGGATCACTACAAATTGGCTTCCAACCATGAATACCGTTTTCAATATCTGCGTATGAGAGACTGAAGATGCACTGCTGGTTCATCGCAAAACATCTCTGTCGAAGAAGCCAAAGACAAAAAGATTACTCCCAAAAATCTCGCTTGGATAGGACATCGGTTCACTTACAATGTCATACGTCTGACTAACCATTGGGATTCAGACGGCGCAGGAAACTCCTGGCGGGTAAGACCAGCTTCAGAAGGAGAGAAGGGCTCGTTTTTGCGAGGCCACTTCTGCACCGACTGTCGCCAGAACTGCACATGCTCCAGAGTAAGTAGAAGCTTGTGTTTGCAAGGACAACAAGATACCGGGATCTCATTCGAGACGTGTGTTGTAGGGCTCGCTAGACCCCACGTTGCCGTGTGATTGCGGGCTTCGTAGCGTATCGGACTGGTGAGGAACCTAATCAAGTCAGCAAGAGATTGGGCTAGGCGGAGATTTGAATGCAAGATCTCTGGGAGCGAGCTGCCATTCGGCTAAATAGGATGTGGTTAATCACTTGGGACTTGGTCTGTACACATAACCACAATTGATCGGTGCAGAGTTTCGCCGTTTGCTGCAGGCAGGTGAGGCGGGTAGGACATGTTTGAGTAGCAAACATGTTCTTTGTCATATTTGGTCATGCTGACCTTCTCAGCTCTCAAGATGTTTGCTATTACTCTACTGCTGGGTATGACAAACTCGCTCAGGTATCTTCAAGCCAAGCACCACAGCCACTGACTTGTCATGGACTCACCTGCATGTCTGTTTGCCTTGCAGCAAATGCACTCAAAGAGGTCAGACTAGCGAGACTTTACAAGTGTCTTGTACAGACAAGATCTTGTGCTGTCCATCGACCATCCGATGTATGTCTTGAATGCAAGACATCACTTGTATGCGCAAAGATGCGAAGCCTTACAGAAGGGAAAGACGAAGCAGACCAGGATATCAAGTGTGTAGAAAGCTGATAAAGACATGTGCTGCATCCTATAGCTCATAGGCGATGAGTGTTCAGTTCTGAGCAACATATCTTTGTGCGTCGAAAAAGGAAGGGCTCACGAAGGTTGTACAACAGGAGGTCGGCCAAGTACGGGAAGTGCCGAAAGACAACCGAATTTCTTGTTTTCTTTTTTCTGCAGGGCCAAAAATCAAATAATCGAAGCTCTGCGCTTCGAGCTTCCTGATTCCTGAACCATGCAACCACACCTTCGTTATTCTCTATCGCAGTCATCGCTGGCTTTATACCACAAGGTGACTTGCATCTCATCATTCGAACCAGAGCAATGTTCGACATATCAGCGCCTGGCTAGCAGATGGCTGTCGAGAAAGCACAAACAACGATGAAAGCCGCCTCGTGTGTTATTGGCAATCGTGTTCGAGGGGTAGGTCAACAAGCGACACTGGGTGCAAGCGATGATACAAGGGATTGCGTATTTCCAGGATCTGTTTCATCCTAATCTGCCAGCTTCAAATGCTGGACCCTCAGCACCAAATCTATTGACCATCTTCGAATCACCTCACGGTCTGGAGCCACTCTCGGTTTTTTCTTTGTCGTTTATGCCATCTGAGATTGAGCCAACAACTCCTTCCTGATCCATGCAAGTCATGTCGTCCTCGCCTCGTTCTTCCCATCTCTCGGTGTCAACGATCTAGTGATCATGGAAGAAACTCCGAAGTGATGGATATCGTCAGGTTTGATTCTTGTCTTGCGGCCTAGTAGCCACACTGCATGCAAGGTACCACCGACAGGTAAATATCGATCTCAAGAGGCTTGCCAGGGTGCTGGGCCTCGAAGCCGTAACAGTTCATAGCGCACTCCACATCCAAGAAAGAGTCGTGGCCGCACTCCAGCTTGTGGCTGCCTCTGCTGCAGAAAGGAGCCACGGTGTTGAACGGCTCAACACTCTTGGCCTCCTCTATGGCCTTGCGTTGTTCTGTCTCCACATGGTAAACCAAAAGACAGAGCCACTTTCTGAGCACAAGAGGAGGTGCCACATTGCCCGTATCTAGATTGCGCTGGAACATGCTTTTGAGAACTTGGAAAGCGTGGTCTTGCTCTGGGCGACTTAGTCCGATGCGGTTGAGGAGTCCTACGAGCCCCTCCGAGCCCTGCTTGGGCGGAAGCTTGCAGATTTCGAACCCGATCTCGCTGACGCGGCGAATGAGATCTTGCTTGCCTTGCTCAATACGCTGGATGCGGTCGTCGTAATTGATGCTGTCTGCCTCAGCTTTCAGGTACTCTTCAATGTCGATCCCCGACGATGAGAACGACGTGAGCTGTTCGGAACTTGCAGAGGTCGAGGGGTCGGGTGCTGCCGTGTTGTCGACAGGATCAGCCCTGTTTATATCGATTGCGTGAGTGTTGTTGGTTTCGATTTGGCCTGATCTGGACAACAAAAGGAGACTCTCTGCGGCATCTCTTGATTGCGCTTCCCATTGCTGAACTAGAACATTGTTCTTTGGTGTGTATGGGTTGGAGGAAAGGCCGGGAAGGTCTTGCGGTGCCTGAGGTGGCAACGACATGTTGCCGGAGGACAGGCAATGACTTGGTAGGTCGTTGTTGTTATTGTTGCCGAAAGACATGAAGGACAAGAGTTTACCACAAGTCAAGGTGGAGATGCCGCAAAACTAGGCGCAACGCTATCTCGGGGTGGATGCGCAAGTGAATGTTTGTTGTCTTTCTCAAGTCGAATGTTGAAGCTCTATGCTTCTTTGCAGTTCTACGATTTAGCTAATCTTGAAAGCCAGACAATGAGATGGTATGGGATAGCAGGGCTATACGATTGCCCCTGGCCTATATGTAATCTTGAAGACTTGCAGGGGTCATCAAGGGCACCTATATGGAGTCTCGAAGACTTGCAAAGGTCACGAAAGGGGTCCATCTCTGCCCATGCTGAGCATCTGAGACCCCACTCCAACTTGTGTCTCGGAATCCGTTGGATGAAGTCTTCCAGGGTATCTTTCCATTCGCTTCCGGAACCACAGGACTTCTCACCACTTCACTGGCGTTTACAAAAGTTCGTTCCATCACAATCCCCTTTCCCAACCTACCTCAACGCGCAACAACGATTCTTTCGCACAACGCAAGGTAAACATCTGAGCATTTACTCGCAAACCGTTTGCTGACCCACAAGAAGTATGGACAAGCACGAGAAGATGATCAACGACATGGTTGAGACGATTGTCTACGGAATCGTCGATCAGTGTATGAAGGATGCTGTCACCAGAGCTGCCCGCACGATCATCTGGGAGGTCTTCCGCGACATGGTCAAGACTGACCGCGCTGTATCTCAACTCAAGGAGACTGTCAGACGCGGCCTCGACGTCAATATTGAGATGGCCGTGAAGGAACACATTGAAGAGGTTGTCGACGAGACTCTTACCAAGACCGCACTCCAAACCGAGCTTGAGATGGTTCGTCTATATGTTTCTTGCTTCATATCTGTACAACTAACACCTGTTTAGGCTAAGAAGGCCTCCAGCACCAGAGTTGCTGTCGTGAAGATGTTGGAAGAGCGTATGGAGCTTCGTCCCGTCAATCCGAGGAATTCAGCGACCTCCTTGAGTCTGTTGCCATTGATCATGAAGAGGACGGCCTTGGCGCTGGTGGCCCTTTCACCGGCATTCTCAACCACGCCCACATGATCAACGCACAGGATGATGATGCTTTCAAGCAGGCAATTCATTATCTCCAGAGCGATCTTCCTGATGATGCCACTATCCACGAGATTGAGGAAGACATTGTTACGATGGCCAAGAAGATGCAGGGTGTCAAGAAGGAAGGCGCTACTGACTAAATGGGGAGGAATAGATCCAGGCACTCTTACCTTTCTTGATCTCCTGTCATGGGCGTTGCTTAGTCAAACCTGCAGCTGAGATTCATCGCACCTGCAATCTTCAACTGCGAGAAATCAAGTCATCTGTCCTTCGTCATCAACTTGCCCTTCGTGATACATGTCAATATCCTTGTTCTATCCTGTCTTGCCGTACCAACATCTTCACTGATCTGTCTGTACCCTTATCGAGATGGATTATCCTTTCGATGATGAACCCATTACTGTCACAGTGATCTATGAGTCTAATGACGTTGATTCTGTCTTCATCAAGAGAGAAGGTCAAATCTCCATTCAGGACGAAAATAACAGGGAATTCGACAGAATGCAAGCAGCTTGGGGCGATGAATTCGAGATTCCAGAGAAGCGCCTGTCCCAGCCTGAATTTGGAGACGTCACTGCTGCTACCTACACGCGGCTAAACAACCTTGAGTACAACTCCGACCACACTCCTTACAATGGCTGGCGTCTAGACAAATTAAACGATCTGTCATCTTCTGCGAACGTAAACAAGATGCCACCAACAAACAAGGGCAATCCTCTGGACCTCAACAAAAACCTAACCAGTCTGCACCAAACACGCCAACAAAGAAACAAAAGGTAAATCTGGAACAAACAAACGCTGGATCTATGAGATCTTCACCGTCAATCTCGACGCAGCCAAGCTCTCTAAGCGGCATGAGACAATCCAAACATGGACCTGGATTCAAGCGAACACAGAGTCACCCAACTCAAGCACCGCCAAAACCCCATTTCCAGTCAGAGCCTAAGGACAATATGTCGACTATACACAGTGGAAAGTCAGCCATGTCATTAACGAAGTCAGGGGCAAAGAAGGCTAGATTGAGAGCGATCACTGCGGCAAAGGCTGCAATCAAAGTACCATCACAGCCCTCAACAGGAACATGCGTAGAGAGAGTCTTTGAAGACCTGACAAACGACTCTGCTACAGAAGTGGCTGTACCATCCATGGATGGTTTACCACTCACAAGCACGAAAATATTACCCTCCCAACCAATCTTTGCTAGACAGAGCTCGGAGGGCTGTTCGATATCAGGTACAGACCAACTTCCTGCTCGACCATACTTTATCAGCCAAAATGGGACCCACACCCTTCAGAATGACGAGAACGAACATCCAAGTGACACGGTTCAGCGTTTGCCTTCTCATACTTCAGCCACCAAGGACAAGACAACGACCAAGGAGACTCGGCAGTCACCATCCTCATTCTCGCCGCAACAGTCAGCAGCTACTCTCCAAGCCACTGAACCAGCCTTGGAAGACTCTTCCACCTCAAGGGATTTCTCAACACAACGTGAGCTATGGGATGCTTTACGAATTGAGATTACGATCGCTAATGGAGACAGTCTCTGATCGCATTGATGAGTACATCGAAGAGGCAGTGGGAGACGTTGACGACCGCACCTATAGAATCTTCAAGGATGTTGCTGTGAATGCTGGCCTCTGGATTGTAAGCCCATCACCATCTCATTCAGAAGTATCAGGACTGATGAACTTTTGCAGCTCCAGAACATACCAAGCCATGACATCCAGAGATTACCACCAACGAGCGCGACTCTCGTGAGGCAAACAAGTCGCTGGAAGCGGCACTCGACTCGTACGGTCTTAAGGATGTCAATATCACGCCCAAGGCCATTGAGCACTACAAACTACTCGACAATCAGGAGAAGAAGAGACAGGAAGCTCTGGAGAGAATGATTAAAAAGGTCGAACGCGACGACAAGAGCAAATTGCAAGCAATAGTAGATATTGTCGAGATGAAGAAGAAGATGGAGGAAGAGAGGGACAAGTGTGACAGGCAGGAGCAAGCCGAGATGATGAAGAGATATAGCGAACAAAAGAAGGTTAAGAGCAGGAGTGATCATGGTGATGATGTAATGGAAGATGGAGAGAGCAGAAAGAGGAAGAGAGATGTCGAGACGGGGAACCACATGGACATCGACGTGCTGATGTGAGAGAATGAGGAGCAAAGACAGTATGAGCTACGACATCGAGAATGATAGCTGCACAATACCTAGCTTTCCCATACCAGAAAACAGTATGGCACAAAGATAACAAAACTCATAAGACCATCTGCACTGGGCCCAGCATGGAGAGCTCACCTATAAGAAACATCTACAACCTTCCACAAACACTCACATCTCATCATCATGCCTTCCTTCTTCAAGATTTTCTTGGACAAACAGAATCTTCTTCCTCTTCCTCTTGTTCTTGCTGTACTCCACAGGCACCGGCAACACCGAAAACGAGGCATGCCCTCGCGCCCTCGTGATAGCGGAGCTTGTGCAGCGGCATCCTACCCAAAAAACATTGTTTGCTGATGTGCAGGAAAGGTTCAAGATATCGGGCGTGAAGAGATGAGTGCTGGAGGTATGGTTCACGTGTGCTGTTGTCAAATCTGATGTGCCTTGTATGCGCTAGCACCATCGGTACCCAGACAACAAAGTGTAGAAATCTCGTGCCAGTATGTATATAGCTGAAGTACGACATACATTGGCGCAACGTCTCTTGGTGGCTGTATCATTTTCGGTGGAAGTGTCGACATGAGACTTTTTCTCCTGAGACAGTCGTTTGATCAAGGGTGGAGGTGTTTATAAGATGAAGAGATGGAGATGGGATCAGGACCTGCTTCAGAGGATGAGATACAGTGAGAAGGCATTGAAACCAGACAGGGAGACAGAAGAACTGTTGAAGAACACAATGAGTTTATTAGTAGCAGAATCTAGTACTCACAGTAGACCAACACACTCATCAATGTGAATGCGTAACATGCCAATCTCCACCTAAGCCCCAACAGCCATATCCCAGTCTCTCGGCCATGTAACAGATACCTTCAGTCTCTATACCATCATCACCGTTTTCCTTTTGCCATGTGGTGCCCACCACATACCACCAAGGGAAACTCAAACNCTGCCTCACCAAGACGGCGTTGATATACAGCAGCGTGCCACCCACAGTATCCAGCGGGAATATCTCGTCAGCACTTGCAAAAGGCAGCAAGTCTTGCATATGCTGATCTCTGTCTTTGCGCACACTGCCACGGTGGTACCAAGCATTACGATCGTAGTCGTAGGTGTTGCCATCCGAAGCCCTGGTAGTGATCATTCCCACAGGCAAAACCTTCTCTGGCATGGTGATGCCAGGATTTTTGGTGATTTTTGGATTGGCGGCTTGTTTGAGCATTTGGGCGCAAATGTTTGGCGTTGCGTCCACGATATCGGCGTCGTAGTAGAAGATGTGTGGTTCAGTGGTCAACGCACGGAAGAGCAGAATGTTCCTCGCAATGGCGATTTGACGGCGACGGACTGCCTGGAAGGAATCTGCATGGCGGTCTTCGGGGCCTTTTTCTTCGGGGGTTGTTGGAGTGTAGAGGATTACCTGTGCTTTTGCAAGGGTAGGGTGGGAAGCGAGGTGCGAGACGTAGGAGTTGTATGCTGACTCTGTGGTTGTGAGGACTGCGAACGAGATTGAGGAGGGAGGCAGGCCGGAGGTGTCGTTTAGCAGTTCGAGAAAGGTGGGGAAGGTGCGTGGTTTGCCATTGACATGACCCCAGTGCGACTCCTCGTGTGTGACGACGAGGATGAGGTGTTCGGCGGCCGAGGCGTTGTTGATTTGGGTGTGATGGCGAATTTCGGGTAGGTTGATCTCTGTGAGGATTGGGGTGGGTGATGAGGCTGCTGCTGAGCTTGGAGTGCCATCTGCTTTGGCCGGCACCTTTGGACGGTCTCTAGTGGGTTGGTTCTGACCGTGCTCTTGGTGGTAGTCTTGTACGGCTTTCTCTTCTTCGGTCAGTTGCTCGTCGTCGACAGCTTCCTTGCCGGTTGAGATGTGGTCTCCAACGTCGCTGGGGCGTTCTTCATCCTCCTCTGGCTTTTGCTTCTCCTCCTCTTCCGCCTTGTTGTCACTGCTAGCGTCTTCCCAGGCTGCGGGTGTACTCTCTTCCTCGGCAGGCTTCAAGTGTGGAATGTCCCAGATAGTACGCGAGATATCTTGGTCTTGGTCTGGGCTTGCCGCTGGCGATAATCTGGTTCTTCTTGTTGGGTGTGCTGGAACAGTGACGATGTAGAGAAGTGCGACGATGAGCAAGAAGGACAGGATCCGCACCGTCGACTTGGAAGATGTACTGGACACCATGATGGCGAACGATAGACAAAAACACACAACGAGCGAAACAAACTCAGATGAACAAATGAAAGACCTACAAAGACTGGTGGGCCAGCCGCTACCTACATGGCTTGGTGGATGTGTCCAACGGCTGAGATTAGGGGAAGCTGAAGCATACATGTGCGTGGCTGACTGAAACGAAACAATACGCCGGACTTTAGTTGCGGCAGAGAGCAAGCCAAATGAGCGTGATTTCTGAGCGAGCAGCGGACGCGGTCTGGACCGGAGGACGAGCACGCAAGAAGATGGTCCATCGCTGCTGGGGCGGCGGCATGCATTAAAACCGTTTGGGCTTCGGAGAAGCGGCAAAAAGAGGTCAAGGGGAGGAAGAGAAAAGAAGAGAAAATGCAAATAAAGCTTGACTCGCAAACTCATGCGGAGTGAAGCTGAGCCGAGTCAAGCAGTTCGAGTGACAGGCCGGTGACGTCGAAGGTTCTGGATGATTCTGGCAGCGACTCAGGCTGCCTTGATCTTGCTAGCACAATCTGGCGCTCGCTGGTGACCACGACTTTCTCCTGGTGCTGCGAGCCCGACCTCTATATCAACCTCGTCGACGTCTTTGTTCTCTGCTCGCTCAGAAACCAAGACATACACACAACCCTCACGCACACAATTCACTTCTCTACGCTTCACGACTCACGACAATATACCAATATACTCTTTTTGTTCATAATCGCTCACATATAATCTTACACCAAAATGGCAGCTTCAGGAATGTCTTTCACCGACAAGGCTTCGTCCGCCCTGGCCGATGCCCAGGATCTCGCACAGCAATACTCGCACACACAACTTCAACCAATCCACCTGGCCGTCGCTCTGCTCGACCCTCCACCGGATCTTAGCAAGGACCAGCAGAACCCGTCCGGCCACGAATCCCACGGCGCATCGTCAGCACCCCTCTTCAAGCAAGTCGTCGAGAGAGCCCATGGAGACCCGCAACTACTCACCCGCGCCCTCAACAAGGCCATGGTCCGCCTGCCCAGTCAAGACCCTCCGCCGGAGCACCTCTCCATGAGCCCTGCATTCTCCAAGATGCTGCGCGCCGCCGACCAATTGTCCAAGACACAGAAAGACAGCTACATCGCCATTGACCACTTCATCTCCTGCCTCGTCCAAGATACGACCGTCGCAAAGGCTCTCGCCGAGGCTAATGTGCCCAACACCAAGCTCATCGACAACGCCATCACCCAGATCAGGGGCAACAAGCGCGTCGACTCCAAGACTGCAGATGCCGAAGAAGAGAGCGAGAACCTCAAAAAGTTTACCATTGACATGACTGCCATGGCACGAGAGGGCAAGATGGATCCCGTCATTGGCAGAGAGGAAGAGATTAGAAGAGTCATCCGCATCCTGTCCCGTCGCACAAAAAACAACCCCGTCCTGATCGGTGAGCCCGGTGTCGGCAAGACGACCGTTGTCGAAGGCCTTGCTCAGCGCATTGTCAATGCAGATGTGCCTGCCAACTTGGCCGCCTGCAGACTGCTCTCCTTGGACGTCGGTGCCCTCGTTGCTGGCAGCAAGTACCGTGGTGAGTTCGAGGAGCGCATGAAGGGTGTGCTCAAGGAGATTGAGGATGCCAAGGAGATGATTGTGCTCTTCGTCGATGAGATCCACCTGCTCATGGGCGCCGGCTCTTCCGGAGAAGGCGGCATGGACGCTGCCAACTTGCTCAAACCCATGCTTGCCCGTGGTCAACTGCACTGTATTGGTGCCACCACTCTAACTGAATACCGCAAGTACATTGAAAAGGACCAGGCCTTTGAGCGTCGTTTCCAGCAAGTCTTGGTCAAAGAGCCTTCTGTCCCCGAGACTGTTTCGATCCTCCGTGGTCTCAAGGAAAAGTACGAAGTCCACCACGGTGTGACCATCCTCGACGGCGCCATCGTTTCTGCTGCCACGTTGGCTGCTCGCTACCTTACTCAACGCCGTCTTCCCGACTCGGCTGTCGACCTCATCGATGAAGCCGCTGCTGCCGTCCGCGTCACTCGCGAATCTCAGCCCGAAGCGCTCGACAACATGGAGCGTAAGCTCCGTCAGCTCGAGATTGAGATTCACGCACTCAACCGCGAAAAGGATGAAGCTTCTCAGGCGAGACTTGCTCAAGCAAAGGCAGAGGCCGCCAACGTTGAGGAAGATCTCAAGCCTCTGCGCGAGATGTACGAAAGCGAAAAGGCTCGTGGCAAGGATATTCAAGAGGCCAAGCTCAAGCGTGACCAGCTCATCACCAAGCAGCAAGAAGCCGAACGTATGCGAGACTTGCAGACCGCTTCCGACCTCAAGTACTACGCCATCCCCGACCTGGAGGAACGTATCAAGCAGCTTGAGAAGGACAAGGCCGCATCTGACCTCGATCAACTCAAGCAAGCCCAAGCATCTGGCGAAACTCCGCTTCTGACTGACGCTGTCGGTCCGGACCAGATCAACGAGATTGTTGCACGCTGGACCGGTATCCCTGTCACTCGCCTGAAGACCACGGAGAAGGACAAGCTTCTTCAAATGGAACGCCATCTCAGTGAGGTTGTTGTTGGTCAAAGAGAAGCTGTCACATCGGTCGCTAATGCCATTCGTCTGCAACGTTCTGGTCTTGCCAACCCCAACCAACCACCTTCATTCCTCTTCTGTGGTCCTTCGGGTACTGGTAAGACTCTGCTCACCAAAGCATTGGCCGAGTTCTTGTTCGATGATCCTCGCGCCATGATCCGCTTCGACATGTCCGAGTACCAGGAGAGGCACTCACTGTCACGCATGATCGGCGCACCTCCTGGCTACGTCGGTCACGATGCTGGCGGTCAGCTTACCGAAGCACTGCGTCGCCGCCCCTTCTCCATCCTTCTGTTCGATGAGGTCGAGAAGGCAGCCAAAGAGGTACTCACCGTCATGCTCCAGCTCATGGATGACGGTCGCATCACCGATGGCCAAGGTCGCGTTGTTGACGCCCGCAACTGTATCGTCGTCATGACATCCAACCTCGGAGCCGAATACCTTGCTCGCCCCAACGCACCTGACGGCAAGATTGACCCCACCACCAAGGAGATGGTCATGGGCAGCCTGCGCAATTACTTCCTTCCCGAGTTCCTCAACCGCATCTCGAGCATCGTCATCTTCAACCGCCTGTCCAAGAAGGAAATCCGCAGCATCGTCGACGTCCGCCTCGAAGAAATCCAGACTCGTCTGTCACAGAACGGAAGGAATGTTCGCATCCAGCTTTCAGCAGACGTCAAAGATTACCTGGGCTCTGCTGGATACTCACCTGCCTACGGTGCTCGCCCTCTTGCACGTTTGATCGAAAAGGAGGTGCTCAACAGACTTGCCGTACTCATCCTCAGAGGCTCCATTCGCGATGGCGAGACTGCTAGAGTTGTGCTTGAAGATGGGCATATCATGGTTCTGCCCAACCACACAGACTCTGATGGCGAAGACTCGGAGATGTGGGATGAGGAGGATGCAGTTGCCGAGTTGAATGGAGATGAAGGAGACATGGAACTTTATGACTAAAGAATGATGATGATCAAGACATGAGACGAGAAGATGTAGATGAGGAGCAGGAGTTTTCGTTAGCATGGCGTTTGCGGGTTTTTGAAAAGAAAAAAAAAGCATGGGTTAGTGTTGTAGCTGTTGAGAGTTTGTAAATACAGAATTCAGTATTCGAGACTTTGTATCTCTTGTTAAAAACTTTACTTCCTCTCACTTTTTCTTTTCATGAGGTGAATTCTTGAAAACGTTGATCAAACCTCATTCTCTCTCCCCGATGAAGACATACGAGTATAGCCTGCAGGCTACAATCACTCCAATCACGAAAAAAGGTTTCGTGCATTTCTATATCCCGCACGCGACAGGACTCGAACACAGAAAGGGAGATGTGAAATCAATCTTTTCTCGAGCGCACAAGTTCGTCTAGATGAACGCTTGGTAGATTGTTTTTCCTCGATTACTCATGTCACTCTTGCACCTCTCCGGTCTAGAGAAGTGGTTGCCTTTCTGGATTCATGGTGCTGCTCACTTCATTTTGTGTATTTGGGTTGAAGCAGGGTATATATACTGTTAGTGTGGTGTTGACGTTCGTGACTGCTGAAAGGGGTGGGATGGATCTCGGCTTCGATCGTCTAAGTAAGGATAGAGTCTTGTGAGTGTGTTGGTGAGTTCAATGTTGTGGTTGCATGGTGTATCAGCTGTAACAACACACGGTGCTCTTGCAAATAAGAGACTGTATCCAGAGAGAGCCGCACAGAGTTGACGCTCTCAGAAACAGACCATATCTTGCCAAAGCAACAGCGCAACAGAGACGAGTTTATATGGGAAAAATTGTAGAGGTCATGGTGGCGGTAAGAATAAAATGGGTGTTATCTACACAACTCCGGAAGCCCAAGGTGCTGTTTCTGCGAAAGGAAAAGAGAGAAATCATGATTTGTTTTTTACACATCGGCCTTCTTGGCTTGCCAGATTCTCTTGACACCCTCGGTGAGACCGACATCGTTGGTCTCGAACTCGTAGAAGCCAATACCGGCAAGGATGGTGGCGGCATTGAGGGCCCACATGGAGAACTTGCGGGTCTTGGGTACGCGCTTGGTGGGGAAGTAGTCGATGATGCATGACTGGAAGCCAATGTGCGAGTGGATGAGGATGGTGGAGATGAAGAGGCCGTCCATGACGGGGTTGAGCGAGCCGGCGGCGAAGGGAGCGATGGTCAGAGGGATCAGGCCGACCGAGATGAGGCGCTCGAAGCTCCAGTGGTAGCTGCCGTGGGCGTAGGATGCGTCGGGGACAGTGGCGGCATCGTTGACTGGTAATTGTGTTAGTTCCAGGGTGTGGGATCGAGTTGACGGACGTCACGCACCTGTGCCCTTGATGACCTGGGGCAATGGGGGAAGAATGGCGCGGGTGGGCGAGGCGTGGAAGCTGCGCAGGGCCATGGGTGTGCGCTGGACCAGCAGCTGGCGCGACAGCAGGGCGGGACGGAACGAGGTGGCCATTGTGTGTGTGAATTGAATCGGTATGCTGCGACAAGTACAACTTCCGGTATGCTTCAAGATGTTCGCGGGAACGTGGAGAGTACCTACAACAGGGACGTGATTGGCTGGGAACCATCATATCCGAGGTAGCGGCGCCGATGCGGAAGAAAGTGGAAGGCACCCAGTCTCGAGGCTTCGCAGGCTCGTTCTCAACACTACACGACGCTGACCATTGTTGGCGGGCGGCAGGTTCCGAAGAAAAGAGGCAAGTCCGACGTCTCTCATACCAGCAACAGCATCCAGCGACAGCTGCCACTACTACCCACCCTCTTCCCCCATCTCCGCCTACATCCCCGTCGCCGACAATGGCCTCGACAATGGCTTCCCGCAGGCTCGCATTGAACCTGCAGCACGCTACGCGCAGCCGCACCGCCATCAACGCCATCAAGAATGGCTCGCTGTCGCGCTTCCGCGGTCTCGCAACCCCCGTCAGCCACGGCTCCAAGACTGAGAGCACCACCCTCAGCAACGGCTTCACCATTGCCACCGAGCACTCGCCCTACGCCCAGACCTCGACCGTCGGTGTCTGGATCGATGCCGGCAGCCGCGCCGAGACCGACAAGACCAACGGCACTGCTCACTTCCTCGAGCACCTTGCCTTCAAGGTATACAGCGACTGCCAATCACATCAATGCGAAGACACACTCTAAGAGACGTTGCAGGGAACCCAGAAGCGCAGCCAGAGCCAGCTCGAGCTCGAGATTGAGAACATGGGTGGCCACCTGAACGCCTACACTTCGGTGAGTCGGTCCCTTCACTCTTGACTCAACCGCAAATCTAACCACCCCCACAGNCGCGAGAACACCGTTTACTACGCCAAGTCGTTCAACTCGGACGTCCCCAACACCGTCGACATTCTTTCCGACATTCTTCAAAACTCCAAGCTCGAGACCCAGGCCATCGAGCGCGAGCGCGACGTCATCCTTCGCGAGCAGGAGGAGGTTGACAAGCAGCTCGAGGAGGTTGTTTTCGACCACTTGCACGCCACTGCCTTCATGAACCAGCCCCTTGGTCGCACCATCCTCGGCCCCAAGGAGAACATCCAGTCCATCAGCCGTGACGACCTCACCAACTACATCAAGACCAACTACACCGCTGACCGCATGGTCCTCGTCGGCTCTGGTGGTGTCCCGCACCAGGAGCTCGTCCAGCTCGCCGAGAAGTACTTCAGCAACATCCCCATGGCTCCCCCAACTTCGACCGCCCAGGCCATTGCCAACGCACAGAAGGAGAAGCCCGACTTTGTTGGTTCCGAGGTCCGTATCCGTGACGACACCATCCCCACCGCCAACATCGCCATTGCCGTCGAGGGTGTCAGCTGGAAGGACGACGACTACTTCACCGCCCTGGTCACTCAGGCCATCGTCGGTAACTGGGACCGCGCCCTGGGCAACTCGCCCTACCTCGGCAGCAAGCTCAGCACCTTCATCCACGAGCACAAGCTCGCCAACAGCTTCATGAGCTTCTCCACCAGCTACAGCGACACTNNGGGTAAGCACTCATTCTACTCTTTCTACGTTTGCCCATCACTAACACGACACAGTCTCTGGGGTATCTACCTCGTCACCGACGCCGTTACCCGTATCGACGATCTTGTCCACTTCACCCTCCGCGAGTGGTCGCGCCTGTCATTCCAGGTTTCCGAGGCTGAGGTCGAGCGCGCCAAGGCCCAGCTCAAGGCTTCGATCCTTCTCTCGCTCGACGGCACCACCGCCGTCGCCGAGGACATCGGTCGCCAGATCATCACCACCGGTCGCCGTCTCGCACCCGAGGAGGTTGAGCGTGTCGTTTCCCAGATCACCGCCAAGGATGTCATGGAATTCGCCAAGCGCAAGCTCTGGGACCGCGACATTGCCATCTCCGCTGTTGGTCAGATCGAGGGTCTGCTCGACTACTCGAGAATCCGCAACGACATGACCAGAATGCTGTCGTAAGGATAGTCAAATTCTGTGTTTAATGTTTTTCTTATCTAGATGAGAGAGGAGACTTTGAATCTCCCTTTTGTTGAAGTCTATATGATAGAAGATGCTGGGGGCCATCTCTCTGGCCCGGCGGAGCATCGCAAACGACACGATGGAGAGTGAGATGCCGATCCGGGTTGTTAGTGTTCACTCTCAAAAATGTACATTTAGCCCGTTTTACTTTTTTTTTCAAATCTATTTCATTTTCTTTTGTCTGTATGTTGGGTTTCCCGTGTCCTCTTGAATACCTATCCAGATTTTTTATGCTATCTTGTGCTGTGCTCTGATTGGTCAATCGAAGCCAGCCTGTGCCGCTGTTCTAGCAACCCTGGACGATCCAACCTCCATCTACAACACCACGACAATTTATCGTATCTTTTCGAACAACCTCTTCGAGCGTTCCTTACTTGGGTCAAATTCTCTGTGACACCGTTGGAACCTTCGTATCGAGCGCCACGTGCTCCAGACTTGCAACTGGAAAATATACCAGTTGGTCTCCTCAATTCACAACATCCGCCGGTCCAAGCACACACATCTTATCCATCCAATATCTTAGACAAGACTTGTCAAGGCCCGAGATCTCGGCTGAGGTTGAAGTGTTGATCAGACCTGCCGACTACATGTCAAAATGTCGGACTCGGTGCTCAAAGCGATCTTCTATGCGAGGTTTCACGAGGAGAAAGGTATGTGACGCGTCTTGCACCATTTCAGCATCTGTTTTCTCGTTCTCGGTTGTCTCTCATCAGTCTTGTCGTTACTTGCACGTGTGGCGAGATGCCAAAAAATTAGCGCCTGCTATTTCTCTACTTTCTCACGCCTGTATTGGTCATCGTCCGTGGGAGACATCGGAAGCCCGGCGATGCTACTGTGATTTGCACCGCCAATTTGAGGATCACCGAGAAGAACCTCCCAAGTCGAAACTTAGCACACTGCCACATCGAAACATCAAAAGCTGAATTGGTATTGACACCCCCTTCAGGTCCCACAGTCTTACACCAAGTCCCGGAAGGCAGTGTCATCCCTCTGGCAAACGCGACTCAACAACCGCTATTCCACTTTCCTAGCGTATCCAACCACATCATTCCTCGCCGCGAATTCTGCGATCGTCCATTGAGTCTGCTGGCTTCTCACCACCGCATCATTGGCTTTCCCGTCTGTATCCACAATCCGGTTTTATATCCACGCTCTGATTTCATCTTCAACTTTTGTCTCGTGGTTGATGAAAAGGCGGAATGGGGTGCTTATGCTAGTGTGGTTAGTAAACTTGCTCGCTTGATGAGGAATTTGGAGGAGCAGGCTGGGTGGTTGAGTAAGGAGGAGCAGAGGGAAGGGTGGATCAAGGCTGGTGAGAGGGGTTATGGAGGTGATAATCGTGTGTTTGCGATTTGTGAGATGGTGTTGGAGGATCTGAATTGTTATTGCGAGTGCATGATTCCAATTGGTGAGGATTTCTCATTATATCAAAGTGGGCTTGCGAAGAGATGCTAATCAGATGCGACAGATGATTCGAACACGCTGAACCTCAAGTTGTTCCCTACGAGGTCACCGCCACCACCGATACAAATCTATCATGTTCCGCTGAGCACTGTTCGCTTCAGTAGCTTGCAGACCAATACCTGGGATCTAACTGTTCAGCGGATCATACCATATATCGATGGTATCAACTCTGTGCAGAAGATTGCCGTCTTGGCCGATACCGATCTTACACTCACGCGACGAGCATTGGCCCATTTGCTATACTACGGCTGCATCTTGATGCTCAACACATTCCACTTTGGAGCCATCTACGCCCCAACAGCCGAGATTGGCGTCTTTGTCGAGGACACAAAGATGCAGGACGAGTGTAGGCGATACATCGTAACACCACACTCGCCCTTCGAAACCAGCATCTCTGGCCCTTCTTCCACTACAAAAGCAACTCAAGCACCTTCTTCCTCCTTCAACCCGTCCACCAGTTTCCTCGCCAACAGAAACCACAAAAGCAGCAATTTGAACCCTTCCTCTTCGGCCAATACACCTCACCCGCCTTCCCGAGCAACAGTACTTCATTTATACGCCTCTTTACGTCAAGGTCTGCCCTTGCGTGACTGGTGTCTCGCTCACGCTGCTTCCCTGGCGTACATTGATATCCGCCGCTTCATCACTTTCGGCGTCATCAAAGGCTTTCTCTACCGCAGCCACCGCTACGCCATCGCCCTGCGCGCAGCAGACACCGCCGCCGACGCAGCAGTAGCAGAAGAAGCCCTCCGTTCCCGCCGCGAAGCAGAAAAGACATGGCGTAAAGCTGCTATGAGCAGTGGATGGCGCACNCCCGTCGCTCTGCACGCCGAACCGGCTCTAGATGGTGGGTTCGGGGGTGTGGTTGTGCGTGCCAAAAAGGAATTTGATGTTGATGACGAGGTCGCTGCTGCGGAAGCCAAGAAACAGGAAGAAGGCAAGGAAGGCAATATGCCTGGGGCGGAGGAGTTGGGCAAAGGGAGGAGTTTGGCGGATCAGTTTCTGGCGAGGTATTTGGATGGGTGTCATTGTTTGGACGAGGTTAGTACGGATACAGGAATGGGTCAGCAAGAGGTGGTTAGGAAGTTGAGAGGATTGGGCGATGTGGTGTTTGTGAATCGGTAGGCAGGCTGTGGTAGTTAGTATTAGACAAACCAATATCAACGAGAGAGACGAACACGAACGATCGATTCAGTTGATTGATAACAGGAAGTTGCAATTTACTACAGTAAGTGCACAGAAGAGGAGGAATCTTGAACGTCGTGTTTAAGTTTTGATGAACAGTGTAAAGAAAAGGTTGGTCGTCTCTTTCCAGTCCTGTACCCCTGAAATCCCGCCGACGTGATGAGAGAAAAAAAAAGACGAGTCGCATGCGCATGATGGCCTACTCCTGAGCCCCGAAAGCCCAACGATGATGGACTTCGCATCCAAAACTTCCATCGCTTTGTTTCAACGTGCCATCCCATGCTTCGAATGCTAATACCGCAGAGAGAAACCGCATCGGCGATCTACTAGAAAGCAATCTCACCATCCTCGCCCATCATGGCGCGAAAGAGCTCCTGACGTTCCTCCAACAGCTCGACCAACTCTCTGCCGTACTTGGCGATCTGTTCAGTCTCGTCAACAATCAGCTTCTGGACCTCGAGCGACTGATCCATCTGGGCCATGATGTTCTGGATGGCCGAGCGACCCTTGTCGAGACCGTTGTTGATGGTCTTGGCCTGCTTGTTGAAGGCAATCTTGTGGTTGGCGCGGATCTGCTCGTGGAGGTCGAGAAGAGTTTGGGTGGCGGCGATGCGTTCGGAGAGGGAGGTGAGGGTGGGGTCGTTGACACGAGTGACAGTCTTGGAGACGGTAGTGGTCGACATTTTGGATGTGGTTTGTTGGAGTGGCTGTGATTGGTATGTCAGAAGGGGCTTTGTTATGGGTCATGGAAGTGTTGACTTACGTTCTTGATCAGGATGGTTCTGCGTATGGAAGAGATGAGGGTGTACGCGCAGGAGGTTTGGAACGAGATCGTATGGGTGCGTAAGGATAGAGTATTGATGTCGTACTTCCTTGTGTCAACAGAGGCTTAGAAAACAGCAAGACTGGGCTGACATACGCGTTGACGATGAGAATAGCACTGCGTGGAAGAGTTGGTGTGGATGAGACTCGCGTGGGAAATGCAAGATGGTATTGGATGCTTGTGTAAGAAGAGAGGACTGATGGTAGATGGTGTGAACAATTGTCAACTCATCAAAGGTTGTGTTTGCGGTCGTGAAGAAGTGATGACGGAGAGTGAAGATGGAAGTGACATATTCCGGAGGTGAAGGTAAACAAACGACTCAGTGCCGAGAAATGGTGTCGTCGACGAGACGTAAACAGCAAGACTCTTCTTGTCTTCGATGAATTGTTCGGAAAGTGCTGTCGAAAGTCGTGATCGTTGTCTAATTTCCTGCCAGGGAAGGAGCGAATGCTTTGCGTACTTTCCATTTCTTGTTACAGCTCAGCAGTTTCTCAGTCCATATATCGAGTGATCGATGCAGCTATCAGGAAGTGAGTTCAGCTAGATAACAGAGATGTATGATGAGACACTAGACTAGGAGCGTCGTTGTCTGCACGCGCGTTCATCTTGGCTCAATATTGATAAGAGCGACCTTTAGTAAAAAGACCACTCACGTCTATATGGGATCAAGGTAGTGGAGAGCATGAGTATGGCAGAAGCAATAAGGAAGACATGAAGAGCACAAGATCCTTCCATCGAAGACTAACAAGCTCCCAAGAAATGTAGACCGAAGGGAAGATTTGTCACTCACTTACCCCTGAACTCCAAAACTCACTCACTTTCTCTTGATCCAAGTGACATATACCAGCCAAATTGCCTTCTCTATGCCCCCCCCTCGGGGAGTGACCCACTGTACTCTAGTGCAGTGGTCCTCGAGGAGTTTGAGCCCTGGGGGCGCCGGGTTCGAGTCCCGACGTCAGACTACTAATTTCGCAGCAACTGGACCGACCTGAACTCTGGATGGGACCCTTGGACTCTGGACTGACAAAAGAGCAAACCAAGTCATCCGGAAGAGTTTGTCTCTCTACCCACAACGGCCCGTGGGTAGAGTTCTGTTTTGCCAAATCGTATTCGGATTGGAGCTACCATGGAAAGTATCCCAGGTTCTTCGGGTCGCATATCCTTTGGCTCAGGAGATGACGGCCGATGATTCACTGCATGGGTAAGGGCTATCTGACAGGTGTTGATGCCCTTCCTAGCCATCTGGGATCTCATTGCAACAAGAAAGCACATGTGATCGTGGCAGCTCTTTCTCTTGGAATCGTCGATATCAACAACAAACCCAATCAAGGAGACATTAGATATGCCGTTTGTGCAGAGGGGTCGGGTTCGACTGATCGATCGTTGTCTTGCTGCTCTCAGAAACCGGTGTTTGACACAGTATTAATGTCATTGGTTGTCGTCAAGGTTCAGATGATGGTCTGGAGTGGATATCCACAGGCTCATGATACCGCCTTGGGGTCATCTGAGCATGATTGACTGGCCGCAACATTGTGAAGATCAATGTTCTTCCTTCCTATCAAGCGTATCTACACACCGAGCAGGCATGTACACAGACATCAAGATCAATGGATCTCTTCTACTGTGGTCCAAGGCAGAAGCATCTATCAAAATGCACAGTCCATCCACAGCACATGATAATGACCAAAAGAAAGACGGAGAAGGGAAGTAGCCGGAGCAAATCGTTCATTCACTGTCAATGACTGAATTTTCAATAGCGCTCTGTCTTTTCATAGTCAAACAACGCCAACTGATGGGAGAGGAAAGCCTTCAATCCGAACTCACCCTCAAAGTTCGAATGGAGAATTCTTCTCATCCTCGAGAAGCACCTCGAGATTCTAATGTGGCGGTCGTCGAGTACATTCGTTCGTCTCGGCGTAGATCTTGGAAGCCGGAGAAACATACATGGTGTCAACAACCCATGCGTCTTCTCACTTTTCCTCCATCTAGCAAAGACACCACATTGTTCTGGTGAGGACAAGGTACTCGAAACGTTCATTGTAGTTAGCTCTTCGCAATGCTAACGTAGTTCAAGCAGTAACCATGAGTACCATCAAGGTAGAGCAGGTCAAAGACGCCAAAATGGGAGATGCGAGCAACGAGAACATCGCAGGCTCCGTCGAGGCCGATAACAAGGTGCAGCACGATGGCACTGAGATGAAGAGCTCTACCACCGCCAACGAGCCTGAGGAGACTGCCGGAAGCAATGCAAAGAATGCTTCCACCATCGAGCTCGCCAACAATGAGCAGACCAATACCATCATCAACCCCATCAACGACGTTCCCTCGGCCGAGAACGACCTCCCTCCCCTGACCACAGACTCACTAATCACCAGACTGCAAGACGACAACATAACCCTCAACGCCAACAAATTCGCCCTCGAAAACCAAGTCTCCTACCTCAGAAGACAAAACAACTCCCTCTACAATGCCGGAAAAAGACAGATTGACCAACTCAAAGCCATCATCACCACCAAAGACACTGCCCTCACCACCGCCATCACCACCGCCGACAGATCAATCATCGGCAAGCAAAAGCAACTAGACTCCCTCTACGCAACCCTGCAGCACCAAGAACAAGCCATCACAGCCAAAGACCACCAACTCGCCACCATGCAGCAAAAGCACGAGACAAAGCTGCACAAGATCAAACTTGAGATGGCTAAATTGCTTAGAACGACAAACAAGTTGTGGCATGGGGCCAAGAGCGATTTGGACAAGATTAGAGCTCAGACTGAGAAGATCAAGGAGTTGATCAAGGCTGAGGATGAGGAGACTGAGGATGCAGAGGATACGGAGAGTGAAGAGAAGAATGGAGGAGAGGTGCAGCCTGCTCAGGGAAGAGAGTTGGTGGTCATTGAGATTGAGGATGAGGAGGTTGGGAGCGGTCAAGGCACTGTTGCTCAGCAGGCTGTTGTTGCTCCGCAGTCTCTCGTCCCTGAGCAGTCAGCCATGGTCGAGCAGCCTGGCATCGCTAAACAGGCCGACATCATCGAACAGTCTGCCATCACCGAGCAGTCTACTATGGCTGACCAGCCTGCCTTCGTCGAAGGTCCTGGCACCGATGTGCAGTTTGCCATGACCGAACAGTCTACTGCCGGCGAAGGAGCCCCCAACAAGCGCGTCAAGCTGACCGAGGAAGCTTGATTAAATCTTCCAGAGCTGCTGAGAGAAGAAAGGCGCAACACAACTCGTCTTCAAACCCACAAAATACCTGAAAGTTGTTTTCATCGGAGGACATGAGACGTGAGTCGAAATCCACAGTGGGGACTTTTGAAATACACAAGAGACTTTTTTCGTAACTCGGCTCGAGAAATTTCAAGCGTTTCGATCAAAAAAGGACCAGCGCTTTCGATGCTTCAAATTTCTTTCCATTTTCCCTTTGCGAAATACTCAATCAGCAGGAGCATACTTACTCCTTGCGCGAATTTTATGCCCATAGAAGTAAAACAGGTATGGAATAGGCACCATGGCAGCACTGATACACGCCAAAATCGTACACGTATAATGCACACCCAGATTCTGATAAAACGGCACACCCACAACCGTCATGCCACCAGCAGCCACATATCTAATCAGCGTAATCGATGCCAAAGCCGAAGCAGCATAAATCTCGTACGCGTCAATGATGTACTGATAACTACTGATGAAGATGCAGAGGATGCCGAAGCCAAATAGCACAGAGGCGCCTAGGGGTGACCAGATGCTGATGTCTGGAGAGGATGTCCAGCCCATCCAGAACATCGCGATGGGGATGGTGGGGGCACCAATCATGGCGTACCACAGGCGGAATTCTGGTGGGAGTTTGTCTTTGCCGTTGGCTTTTGCTTTTTTCATGCCTTTTGCGGCGAGGTGGCGGATGAGGAAGACGAGAGGTGAGGCGAGGAAGAGTCCGAGTGCGATTCCCAGAAAACAGAGACCTTGGACACCGATGCTTACACCGTGGATTTCACCAAAGATGAAGTCGTAGCCATCGAGGAAGGTGAACAGGATGACGTAGACGATGGTGAGGTACAAGGCGATCAATATAATGATAGGTTCCGTGGCGGTAAGGAGAAAGGGACGGTAACAAGCACGTCCGAGGCGGGTGAGGAAAGGATCCATACGGACTTCGACTTCTGCTCTGTAGCGTTCATCATTGGTGATAGAGCGTAAATGTGCGGCCTTCCACTTGAGAAGAATAGGAGGGAATGTCTCGGGGAGCGTGAAGAAAACCAGAATCAACACAAGACCAGACATAATGATGGTGATCCACTCGGTCCCTATCTCGTTAGTCTTCGCTAGTGTTAGGAAATCATGATATGGGACTGACANTCTCCAAGAGATCAAAGAGCTCTGCACGATATAGCCGCCCATCACAGGTCCGAGAATCGGGCCTAGGAAAGCTGCATTGGCAAATATGGGAAACATCAATGTCCTCTCGCTTGCATTCCAGATATCAGACAGCGAGCCACCTGCACAAGTAAGCGGTGTACTTCCGAAGAAGCCAGCGAAGAAGCGAGTCGCGAATTGCTGCTGATATGTTTGCGAGGCTCCGGCTCCGGCGAGGAAAGCCATATAGACGGCCAAGGTGACAATGTAGATGGGATTCCTACCCAGTGTCTCTGAGAAAGGACCAGCGAAGAGCGCACCTGCTCCGAAGCCTATGAGGTACAGACTGTTTTTGTTATGTTAGCGTTTCGTTTTGTTAGATACAGCAAGAGCGACTCACCCAGTAGCCAGACTCTCAGCAACTTCCGAAATGCCAAACTCCTGACTTGCAGGTTGGATAGCAACAGAGTCGATGGAAGAAGCCACGCCCACGACGAAACCTATACTCGCAACCATGAAAGTAATCCAGAGTCTGATGCCCCAACCCCAGTTGTGTGGGTTCAAGGCGTCTTGGTCTCCCTGGAAGTCGACGATGAAGACATTACCCTCACCGCCTTCATGCTCTTCTCTCTTTCGCACTTTGACACCTGTGAGGATGCGACCAAGCGCGGTACCAGATCTGCTGAGCCCCGAGCGTCCGCTCTTTGTCGTAGATATACGCGCAAGGTCTGCATCCTCCTCTTTCCGACGCGCCTCCATATCATGACTGTTCGGCGGAAGTTGATCCCTTCTTTCGCCAGGGTCGCTGGGGTCGTGTTCAGCGCCTACATCATATTTCTCCTCCTCTTCTTCTGGACCGCGTCGTCGGCTTGAGTCTTCTGCTGTAGCTCCAAGAGTGGCTTCCTCGACTGCTGTGTGTTCACCGCTCGAGGCGGTTGATTCGCCTCGCTCGATGTCTTTCTCTGCATCTGAGGCTCTTGACGTGTCAATGGGAGGCAGATCTTGATTCGCGCGGTCGACTGCTCGTGTGCGGCTGCGATCTGTCTCGATTTGCGCTTCCAACGTCCGGCGAAACCTGCGGTACTGAAGATATGATTGCATGAATGCTTTAGGCCTCGGCCTTTGTTCTAGCGGTCTTTGAAGGATTGAACAGTCAGGGCATTTACCGCTGCATGAACAACATGCAGGCAAGAAAGGAAGTGAAAAGACAGATGGGGCACCTATGTCGATTGCTCGCGAGTACCTAGCGAACAGTATCGATAAGAAGGGCCTTTTTACTTTTCTCGCACACTCATCATCATCATCCAAGTTGGGTGCAGGGTTGAGTGGACGGGTCGTGGTTCAAGAATCAAAATGACGTCGAAATTTTGATTGATGATGAGCAGCGCGTCTTGCGGCCCGCTCGGTCCTTCGGCACACCGTTGGATCGCCCACCGTGCACTTCTCTCCGATCAGGACAGAGCCTCATCTACATTTCAGACGATATTGACACTATGAAGAGGATTGTGTCTTATTGTTGGTGGTGTTGTATAGTCAGATTGCCCGCTCCTGCTTCCTATCTCTCACCCTAGATCCCTACACCAAGCATTAATCTACCGCCATGTAAACAGGATGGAACATTCAAACATAAACCCAATACTCGGCTGCATACTCAACAAGAATACTCTCTTGCTGGCCTTGACATGTAGCAGGTGGCTGCCCTCCAGCAGTGTTGACACGGAACACCTCCTTCAACTTTTGGCTTCCCTCGACTCCAATCTTTTCCGTCAACTTGAGCCATGGCACAGCCCCCATACCCGCCCCGTCCACACCGATGATAGCTCCTTGCGGCGCAGATGTGCCATTGACTTTCTTGAAAGCTCCAGTCCCGTATGAATGCATCTGCGTGTCCAAGTTGAAGAACGGCGTAGTCGCATCCAAGAAGTAATGGTGACCCGCCAGGTCCATGTTGATTGGCGACATGACAGAAGAGGAAGAAGGCAAAGGTAGATTGATGGCGATACCAGGGATCATTGAGAGCAAGGCAGGATGGTTGGCAGCAATGCAGGAAACATTGTAGAGTGATGCCGTTGCGCCCACGGCTACTGGGATCGCTGTACTGTTGGAGAGATCGCAGGTGTAGTTCTGCGTGCCACGTCCAATAGAGACGTGACTCAAGCTCAAGTTGTAGGATGGTAGTGGGAGAGGTGTCGGAGCTGTCGCGTGTTAGTTATCATACATCTTGAGAGCATGAGCAGGCATAANTGTCGCACCTTGAGGCAACTTGGCTTTCGACAAGTCGCNAAGGGCGTAATCGCAGCCGCGACGAGTTGATGGAACGTGTCCAGAGTGTGAGGCCCAGAAGGAGGGAGAAGACCAGCGCTGTTCAAGTGTCGGCGCCGCAACGACAGAGACTGGTAGTAGCAGTGCCACTGTGGTAGTGATTGTCGAGATTCTCATGTTTGCGAGTTGTCAGAGCCCAGTCTGAGATGAGAGTCGATGTCACCACTGCTCCAGTTAGCTCCGTGATATAGTCCAGCAAGAGTCCAACTCCGTAGATGCGAAGGCGATTTTCGATCGAGTTGCAAGCCTACCAAAAGGATTCAAGGACCAACTCAGGTACCAACACCAGCAATGGAAAAGCGGAAAAGAAGCACAGCGGAGGATGAAAGGATGCAAAGAAGGATGCAGAGCAGAAGCAATTTCCTTTTTCTCACTACACCGAGAGTTACCAAGATTGACAGGAAACAAAGAAGGTGAGTGCAGAAGCGCCCATCCAGACCCTTATATTCAAGGACTATCTCTTGGGCGCTTGCATGTTGCAACACGACATTGATTGCCCAAGTTTCAATGCATGGCTGGATGGCGCAGAAGACGTGCATATCAGACGGACAAACAGACCTTAGCCGCAATTTTTTGCACATTCGGCAGAGATGTGATTGGGCCAGTCTGTCTGAAGAATGCTCCGGCGAATGGATGAGGCGTTTCTGTGAATAGCAAACTGCACGCGACTCAAGAATCTGCGGGTATGCATGGCTGGTCGATGCGGGATATCATGCAGATGATGGTTGCGATATTGGTGGCAGGTCTTTTCTTAGCAGCAAACATTCTTGATATGATTTTCTGTCTGTTTGATATCAGCGTTTCGAACTGCTCGCGAACTCAAGCGTCGTTTGATGATCTAGTCATCTGGGTGCTGATGGTGTGCGAGAAACGACCAGCACCAAAAACTCGGCAAACCTGACAATCGGCCGCTTTGTGCACTGCTGCATCTTTCCTTCATGCTGTACGACGTTGAGCATTCAGCCTCCATGCCCAGGCCATCAATCAACCCAGAATCTGTTGTTAATATACCCTTTCCAGCGCTTGATGTTCATTCTCACCAATAGTAGAGACAGATGAAAATGCCCCATCAAGATCACCTGTGCATAGCGAGGCGGGGTCTCATGGGCGCGTAGAATTCTGCAGCCCCTCCGAGATGGGCGCTTACAGCTTCGAGACCACCTTTTACCCACCATCGGTTGTCGGGCTGTTGTCAGAGCTTCCGATAATTTTGAGCAGGTCAAATTTGCAAAGTAGGTTACATTTTCTCCTATGGTCTTAAGAACTGTAAGCTGTGCAGGAGCAGGCTGTTGTGTGGAGCATCGTCGCAAGACTGCTTTGCTCTGTATACTTGAAGGTCCTTCGATGAATTCTTCATGTAACCAACTTTCCCTCAAGCATCAACTGCTGGACTAGAAGGATGATGTTGTTGGCATCCGCTTCTTCACATCGAGTTCAATGCGCTGTCCTACCTTTGAAACTGAGCAGAGAGCCGAGCCCAGTCTCTGGAGCCCATGCCCTGTATAGGGCCGTGCGATTCTCGACAGTAATAGGAGTCTGAGGTCTGAAAACATCCAAGAGCTCGTCAGATGAACCTGCTGATGCAGCTTGAGAAGAAGTCGCGAGCCGAGAAAGTTGACATGTTTGACATGTGATGGAGGAAAGCTGGGGATTGGCTGTTCACGGCCATGAGATTGATTGGCCAAAAGTGGACACCAGCCACCTTTTCTCACAGTCGCCTTTGCGGTACTTGGACAAGAAAGAGAATGAGAACAGATGATATCCTGAACAAACAACAGTGCCTGGTATAACACCCAACGTCCGATGCTAGAAGATGTGAGGGTGATGAAGATGATGACCTTGAATGAGCGCTGTTGCTGACCAGACTCGCACATGTCATGGCGAACCGGAAGCGGAAGGCTCAGCCGGAGCCGCATCAGAAACCTGAAATGTGGAGTTGAGATCGAGGAAAGTGCGATGAACGGCTCTCCTGCTTTTCACTTCTCCCTCAACCTCGACAACAAGACGAACAACTCGGGAGTCGCTGGGCCAGAATCCAGCGATATTGCTAAGACACAAAATTACACGCATTCATCTATGGGCTTCGACACTGAGACCGTTCCCGTCCGTTTCTGCTGCCCTTTCAGCATCTCCTCCGCTGCCGTGCCCGACACTGTCGCCGGTCTGTCGCGCACCGACTCGAGTTTCGCTTCCCTGCTGTGGCCTGTGGTGCCAGGTCCGCCTTGACTGAAGGCGGACGTCTTCCTAGACACGGGCTGAGAAGCGCACATCACATGCGCATACTTGCTCTCACACACCCAACCAACTCCTGAAACCCTGTGAAACCAGGCATATCTCAGCCACATCGATTCGCCAGAGTGCGTCTGTTGACCACCGTCTTCCCTCCAGAAGACAGCATCGCATATCACACACACGTTCTCGCAAGCCGCAACAACCGTTACCAACCCCAACATGCCAGCCATGGATCTTGACCGTAACGACGTCGCCAACACGGCTGAGGAAATCTCTCCTAGACGTACCTTCACCCTGAGCCCGCCAGGTACCGCCGCCGAACCCTTGTCGGCCATACTCAAGAGCGACTTGATGAAGAACAAGAGAAAGAAAAAGAAGAAGGGCGGTATGGCTCCCGCGGCTCCTGCCCAGAATGTCATTCGAGGTTTCGAGACACCTATTACATCTGGTGGAGAAGAGTCGGACGTTTCGACCTGTCCTTCACCACTCATGACTCCACGTGTGCGTGGTATGAACGGTTCAGCCTACAGTCCGAGACTCAGTGCCTCGAGCGGCTCAGGCATCAGCGCTCTGAAGACGCAACTCGATGCTCTTACTCTGAGCCGCCCACCTTCTGCTCCCTTGATGACACGTGAGAATAGTACTGCCTCCAACTTCGACAGCACCCCGACCATGTCCTCGGCCGCTAGTGAGGTTGATGCGAAAGAGCTGGAGACCTACCAGATCGACCTCGAACACGACTTTGCCAGCGCAGACGCTTGCTCTACTCCCAGACATGCCTTCCCTGTCGAGGGCGGACTCCGCACTGAGTCCGTCTTGCGCAAGATGACCGCCGACGACTTCGAACCCCTCAAGTGCTTGGGCAAGGGAGCCTTTGGCACAGTCCATTTGGTCAAACAACGTGCCACTGGTCGCCTGTTCGCTCAGAAGCAGTTTCGCAAGGCTTCTCTGACCGTTCACAAGCGACTTATCGAGCAGACTCGTACTGAACGCAGTATTCTCGAGAGTGTCAATCGCCATCCCTTTGTCGTCAAGCTCTTCTACGCTTTCCAAGACCATGAGAGACTCTACTTGATCCTGGAATATGCCCAAGGTGGCGAGCTTTTTACCCACTTGGCCATGGAGCGCATGTTCACCGAAGAAGTCGCCTCATTCTACATGGCAGAAATGGTCCTCGCTCTTGAGCATTTGCACCGCAACGTCCGTGTTGTCTACCGTGACCTGAAGCCAGAGAATTGCTTGCTAGATTCGGATGGCCACTTGCTTCTTACTGACTTTGGTTTGTCCAAGGTCGCGCTTGAAGAAGACTCGTGCAGCTCATTCCTTGGCACTGTCGAATACATGGCACCTGAAGTCGTTCAAGCCACTTCTTATGGCTTCGCTGTTGACTGGTGGTCGCTCGGCGCAATTGGTTTTGACTTGCTTACAGGATCACCTCCTTTCGGCGGTAACAACAATGCAAAGATTCAGCAGAATATTCTGAAGCAGAAGTTGCAACTGCCTTATTTCCTTGGTCCCGATTCGAAGGATCTCTTGACACGACTCTTGCGTAAAGAGCCCAACAAGCGTCTTGGGGCCAACATGCCGAAAGACCTCGACATTATCAAAAAGCACCGCTTCTTCCGCAGGATTGACTGGAAAAGGCTTGCAAAGCGCGAGTCGGAACCTCCCATCCGCCCTCTCATCACGGATCCGGAACTGGCTGAGAACTTTGCCAAGGAGTTCACAGATCTGCCCATGTCTCCAGCAGATGAGAGAAAGTCAACTATCATGCAGGATTCTACCATGACAGGCATGGAGATTGCTTCGAGTACGAAGGAACTCGAGTTTGGATCCAATCCGTTTGGTGGCTTCAGTTTCGTTGCCAGTCAGAGTCTGCTCGACAAAGTCGAGTTCATGTGATTCTAATCGAGCACAATGGAGGTTGGACAAAGGTGCGAACCATACAATGAGGTGTGAGGCTGGGTTTCTGAATGATCATGCTGATTGGTAATTACATATTGCTCGTGTTGTAGAGACGCAGAGATGGAGGTTTCTCCTCCAATACATTGGTCAATACAGTCTATTTGCTTGTCGCTGCGGTGCTACTTCGTCTTTGGATCATGGGATGCACAGGACAGAAGCCGAGGATCTGTTTCCATACCCCGCGTCATTCCTTCTTTCAATGTTTTCCACGCGGTTCAACATCATCTTGTGAGGGCAATTTTCTGTTTTTTTCTTCAGGTATGTACATGCAACGTACACATGCGGCGACCGTGTGAGCGACGATCGTTCTGCACGCGGGATCCAACACCTATGGAATGAGCGGTACGGCTACCCAAGGTCATCGGCAGCGGAGCCATGCAGAGCAACCAAGGTCATGCGAAAGATCTTCATTAAAGCCCGCAAGACATCACAACCATGATCTGCATAACGACATAGAGCCGGGTTGCGGCAATGAAAACACGCTGCGAATCGAATGGGACATATCGCATTGCGTGCAACACACCTTAAGGATGAATGTAAGTGCTTGAGTGACCACAGAGAGAGGGGCACGTCTCTGTACAGTATTGCCCAACGTCACATGCATATGCAGATTTCAGGAACGGGGTTCGTGACGGTAAAGACTGGTTGTCAAAGTGCCTGGATGTGAGTGATCAAGCTTTCATGATGAAGATGCTAGGTATCTCAGTAACATCTATTCATGTGGTCAGTCTCATACAGAAATTTTCTCCTCCTCGAACTAATAAATTTGGAATGCTATCAAGATGCAGAATGTTAGCCTATATCCTGAGCACATGTGCTTTGGCCAGGGAAACAACATTTCGAGGGAGAGCCGCAAGGGAACAATTGTACTTTTCACTACCTACATCAACTCAACAATGCTGCACGACCGGCGGTACCAAGAACTACTGGCTGGCAATTCAGATGCGCATGATCCACCAGAAGGCCGTTAACTGGCTTAGCATGGATGAGAAGAGCAGGTGCGTCTTGCTTGACACACGACGTGAGAAGATCGCGCATGTGGTCAACGGCAGTCGTTCCTGCCTTTCAAGACTCGTTTGATAAAGCTTGCATGGTGCAGTGAGTTCTCAAAATCTCTGAATTGAGACATCATCACTTCTTCATTGTGTCCACTCATCGCCATCATTATTCTTGCTCTGGCTCTCTTTATTGGAATCCTCACGACCCACTGCCCACAGACCAACGACAACTCGATATGCGTCTACACGATATCCTCATCGGTGTTCTCGTCTCCTGCACTTTTTCCGCAAGCTCGCAATCTCTACCCGACGTCTCAGGCGACAACGACATTCATGCCATCTCACGAAAGAGAGCTCAAGCAGTCAAAGAAGCCTTTGAGTTTGCCTGGCATGGCTACCATACCTTCGCATTCCCCAACGACGAACTTCTTCCGGTTAACAACTCATACTCCAACTCCAGAAATGGCTGGGGTGCTACTGCTGTTGATGCTCTCAGTACTGCCATCTTGATGGAGTCACAGGATGTGGTCACGACCATCTTGGAGTACATCCCAACAATAGACTTCAACGTCAGCAAGGGAAATGCGCCGGTCAGCTTATTCGAAACGACTATTCGCTATCTTGGTGGCATGCTTTCTGGTGTTGACCTTCTGGACGGCCCTTACCAGCATTTGACCCAATCGCCAAACGATACCATTGCCCTTACACTACAGGCTGTCAATTTGGCTTCCAAGATGGAGTTCGCTTTCGACACCCCGACAGGTATTCCCGCCAACAATCTCGACTTCAAGAAAGAGAGTTTCGACCTCTCTCAATCGACCGGGCTTGCTGTCGCTGGTTCATTGGATCTCGAATGGACTCGTCTGTCAGATCTAGTCCAGGTACCAGACTTTGCAAACCTGACGCAAGATGCCGAACAGTATCTTCTCTACCCCAAGTACGAGAGCAACACGATACAACCGTACCCCGGTCTTCGTGGCACAAACATCGACCTCAGCACAGGTGAATTTCTCGACGTTATGGGTGGCTGGGGCAGCGGTGACGACTCCTATTACGAGTACCTCATCAAAATGTTCGTTTACGATCCCGTGAACTTCTCTGCCTACAAGGATGAATGGCTCAAAGCAATTCACTCCTCGGCCTCTACCGAGATCTTCTCACATCCTTACTCTCGACCCGATCTGACCTTCCTATCTAATTGGGATGCGCAGAACGCAATCTTGAGATCCAGTCATCTGGCTTGTTTTGCTGGAGGAAACTGGATCCTCGGCGGACTGGTATTAGGGAATCAGACCCTGATTGACCTGGGCCAGAACCTCACTGAAAGCTGTATCTCGACCTATAATGCTACCCTCACAGGTATAGGTCCTGAAGCATGGAAGTGGGAAGACGAGAATTTGTTTGAGGACGAAGACGAAGTGGTTGACATGTTCATCGAGGACAAAGGTTTCAACATTACCGACCCCAGCTACGACTTGCGACCTGAAGTTCTCGAGTCACTTTACTATGCCTACCGCGCCACCGGTGACAGTAAGTACCAAGACTTGTCCTGGAAAGCTTTCCGAGCCATCAACGCCAGTTGTCGCACCGGATCTGGCTTTTCAGCAATCACAAATGTCAATGCACCACATGGAGGAAGTTTCACCAACTTTCAGGAAAGCTTCATGTTTGCCGAAACTTTCAAGTATGCTTGGTTGATCCAGGCCGAGGACTCCAAGGTACATGTTGGAAAGATGGGGGAAGAGCAGACTTGGGTCTTCAATACTGAGGGTCATCCTTTCAAGGTCCGGAATCAGCAGTGAATTTGAGATTGATCGAATATGTGGAGGGCATTGAGAATGATGTTCATGTGTGGCAGTAGCGTCGAGAGCTCGAATTGAATTCCTATCAGTGTTTTTCACGCATCGTTCCTGTTTGATATAATATGTATTGAAGGGTTTGTCAGTGACTAGATCTTATAAGGAGCTCCAGTGCCACAATCTATACCTTGAAAAGAAGGACTGGGTCGCCGCATTGCAGTCGAATACGGAAAAGTATGTCTCCAGGTCGAAGATTCTAAGGGAGAGTCTTTGGCTGAGCAATCTCGGCAAGAGACTCACAAACTATACTGCAAACTATCGACATACAGCAAGAGAATGGAAGATGATACTCCTATCCTTTTAGTGTCTGTCCCATAGATACATGTGTATATATTTTGCACTACACTAGCGTACAGTTGATGATTTGTATATAAGTTTAACAGCAAAGCATGATTTACATATTTGCAGCTTAAATGAGTTACCATTATATCCGTTCTTGTTCAGACATGCCTAAGCTTAATAGAACGATCAAGAGTAACACTGCTTAAGCAATATATTGCCAAATCTATAGTGGTATACCAGCATGTTTGGCAGCAACGACGGTAGTTATGCACTAAGCCTTTTGATGGTTTTAATATAAGCGGCGAAAGACATGAGAAAGAATGCTATAAGCAAGCGAGTATTCTATGATTGAAGGAAAAAGTTTATAGGGACATTGCTTTTTTCTAGAATGCTACAATTTTGTCGATGTGAGGCTATACCCATTATAAAATAGTTAGCATCTTTCTACTACCCTTACCAAAGTTGCATATAGCAAACCCGTCTTATCCCATAAGTCTTGATCCGTCTTCACGCACTACTTGACATTTGATAATTTGTTTGCAAGTAAATATATGTTAGCAAAGCACAATGATATGTCTGCGATTGCAGATGAGCGAGTTTCATTAACTACTTATAAGTAGAGGATAGCAGTTGTTCGCAAAACCCCATGATCTACCACTCTATGATGTATCGATGAAAGAGAAGTCAATGACATATGAAGAAGACAAATTACGTGTCTTGAGTGATGCATCCCACCACGCACCCAAAGCTCCACCCCCGAAAGCCCCCCACCAAACCTACCATCTTTAAACCCCCACTCCACCACAACCGCTGGCCATAAAAAGACAGATGATGTCTCAAAAGATGCGCAATCTCTCCCTCTACAATCCTGTCTCCTCAAATCATTGCAAAAAGTGGTCTGACAGGTAAAAGAGCGCAAAAGTATCGACGCCTGTGTGATTCGAACACACGCTCCCGAAGGAAATGCCTTAGCAGGGCATCGCGTTAACCACTCCGCCAAAGCGCCCAAGTTCGCGAAATTATGTTGCCAAACTCTCGCTCACCGTCATCCCAGGATTGGTTGGATCCTGTTGGTTGGATGAGAAAGTGCGGATCTGTAGCACAAATAAAGCTTGAATGATAGCTTGGCTTGAGGAAAACCAAAGATCTCGAGAGGCAAGGCACGACTGACGTGTAGTCAAACTTTTGCCCAAGGGGAAGGAGCGATCCAGCGATTCGAGAAAGAAGGAGCCACCCAAGAAAGTCGAGAAGGAAGGAGCAACCCACGAAGCTATAGAGGAAGGAGCGACCCACGATATTCGAGGAGGAAGGAGTGACCCTCGAATGCGCAACTTCCAACTGTGGTTGTCGCATTAATCAAGAAGGAGCCATGTGTAACACACAATCTTAGCAGTCAGATGCCGGGTAGGAGGAAACAGAGCACATCTGTGCTGTAAAGAGGCGGAAGCGAAAAAGAGAAAGCGATGTTTTTCCCCTTCTGCCGAAGCTTTTTTTTCTCTCTTGTCCCACGCGAACAGCGAACGAACTACTGGAGCTATGAGTGTGTCTGATCTGATCCTACATCGACTTCAGTGACAGTATATCATGCGAAAAAGACCTTGTGTGAATCGTTACTCGTGTGAACGCTTGTAGATCGATGGAGCGGTTTAGACCCAAAGTATAGGGTTACGCGTGCTGTGTGTTTTGTTTACTGTCTTTATGCTGTCGCGGGGGCATACTTGATCTATGGACTCCATGATGGTCGTACATTCTTCGCGGCTACAGATCACCCATAGCGATCTTCTGCAGTCAGACACCTATACGGTAATCAGAGGATCTTTAGGTGGATCAGACGAGAGTACATTTTGGGTGATACCGTCTATAGCAGCTAAAGCGGCTACAAGGGCCGATGATGTAGGCAAACAGGAACTCTTGAGCTCTAGCCTTCTACAAGCTGCCTGCGCTTGTTTAACCCTGAGCCACCTCCATGGAACTTGGATTCTTATGGACCTCGCTCTTTTGCTTGACTTTGTTGACGCTTGCTACGTTGACTAAACGTCGATGTTGTTGGACCTTTTCCTAGACGCCAATAATTAGGCGAACAAGCGGACCATACATCGATGCTCTTGCGATGAGATTACAAGCCCTGGAAGACCAGGGCGCGGCCACTGATCGCACTTCTCAAGGTACATAGCAAAGTCCAGTCGACCTGGTAAGCATACAATCTCACGACAGTGCGAGAGACACTATTCCTTCGATTCGTTCGAAGGGCCAAGGTCGGCCGCTGTCAGCCGCAAGAACGATGAAGAGATACGTAACCATAATAACAACACAGTTCCCTTACGACAGTGTCTGACGGAGTTCATGGCTAGGTCTTTGACACTTTCGAAGCTTGTGGCAGTTTTCTGTGATATCTATGGCTCTTGTGACTAGCCATACCTTTCGTAAGCCCTGATTCATTGTTCCTCGTCGCTAATCTTCGATCGTGCTAGCAATTGGCCTTCTGGCATTCGAACGTGGTATCGAAGGCGAATTCGATGAGGTTCGTACGTCTTTGTCAAATGTGTTGATGGACACACGGGACTGATGCTTTGCAGGCACGTTGGTGAAAGCTCTTCGGAGGCGGGCTCACGGCCCGATCATCGTCGGGCCGGGGGTTTGTTGTCGTCGTCGTCGTTGGCACCAGCTGCACAACTTTTTCCAACCTCACATTGATGCTTGATAGGGTGGTCGGTATGCAGTCCTGCAGCGTCGAAACCTTGGACAGATTTCTCCTCGAGTGCTGTTGATCTGAGAAATGAGCCCTCGCTGGGACAAGGGTGATTTGTTTGACAGTCGGTCAACAGCGCTGTCCATTCATAAGCCGGCGATCGTGTCATGGTATGTATACCTTTTTCATGCTAATGTCCTCCTGAATTTTTCTTCTGTTCCTCTTTTCTTCTATACGGGACCGTATTTGATCTGGACGACGGTGCATGCATCTGGTATATGCTTTCGAATACAAGGCCCAACCGTCCAATTGTCGAGGTCCATCAGGTGCTGGATGAACGGTGTTGAGAGTGTCAACCTAGCGTTGATGTCGTAGGTCACAGCTTCTTGATCACCACCAGGCCAATTGCAGTCGATAGTGGTAGCCGCCTCCGAGTACCAGTACAGTGGCTGACGTTGTAGATCGACACGCTGGACGATTGCATCTCGAAGTCTTGGCCAGAAATGGAAGTCGATGTAAACAGGATGCGGAACGAACATCTGGTATGGTGTCGGTCTATACCAGTCTGGAATGGCGAGATATGTTGCCGGAATCGGGTGGACGGTCCATCGCATGAGGAGCCACTGAAGCCACATGACGGCCATGCGACATGGCAGGGACGGTATATCAAAGCTATTAGCAAGTCTTGCGGTCCACTGCGAGAGGATAGAAGCCCTTTGGAAAGCAGACTCGCTCACAAGGGCTTCCACGTCTGGGAAAAGTCCGAACAAACGATCTGGAGCGACGCCGGAGATGATGTGTCTTTTGGCTTCATCGATAAAGTCGACGTAAACACTGGACATCATGTCGACACGGTCATCGACATACATGGAGGTGACTGCCCATACGGGAGCTGTCAAGTCCACACCGAGCGACTCGGGAGTGAGGGGCAGCGACATTGGGGCAGTTCCAACAGGGCTGAACAGGTTCGACGAGATGGTGATGCTATCACCTCCAGGACGGGCTTCGTTGTTCAACAGTTCCCGCTTTATTCTGTGGCCGTCGAGCATCTTTGTGTGCCTGTCCAACGCGACCGAGCCTGGGCCTGAACTCGGGTCTGCTGTGGAAGAGAGGGAGGGATCGATCCATAATTTCTTGTGGTCGCCTGCAAGGTAAGTTGAGTCTGAAGCATTGCCATCGAGCATCAAGGACGAAGTTCGCTCTGGACTTTGCATGTCCAGGTACGGGTCGCCCTCGAACAACAAGTGTTGCGAGTCAATCTCGACGAACAACGAAGGTGCCCAGGGAGAAGGCGAATATTCAGTTCGTGGTAGACTCGTTTCTCGTTTGGCTCCGTCCACCAAGCCAGGACTGCCGGTTGCAACACTGGCACTCCGCTCCGAAAGCGCCGAGTCGTATAAAGGAATGCTGGTGAGCAGAGATGGACCTGCTGGGTTGTGAGCAAGTCCAATGCCAAATGTCGACACGCTTCTGAGTGTCGGCAACGCNNTCTGTCCGATGGTCAGCCAGAGACTTGCAAGAAGCACAACATCATCGCGCGCACACAAAACATACTGCTCTTTCGATTGCTCTCCGTCACCCATGTCCGAAATGCCGTCGGCCATGTCGACGCCAAGGATGCTGTCGATTGTGTCTCCAAGTCTAAGCTGGGCGAGGATTGCCGTCGCTTCATTGTCGGTGCTATACCTCAACTTGTTGACAAATAACTCGAGATTCCTTACTCTCAGCGAAAGAGACGAGACCTTTTGTTTCAAATCCTCGGTTCGTGTTGCACCCTCGACGACATCATACGTGCATGACAGACCTCTGGTCTGGCAAGCAGAACATGAAGGCCGCTCACCGTTGCACTGAATGTGGACACTTGTCAGCGACTCTGGCCGCACGAGCGAAATCGTTGGGCGAGGATTGCTAAGTACCTTACGCTTCCGCTTGCGACAGTCAATACAGGCGACAGCGGTGAGTTTCCTGGGTGCATTTTGATGGCCGCTGGAAGAACCAGGCGTTTCCCCATCGACAACAGTGGATTTCCCACGTTGTTTGTCTCTGTCCTGAGGCATTGAACAATGGTGGTATTATGCGAACTATCCAGGAGAAACCGAGCCTTGCTCTGAGATCCGGCTTTTTACCACGGAGTTGGCCCCGCAGTATTGCAATAACACGCTGAATGTATCGGAGCTTGGCTTCCAAAGCGTCAGCGACGCGATGATCTAGACCTGAGAAGACACCTTGAGATCGAGCGCTACCGATTGAACTCGTCCGGGCTGTGTGAAGGCGGACCTGGTCCCGCCGCAGGAAATGATCTGGAGTGGGAATGTTGATGGGTATGTGTACAACACCGTGTACATTGATAACGACGACTGGAGCGCGGAGAGGAACGAAAGAGGATCAGATCATAAAGGACAGGAGCAGCATGACGCACATGGTCAAGGTCATCAAGAAATCCTCGACGGGATTGCAGAAGACACGACTTCCAGAGCTGACTGATCACAACCCTTCTGCACAGGTCTGGACACTCAAAATACTTGCATGGCAGAAGAAGCCGAAGAGCTCGTTCGAATCACATAGTGTAGACTAGGACTGAACAGGCAGAGGGGTCGAGGGTTAGAAGCTCTCCGGGAGGAACTCCGTATTTTGTCGGATGCCTCGCCTGCTCCCCATCAATTATGGCAGCTGCTCCGTAGTCGTTCGTTGCTTCTACATACTGTAGCATCACTTGGAATCGCAGGTGCTGAACTCTTTCACAATATTCTCTCAAACACTCGAGGAGTGATCGGTTGAGATTGTTGACTTACGTCAGGATGTTCAGACAACACCTCTGATGCCCAAAGACTAAGACTCATGGAAGGCAAGAATCAACTGCATCGTATTTTGGCAAGAGCTGAACATGGATAGCCAATCAAGTAGATGTCAGAAACATAACTTAGTCAACGCTCAAATGTGCTTGACACTTGGATTGCTCTCCAATCCTGAGAGGGAGGGTGCAGCTCGATTGAAAGAGACTTCGCAAATGTACCGCTCAAAGCCTAGATGTCTCGACGTGACACACATCGAGATTTGAAGGATTCGATGAGCCCTCGAACCACCCACGATGCTAAAGTCTTTCTGTTCGCAGGTCAGTAGAACCCTTTCTGCGATCTTACATTCGTGCTGCCATCTGGATTGGTGCGACTGGGCGCTGTCGCGACCTTACGAACAGGAGTTTTGTAGATCACCGTTGACACGGACGCATCGTTCTCGAATTGTCTTTGCATGCACCGGAGAGTCGGAGACACACGAACGTGGCATGTTGCACTCGACTTTGGCATACCATGTCCTCGGAGTTCGAACTCCGCTTTCATGACATCACGGCCACGAACCCAAAACCACAACTTGCACATAACTTTCCATTTCCATCTCACATCCGTTGCTGCAGTCATGTCGGGAGTCAACTTCAAGGAAATGCTGCAACAGTATGCTCACGAAGAGTCGAGTGCCTCTACAGCCACTGTCGGCCCAATGCGCGTCTTGCGGCCACGAGCACGCCCGACTTCAATGACGACGAATTCAAAAGAGAAAAATACCCGTTCTGATCACTCCGCTGAGAAACCAAAGTCTGCACCTATTACCACAAAGTCGTCAAAGAAACGAAAGGCCCCGAGCAAGTATGCGCCACCATCCAAGTATCAACACCTCAGCCCTCTTACCGACATCCTCGCTCCAGACCTGATAGCGGTCTTCGTGGGCACCAATCCCGGCATACGCACAGCAGCACAAGGACATGCATACGCACATCCTTCGAATCAATTCTGGAAGCTCCTTCACTCCAGTGGCTGCACTGATGAACGACTACGCCCGGACCAAGACGTCGAGCTGCCAGCTCGTTACCTTCTTGGTAATACTAACATCGTAGAGCGACCCACCAAAGATGCTGCCGAACTCAGCAAGGCCGAGATGAGTGATGGTGCCCCTGTTCTGGAAGACAAATGTCGTGAATGGCAACCTGAGTGCGTTTGCATTGTCGGCAAGGGTATCTGGGAGGCTGTTTTCCGCCATCGTCACGGCAAGAACCCCAGCAAAGCCGAGTTCCATTGGGGCTGGCAGGATGAAAAAGAGAATATCGGCCGTATCGCTGATATTGGAGAGGATGGGTATCAAGGCGCCAAGGTCTTCGTCACGACTAGCACGAGTGGTCTTGCCGCGAGCCTTAAGCCTGCTGAAAAGGAAGCTATCTGGAAACCATTCGGAGATTGGTGTAAAGAGAGAAGAGTCGCTCGGAACTGGCCACCTGCTCAACCACATGGTCAGGCGCAAGATCTATCGGAAGGTTAATCCCTCGAAAGCGTGATGCGGTCCGGACATGCTTCGCTTCAAGCGGCAAACAAATATACAAAGATACACAAAGGCAAGGTTCTCGAGTGTCCATCAGCACCGCTTTTCATCTTTTCCTCAGATTCTCTTGCTTCACATGTGGACATGTGTTTCTCCAACAGGCATGGTATCCGGATACTCTACCAGCATGGTCGAATGTTGAAGCCATCAAAGCATTAGAAGGCTCAAAAACACGAACGATTTACAAACCCTGCATGTTCCTACACGCCCCCAAACGGGTCCAATGTGACCGACTCAAACAACCCGACAGAAACAATGAATACGATAGACGGTATTCGGAGTGAAGCCCGAGTTGCGGGTGCTGTATGACTTGCTTGCGGAAGCGGGTCACATCGCCGATGAGGCATCCTTGCGTGGACCAAATCCATTATTACCGAACATCCAACTATGACATGTCCGCGGATGCGGACTGCGTTGCCGGCATGTCAACCGATATCATTACTTGATGGGATTCTTGATTCTGTCCTATTGCACCCGTCGGTCTGCATGACACCGAGGCCGCCTTCTGGATTGCCATAACTTGGATCCTGCTGTTCGTATCGCTTTGCAGAGAATGCGATGGCTCGGCGTGTCATTCCGACAGTGCGGTAGGTTCTATAACGTGCTCCGTAGACCGTTCTGAGTAACAGACTCGTCCAGCCCCGAGCTCTCGATGAGCAGATCATTCTTCTCATCGCAGCCAGACCATGAGATCGGATCATGATACATCAGCCTCTCCCGCAGCTACTCGTAGTGGTGCAAAGAGTGGACTTGTTGCAAACAACACACGGCCACTTTCCGTTGACGGTCTTGTTTCTCCGGAGGAGACAGTTGCGAGCGTACATCTGTGCCTGCACAAACGCTCGATCATCGGCCACTGCAAACATGGACATGCATGCTGGTTGTCTGAGCAATCCATCAGATCCCTTTCGTCAAATGACCGTCTTTCTATCTGAGGATTTGACCGAGTCTCGTTTTGTGCTAGTCTTTGCTAACAAAAACGATTGCCAGTGACCTCAACAGCAGGCGGCTCACTGTAGCGGCCAATTGGCCAAATCAGAGACATGATCCAACACCGTTACCTGTGGACGCCGTCAACCACCGCTGCTACCTTTGCCGCGTCCACAGAACAGAGTAAGAACGACTCGCCATCCGACACCACGATCAATCCGACCTGCTGGTCTCGAGCCCTCACGACCGGTCCATCCTAGCTCCAAGCCTTCACGATGAGAAGGGACGAGCGCATTTAAATCTCTCACTTCTTCCTTCTTCTGCTAGATTGGCATTTCCACTCAACCCATCCCAGCCGTTCAAGACAACAGATCCTAGGACGCACCTTTCCCTGCTGCAATCAACACTGGATCACCGTCCCCATACAAGAAACGCGCACAGAAATAAGAGTCCTCGCTATCGAGCGTCACAGATACAATGTCATTGACGCCAATCCTCGCACCGCTCTCTCTACACGACTGAGAGCACAATATCGTACTTCCCGTTCCTCAACCCCCTCAGACCGAGAGGTAAGGAAAGCATACTGATCACTCGGTACAATGAGAGAAGGGAGCAGAACAAGAGAAGACTCCAGAAAGAAAGATAGGACACAATGCACATGGGAATGCGCGATCAAGCAAGACCGACGATAGCGAACAGCACCTAGAGAGCATCAAAGGAATGGAATGAAGTGCGAGCAGTTGGGACAAACAAAGCAGGAAAGAAAAAAGCCGCGATTGATATGGATAAGTGAAAGAGAGCATTGCACAGGGCATGTGTCAATACAGTGGCTCAATAATAATGTGGTATATAAGGACTACAAAACACTCAAGATATATGTATACTCTACACTGAGGCATGAGCTCTGAGCATATCAAGAAGTGTGCAACGCCACAACCCTCTGACACCATTATTGTAGCAGTAGAATAACACAGAGGCATACTGCGGGACCATCAAACACAGTCGCCCACACAGCTTCATTAGTCGCCATCGACAAGCGAAACGTGAAACGTTCGCCCAAACATCATAGAGACCAGTATCTTTGATGTTTAATCTGTGATTTCGGTAGCCAAAACGTACAGCAATATATAACTGTTATCGCTTCTTATAGCTCGTTAACCATGTCCATATATCCATATCATCTCCACAGCATGAACACGAGCACTCATCTAAGCGTGCTGAGTAGATGCAGCATGCTTGGTCTCTGATGCCTTCTTGGTCTCAGACTTTCCAGCAGCTTTGCCAGTTGACACAGGCTTCTTGGAACTGCCAGTCTTCTTTGTCGACTGGGGTTGAGAAGCAGGCTTCTTGGAGCGAGACTTGGGCTTCGTGGTGGTCTTCAATGTTGAAGCGGGCTTCTTGGCAGAGACCGAGGCCTTGACGGACGAGTGTTTGGACGAAGCAGAGGCCTTGACCGAAGAGTGTTTTGAGGAGATCGAAGCTTTGACAGAGGAGTGCTTAGATGAGACTGAAGCTTTCGCAGAGGAATGCTTGGATGAGACGGAGACCTTCTTGGAGGAGACCTTGGAGGGCATAGAAACCTTCTTGGACGAGACAGAGGCCTTCTTTGAGGATACCTTCTGGGCAACAGATGAAGGCATGTGGGTTGTTGAAGGCTTGTGGGTCACTGGTCCGGGGGCCGACTTGACTGAACTGGAGCTCTTCGCAAGACCAGAAGAGCTGACCGAAGAGGCAATCATCGAAGCAGCCATAGGTGAGCTGAAGGTAGATGATGCAGGCATGGTGCTGTTAATGGCAGCCCTGTTCCGACTTAGTGCGAGTTACTAGCTTGAGGTATACGCGACGTACATGGAGGCGTTGATGGGTTGATCGGCAGCCTTTGAAGATGCTCTGGCTTGAGCCTGGCCCTTGCCAGCACCAGGCATTGCGGCGAAATCATTGGTCTTGGGTGCAGATTGAGGAGAAGCCTGTGCCAGAACGGCAAGGATGGGGAGAAGGAGGGTGACAGCGTGCATGGTGAATGGTTATTAGGAAATAAGGGTTGATATAGAAAAGAACGGCAAAGATCAGCAACAAGTAGCACGCAGCCGGAGAAGAGTATGGAGATAGCACGAAGAAGATGTCAGAGGAGGGATTGGACTCTTTTAATATTGATATTGTGCATGCTGAGGTTGGGCAAAGAAGTGTTTCAGTCAGGAGCCCCCATATATCGAAAGTCGAACGGTCAAAACGGAGGGACTAGAGATTAGCATGAGGAGACCAACGGGCACACCGTTTGGCAGAGTGCCGAAGAAGAGTAGCAGAGTGTTGAGAATTTGAGATGTCGCTTCGGCGCAATACCTACAAGCTGTTGATATGCTTGATGTATAGCCTGATAGCTTGGAAAGGTTCATAGTTGAGCAGGGGGACACTTGAATAACAGGCAGCTGAGCTGAACGATGGAGTGCGGCACGCGGCAAGATTTGATCAGGCATGCGGTATATGTTGTTCGAGAAAGACGCGAAGCAGGGGCCGTTGAATCTCGGGAAGCAGAACGGGACATCCAGACTCGGTAGTCGAAAAGCTTACGTACAAATGGCATCGAATGTCACTGGCGGTGAGGCCATGACGGAAACAATGAACAGCGTTGAAGAAGATAGTGAAGGGGAAGTAGGAAAGTACATGTGAGCGGAGAGTCGAAGAGTCGGCGGGGCCAGCGGGGCGGAAGTGGAAGTCGCGACTGCCGATGATGCTGCCAAGACAAGCGAACAGGCGCAACTTTTGGAGTTGTCAACAGGCATCACAAGGTAGCTGTTCCATCTTTGCAACATCGTCCTCTTCACAACAATGGCGCTCCAACCCACCCCAGATCAGAAGATCGACCGACAGACGACGACGCCCTTCCTGCTGCGACTCTACTACCGATCCAATGGCTTCCACTCGCCCAACGAATTCTCGACCGTGCCGCCGCCCTCGTGGTTGCAGCAGTCGAGTCTGCAGATCTACACCTGGCCCTCGTGCACCCTGGCAGAACTGACCACCCTCCTCACCACCGCCTTACCGAGTTTGCTTCCATCGCCATCCGTCGGCACCCGCATTGGCTACCGACTGGTCTTTCCCGATACGCGTAGTGTTCCGCCGTCGGGCGCTTCAGATGCTCCAGGACGGTGGCTATCGAAAGAGCTGGGCAGTGTCATCCTCGGACAGGGCCACGAATATGATCAGGAGAACGACCCTGCTGGTCTAGGACGTATGGATGGCGACGCCCAAAAGACCCTGGCAGACGCCCGCTTCGTCATTGGCGACTACATCTCGTGCGCCGTCTTTCCTCCCTTGGCTGACGGCTCTGTCGCTCCCCTACCCCCTGCCACACCCGCCATCAGAGGCACATCTGGTCGAGGAGGTCCACCACCGCGCGGCGAAAACGGCCGTCCACCCAGGCCAGGAAGAGGCCAATTCCAAGGAGACAGAGCTTTTGGCCCACAAGGTGTTCCCCACGGCGAATGGAGACGAGGCGAGAGAGTCCCCGAATATGCTCGCTCGGGTCGCGGAGGTGGTGGTGAGCGTGAACGTGGAGGAGGCAGAAACAGACCTTATTGAATGACACGACAAGAAGGCCATCCCATGCATACATTCGTCTCCAGGATCATTCCTGGCCATTTGAGCATAAGCAGCCCGACTTGGCTTGATAGCAGCGCGTTCGAACTCGCATCTAGCAGCACGCTGCATAGCGTACACTCCATCCAAGCAGCTGTCTGACTCACTAAGACCGAGATGCTCGCCGAGCTGAAGTTTGCTTGCGCCAGCTATCCGAAGCATCCATTGCAAGTGCTGCTTGTGATGTTCAACCATAGAACCACCATAGCGTGACGAGCCTTCGCTGGTGAGTTTGCTGCACCATCTCTACGAGAGTCTCCTCATCAATGGCTCCTATGGCCAACAAGCGCTAAGTAGCGCGTCTAATACAGCAGTATAAATGACTCCATAGAGGGAAAATACAAACTGTGCCCTACACCATACATCTGCGTTTTCTTCCTCTGCTCAATTACACTACCAGCCGATGTCATATTGGTAATCCAGATCCCATATATGACAAGTTTTCGGCAACTGGTCGACTCATTGTCGACCTTTCGCTACCCCGTTGTTTATCATGACGAGGGCTGGATTCAGCAAATCTCAAGAGAGTGACTAAGGGTCTACCGCATATGTGCCCATGATTTCAGGCATGCACAATTCCGTATCAGGGACTCTCAGCGAGCTCAAGGACCGTTCATTCTGGTATAAGAGTGCATGATTTATTGTTGTCGATTATCCAAAGAGTAGAGCAGGGTGACCCGAGCATTGGAAAAGCTGGAGCGGAGATAGCTAAACACCGAACCGAGGCCCTAAATCGTCCATACAGCCACATCGTCCTCGTCATATCTTTTGCTTTTATCCAAGAGCCAAAAGGCGTCATCCAAATGTTTGAGATGCAGATATCGACAGGGATGACGATGTTATCGTTTTGACGGGTAGAGATGTAGGTAGATGAACTGCCGAACAGGGGGAAAGCGTTGCCTTGGTAGACCGCTTCGTGTCTGCCATATCTCACTCCATTGGTTGATCGAGTGTTGCAACAGGCACTTACAAAGAACTAGCTATGGAAAGCAGCGCGATAGCCGCCAACGCATCCACAAACAGTGATCTCAGAGCTTGAAACCAACGTTTTCGCCATTTTGCAGGGCATCTCGCATGCGCCCAGCAACGTGAACAAGATCGTGGTTCCAGACCCTTGGCTTACCGACTATGCCGTTGATCAGCAAGATCCATTGCTTATATAAAGTGCCTTGAAAGCTCTCGATCTGTTTACCAAAGAAATACATCTTACTCTCAAGCATATCAAACTTGAATCATGAAGCCTTCACAAGTGTTACTCGGTATTGCTGCTGCTGGTGTTCGGCTCGCAAACGCAGCTACACCAGCAGGCTCCGAACCTCAAGTCCCCAACACCTTGGGTCTTGCCTTTGGCAAAAACGTCGTGCAACCCGGCGAGATGATCGAGCAAGCTGGTAAGTCTCTCTTAGCCCCAGGGGGTTTTGCTTTCAATATACATGTCCACAAAAAGAATACCAACACCACGCCCCANGTCGCCGATGCAGGCCAACCCGCCCTCTACGCCCCTCACCCCAAAATCAACAATCGCAACATCAAAAAACACCCCGGAAACCCTCACGACAAGACCTACATCTTTACCATGGTGGATCTCAATCTACCTTTCTTCGCTTTGCCCGCAACCACAGACTTTGCCTCTCTCGTCCCCGGCATCGGGCCCAACCGCACAACCCGCCTGCACTGGTTCGAATATAACGTCCACGCCATCCCTCCCCGCCAACAACTCCAAAACTTTTCGGTTCCGGTGGCTGGATATGAAGGTCCTCAACCGCCAAAGGGAGACGAACCGCACAATTACGTGGTGTATCTGTTTGAGCAGCCCGAGGGATGGAAACCCGATGCTGCAGCGATGGAAAGCTATAAAGACGAAACCTCGTTTGCGAGAATGAACTTTTCGGTCAAGGCGTTGGAGCAGCAGATTGGTAAGCCCATTGCGGCAAACTACTTTGTCGTCGAGAATGAGAATAATACAAAAAGTGGTTAGAGGGACTCGTAAAGGTGGAATTGGGACAAGGGCCAGATTGCTTTTGCTCATTGACTACCTAATCAGGAACGTTAGATGAAAACGGAATAGATTGATAGCTCTCTGTTCTGGCCTTGAGATACTAAATCGCGGACTGCCGTTGGCTGAGCAAATGTCAGTGATTCCTCAATGCTTGACTTGGCCTGCTGATGCTTCGATGCAATTTAGATCGGTGACTGTCTTGAATTGGCTTGTGTCATGTCCGCCATCTCGACTTGCAAGAGCTTACAGTGGCTTCACTTCGATCCATGAAGCAGTACTGAAATTTACAGCTACAATGATTAAAAAACTGGCAAACGCTAGACAAAAGCTGTCTCGAAAGATCAGTATGTTCGACGCAAAGGGAAAAGGTCACAGAATGGAATCAGACCCAATATGAAAAGTGGAAAAAACGGACAAATGTATTTCCAAGTCCAAGAATGGTCCATTACCCAAGGGTTATAGAGCTAAAAAGAGGTATGTACAAGAATGTTAGTAGGCGCTAAGATAAACAATAGGGAGCTTCGAATCACAAGCGGCTGTACTTGTGCGAATAGCTGCTCGTCCCCTTCTTCCACTTGGGCAAGACACGTTCTCCCTTTCGGAAGCGCCTCAGAGCCCAGAAGCCGACTATCACACCGAAACAACCTCCAAGTGGGAGCAAAACACTCCACACACTCTTTGCTGTTGTTGTCGTGTCTTCGGTCGCAATCTCAGAGACTCCAAGGGCGTTGCCTTCGGCGTCCGAAGCAAGAACGCGATACCGTGTTTCTGGGCTTCCATCCGGTAATAGGAATGAGGTTTCAAAAGCGACCTTGTCAACTACATCGACATCGGTGAATTCGGCATCTTTCCAGGAGTCGGCAGATTGTAACGTCCATGTCGCAACTTCGGTAGCGCCGCTCCAGGAAGCGTATAGCCGTCCAGCCTGTATCTTGGCCTTTGAAGCCTCAGCGGGCGCACCAACCCAGTCAGCCTTGAGCGAGCGATAAGATGTTACACGCCCGTAGTGCGAGATGTATTGTGCGCCATAGTGAGCCTCACAGATCAGTGTGCCATCAATGTCAAATTCCGAGAAGACTGGAGAGTGGCCCCAACCCACGAAAACAGTGTTTGTCAATGGTAGGACTTGAACAGAGCCTTGGGAGGCAGCGCGGGTGTATCGGTCCGAGACGTATTTGTGTAGGAGTTTGGCGGTGTTATCGGTCGTGTTGATCTGAATCATGCGTGCGGTAGAATATGCGGCGTCGAGGTGGAGCGGACCGGCATCGCTATTATCGAAGAGGGTAAGAGTACCTTGGTCCTGATCCAGCCAGCGACCGTCGTGCTGCCAGCTGAAACTTGTGGCTTCACCAGCTGAGATGTCTTTGAAATTGTTTTGCTTGCCTCCGAGAGTCCAAACGACGTCGCCAGTGGTGCCGTTGACCTTGATTAGGGAGTGGAGGTGACGAGATGAAATGAGGTAGTCGCCGTGGTCGTCCTTTTCGACACTGTTGATGTGGAACCAATCAAACGGAATCGACTCCTTGTATCCGGCCAGCGGATGCGTGTAGAACGAGTCCATGATAGAGAAGTGGTCCAGTGCATCCCACTGGAACAGCAACTTGCCAGTTTCGACATCGATCTCTTGGAACAGGTTGTTGTTGACCCAGCCATCCACTGGCCTTCGCATTGCAGTCATGTCGGTTTGTGATGCATTGTAAATTGTGATAAGCGCCGTGCCATCTTTCGTTAGGGTGAATTCGTGAAGGTCGCCCTTGAGGCCCTCGCCGACGGCTGAGACTTGGTATCGTTCTTGGTACGAGGAGTCGAGCTAAGGGACATGTTAGTTTTTGGGCATTGACAACAGGCAATCGAGTGTGCTCACCATATAGTAGTTTCCATAGCCATAGCTCGATCCTCGGAGACCAGCCCAGAAGGTAAGGTATTTTTCACCCTTGTATTCCTGGACCTTCAAGTTCATGGCCTGTCCATACTGGTCTGTCTGCCACACGAGGTTTCCTCTGGCGTCCAGGATCATAGGTCCTGGATGTTCGACTGATTTGCCCTGGGGAGAGATAAAGATGAAGCCGTTGTCGCATTTGTCGTCCCATCGTACTTGTTGTAAGTCTGGCGAGGTCAAGTTGTGCGACACATAACTCCTTTGTGGGTAACCACCATAGACGGCAAGATCAAAGAATGTTGATTCCAGGGAAGGGAAGATCCAACCGACGACGGGAAGCACAAGTTGGTGGACCGCTAACAATGCCACGAGGAAACCAGCCACAGCAGCAGTCAACAGACCGACCAAGCGCAGGTGCTTGAATAATTGTTGTAACATGTTTCCAGAGAGAGAGAGCGACGGGGCAGGAGTCGACAAGACTCCGTTGAAGGAGTATCGAAGAATGAGCTTGGGAAGAGAAAGGAGGTTATTTGCTTTGCTTCACTCAAGTGTCCCGGACCCAACACAGCCGTGCATCAAGCACAGCCCTGATACATTGGGGAAAGTAGATCTTATAGATTCGTAACGTATTGACTGCCAAGTTCGCGGCGCCCTTCAAGTTCAGGGCTCGGCGACGGCACGTCTCGTGGGCGCCGTGTCACTTCATCACTGCTCAAGCGTATGAACCGTATCCCGAGATACGCTGTTGGAATTGGTCCAATTGAATGTTCGGCCGATGACATGGCTGGGCTGTTTATGCGAGCGGTTGTGCTCAAGGAAGTAAATTGTGGGTTCCCTTGATGGCGGCAGATGACTTTGACTTTGACACCGCCCACAGAGACTCGTGCTCCGCATGTGGCTGCCACATTCATGACTCTGACTTGGCATTCAGCCGCCAACCTTGAATTCGTAAATCGACCACTTCAAGCGTTTGCCTGCAATTCGAGACGTCGCTGGCATGTGTTTCGAGTCCTCGACTCTGAAGCAGCGCCTTTCTGCGACGCCCAAGGGGACCGTATCGCAGTGTGCGCGTTGTCTCAGGTTCTCGGCCCACCATCTCCATACGCTCCTCAAAAAAGGTGGATATCGAATTTCGGCAAGAGCTACCCCAAGCCGTCCTGCCAAGGTGCGTCTCCCGCGTCGTTGAGGGGATTATTTGAGAGCTGGAGACGGAAAGAGCTTGGCCAAGATGTGACAATCAACCACACCAAGGTTCAAGATGTGTGATCGATTCTGCCTGCCACCAATCGAACATGCTCCCAGGACACCGATTGCACCATCGAAGGATTTGATACAGCGTAGGTGGCTGCTCTCACACACACACTTGCGAAAAGTGTTTCTCTCGCGACTGTGCTTTCGGTTTCGGACAAGTCCGCTCAATGACGCGCGTGGATTGGCATGAGTGAGGCTGTGTAAAAAAATCTCCAAGCAGAAAAAGTTCCAAGGTTTGGTTGAAACCAGACCCGTTTGCGTTGATCGTGGGGAGGCGCTTTCCACCTCCGTCACGCTTGTCTCTTGTCATTTTACCCAGCCATTTTTCTCTTCCGTTGTCAGATGCATGTTGCCAAGTCGCGACCAGGAGGTTCAGCTCAGCTCAGGAGAGATTTTTCATTCCGTTGCTGCTTCATTGTTGTCGTCGAGATATCGGACTCGCAACTGTTTCCTTGTCGAACCTGACCTGCAGGCGTGAGGTTCAGAAATGTTGATGCTCCAGAAGCCAGTGCGTCAGGGGCGGGCGCATTGTTGTTGTTGCTCGCGGTCCTTGTTTCCAAGATCGATTCCAGAAAAAGCCAAGCATGCAAGAGAGTTTCAATCACTTTTTTCCCCCCGAAGAAGGCACACGACAGTTTCCAAGAGCATGGGGTTCTTTGCACATATAAAAGAGGAGGTGTTGATCTAAGCTGCTGCCTTCAAAGGATTTAAGGCTAAAGGTGCCCGCTTCGTATTGACAGCTTCCCGGCTTCTTGGGCACGAGCGCAGCTGCGTACGACGACTCTTCTCGTGTTCTCCAGCCACTGAATGCTCTCTCACTCGTGCTGTGCTCTCCAGAGGCCTAGAACATAGTCGAGAGGCTTGCAGCAATCTTATATGCTTTTACCGAACGGACGCCCGTCAGATATCCCTTGTTGAGGGTGAATAGGATCTGTTTGCATCATGCACGCGACATGCAGAGACATGCAGTGGTCACCGCGGACGCCGATGCAGAAAAGAGGATCATTGCGCATTATATACTGTAGAAACTACCCGGTCACGTCTACCGCCCTCGTCATCATCACGCCCTTGCCTGAATACGGCGGCACCCAAGTCCTCGCAGTCTCATACATATGCTGCTCGACCAGCGAACCCTGACTGCTAGCTCTGTTCAACGTATTGTCGTCATTGCTGAACTCGTCCATCTCAATTCTTGGGCTGGCGATGATTGTGTGTGTCCTCGACGCCGTATTGTCGAATACCTGAAAGCCTTTTTGGTCGGCGTACGTTGCGTGCGATCGCGTGGCACGGTGAGAGCGGTTGGTGTGTCTGTTGCTGTTGCTCGCTATACTGTGCTTCGTCCTGCCGTAGCCTGTGTGAAAAAANNAAGACGGTAGTGTTTTCTCAACCATGCTCTTGAACAATGGCCGCAGAGCCGAGAGCGATGCTGCTGTGATGGCTAGACCGGGCTCGGCGACGGAAAGCAGACCAGCGTCTATCGCATGCTTGAAGAATCTGGCGTCGACCGAAAGGCCACCGAGGTAGGCGATGCGGATGATTGATGCAATGCTTCCGAGACAGCCCATGCTCAGGAGAACACCAGCTGAGACTTTTGCTCGACGCGGCATATGGGTGTTCCAGAGGACGATGATTGGTAACGTTGCAAAGACAACGTCAGATGCGGCGTTGAGAGTACCGGAAATGTAGACCAGGGGCATGATCGCGCCATTTGAGATGCACTTCCCCTTGGAAGCATTGATGAGTAAATCCGGTGGGTTTCCACAACGAAAGGTGACTATAAAGATGAAAACGACGCTGTAAAGAGTGTAAATTCCAGTCGATGTGTAGATCAGACGACGCTGCCATTTTACTACAACGATCCGGAGGAAGAAGATGGCCAGACTGATTTTGAAGAGAATCGTGGTGAGAATGTAGAGGGCGTTGTAAACGACGACGAGCTGCANGCAAGTCAGATGTATGCTACCAGTCAGGATGTGATACACGCGCACCTCCAGTGCCTTTGTCAACACTATCCAGATTGCTTCCAGATTCGCCGTTTGGTAGGCTTCTTCTACTTCTGGTGTGCGACAGTACCTAGCCTCGAGTATCAAGCAGGCGCAGAACGAGGAGAATGTAACNNCTACGCATGGTCAGGTCGAGAAATTTGGTACGATGTCTCTGCCGCTTACCGACGACATAAGAAGTATGGCGTCGTCCCATCCGAACGCTCGAATCATAAATAGTCGAACATAGACTCGGAAACAAATTGATAACCAGACCAGTAATAGGAAGGTGACACCAAATCCAGTCATGAGATGCGCCTTGGGTTGCAACTCCAGCACATTGGGAATCAGTGATATGTCGAATGTGCCTGCCATGACACTGTGCACTTACAACCACAGACGCAAGTAGGAGAATAGGGAAGTGTTGCAGCGGCACGATCAAGTATATACTTACCAGATGCCAGATCTGTGGGCCCTCTTTCCCCAAGCCACTCGCAATGTCAAACTCGTGAACATTGGCAAGTACTGGCGGATGAGCCAATGGGAGATGCTGGGTCTTCCAGCTCAAGAGGACCGGGCGGGGTCTAGTAGGCCATCACGAATATCGCTACCATGCAATGGTGGTTCAGCTACCGGGATCTTCTGTCTGCGTATGGAGAAGGTGAAGCTCGTATGAATCGCACCGGTGCTCGGTTCGCAGCATGGTCCACCTGCAGCACGTAAGGCACAAGAGATAATATCGATCGTGTACTCGGGCAGATCTGAACCAACAAAAGGCATAGCGGCTCAAGTCCGCAAGCAAAGACCCGGACAGATAAAACACATTTGGTGTGAAAGTAAAACAAATGCTGCTCCGGGCATGCCGAAAAGGTGGCTCGAGACAGAGGCTCTGCACACGTGGTTCCTGGTATCCGAAAAGTCTCGCCTTCTGACAGTGGTTCGCGTGGGTGTTCAACGGCTCGCTAGAACAGGGTTTGATAGAAGTCTCGAAAGACGCCACAAGAATGCTAGGGCAGACGAGGATACACATGTTCTCCTCAGCGACTGAGCGAAGCATGTAGTTTGCATTTGTCTGTGTATTCCAAATGCATTTTCAGCTGTTCGGCAAGGCCCTATTGCGTATAATAGATGAGGAGACGGGAGGAAGTTCGAGTTCGTGATAAGCGAGGGCGAGATTGGCGTGCATGTCAAAAGTCTGGTAGAGGCTATCTGTGCCGCACTGGCGTAGTCGTAGGACGATGTTAGAACTTAGCAGCCCTGTAGAAATGGAGTAGAAACAGGAAGGTGGAAGGTGGACATGAATAAGAACATGTACTTGTGCTGGAGCGGTGTAATGGAAGGGGTATATGAACATGCGGGGGCTCATTCGAAAAGGTCGATCAACGAGGAAGAAGGACCAGTAAGTGGTCAGTCCTTCCTCTACAGCAATTCAAGTATGTTTAAGAAGAGTAAAAGCCGCCTCTCCTGTCGATCGAACGCAGCTGAGATGACAGCTGCCGAATCGTATCTTCGTCGGCTACTTCTCAGCACGACTTACGGCCGGACAAACAGCGCAAGCATGCGAGAAGAAGTAGATCGAGCAAACGAGCTCAAGCGTTGTGAGTTCCAATAGGCGAGGAATGGGAGAGTCTATGGAAGGCGTTCCTGTGGGCTTGGCGTTCGTGTTTCAGAAGCGACATGGACTCCCGAGGCTCGGCATTGACGGCATCCTCAAGACTCACGCAAATCTGACAAAGCGAAAGCGAGCGGCCGTGTGGATGAACAGGACGCGTTTCAAAACTAATCAAGGACATCAACCTCGGAAATTGACCATGATTGCTCTGTACTCGATGCCCCGTCAGACTGTTCAACGCGTCGTCGAGTTGACAAGATGTGCTGCTCTGAGCCCCTGATCGGAAAGATGCGGTGGACCCATTGGCCGCCGAGTCGCATGCCATGAGAGCGAATAGAAAGAAGCTCCCTTCTCGTCAGTCTACAAAGCTATCATGGACAACAGGCCAGGGCGCAAGACATGAAGAGGAAAAAATGACAGGTAAGGTGATGAGATGCACAGTATGCAGACAGCTATTGCAATGCGAACGAGCGAGCAGCTGCGAGCTACCGCCATGTGCAGTCAAGTAAATTAAAAAGACCAAACGAAAAAAAGTCGCAACACACGGTAGAGGCCCTGACTTTTTTTGCGTCGACCGTCGACTGACTTGGTCGTGTTACTAAACAAATGCACCTCAAACATTGACTCCTGGACAAGCAAATTTGGACCACGATCTGGCGCTCACCTTTGTCTCTCCAAAGTACCGCCCACTTGTTTTGGTGTAAAAAAGCACAAGTTATTCCAAGCACCGGGTCAAGCCATTGAGAGTCCCGTTCAAACAAACGCAGCTTCAAAGCAACCTCAAAGCAACAGTAGCAGCAAGCTCTCCCCACCTCTAACCTTGACTGGCCCTTGTTCACGCGAGCACAAGAGCACCCAGATGCACCATGCCCACGAGGTATGACACGACGCCGCCTTGGGGCNNAAGAAGCGCAAGCGAGAGCCTTCGACGTCTTCCAACTCGACGAAGCGTTCGACCTCTCCACCACCAGCACATAGANGAAGACAGTAGAGACGTCATGACTGACAACCAAGACCCTCACCGACGACCGACGCCATGGACCAAGCACAGTGACCCTCTTAGTCCGAGTTCACTAGCTCCCCTGGTGCGAGGGGACGACGACTTGCAGCAGGCTGCCAAGGACATGTTTGGCTGGACCCAATCAGACCGGCCCATCGAAGAGTCTATTGGTCACATGAAACGCATCGTCGACCTCTGCCAGGATGAGGCATCATGGTCGGGTAACAAGAGGTGGAAACAAGTGATAGCAACCTACAAGTCGTGTAGAGCTACCACGGATGCCGTTCAAGATCTCCTGGATGCGCGAGAGCCCTTCTGGACGCAGTCTCGCGTCAAGCATGCATCAACTACCTTGGCTACACCCAGGGCTCTGGCTGACTCGATACGCATCATGGTGGCTGAGAGTGAGAGGGCCAACGGCCATTACCTTGACAGAGAGGCCAGGCATCAGCTCATGCAGGCCGTTGAGCGAGTCTTTCCTCACACTCAGCCTGTAATTCTGGTACCAGACAGCCCGGACCAACCTGTCTCTGCATCTACGACACACCATCAATTGCCCGTCGCGCCTGTCGCGCAGATGACCAAGATTGACAAACCCTCGCCAGTGCCAGCTGCTCCTCAACAGACTCTGTCGGCAACATTGGACCCGCGTCTCGCATCAAGACTTCCTGGCTGGGCGCCACCGACCTCGGAGAAGGACATGAAGTCACGGACTGATAGTGTGGCCGACTCGCCTAGTTCTAGGAAGTCTTCTGCCGCCACCCTGGTGATTTCGAGTCCACAGCAACCCCCTCTTAATTCGCTAGTACCAGATATGAACCTGTCGCAAGTCATAAAGCCAACACGCCCGAGTCGTTTCGTCCCAGGAGACGATCTTGCTCAACACGCCATCCTGCCAAGCCCATCCGCCTCGCCGAGCCTTGTCACAGCTCCCATTCAGTTCAACATTGCCACCGGCTCGAACCAAGCACCTCTGCACAAGCGCCCCCGTTTGTCGATAAATTCAGATGTCAAGAATCCCGTTAAACCGGTCAACAATGTCTTCTCTCCACCCCCATCTGAACGCCGCGGTTCTTCGGCTCTCAGTACCACTATTCAGCCTCCAACAGGTCCGCGTAGTCTGCCCCTATTCCAGGCCAAAATCATGCCCAAGGGATTCCAAGGGAGAAAGCCATTGTCAAAGAAAGAGATCCTTGAGGCTTGCGATTATAACAGAGTCTCTGCCCAAGACGTTACTCTCTGCCCTTCTGACTACAGCACATGGCTACTACACTTTAAAACCTTCAATGATCTCCAGGCTTCACTTGGAAAGATCACCATCTTGCGCGGCATCAGCATACCAGTGCTTACCTATGCGCCCGGCCGATCCTTTCAAGTCTTTGGCATTGCCGAAAAGTCCTCATTCATCACGCCACAGGTCGAAATGGACATGATCTCCACCATAGCTCGCACCTTCCATCCACGCACATTCATCATGCGCAGACAAAAGAGGCAGCAATACAACGCCCGCCTCATGACAAAATGGCTGGTCGTCTTTGAAGAGCCCCTTGACCGCGAAAACATCATCCTGGACATGAAGATAAACGGCATTCGCGAGACGCTAGAACTCTTTGGCATGGACTGTTCGGAAGAAGTGAAACATTGCTGGGTCTGCTTGGGTACTGATCACCATGCTCCTTCATGTGCAAATTTTACAGAGGTTGTGAAGCTTCCGCACAATGATCGCCAGTACCTGTGGAAGACGCCGCAGTTGAAGTGAGCATTCAAGTAATCAAGATAGTGCATTGGAAAGGGCAAGAAGCATTGGGGAAAGGCAAGAAGAAGAACAAGAGGTTACAAAGCGCCTCGTTACCACGGAAATAATGAATATCATCATACTCCCCAGACACAACAGTTTGTTTTCATCATACCATCAAAATGCACAGTGACGTTCTAATCAGAGATTTCTTCAATGAGAACCCTCAACATGATGAGTCTCGGTGGATGTTGTTGCTCTCCAGAAAGTATTGTGCAAAGCTGTTTCACGTATATAGCAACAGTCCATTTGCATTCTCATCAGCACGAATGTGCTTAGAAGAAGAGAAGTATTGACCGTTGATACTGTATCGGTAGAAGCAAGAAAGCGCAGGCAAAGAGAGGTAGAAAAACAGCAAAGGAAGGTTGTACAAGGAAGGGGGCGAACCAAAACAGCAAATGCAGATTGAAAAAGCTGGTACAGACTTCTATGTCGTTCTTTCCCTTTTGTGACAAGATACGAGCGACCCGTGCACGAATCATCTAGCAAGGTTGATAGGGGTTAGGAGTGGGTAGATAATCAAACAGATGAGTGACCAACATGCTATCATGGTAGGGATAGTAGAGGTATGCAACGCCGTCAAACCAGGTCAAGTAATGCTCTGACGATCGAGTGGCATTCTTTTCGTATAGTAGCTGCTCACATGCAGCACGTTTCTCTTGATCACGACATGAGTGTGATGCACTCAGAGCATTCTTATGATGAAATGATGAGATGTTGACATCCGCGCCAAAATCAAGCAGAAGCCGTGCAATGTTAGCAAGGCCACTCAACAAAGCTAAATGCAAAGGCAGGTCGCCTAAATCAGTGGATTGGTTAGGATCAGCGCCGTGTTCGAGTAGTAAACGCGTGACAGCCTCACGACAAGGTCTTACAGCAGCGTACAGTGGATTTCCCTGGTTGACATCTGCGCCATGCTCAAGCAATGTACGGACGATGGTTTCAGAGCCAGCACTCGAAGCGGCGTAGAGTGAGTTACTCTTCCTGACATCTGCACCGTGCTTGAGCAGCATAAGTACAATGGTTTCGTGGCCAGCAGCAGAACCGTTGAAAAGTGCGTCTTCAAGTCCGACATGCGCGCCGTGCTCAAGCAGCATCCGAACGATTGCCCCATGGCCAGCTTGCGAAGCGGCTGAAAGGGAGTCTCCTCTATTGACGTCTGCACCATACTCGAGCAGCATGTGTGCAATGGTCCCATGACCAGCTTTCGAAGCAACGCAGAGCGCCTTGTCACGATTTTCATTTGAGGTACTGACATCTGCTTCATGCTCAAGTGACGTCCGCACGACTGTTTCAAAGCCATTGAGCGAAGCAATGTGAAGTGGAGTACGCCCGTGAGAGACAATTAGATTGACATCTGCACCGGCTTCAATCAACATAGATGCAATAGCTTCGTTGCCGTATTCTAGTGCTTTCAACAACGGGTATCCAAATCCGTAACTATTATGTTGACCGATCGCGCCAAATCTGAGAAATGTTTCAATCGATTTCCGGTCTCCGCGTAGGAGAGCCGCTGTAACGGAATCGTGCAAGTCAACCCATTCAGGCATCTGTGCTGCTCGATCTCGGCAGTGCTCTAGGAGTAATTCTGTTATCGAATGCTGGCTCTTTTGCACCGTGAGCTGAAGCATATCTGAAAAATGCTTAGTATTCGAAGCTTCGGGAATGGCACCGTACTTCAGTAGAACCTTGACAGCGAGTGCGTTTGAGTTGTGTATAGCCGCATAGAGGACATGTTCGTACATTCTACCACCCTGATTAGGATTGGCGCCATTGTCCAGAAGTAATTCCAGGATCTGTTTGTTGCCTACGACTGCGGCTGCTATGATGGGGTAGTCGTATTGTCCACCCTTGGTATTGATTGATTGACTTCGAGACACCTCGATCCGAGAGAGACGCAAGAGATTTTGCTCTATGAGAATATAAAGCAAGCTCGGCACAGTGCCATAGGGACAAACCCCGTACTGGTTCTTCAAATTTCGCTGGAAGGTCCATGATCCAAATGGGAAATGCCCCAAGAATGTCTCCTGTTGTTCTCCATGACTAGCTGCAAGCTCAGCATGCTCCAAGACATGACCGATCGAGTATTTTAGGAAAGGAAACAAGGTTTCATGATCACCAAGCAAGTCTGTGCTGAATTGGTCCACTGCGACACTAACAAAGTAGCGCAGACAGGATTGCTTGAGGAGATCATGTATAAGACCTGCTGAGGTGAAACCCATGCCTGCTTGAAGCGCTGGACCAATCTCTTTCAGGAGAAAGTCTCTCACAGATTCGTGGATGAATTGTATGGTTGGATTGAAACTCCTCGTTGGTTCAGCAAGGCCCTTTGATGAGCTCAGGATGAATCTGTTCATGTCGGCCAGCGTGATATCCTCGCAATCCCACGCTGTCACTGGCTTTGAACCCGGTGCGGATGCCATCGCAAAGTAGAGTTCTTGGGGGCTCAGTGGTCGAGCTGCGTAAAGAATCCATTTCAAGCAGAGTTCTAGGTTCTCCATACTCTCGGTGTCCCTTCTCAGAATATCGTCGAACAGTTCGTCAAGTCCTTTCGGGATGCCCTTGAGACACTCACTAAGAGCATGTACTTGACCGTGATCGTACGCTCTCTGGAGCATCGGTACAACAAGTAATACCCACAGAAAAATGCCCTGCGCATTCTCAAGTACTTCAAACTTGATTTGGTCGGCACGTTTACTACGTCCAACCTTGAGTTTCGAGTTTAGATATCTCGTAATGTCTTCCGAGTGACCCTGCTGGATTTCGAGAACTAGCTCGACACTCTTGTCGATCGTGATGTGCGGATAGTGTCGACTGGAAAAGCATACAAGGACTCGGATGTTGTTCTCGACTGCGCACTCGCCCAGAGCCTCGAAGAAGCGAACCATCTCCCGTATCTGGTCCTCGTTGTTCTCGCATTCGTCGAGCGCATCGACAAAACAAATTAGCTGCTGGTTCCCCAGCACTTCGATAGCTTGACGAAAGAGCGATTGTAGAGTTTCGATCGTCCATGAGTCTGACGGAGTGCTTTGTAAGCTCGCTGCTTCTTTTGTGTCAAGAACAGTCTGGAGCCGAGGGATATTATTGAGCAATTGGAACAGGAGAGAGCGATACATTCCATGAGTGGACTTTTCCAGACGGTCGCCTCTAGCATTGAAGAAGTAGGAAATAGCTGTTGAGCCTCTGGCATGCCTTCTCGCATTCGTGTATGCAAACTTGATGAGGGTCGATTTACCTGCACCGGGCTTTCCTTTGATCCACAAGAAACCATGATGCGCAANAAGCTTTCCCTCGTCTTGCCAGTCCAGATACTCCGATTTGCTCAACAACCACTCGCACGTGGCAGCATGAGCAGTCTTAATGGTAGCGTGACGTGCATCAAGCTGCTCAAAGTTCAAAGCGTCTAGCCGAACTTTCCGTGTCTCGCATCCTGCCAGTACCGTATTGGACAGTGAAGCCGAGTGCGTTCCATCTGCGTTGTGCAAGATGGTTGTCAGGTTCCGCCTTTCCGAAAATGACCGCTGACTAGCTCCATTTGACGCGTTCGAGTTGTCTTCATCGCTTATAGAGAGTGGCCTTTTCCTACAGGAGCCTTCTACTGAGTCTACATTGTGTCGTCCAGGGGTCCAGTAGTCAAGAAATGCCTTCGCGGCCGAGGCTGCCGTTGCCGCTGCATAGTCTTGCCATCTCTTGTTCTTGTGACTGTCAGCATAGTCGCAAACACTCTTGATGATAATACAGGGCAGGTCATCCCAGACACCGGCACCCTCCATCTCGAAAGCGATTATGTTGTCCTTGATCGCGATGGCGTCACGATGTTCGGCTGACTTCATGACAATGCTTGCAGAGCCTACAGTGCCTAGGTGCACCTGAGGCGTGGGAACTCCTGAGGCGAAGCGCATGCGTCGAGATGGGCTTTCCAGAGCATCGACACTACACCCGAGAACCTCGCAATCCGACTCCTTTGCTTTATTGCATGAAGATTCGAAACTTGAGCTAGGCGAAACACAGAGGCAATCCTTTGGGGAGCCATCTTTGCGATGTACATGTCTGTATGAGGCTGCGAACAGTCTATCATGCTCAACACCAGGATAGCTCGCTGTGTACTCCTTCTTTTGCAAGCTCGCAAGATTCTGTAGTACTGTTTCTTCCAGTTCCTTGCGGATAAGCGGTATCTCCAACTTGCTGAGAAGGCCTCTAATTTCCGTGTTTGATCTACCGAGAGTGTCTTTAACGCCACTCTTTTNTTCGATGCTGTCGGGGTACTGTCTGCCAAAGTAAAACTCGACGACTGAATTGCTGATGATGACATCTCCAAGGATGATTGGTCGCTCGAGAGGTACACCACCACATACACCGACAATCAGGGCGAGTCTGACCTTCTTGAAGCTCAGCTGGAGATTGGAAGCGACCCTGACTGCGCTAGATATGCCCATGCCAGGCATATGAGCTAGGACGATGTTGTGTGGGCCGATTCGGCCGGTCGTGTAGGCATTTTTATCCCCCTCTTCCTTGCCATATCTGTCATGGCCGTATCGGTCGTAACGTTGGTCGAACAGACCGAGGACAGCGGCAGCTTCCAGAGGCAGAGCACAGATGATGGCGACTTCGAACTCGTCGCGTGTTTCGGGACACATTGAAATTCGTTGCATCGGATCAAAGGTTCGGTCGGGTTGATCGTCAAGACGGAGTTGGAGCGATATCACGAAGAATACGTCTTTGACCTTGGAGGCTGAGCCAGGTCAGAAGCAGCCTCAACAGGCAAACACGCGCCGTCCGGCCTGTGGGCTTGCAGGCTGCATGATGACAGACGAATCACCATCGACTTGAACCAGCATGTAGTGGCTTCGCAAGCATGTTGAAGTTGCAGCCATACAAGCGGTCATGTCATTACAGTCTGATGAACACTTCGAACAACTCGTTCACATGGCGACTCTGAGTGTGGTCTCGGTCAAATAGGTCAACGTTGGACGCGACGACATGTGCTTGTCACTCTTCGCGGGACTGCGACCGGTCGAACCACCGAAGTTTAACCAGGAGTGAGATCTTCCATCGCTCCTGCCTTGCTCGGTCAATGCAAGTCTTCCGGCCATCCAGGAAGAAGTCTCGGTGATATATGAGAGGTCTCACACGTCACTGCTAGCAGCATGTGTTCTTGCATCGGCATAAAGGGGTCGGACGTGGTCTCTATATCGTTCAAAGCCGCGCAAGCCTCAGTCTCAACTATTCTCGTACGCGTACCTCCAGGCGTCAAGTTCTGAAAGAGGTGAAGAGCCAATTCAATTCAATTAATCAAAGCGCCAATACGGAAGCAGGCTCGAGACTATAGCCAACTCATGTGAGGGACAAGCTATTATTATCCACATACTCAGGTACACAACAACCTGCGGACCCCGCGCGCGCCTCACTATCGTGTGCACGCTTCCTGCATTCCTTGTTCCATTCTGCAGTCGCAATATATTTCTTCAGCTTTGCACAGCTTGAGAAAAGACAAGCGGCGCAAACCATGAAGCATATCATCTTGCTCCAAGCGATACTCGCCACAGCTGTTGAATCTGCTGCAACCTCAGGATGTCGCAAAGCTCTCCCTGCCCCGATAAAGCGTGGAGGTGCCCGCAACACCAACTCGCTAGAGTTCGTCACCTCTGATGGGACTGTCCGCGAGTATGGCTTACACATTCCGACTTCCTACGACGAGGATACCCCGACACCTCTCGCTTTCTCCTTTCACGGCCGAACGCGGACTTGGCAGGAGCAACAGGATATATCTGGAATGTCCAACGAAACCATGAATCCAAACTATCTAGTTGTCTATCCGCAAGGTATCAATGAGCAATGGCAAGGCGACCCGGATGCCACTGGCTACGACGATGTCAGCTTCACTCTTGAACTTCTTACCAATCTCTCGAGTACCTACTGCTTAGACACAAACAGGATCTATGCAGCTGGAAAATCAAATGGCGGTGCATTTTCTGCAAACATTCTGGCCTGTCATCCCAAAGCTTCAAAGCTCTTTGCCGCTTTCGGAGGTATCTCAGGCGCGTACTACCAGGGTGATAGTGAAGACGACTGCAATGCGGCAACAGTGCCAATCCCCTGCAACTCGAGTAGATCTCCCATTCCGATCTTTACAACCCACGGCGATGCCGATGAGACAATTCCTTACGACGGTGGACCTCGTCGCGACCGGTGCCTTCCAAATCTTCCTCACTTCATGACAGAGTGGTCTGAACGCAATGGATTTGGTGCTTCAAACACATCGACGTCGCTCTATCACAAAAACGTGATTCGATATGATTACGGCAACAACACATATCCAGGCATCAACACGCACTATCGAGTTCATGGCCTCGGCCATTATTGGCCCTCTGTCGCCAATGGGAGCTCATTCGATGCGACTCCCCTTCTGCTCGAGTTCTGGAATAAGTGGACGCTGGATGCTGTGAACACAACGTCCCCAGCCACGAGTACTTCGTCTACAACGCCGCCGGCTTCTAGCACGTCATCAACCAGTTCTGCATCGGCATCTAGTGGTGGAGGGTTTAGTGGACAAGTCGGTCTACAACAGTGGTATCTGGGAGGCCTTGGCTTTCTCAGCTGGATGTTTCTCGTATAGTGCTGCGATCACTTTGAGCATTCTGATGACATTATGCCTTGCTATAACGATCAAGAGTTTTGTCGGAGGATATTCATCTGAGTTTGACTGCTTCCATCTTTACGCCTAGGATACTCACATTTTTAATTCAACCTGATTATTTTTTTGACGCGTTTGGTGCGTTTAAGCGAACTGCTCCCATGCTGAAAAACCATGGTCTCAGTCAAGGAGATGAGCGATCATCACAGGGTTAGACAGAAAGCATCTTGTTGTCACAAAGCCTGAAGTAAAGACAAACCAAGCGCGATCACCAAAAAGCGACGCAACAAAACATCATTTTGTTTTTTCTAACATGATGCGTATATGGACGTCGAAAGTCTGCTGTGGGAGAAGCAAAACAAGATGCCAAACATACAGCAGCAGGGATTCCCACGTGGTCACCCACCGTAGTACTAATCTGCCGTTCAACTGCTTATGTATGGCAGAGCGGACGGGATGCCCAGTTTTCAGCTGACTGTGGCCGTATGTGCTGGATTCGTGATTTTCTGCACAAATAAACCAAGGCATAAATGCTCCCACCCCAGAGCATGTTGAAAGACGTCGAATAGGCGCTCAGGTAGTCGATACTACGACCAATACATGAGTATATCTTGTTACGAGCAGTAGCTTCGCCCTACTCTCCAATCGATGACCTTGATTCAAGACAATCGCAAGTCTTTCGGCATCCAATCCTGCGTTCTATGTAATGACTCTTCATGTCCGTAGAGCAGAAAGCAAAGTCGATGGACGTGACAAAGCTGCCACTTGTCTCTAACAGATATCTGATGAGAGGATGAGTTGTCTGCTGATGACTTCACTAGATCTCTAACTTTCAATCTCGCGTCCTGCTGCCTGAGAGTCAGACAGGAAGAGACCGTGTGAATGAGGGTGCACTAGGAATGCGTTCTATGTGAGGGACGGTCATACAACTGTCATAATATCTTCATGGCTTCGAGCACGGCAATATGTATTCCGGGGATCGACAACAAAGCTGCGTGATAGTCATGGGTTTCTCGCTTATATACCGAGATACGTTGGAAGATCTCAGGGCAGCACGAAGGGTAGGGCAAGGCAGTGAGCAGGTATTGTAGGTCACGGAAGAGTGGATGTTCCCATTTTCTTGGGACAGACCCAAAGATATGGATGGCGGATCTCCTTGCTCTTTGAGCAGCGCTTAGGGCTGGATTTTCCATGACTGCGTTTGAGTTGGATCAACCTAGCAGTGCGAGTCCGGAGTAGGTACTTGGGGCAAACTCGAGCGACCTCATGTATCGTTTCATTGATGTCGCGAAGCTTGTTGGATCACTGTAGGGCTCGAGTATATAATGGTGTGCATGATCTACACGATCCGTCTCCGCGAGGATATATGTTCTGGGTATACCAAGATCCGGCACATTGGGTAGCAATATTTGAGACAAGCAGGTATAAAAGTGGTTTCCGGCATTGTTTGCACATTCCAAATTTAGCAACTTCGAGACCGTGAGGATAAATGAGTGTATTTGTTTGACAAACGAAATCTCCAAAATACAGCCCTGGTCGTGTCCATTCGAGGATGCCCTAGAAAGACCCACCAGAAGTTGATCTTTACCAAGCCTACCAATAATGATGATGTCTTGGTCCGTTTTTGTAGCGGCTGGGTTCTGTTCGAGTTGAGGCTCTAGATATAGTGCATGATATGACCTCCGATGAACGGTTTAAACGAAGATGAACTCTGGTCTTGCTGGTGTGAATAGCGCAACGTGATGTCTAGAAGCAGAGTCATGCTCAAACGGCTTGATTTCTCGTCGTCCTTGACTCGCACCTGCCGCAATGCAAGACCACTGTCTTGATACTTGACTCTTCACAACCAGTTGGGCCTGCCGTGGGTGCCGAGAGAAGACAGACACCACGCGCAGAAAATGGCGGGACGTAGGCGTTGCTTTCGGGCACCACTCCCGGGAGCAACGGCTACCACGAGTCGTTGGTTCTTAGGCCGGATTCTGACATTTTGTCCAGTATCCTGTCAAGTGCTCGAGATCCTGGTGAATGCTTGAGAGCGCATCGGCCCACTGAACTGTGAAAACAGTTGTCGTTCTGACACTACCTCAAATGGTAGGTTGCATGAGAAGCCTCCAGGATCGGGACACGCAAGGAAGACGATAGAATTGGATGCCGAGATTTTACCTAGCTCCATGCGAACATTCTGACCCTGCATTTTCGACGAGTTAGGTTACGGTACGTTCAGCCTTGAGCTACGAAAAACGGCAGCCCTCGTTTCATCTACGGACTCAATCTTGTGCTGCTTGCGCCTCGAAAAAACGCCATTTGTTCGAGAGGTTGGCGGAAAAGCTCGGCCACAATTCGTTGGCCAATGATCGAGATCGAGAAGCGAACAAGCCAGCTCACCACGACGCCCAACGGATGCAGAGGCATATAGGGCGTCTCATGCAGAGTCTGATGATATTATATATCAATGAGTAGTCCGCAATCGCGAGAACGAGCATCGAGATGAAACGGGGTTTCGTTTGGCTTGCACGATTTTCAGTCGATGTCTAGACGACGTGCCAAGCTTGATTCAACCTCACAAGCTGCAGATTGTCGTCGTAGGCAAAACAGCACCTTCCTCACTTGTACACCTGCTGACGAAGGCCAAACCTGCCTTTACCCAATGGACCAACGCAAGGCCGACTTGGTGATGAGACATGTTAGGTCATGCCCGTTCTGTGCTCAACTCGACAGATGAGTGGACAAGCGCTTCCGAACAGTCTCTTGACCTGCCGCAGAGTTATTTTCACACATCCCATAAACCCTCCGAGGTAAGCACGGCACTCGTAACCGCAGACTCATCAACCCGAGATCCACATGGTGCACCCCAGATCTCTCTAGACGCGCTTACCAGAGCTCGGGGACGCAGCGCCACGTGAAAAGCTCGAACCAGGTCGACGGCAAGACTGCTAACTACTACACTTACGGTTAGAGGTTCAGCAACAGAACTTTCGCCTTTCTACCGTCCGTCCACCATTCTTCCTGTTGGCCGGTGGCCATCGTTCCGTTCGACAGTTGGCACCCGGGCGGTTTGTCACCAACGCCCTACTAAGCGCGGAACCCTCTTTGATGATGATACTCTGACTAGCGAGTCTTGAGCAAGACTTGACCACGGCAGACACCCCCGGATAGATTGGCTTCCCTTATTAATCGAACCTCGATTCACGTACAAACTACATAGGCACACGCTCGTGCCGCTGCCACACATCAGCCTGCTTGAACCTTACACCTATACTGTTCATGTTCTTTTGTTCTGCCTCGGTCTCCTGAAATCCTTCCTTCCTGTTGGATTCCACGGTCTTCCCTCGCCTTGATGTCTACCTCATCAGGAGACTTGCAGCTCGCTGCAGCCGCCGCGGGTTTTACTCTANNGGGTAACCACCAACCTTCGTACCTGGCCGATCATGACTGACAGTAACCAAGATTCGGAACTCTTACAGTATGGAGGGCTGTGAAGCAGACGAAGCAAAACAAGTCACCCCACCGAAGTGCCTTTGTCTATATGATCTGGGGAGAGATCTTAGCGAACCTTCTGATCGGTATCTTGGGATGGTTGTTCCTAAACGGAGTCTTGCAGGCCGAGTACGTTGCTATTCTCTCCTAGCATCCAACCAGAAAGCTAACCACGACTTGATAGNNTCCTGTTGTCTTGTTCTTCATTCTGTTCTGTTATGTCTTCGAAGTCCAGCTGTTGCTTCAGATCATCATCAATCGTATTGCTATCATTGTCGAGCGAAGGACAATGGCAAAGAAGCTGAAGTGGAGCACTGCCATCTTTATCTCACTGGTCAACATCTGTGTTATGTGTATTGTAAGCATTCCTGGATCCCCTCTGCCTTCTCTCAAGCTCTAACAGTCTTGTAGNTGGATTCCCGCTCACATGGCTAAACCGCCAAGTCAAACCTACGTCGAGATCAACAAGTACTGGGATCGTATTTCCAAGATCATCATCTGTCTTGTTGACGCAGGCCTTAACTGGTACTTCATTCATGTCGTCGATGCTCGCTTGGTCAAGCAACACGGTTTGCGCAAGTACAAGCCGTTGATCGGATATTACACTCGTCTTGGAGTCTTATCCATCTGCATGGACGTCATGCTTCTCGGTCTGATGGCACTTCCCAACCAGGTGGTCTACATCCAGTTCCACCCCGTTGCATACGTGAGTTCCCCTATTGTTCTGAGTCACGCTTAGTCCATCAGTTCTGCTCGATTCATTTGCATTGAAGCTAATCAAAATGTCAGNATGGTTAAACTGTATATTGAGATGAGTATGGCCGACCTCATCGTCAAGGTCGCAACCACATCTGAGATTGATGTCCGCCCAAACACAACGTCTGGAACCCCCTTCCCTGACAGCAGATCGTATCCTCAGCGTACCTTCAACGACCGCGACACTGTCAACGGAGCCAAGAACACCGCGCATATCGGCCACACACAAGGCAACAACACCAATAGAGAAGACGTCAAAGGCATTCAGAGACAGACAGAAGTCCAGATCTTCGTTGGAGATTCGGACAGCGACATCCAGAACGACGGTCTGGATAAGATCTCATCGAGGACATCTGCGGAGAACGACTACATCAATCATGGTGCGCCGCAATACAACTCCAACAACCCTTTCAACAAGGTCCACAATCAAAACCGTCGATCCGATGAATCACAGATTCCTTTGAAAGATCTTACCAGAGCTGGCGAAGCAGTATAAGCTCGCTCAAGACTCGACATCATTCACTTCTCTCATACATTTTCAACACTCAGTCTGAACCAGACAGATCTTATTCCCTTATGCATTCATGAATAATACCCTTCATTTGTTCCTTGTATTCACCTCTTTGGGCCTTACCTGACAAAATGTATCTCAATTTCGAATGCTTCCAAGCTTCTAACCGATAAAATGACCGTCTTCGTTTCGCTTGTTTTGAGGCGAAGGATCAGCAAACTCTTTGCCACGTTGTCTACGTAGAGTGTCAAGTGCCATGTAAAGTCTGATCATTCACGAAGTGATACTCAGGGCTACCTAGTGACAAGTGTCAAATGATTCCCTTACGTAGAAACCGAGAATGAGGCTTGTCCAGAGATTCCAGGGGTCAATGGCTGGACTCGGTGGTCGCCTAGGTGCGAGCGCACGGTTGAGAGCTAAGATTTAGCTGTCGATCAGCGGGTTCTTGCTCGGGATCCCGAGGCCGGCAGGGCCCGGTTGAGATCGACCTGGAGTCGGTGTGCGTCTTTTGTTCCAGAGCCATGACCTCTACGACACGAATGAGACCATGCTAGCTCTTCTATGAGGTACCTTGTGACTCATGAGTGGAGCTATACCAGCCTCGACAGCTGTGGCTCGTGATGATCAATAGTGAGTGGAGTCGAGAGTGAGGCGCATGTAAGCTTAAGTCCAAGGTTTACGTTTCGAGAGCTTCATTTCTGAGCACTTTCCACATATCAACCATTGTAGACCCTTACAGCAGACACACCAAGACACCTCGAAGTCACTCCATCACGAAATGAGCTCTACACCAAGCAATCACGAGTCCACCAACAGAATTGGCAGCACGCCAGCCCAGGTTAGCACAGCATATCAGCTCGGCGGCTCTTTCGTCGATTCTGACCATGTGTCTCGAAATGTGTAGCGTCATGTCATCTCCGCCGCTCAAGCACAGGGAGTTTTGAATGCTGCAGCAAAGTGCGCCGAAACCGTCACTCCGCAGTGCATTGCTATCTGTGATCCTTCTGGTCTTCTGGTCGCCTTCTTGCGCATGGACAATGCCTACCCCGGCAGTATTGACTTGAGCATCAAGAAGGCTCGTACCACAGTGCTGTTCAATGGATTGCCCAGCGGTGTTGTGTACGATCTTGCACAGCCTGGAGCACCATTCTATGGTAAGTGTGCGAAGACTCGAGCGCTCCGACTCATGCTCACAGCCTCATANGGTATTCAAGAGACCAATGGTGGTCTGGTCGTCTTTGGCGGTAGTCTGCCCCTCTACAAGGACAACTTCCTTCTGGGATCGATCGGTGTCAGTGGAGGTTCTCCAGACCAGGATCTTCAAGTCGCACAGGCTGGCGTTGACTGGTTGAACAAGTCCGAGTAGATCCTTCAGTATCAGGATCAACAAGCAGTCACAAGCTACAGCATGCTCCAGCACCGGCGTTCCGGAAAAACATTGTTTTGATCAGCGAACAATCTCCTTCCGTCCGATCAGCAGCCCGGGAAACAGGATGGCCCCAACAGTCACAGGACCTATAGAAAAAACGCACAGACGATATACAAGTCATGAATACGAACACTCCATCAACAAGCATCATTCCTATAATTTCCCCTTCTTTGCACTTGATCAACAAACCAAGGCCAGTCCTTGACTTCTCCACTTTGTCCTAAAGCCATGCTATCCCTTAGCTCTGGCGCACTGAACTCAGCTGATCTTGCAGCATCGCCTTGATAGGCACCCAGTATTGTCAAGCTATTACTGGCGATGTGCGCAGCGTCTTGTGCGGACCAAGCAGCCCAGACTGCGTGCTCGATGCTCACCGCCGCAGCTGAAAATCCATGCGCCCTTTGCAATACGACAGGATAATCTGGGAGGACACTCTGCTTGGTGGCGTTGTTCTCCGGCGTAGAGAACATGTCTGCCAGTGCTGCACCCAAGTACGGAAGGTTGACCAGGAAATTATGCGTCTGATTCGGAAAGTAGTATTCTGTAATATCGAAGACAGGGACCTGAGCCCCAAGAACTGCTGCTTCAAGATTGAACTGAGGCACCAAAGGGATGTTGGTATCTGCAAATGGCAAGACCGCTCGAGAGTGGCTGTGGACAACGCTGTTCACGCCCGACCAACTTTTGTAGATGGCTTGATGAATCCACATCTCAGAGCTGGGCGACAAGGAGACCGAGTGGTTGGCGATAGGAGCTCCGTTGGAGATGTTCCATCCGAGATATCCAGTGTTGGAGTTAATGAGCGACGGAGGGTCGACTGGATAGAAGAAGAAGGTGGTGTTGATCAATGGGTTACGAGCAGAGATATGGCCGTAACCAGTCACGAGCGAGAAGTAGTCAAGAATGTGGTTGGCGGTCACCAGAGTGCACCAGAGCTGACCGAGACCAGACATGGTGAAGACACGACTTTGTCTGACGCCTGCTGACGATCATGTGTAGGACTTGGTTTGGGGACGAGGGCGCTTTTGTACGGAGCCATGTTTCAGTGCCCCATTTACAGTGCTACAAGCTTGAAAAGTCAAGGCCATGATAATTGCATGTCTCGCAGCAAGTCTACCAATCACTGGCATCTATACTTTGCATATCGTGCAGCTGTAATGCCTGCTTTGGGCCAATGTCTTTAGGCACCGTCAGCACCAGGCAGCACCGAAATTCATGGTAAGCGGCCTTCGACAATGTACTGTTGTCACCGAGTTCGTATCCTGTCGCTTTTGTTTGGTGTATCTGTGACAGCAAATGAGGAGGTTGGAGCCGGGGCTCACGAAGAGGAAAGCGGGGCCCGGCCAGCTCAGAGCCGCGGCTTGGCGACGATCGAGTGTCAAACGTCGTTAAGGGCAAATCGTCTATTCTGGACGACTGTCAATGATTCCATATGTGAACGTAGTCCTACAGTCGGAATGGTAGCGGATATCTCATCGTGTCCGCTCGAGATTCTGCACTTGATTGCTGCTGCCATCGACTCCGAGGACCTGGTTAGTCTGCGCCTTGTTAGCAAGCAGTGGTGCGACTTGTCCAGCAAGCTTTTCGGATTGGCAAAACTTCAACATCTTCGTCTCATATCTTCTCCGTACAGCTTGCAGAGCCTGGTTGATCTCACAGCACATCCTGTTTTAGGCCCTTGTGTCCAATTTTTCGAAGTTGGGACCTATCGCTTGAAGAAACATCTTGTGAACACTCAACCACATGTCGAAGCAAGTCGTGCGAACGTCGCAGCTCTCACACAGTTTCGCTTCCAGCAAAGTGGCTTGCATATAGTCCTGCTTACCGAGGCACTCAAGAATTTGAGCAGACACGGTGTTGTACCCAAAACCGGGTTGTTCGAGGATGTGATCCGTGCTACCTCTGGACAGGAACATCACCGCCGTGGATATGGTTATCACGAACTCTATGGTTCGATTGATATTGCTAGTTGCGGCGGCTCACGAGCAACACAAACTCTTTTGGATCTGATGACGGCGATAAAAAGATCAGGATGCCCTACAAGCGGGATTTCCATCGATCTACAATGGAATTCGCTAGCTCAACAAGCAATCAGCAGACATCCAGGATTGGACCAGTTGATCGAGAAAATGATCATGCCTGACACAGACAAAACCGAACCTGGGTGGAACATGGCTGTGAAGCTCACCGATGCATGCGATGAGGGCGTATCAAACATCGCCGAACTGCACGATCAGGGCAAGAGTTTGCGCTTGACACATATATCATTAGAGATATATGAGATCACTGATATGCCTCAATTTGATCGGGGCGCTTATGGCTCGCTTGTCGACATTTTGCATTATCCGTCCCATCTCCAGCGGGTGTCACTCGACTGTTGTTTCATTGACACGTCGATATTTGAGCTACTAATGTTTAACATAGACAACCTGCGCCATTTGAGTATGTCCGCCACAACTTTTCATGATGACAGTCTTGAAGATGGCATCGACTTTCTTAAAACCATCAAAATTCACCTGACCTTAGAGTCAATCACACTGAACAAGCTCTTCTTCGAGAACAAACATAGCCGCATTCTAGTCGTCGATGAGGAAGTCGAGAGCAAAGGCTCGGAGCAAATCATCAGTCTGATGGATGACCTAATCGGTACCGTCAATGCAGCGAACGTAAAGTTAGGACGGATTGGCAACGATGAACAGTCATTTGACATCCAGATCTGATACCTTGGTAGATATCCAAAGCAGTCGCATTCTCTTGGAAATCCCGAATAATCTTCTGATTGGATGTGACTATTTGCTCACGTTCAGAGTCGTCATGTCAAGCTCGGAGACCTTTCATCCACCATATCGTTTAAGAGCGGGGCACGAACTCAATGTCGAGCTTTCAAAAGCAGCTGCGCTCTCTTTGGCGGTGAAACTGCATTCCCTGTCTTCTTGAGGTCTTTATCACGCCTCATCGACTTCCGAAACCACACTCTGTTCCTGTTTGCAGGACATTCCTTCCAGCCATATTACTATTCACACACGTCTTCACGTTCTTAACGTCGCGAATATCTCTGGAAATGGTATTCACGCCAGCTCTTCCTCTCGAGATATGGGGCATGATTGCGACCGCGGCGAACAACGATGTGGTTCATGATCAGCTCTCCAAACCCCACAATCCTCGAACAATCGAGACAGTACCTATGACCTTGCTTGCGCCGAGCACATGGCTCCGAAAACCTTTACGGACAGCTAGATCTGACCGTAGGAAGCTGTGAGCACGAGTCTACATTGGAGCCTCTCTGGAAGGCCATTTACGAGTCTGAATACTATTCTGGAACTTTGACTCTTGATCTCGACATGAACCGCGATTTCGCAGCTTGGGAATCTTTTCTGGATAGGATGCTTGAGATTATGACCTTTCCGGAAGAGCCGACGCAGCCGCTGTTCGACCTTACGATAAATCTCTGTGCAGGCCCTGGAAGTACTGCGAAGTATGGGTTAGTACGTGATTCTTGAATGATTTTGCGACGCGATCAAAAGTCTGGAGCTTCTGAACCACTCTTTCCGATGTCCTCTGGGACTTCAGCCACCGCCTGATCTCTACTCACGACCATATGGCGTGTTCACAGCCGTGCTACATCAGAAGTGGTTTACAAAAGTTGTTTTGGGAAACTGTGAAGTCGACCTGACTTTCCGCACGCGTGGCTTCTCAATCGCTAAGACGCATTATGGCACCAGTTACTGAACATGACATTGATTTACTACCTGGACGACCCTGATAGCAGCATGTTGGCTATCTGGGAAGAACTGAAAAAACTTGCCGAGTCTGAAATTTTTAGTACTGTAATTGATGATTTTACTTTCATGGGCACTTTTTGCTGTTTTCACATCTGTGGCAGAGTCACTTGGAAAGGTGTGCAGATATGTGCTGGACTGCAAAAGATCTTAAACATGATCGAAAAGTGGAGGCTTAATTCAAGTGAACCAGATGGACAGCTCAAGATGCCCGAGGTAGACTGACACGGATCTTAATCACGAAATCTGCTTACGATCCTCGTTCTATTGCTATCAAGGACCAAAAAAAGTCAGGGGTGCAATAGACGGTGTTCGCCAATTTCTTCTAATCTACAGAAGTATTCGGTTGGCATTCTGAAGAGTGATCGATGCGGACGGTCCGGGGTGATTAGACAGTAGGACGAATGGTCGAGGCCGTGTCAGACACTACATGTCCATCACGTTGAATCTACCTTACGACAGGGTTGACGCAATAAGTCAAGTTTCAGCTTTCCCGACAGTTCACACCTCCGTCGAAAACTAGGTCCGACGTCAATGCGCTCGAAAGTTGCGGGTCAAGTTACACGATGGTCAAACAAACAATGTGCATTGCAGCTGAACCTTGGAGGCGATCCTGCCAGGAGAATCCGTATCGAGAACGCAATTTCAAGTCTGGACCTGCTATAAGATCTGAACTTCTCTCGATTTCGTGACTTCTTGCTTTCAAACACTTTCTTTTTCATATCCACTTCTCAATTCCAGTCACTCTTTACAAGATGCTCTTCTCTTCTTCTTCCACCGCGCTGGCCGCTCTGGTGCTTGCACCTCTGGCACTTGCTGCTCCTGCTACCTCCCCCAACCCCGCTCTCCATGAGAGATCCCTCAACTCTGGCAAGGGTACCTGGTATGGCATGAGCTGTGGTGAGGAAGCCTGCTGGCAGCAAGGCGCTTGTGCTTTCACCGACTATGTCCTTCCTTCGTCTATTGCTGGCTCTACCTGCGTGTCTGAGGCCATCTGGAACAACGGGGCGAATTGTGGTGGCTGCGTAAGGTATCGCTATCTGTTTCATGCTCAAACACAAGAAACATGCTAACTTACCTTTGCCTTAAGCATCACCTACAAGGGCGGTGCCAAGAAGATTGCCATGGTAAGATCTGTTGGGTCGCGAATGTCGTGAGCACCACACTGATTTCCTGTCTAGGTCACCAACAAGACTGGTGGTGACAAGAACCACNNTCTGGACATGTCGCCCGACATGTTCTCCCAGATCGCCAACAAGAATCTCGGCGAGATCCCTATCGAGTGGGAGTTTGTTCCTTGCCCCATCACCGATGGTCTTCAGATCAAGATGCACGGAGGCTCATCGCAATACTGGTTCGCTGCCACTGTCATGAACGCTCGTCTGCGTACCACCAAGCTTGAGGTCAGTGGTGATAGCGGCAAGACCTGGAAGGCGACTACCAGAAACGTCAACAACTTCTTCGAGGTTACTGGCGGCACAGGTACCAAGACTGCCTGGGTTAGAGCCACTTCCGAGAAGGGCGACACTGTTGTCGTCAAGGATGTTGACATGTCTTCTGGCAAGACCACCAAGAGCACCGTCAACTACAAGGCTTAAGTCTGTTCAGGTAACAAGCCTTGCATGAGCTAAATGGTAGACAAACCTCGAAGGAGGTGCTGAAGAGAATCATTCGTGGAACAAGAGGCTAGTCTTTGTTTGTTTATTGTTAGCAAGCAAGGAAAGGCGGGTCTTTGATATATCTCAAACTCTAGGCGCATTTGATATGGAGCCAATTCAAGATCGATGCCCTGGCTGGCAGCATTTGAGCAACATGACCAACATCACTCCATGTTCACCACGACTGGTGGAATTTTTATAGTGACATTATCCATGAAGTTCTTAGCCTGAGATGAGGACTGATGGTCTGCCGAAGCGGAGTTCTCTACTATCAAAAGTATGGCAAAATGCAAGTCTTCGATCAGCAACGTGTCGTCGTCAAAATGGAAAAAGCCCATCGGCGTCGTCTACTCTAACTCGGCCGAACTCATCCGTCCCTTCTGTTTCAATTACAGCCAAGCGAACGACACCCCGCAGGAGAGCAACTTCACTCGTACGTATTGCATATCTATATACTCTAATATGCACGGAGTGTGTTTGATGTAACCAAGGATTTTTGCCTATAGTCATCTTAACCGATGCCTTGATCTATTGCTCGTTTCAACTACCTGTCAGACGACCCCGCTGCATATTCGTTCTGTAGGCGAGTACGGATTTCGAACGTTCCGACTAGCTTTCAGTGTATCAACTTCTTCCGCTATGCCATGGCCTAGCAATACAAGCAATATAGCTGCAGCATGACACGAAGTCAGACGGACTTTGGGTAAGTATATATCTCTCGAGCATGTCCCCAAGAAGAAATATTTCTTGTTCGTCCATCACCACTCTCTTCAATCTTGTTCAAGATGCACTTCTCTTCGTTCGTTGCTCCCGTCTTCGCCCTGCTGGGTGCGGTGTCTGGTAACTCGCTCGCTGGTCGTGCGGCCCAGCTCACTCAGGTCCAGAACTTTGGAGACAACCCTTCAGGCACCGGCATGTACATCTATGTACCAACTAAGCTGGCTGCCAACCCTCCGATCATTGTTGCCATTCATTACTGTACTGGTACCGCCCAGGCCTACTACCAGGGATCTCCCTACGCCAAGCTCGCTGACCAGAAGGGTTTCATTGTCATCTACCCTTCTTCTCCCCATGTAAGTAGGATATAGCTCCAACCATTTCAATATGCTGACAACATATCTAGAGTGGAACTTGCTGGGACGTCTCTTCGCAGAAGTCTCTCAAGCACAATGGTGGTGGTGACAGCAATGCTATTGCCAACATGGTCACCTACGCCCTGAAGAAGTACAACGCCGACCCCAAGAAAGTTTTCGTTACTGGCTCAAGCTCTGGTGCCATGATGACCGTAAGTTACACATCCTTCCCATGTGTCGAATTCGGCCACCCCTGACTACCTATGAGTGATCACCAAGAGATGCTGGTTCAATGGCTCTCGATCATTCTGTCCCGAAGCATTCATTCAATCCCATAGCTGCTGTGGGACAGTGGTCGGGTGCGACTGACGTTGACTCACGACAAGCACACATTTCCATCATGATCTCCAGGGCTAACACGATACAGAACGTCATGGCAGCTACCTATCCTGAGCTGTTTGCTGCTGCCACTGCTTACTCCGGAGTTCCCGCTGGATGTTTCGTATCCTCCTCCGGTGCCGTCGATGCCTGGAACTCGACCTGTGCTCAGGGAAACGTCGACCAGTCCGCCGCCTACTGGACCAACGTTGTCAAGAACATGTACCCTGGCTACAGCGGTGCTCGTCCTCGGTTCCAGGTTTACCACGGTAGCATCGACACCACTCTCCGTCCCAACAACTACAGAGAGTCTGTCAAGGAATGGACCGGTGTCTTTGGCTTCGATGCAACCAAGCCTCAGACTGTCAAGAACAACTTCCCTGCCAATGGATACACCACTGATATCTGGGGTGTTGATTCTACTAACCCTCTTGGCAAGGTTCAGGGTATCTATGCCTTGAACGTTGGACACACTGTTCCCATCAACGGGTAAGACTATTCTACTGGCTATAGAGTATTGCTGCTAACAAGTCGTTACAGTGCTCAAGACATGGCTTGGTTCGGTCTCTAAGCAACCACAAGATGATTAAGTCTTTCTTTCGAGAGAGTACTTCCGACAAAGACAGAGCGAGTGCGAGCAGGAGAATGGTTTCGAGTGGATTGCGTGGGCCGTTACTCTGGAAGCAAATCTTGTTCATTTCATTGGTAGTCTCTTCGAAACAGACATGCGGGCAAGACCGCTCGAAGTTCTTCCTCTTTTCCTAATCCTGATTTCGTGCCAAGTCTCCACATGCAATTGCTTTAGGAAATTCCAGAGTCGTGACTTCCCAATTTTGCTACGAGACTCACACGACTGNNTATGACTAACCATGACTTGTATCTTCGGAAACCTCAATGGCAGCTTGACAGCTTCTATCTTCAAGCGGGAAGGACCAATACCTCGTTATCGTTGCTGGTCTTCTACATTGGGACCACAGCCGCCCCACCGCGGCCATTGAATACGACAGCTCTCTTTGATCGANNATACGACTGTGCATTCCTAGGGCCACGAATATGACAAGCATGCGCGGGGGCATGAGGACAATCAATCGTTCTGCCGATAATCAAATGCAAAGGTTTTGTTCGCACTTCCCCAGCTCGCCTCCTCCAATTCGACGCCTTCCCACCATTTGCTCATGTACTCTTCCACACCCGTAAGTTCGAAGTTAGGAAACGCTTTATTCAACTCGTCGCCTACGAGTCCCCACCCTTTCGTCAAAGCAATCCTGACCTGGTTGTAGAAACTTGTCTCCGGAACCTCCTTCATCTGCTTCTCCATAGCGCTTACACTATCCTCTCTAACCAGAAACTTCCTACGCTGCACTCTTTCCGCAATGGCAATGACCTCGCGATACGTCTTGACATCGCCTCTCATGCCTGACACTCCTGGCCAGATTTGCAGCTCAAGAGAAGCAATCACAAATCGAGCCACATCGTTCATCTCTGTAAAGACGATTTTGTCGTCGCCCGAAGCCGGGAGCTCTGCCGTGCCAGCTTTCATGTTGATAACGAAGTTCCAGGGACGGAGGTTGGCCAGGGCTTCAGATTCGCCATATGGTGTTCCTGTTGCGAAGGTGTTCATGAAGATACCGCAGTCGAAGCGGGTATACTGGAGCCCACTTTTTCGCACAGCATCCCAGACGATGGCTTTGCCTGCGTAGAGGTCTACACCGTCGTAGCCTTTTCCCGCATACTCCGAGGGAGCGAAACGAGTAACACCCGCTTCTTTTGCTGCAGAAAGGAGGGAAAGCTGAGCGTTCTGAAGGGCAGATGCACTGCCGCCAATGAAAGAGAGAATAGTGTGCACACCGTGGAGAGCCGAGACTAGAGATTTGTGGTCCGAGTAATCGACGGGTCTGACATCAATGCCCTGGGCTGAGAGTTGTGGTTGTGGTGAGCGTGTGAGAAGGACCAAGGTGTATGGGTGTGACGACTTAAGAAAATGATCAAGAACAGTCAGACCAAAGCCAGTCGTCGCTCCGGCCAATGCTACAGTCTTCATGATGGTGTCAGTGTTGGAGATGTGGTTCAATGTTGGCAGGCCGTCTGCAGCTCATATATAGTTGATCACCTTGGACTGTGCTATTGTCTAGGTCAATGGTCTACTTGGCAGAACGATGGTAATTACTCTTCCTGACAAAGACCAACTGCATATGGAGGGATGTTGTCCCGATGCTCTCTCGGCTTCGGAGGAACTATACCTCATACCAGGGTGACCCTACTATCAGCTGACAGAGACGGGAATGAACCATTAACGTGAACAGTAACGCCTTTGGATATTACTCAAGGTAATGACAGTATGTCAAATTCATCTGTTATACTCTTGCAAGCATGATGATGAAAGTTTCGTGATGACTCAAGATGAACTTTCTGATTGCAAGCTCGATGACTCACAATGTCAATCGCTCTTCTGTATCTAGTATACACATGGAGAAAAATCAACGGAGCAGACTCGCAGATAAATACTCGCTCACTTTATCATTTGGAAGCCCTTGCATCAATCGACACCACAATGTCAGATCTTTCAGAACACCAAAAAATCGACGTGATTCGCAAGATCGTCAAAGCCGAAGTTTGGACCAGTCACGACAGAAGATTTGCAAGTCATCGAGGATGCATGCAAGCAGATTGGCGTCCGCCCGGAGCTAGACATGTGCGAGTTTGCCGACAACTCGGCAGTCAATCTGCTGGCAGCTCATTACACCATCACCGGTTCTCTATGCGAATACCAAAGATTTCTGGCAGATTTCTGCTATCCAGATGTGACGAGCAATGGTATCGATATCTCCATACTGGACTCAGATGACCACGACGCATTCATCAAAGCATCGATCCAAGGCTTCAGCAGCACTGGCCGCCCTACATAGCTCTCGAAAGTTCTTGCAGAGAGTGCCGCCGCTCGCTCAGATACAATCTTATTCTCAGCTTCGATGAATGGCGAATTACTTGGTACAGCAGCAATGGCGACAATCAATGCCGACGACAGCAAAGTGGCAGTCTTGTACATCGACAGCTGTCTACCGAGTGCCAGAGGCAGAGGTATTCACAAAGCATTACTTCTGGAAAGACTTCGAATGGCTCAAAAGCAGGGATGTCATCTTGTGATTGCTTCTGCGAGAGAGGGCTCAACCAGTGCTCACAATATCGAGAAAGTTGGACTTGGGAAGGCGTATACGTGCAAGACTTATTCGAGAGTCGACTGAATTCGTTCCGCGTCCCTCACAAAATAACATCGATATCATTGGGGCATGCTCAGTATATTGTCTCTTTCTTACGATCAAATCTCTCCTGATTCTGATACAAGGCTATTGTATACTCTCAGAACGTGCGACTGCTCACAGAGTTGATTGTGTGTATATGAACATATCTCCGAGAGCTTATATCTCCTTGGATATCACTTGAATCAGCAAAATATCGTACATTGTTATTGGTATCATCGTAATCACAAGCGAACCAGAAAGAGCAACTGCAGAGAAAATCATTGAAAACGAATAGTTGAGTGCTGCACATGAAACAAGAGTTGACCATTCATTCTCCATAGATGCAGGTAATGGTATATAAATATCTTCGTAATGTAAAAATCGTAAAGTTCGTGAATACCGCTGTTCTCCAGCGCTGTGAGACCAACATCAATAAACTGCAAGCTGCTCAACCTCTGCTATATGGCTTGCCAACATCATCAGGCGAAAAGTATGCAGAACTAGTCTGTCCTTCCTCCACGTTTTGTCGACTACGTCTCTGTGGTGGCTGTTGCAACACACTCTGCCATGTACCCTCTTNCTCCTTGCTTTTCGGCGTTGCCTCAATAGCTTCAAGCTCAACAGGCGGACTCAATTGCGTATCGTCTAGCTCAAAGTACTGATTCTGTGGTGAGATCGGACAGTTGGTGGCATGAGAAGTATTGCGTTGGTGGTTCTCATAAGCACCAAAGTAATCGGAATGACTGTTTTGCAGAGGCGAATGGATTGGTGTGACAACAGGACTGCCGTTGTAATGACGCGATTGCTCTAGCCAGGAAGCGCGGCGATTCTCGTCTGGGGAAGGTATGCTTGCAAGTTGAGGATTGCCGTTTGCGAAGATGGAGTCGCGTGTGAACCAGGAGTTGCCGATGCTGGGTGGGTTGCCGACGCTTGGTGGGTAGCCTACACTCCGTGGACTACCAACGCTGGGTGGTCGACTGACGTTCGGACTCACGTTGAAAGACTGCGGTATTGATGTGAGGTGCTGATCTGGTGTTCTGATTAGTATGTTTAACAATGAATTTGGATCATCCTGGTCGGCCGTACCTGCAGTGTTCGGTCTTGTCCAATTTGACTGCAAAGGTCGGTCATCAACCTCGATTCCTTCTGGATCCTCCATGGAATAAGCAGTATTTCGAGATTCTTCTGCAGCCTCGGCTCGAATTGCAGTAGGCGTATCCGCTTGTCGTGGAATATAGGTGTTGTGAAAGTGCCCATCATCATTCTTGTACTCATCCGCTAGCTTTTGTCGTTCGAGCTCTTCTTTGCGTGCCCGCCTTTGTCGCTTCAAGCACCAGATGATACCAATCACGATCAGAGCGATACCAGCCGCGCCTCCGATTGCACCTCCCGCGATTGCGCCTACATGATCCCCCGCGAATGATGAAGCAGCAGGCGTGATCATCGCCGCTGCTGTCGAGGTAGCAACGGCCGAAGAAGGCGTTATAAACGCCGAAGCTGTTGCTTCATCGAGGCTCAGACTTGCAGCAGTCAGGTCTTTGGTCGGGCATCCACTCGCGCAAGGGTCGCTCTTACAGCAACCCATGAAAGCGGGGTTTGTTCCAGCACAAGTATACCAATGGCTGTCGGCGTCGCATGTCTGATCCGGAAACGTGCCATATTCAGCAACGTCGAAGCTCGCCGGCTTGAGGTTCTTCTGTGGGCAGCTCGTCTTCTCATTGCACGGATCGATACTGCCATTACAGCACCCGACAAACCTAGATCCAGTTGTGCAAGCGTACCATGATCCACCGCTAGGACAAGAAGGGTCGAAAGATTGACGCGGCCAAAGATCACGATCATAGATCAGCGCCATTGGAACCTGGTATAGGAGAGGAATCGAGACGAGTGACTGGAAGCAAAGGAAAGTGAAGAAAGAGACTGACGCACTTCGCACCTACCTATATGTTTTGCGGCCACCCACCAAAACGCGACCTCACTGCCTGAGACTTTCCGAACTAATTGCCAGAGGTACGTGCAACCATCAAGGCCCTGGTCCCCGACATGGTGAACACTGTTTTAAGACGCAATGTGAGCCTGGCTTTACCGTGCGGCCCGAACCATGGCTTCTAGGGTGGTGTGTATGAAGCAGCTCAACATCATGAGGCGGTGCAGGATGACCGGCTGACCGGCTTTCTGTATCGGGGCAGGGTGGTCCGGAGTCAGAAATGGCTTGCAGACACAATAGCCACTGGCTGGGATTTGCCGACACCAAAGACATGATGTGGTCGAACAAGACATGAAGAGTCGCTCTTCAGGGAAAAGGTGAATGACTTTGGATAAATGGCGACGTGTGTTGCGCGTTTCAGAACATGCGAACAGACCAAGCTGTTTTCCTGCTGTTCAGCTTGTCAACAAATCTTCTTCTGCCCAGCCATATCCTTTAGGAATTGTGTCGCTTGACGATAAGTTGAGGCCGATGGTCGCGACATCTATAGTCTTTACTTGATCATTCTTGACGTGATTGTGTTGTTGACAAGCAGGCCGGAGAGTCGAGGGAGCTTCCTCGTATGAGTTTGAGGCTGCCTGCTCAAACACCCGGCAGCCCTTTAATGAGACTTCAAAAGCCACCCCACAACGTCTGAATCGACATTGAGAACAGGGTCGAGGCGATGACTTTGAAGGGAACACGAATATCCGGCCGGACCTTGACATCACAACTACCCAGCATATCTTTCTACAATGTTCTGGATAGTCTAAAACTCTGGTCTCTCTTGTCCTAGATTGCTAATATGAGTCGAACAATGTGTTCTGGTCAAGTGGTGATTCCGCGAGGTGTATGTGTAGCAACTTTTTGATACTTCGTCATCTGATTTGTGAGTGGACAGAAAAGCGATAGTTCATATGCTCGCCTCTATCTATCGAGACTAGAAAGCTGCGACTCACTTTCGCGTTTGTGTCCCCTCTAGCATTTCTTTTTGTTTACAAGCAACATAGTTGTAGAACCTCGTGGGTATCGTTAATGCACAAGTGTCTTCCTCCGCTCCTCTTTGTTCCATCTAGCGACCCTGGTCATCAGCACCCAATTCGGCACCATCCTCCAGAATGGCATTGAGGTATTGTTGTTTCTCAATGTAGTTGTCCACTGCTCTTTTCACGCCTTCGTACGCCTCATCCAACAGCTCTCTTGCAATTCTCACTCGTGTGTCTTTGTCCAAGAGACGCAGGGCATCTGAGATTCGCGGGTCTGTAGAGGAGTTGAACGAGCCGAGCAGACTCGAGACATCTTGGCCATTGGGTGGCTGTAGTCCCGATTGATTAGGTGTTTGGTGGGCTTGTAGCGCTGGAGATGTGGTCGAAGGGTGATTGAGAGCAGACGCGAAGGCTCTGTCAATCTGGGCGCGGTTGAAGTTGGCAGGACCGCGTTGTGGTACGGTTGAAGGAGTCGACGCGTGAGAGATGGGGTTTGCGCCGGTGCGAAGTGCTGACGAAGGAGTTGGTCGCTCAGAGCGAGGAGTCTCGTTCATGCCGTTCATTCTCGGGGCACCGACGTTGCCGTTGCCATATAGCACAGCAGCGGCCTGGGCACCAAGATTGGGGTTCACGGCGCCCATGGCTACGGCGCCCTGTCCCGCATGGCCTTGTTGCAGTCTCCTGCAGCCCGTCTGGTCGAGCACGGCTTCCAAGACAGCAGCAGGCATCGACTCGAGCTCGCGACAAACGTAGCCGCCGGCATTCTCGCTTTCAACGAGTTGAACGACGTGTTCGTTGAAGGCGACGCATTGTTTGAGGTGTGAAGTCTTGCGCGACGTGCTGTTGTAGGCGACTTTTTTCTCTATGCACCATTTGCATTGCACGGCGCGTGATTTTCCATCCGAGTCGCAGTCCTGGAACTGGCGCGATGCCCAGGCTTGTTGTGGTGGCATGGCAAAGGAAAACGGGAAGGGACCTTGATGGTGGTTGCGAATGTGTTTGGGTAGAAGTTGACAACTCTGCGAGCGTGAAGAGCTTGTTGGGAAGAGAGTTGGGCACGGGCCGCGTCACGCGTTTGGATCTCTTTGAACAAGCAATTCCATGGTCAATCGTCATTTCATACCTCTCCCTCTCCCTCTCGTTCTGAAGACCATCTCAATCGCTGCCTAACCCATGCAAATGTACATGTTGTGTACCCTCTCAGCTTTCTCTCTCTCTACTTGCATACTCCTCTCAGTATGCCAGCGATGAGTCGAGACAAAAGAACTCAAAAAGAAAATAAAAGCTTGTTGCTGATTCTCGTCTCTCTTCTTCTCGTACGTGATCGAAGGCCATCCCTTCTTTTCTCGTTTCTTTCCATCAAAAATATATGCGTGTGCTTGTGCTCGACTTCTCTTTCGTATCCGTGTCTCGTTCGTGCCTCCTCCTTCTATACTGCTACAGCACCCTTGTTGGACTTGGTACTCGATGTGGCATCGAGCGGCGCCGCATGAAGTGCAGGCTTCGCCTTCCTGCCCAATGTGCCGTTTCTCTTCTTCTCGATCTGCCCGCGCACCCATTCACCGACCTCACGGTCGACCCACTTCTCAGTGTCTCCGAATTGTTGTGCCTTGGATGCTGCGTCAATCTCGCTCTCCGACGCACCGAGACCTTCTCCTTGTGTCGCAGAGGCATCCTCAGCTTCGGCCTCTTCTTCGTCTTCTTCGGCAATGACGTCTGGTTTTATCAATGGAGCGAGCCATGCGTGTTGAAGTAGCATAGCGTATGTGGGTCGAAGCTTGGGGATCTTGTTCAAGCAGCCTGCAACAAAGTTGCGTGCTGCATCGCTGAATTCGCCGGTGGGAAGATCTGGTGGCTCTCCGTCCACAATAGCNNCTATTACGATGGTCAGCGCCGGTTGCCATATCATCAAAAGGCCAATACTTACACTCAATTGACTGAAGATGTTGTCATATGTTTCGGGTGGGTATGGGTATCTGCCCATGGCGCACTCAATAATGGTCAAACCCAAACTCCAGATATCACTCTGAACGCTGTAGGTACCGCCACCAGGGTTGGCACCAGCCTGAGCGACTCCACCAGAGCTGATACGTTCAGGAGCCATGTATGATTGACATCCAATATTTGTCTTTGCGATCGAGGCGACCAGGTTTCCGCTAACACCGAAATCGCAAATCTTGATGGCGCCAGCCGTGTTGACCAGAATGTTTGTTGGCTTGACGTCGCGATGGATGATGTTATGTTCATCCTTGAGGGACTTGAGGCCGCGTGTTGTTGCGAGAGTGACCTTACGGAGAACATTCTCAGGCACACCGTCACCGTACAGCTTATCCATGGAACCACCGTCCATGAACTCCATACAGATGTAGACGGCTCCTTCTTGGAAGAAAGCACCGTAAAAGTCGACGATGAAGGGGGAAGCGCAACGATGCAAGACGTCAAGTTCCATGATGATGGTCGCAAACTTTGAATCTTCAAGCTCGAGACGCATCTCCTTCATGGCCATGACAATGCCTGTTGTGTTTCCGCGAGGAGCGGCCGCCTCATCTCTTGTCTCGCCAGGTCCAGCCTTGTTTCCAGCCAAACCTTGGCCGACCTTGCGCATTTGCGGTCTTGAATGACGGACCTTGTAGACTGTACCGTAGTTTCCTTTGCCTAGCTCATCAAGTGTGTCGACTTCGTCCAGCGAAATCTGGAATGACTGGCCTGACGAGAATTGGACTCCTTTGCTGTTGAGAATAGCTTTGCCCTTGAACTTGAGACTGCCTGTCTCCTTGTCAATGTATTCAGCGTATCTGTCCAATTGGGATTCTTGTTTGGGTGGAGCAGAGTCACCGCCGGCACCACCGTTCATGCCTGACAAAGTCATCTTAGGCTTTTGTCTGCCACCGGCGGCTGGGGGAGCGCCAGGAAGACCTCCAGGCATTTTGAGACCACGCTTCTCGGCGAGTGAAGGACCTCTGCCGGTGCTCACGTTGGGAGAGGAAGCAAAGCTTGGAGGACNCGGGTCGGCTGCCGGGGACGCCGGGTGGCATACGGAAGTTAGCGGGAAGGCCACCAGGCATCTGGGGACCGGTCGGAGAAGGACCACCAGGGCCGGGAGTGGTGGCGCCAGGAGTAGTGGGAGGGGCACGACCTGNNCAGCAGGAGCACCCTGTCTGTTCATATGGAAGGCCTTCATTCTGGCAATGATGTCGGGATTGACAGCACCTCCACGGCCCATAGTGCTAACAGTGGGGGCAGGGCGTCTGGCGGCATTGACGTTACCGAGGGGAGTGGACGACGAGGTCATGTTGGCGGCCGAGGGGACCGGGGGTGAAGAGATGGAGTGGGGCGACATTTGAGGGCGACTCGAGTCTGGCGACTCTGGAGGGGAGGCTGTGGACGAGGGCGACTGCAGCGGACTGCTCGAGTCTTCTGAAGGAGTGGAAGCCATTGCTGAAGAATTGTGTGCAGCAGTGCTGTTGTATGCCAGGCTGTGTCTGACGTTTATCTGTGGCAGACTGGGCGAGTGCGAGGAACGAGTGGAGACTCAAGAGGGACGAGTTGAGACTCAGAGTCGTCGAATGTGGATGGTCATGAGTTGAAACACGAGGCTTCAAGAGTGGATGTGAGAGAACGAGCCAAGACACAGAGAGGCAGACCTATGATGTATTGTCTAGAGAGAGTAAAAAGGAAGCTGCACGGTGGAAAGACGATGTCCGCGCTGCGGTGCGTGGGGCGCGTGCAATCGTGAATCAAGCCACTTGCCATCATGATCCATCACCTTCCGTTAGCATCCCCGACCAGCTTTCTCTTTTCCTGTTTCTACACCTCTCTAACTACCTGCCAACTATAGTACATGTATATTCCTTGCCCATACTCTATCTTTTCCCTGAAATCAAATCTTATCATGGCAGTTCGTTCGCTTCGAGAGAATTGGTGGTCGGCCAAACATCCCCGTGCTGCGACCACGTTCCCTGCTTGAAACGCATACCTGGTTACGTCAGTCTGCGAAAAAGATGGCAGTCGCGAACCGTGACATCTTTCAAGACCACTCACGGCGCTGCTGGAGTGCCACAGCCCACCAGAGAATGCAATTGGTGCAAACTCTCAGTCCATGCCTGTCACCGACTTTCAACTTTTCCATTCATGCCCGAATCCTGGAGCCTTGTCCTATCGTATCGACATGATAGACATCGCTCCAATCATGCTCCGCACTTTGCTGAATCGCATTCAACTTTCCCTTCGCACATGCGGCTCCTCCAGCAGTCGTCCCCCATAATCCTTGGCCTTGGCAACGTCAACTTGTCCTCATCCCTCAGCTTGACGTGACGATCGAGCGATCCTCTCCAACATACTGATCGAGGTCTTCTTTTCTTCTAGGGCAACAAAATTCAGAAGAGTCATGAGTCTCCTATTTCTCTTGCTTTCAGACAACAATCTCCTTTCCCTTCCGCGTCCATTTGCTCTTGGTAAAACTTTGTCTTTGCCGTCCAACCCGGCCATCGGTCTGCCTGAGGCTCTTTTGTAGAACTGCAACGCCGAAAATGCTGGATCCGAACTTGTTACGAAAACCAGAGCCGGCGCTATCCGAATGAAATCGTTCGACTGCATGATTTCCGACAGGTCCGCTGCTGTGCTCCGGCATCATGAGCTGTACTATTGCTGTAGCAATTCCGGGAGCGCCTTGCTTGTTCAAGTCATCGATTCGCATGTGTGCAATTGTCCGCTTCGACTTCTAGATTTTCCATCTTGTAGAAGCAGCAAATCATCGGCAATCTGGATCAATGCTCCCCGCTATAGTGTTTCTTTTGTTGCAAAAGTCGACTCTCGTCACTACTGTAGGTAGGTGACGTTTCAGGATTTTCCGGTGTGACTATCGGTTCACTTTGTAAGATATTATGATCTTTGTCTTGCAGCTGCCAGTCAGTATGAATCAGCTTGTCGAACCTATATCCATGCGAGCAATCAACGCATTAAGCTGGTCCTTACCAAAGGCATCGTCTCGACCACAACTCAAATGCTGCGTGCCATGGTTGATCCCTGGTGATTTCTCATCACTGACTACGACAAGCGACTTGGAAAACTAACAGGACTTGTTCGACTTATAGACGACCATACCAGCTCGCTTCGTTTTCTCAAGTATCACTCTTAGGTCTCAATAGGCTTAGGATGACTTACGTGCGTAAGGCCTTGTCCGTATGTTGTCAGCGAAGCAGCACTTGTGCTAGCTGATCTTGGAGCTCTCTATTAGAACAAGAGTATCCAGCCAAGCCGTTCTCCCCACCACACTCATTGTCCTATCTAAATTCATGTCGGCCACACCTTAATCAGGACCATCTGATACTTATCTCACAATCCTTCTGTTCATCTCAAACCCACTCTTCCTAAGTTTCGAAATCGCACCGCTCTATCCTGGCAATCATCGGCATCTTGCAATGCACAGAGCAAACTTCTGTGCTCACCAGACAACTCAACCTACAGTCGACACTCTTGTAATACGACAATAGCAACCTTAAGCAACTCGGCACAGAAGAGTTCTTATTGGAGTCGACCTCAGCTTGGTGCCCACAAGTTATGAGACTTGTTGCAGAGACATCATCTCTGCCGACAGCATGAATGAATATGACCAATTCATGGCTGAGGTGGCAGAGACGTCGTTTCTGAGTCTCGAACATAAAGACGATATCACTGTACTTTACGAGTATAGCAGCGCGGATGACTCAATGGTCAGGTCTGCGAGGTTCGGGGCTAGTGGGCTGGCAACTGCATACTTCGAGCAGGAGGAAAGGGTTGCTGAAGAACTGGGACTTGGTCCGAGAGATGATCGAGACTCTAGCTGAGTGCGTGGTTGTGGACTGGGATGAGTGCAAAAGATGCTTCGAGTTTGAATTGTTGGTGTTGTACATCGGTTTCCAGCGACCTACTCGTTATGGCACTTTTCAAGTCAATTAACGCCGTAGTCAACTTTCTTTGCCACCGAGAGTGAAACATTCCTGCGTGCGATTACTAGGTTGTTAGGCGACAAGACGTGAGTCGGGCTTGCAGGCAGGGTCATCCGGTTTTCGGATGAGGAAAGAAGTCGCGTTCTTGGACCTCACTCGTCAAATTTCAGACCAGACGATTTTCTCATCGCAACAGATCCGAGGTAAGACTCAATTGTGTGCTTGTATCTGACGGGAGAATTGCTGATGAGTTTGTGGTCAATGTTCTTGTTTTGTATCCAGATTCTCGCTAAAGATTCGTAGTGTGAGTGCCTTTGAGTGCAACATTTGTGAACACTCTTACAACTTCGACCATGAACACCCCAGCTGGTCTTGCTCGATTCTTGAAAAGGCTGGCATGGTGTTCTCTACTTGTGCAAGTAGCAGCGTGTGTAAGTGGAAGAGGTAGGTATCCCAGCTTCGAATCCCGGTCCTTTGCAAAAAACTTATTCTTCTCACACAACCCTCCCTTCTCAACTCGACCTTTTCTCCTGCTCCCTTGTCACTCATTATCATGCAGAAAAATATCTGTCTATTGCCTGGTAAATGCTGGAAGCGTTCGGAGCTCTGCAGCTCGGCAAAAATCCAAAAAGAATGTCTCCGCCGACAGGGTTCGAACCTGTGCTCCCTAGGGAATCAGATATCGGTCTCGAGGACATTCAAGTCTGACGCCTTAACCACTCGGCCACAGCGGATCATGTTGAAGAGGCCAGCTTGGGGCCAAAATGATCCAGACAACATGGCTGTAGCAAAGTGGAAAGGTAGAGGATCACTCAGGATCATTTTGGCACCGAGCTCACCTCTTCAACATGATCCGCTGTGGCCGAGGCGGCGCTGCGCGGCCTCTAGATATGACTCGAGTCCTCAGCTTCTTTGTACGACGTACCTTGGCATGAAGGGACGTGCTTGTATTTGGCAAAAGTCAACTGTGGGCGCTCTAGAAGCCGAAAATGATTCTTCATCCAAATCGCTTCCAATATCACGCCTTCTCACCCCGTATTCGACTCCAAGCATTTTTTGGTAAGAGAGAGAAGTATAACATATACGATAAGGTTGTCCTTGCGGGCACGATCGTTGGTGATACGTGGCCTTAGCCGGCTTCAGGCTTCAGAGCAGCCATAACTTGTCCTTCATCCTTCACAGGTCTTTATATACACATCTTTCTCACCTAAAAGTCACCGGTGACTGGAACAAGGATCGAAAGCCTTTGGGCTGATCACCGTTGTTAACTGGTCTATCCACCACCGCAAGTCGACAATCCACGAGGACACTTGATCCTTCTACCCCGCCATATCCTGGAGTACTTCCACATTGGCATGCGCTCTTATCGCTGACTGGCAACTGCAGCTACAAAAGAAGATAAGTCTATATCTAAAACCAAGGCTGGCACAAGTTCCTGGACTCTGTATGGACGGGTAGATAGACCACAAATGGTCTAGCCCTCCAGCCGGATGATCATCGGAAGAGTGGTCAAGATACTATCCTGATTGGGCTGATATCTCGACCAACCTATCAATCGACATAGACTTGCTTGAATCTCACCCACTGATAAGGCGAACATGGGACCATACTGTGGGCGTTGTAGGCTGTTTGCACGTGAATGGTTGGTCAATCTTGACGAGGCTCTAGGATCAAGAGGGGTACACAGATATACAAAGGTTGGTCACCAGGTACGATTTCTTTGTGTCGCCTTTCACTTGCTTTGGTTGTGTGGTCTTCTCTTCCTGTATCTCTTCAGATACACAAATCTCACTAGCTTCCTCGAATCGTCTTTCCAATAGATTCAATACCTAATTCTGTCCAACTCGACAGAACATGTCTGAAGACTCCGTCAAAGCTCCAGCACCTAGCATGGCAGACGAAAAAGGCCTTTCACATACACATACTCGGACAGACAATGGCGTGGGAGAGATCCATGATCTTACTCAACTCGGTTACAAACCTGAGTTGACGAGGAATAGATCCATGCTCACCTTGTTGTTCCAATCTCTCGCCATAGCTGCTATCCGTACGTAGATGAATAGCTGCGATATCTTGACACAGTCGCTAATCTCTCTCACAGCATATGGCGAAGGCAGTCCACTCATGAGTGCCATCTACGGCGGCGGTCAACTTTCGATCTTTGTTGGTTGGATCGTCGTGTGCCTACTAGATGAGTATGTCATCTTCCCTCCTTGTCTTTGCCCCGTTCTTTGAGACTGACTCGCATTCTCCCTCACAGANTGCATCGCACTTTCCCTCGCCGAACTAGCCTCTCGCTATCCAACGAGCGCCGGTCCCTATTACTGGACATATCAACTCTCCTCTCCCAAAGCTCGCACCGTACTATCCTTTATCAACGCATGGACATGGTTAATCGGAAACTGGACAATCACACTATCCGTAAACTTTGGATTTGCATCACTCATCGCGGGAGCTGTTGGAATGTATCATCCAGACTACGTGATGACAAACTGGGAGCTTCTGTTGATATTCTACGCACTGGTCTTCGCCACTTTGCTCATCTGCGCATTTGGCAACAAGTTCTTACCAATGGTCGACACGATATGTGCTGCATTTACAGCTATCAGCATCCTTATCGTTCTCATCGCATTGTCTTCCAAAGCAGATGTAGGACGTCATTCTGCTTCTTACGCTCTTTCCCACTACGATAAATCGTTCTCCGGTTATGGCGGCTTTACTTTCTTCATCGGGTTGTTACCACCAGCATATTGCTTTTCCGCCCTGGGCATGATTTCCTCGATGGCTGAAGAGTGCGACAATCCTTCTGTCAAGGTTCCAAGAGCACTGGCTTTGTGCGTCCCTGTAGGCGGGCTAGCAGGCTTGTTCTTCGTCATTCCCGTCTGTGTATTACTTCCTGATATGTCGGAAATTGTCGAGGCGCCTGCTGCTCAGGCACTGCCGTTCATCTTCCACAAGGTCATGGGAGCACCTGGTGGTGGGTTGGGCTTGACGTTTTTGGTCTTGCTGATCACGCTCTTTTGCAGTATCAGCATCACCACGGCAGCGAGTAGGTGCACATGGGCAGTGGCCCGTGATCATGCGCTACCATTCCCTGGTACGTTCGCGACGGTGAACGAGAAGCTGGGCGTTCCACTTAATGCCATCTTGCTCCTCACACTGATCCAGTTGCTGCTGGGCTTGATCAACCTCGGCTCATCTTCTGCATTCACAGCCTTTGTGTCTGTAGGCGTGATTGGATTGGCAGTCTCTTACGCCATTCCCATCATTCTTTCCCTCTTGTCTTCGCGCAGAGAAGTCAACACCGCAAATTGGAATGTCGGTAACGCGAAAGGAAACGTGATCAATATCATTGCCGTGGTCTGGATCGGATTCGAGTTGGTTTTGTTCTCCATGCCTGGCGCGCTACCTGTCACGGAGGTGTCGATGAATTACGCTAGTGTTGTTCTCTTTGGATTCTTGGGTCTGGCCGGGATCTTCTATGCGGTATATGCCAGGAAGACATACAAGGGTCCACCCGAGAGCGATGCCATCGAGCAGTAAAGCTCCTTGAATGCACTGTGTGGCATTAGATATGCGAACATGATCAACGATGAATATTTTCAGTTGGGTTTTGTTATGCCCAGTTTCTCAAAGAAATCACGATCGTATCGTGATGTTCCCCTGGTATTCGCGAACATTGCACTCGACGATGAGCTTGTCGCAGCGACAGATGATTGACTGTGTTGACAGGCCTCACATTGGAGGGATTGTAGAGTCACCGACAGGAGACGACATGAAGAAGGCGGCAGCTTGGCAAGTCAGCTATCCATCGTGGTCTTGCAGTCGTCTTGTCGTATAAGCATCTTGTAAACATCTGCATGTGATATTCACCTCATCTCTATCCTCAACCACCATCGACACACTTATCATCTCAAACTACTGTCCGTCCGATAGGCCGGGCAACCCGCTCCTTCACGTTGCACCCCATGACTCACGATGCAAGAGCAAACTTGTGATCAGTACGACGGCGCAAACAGAGGAGTGCTAATGTGAAGGCAAATTAGGTCTCAGGATCCCCTTGAAGAAAGCAGAGTAAAGCGTTGCGTCGCGTGGCTGCACCGTCGCTGATGGCTTCGCCTGGTTTATTGGTGACGAGTGTGTTGGTAATGGTGGATGTGAATGAGAGAAGTTGGAGTCATGAGGGAGAAGAAAACGAAAGTGCAGCGCCTAAAGAGTGGAAGGAGCGATTCCCACATATTTGCACCTGATTTGACGAGATATGGGTCAAGATGGAAAGGTGCGATTCGAGCTGACCGAACCGAACATTGGAAAAGTCGCCATAGTCACAAAAGCAAACCAAGACTGGCATTGTTTTGCATCGATGGGATGTTCAAGTAAATGCGTTATTTAAACTGTATATATCCAGTTATAGTAAATGCGTTCATTAGACTGTATATATCCTGCAACTACCATATTTTTGAATAGATTCAGCAAAAGCAACAAAAGAGTCTAATTCATTCAAACCCCCAAGAAAGGAAACAACCCAACAAGAAGCTCGGTCAACAAGCTTGCTTCAGTCTAGTAAAGCATATCCGCAACAGCGCCAGGTGGCAGATCAGCAAGCTTCATGACAGGAGCTTGTGTCGCAACAGGAGCAGGGGCGGCTCTTCTTCTGAGCTTTCTTCTGCGCTTCTTGCACGCAGCTGCTGAAGATGTTGCTGCCGCTGAAGAAGTGGAAGAGGACGAAGAAGAGGAAGAGGACGAAGAAGAGGAAGAGGAAGAAGAGGCAGAAGAAGTGGTGGCTGCCGACGAGGTCGTCTGGCTAGAGCTGCTGCTCAATGCTGCCGAAGACGATATGGAAGTGCTCGACGAAGAAGTGGTGGTAGGCTTGATCGAGGAAGAGCTGGTGGTGGGCTTGACAGAGGTTGAACTAATGGTGGGCTTGACAGAAGTCGAACTGGTAGTGGGCTTGACAGAAGTCGAACTGGTAGTGGGCTTGACAGAGGTCGAACTGGTGGTGGGCTTGATAGAGGTGGAGCTGGAAGTTTTACTGTCGGAGGATATGAGTGTGCTGTTCAAAGAAGCCAATGCTGATGACGGGGCAGCAGAAGATGATGTGATTTGAGTGGGGCTTGCGGATGCAGAAGAGGATTGCGAAGCTGATAGGGTAGGGGCAGAAGATGAGGATGGCAGGAGGGGAGAAGACGAAAGGGCAGCAGAGCTAGCGCTCGATGATGATGAAACAGCAGTAGCCAAGCTGGCACTAGATGTGCTTGAGGATGAGAGACTCAAACTGCTGCTGCTGCTCGATAAAGACGAGCTGCTAGCCACCAGGGAGCTGCTGCTCGACAAAGCGGACGTAGCAACGGCAGATGAGCCGGATGTGGAGCCTGACACAGAGCTCGACGACAAGATATTGATAGACAAAGGCAGTGCAACTTGAGAAGAAGTTGCTGCTGTAGGGATGGATGTGCTAAGAGGGCTGGAAGACAAGAGTGTTACTGACGAGGTCGTTGAAAATGGCTTCACAGATGTGGATGTAGCCTTTGACGAAGTGCTGCTGCTGGTCTTCTGAATAGATGAAGTTGAAGTGGAGGAAGCCTTCTGTAAGTCCTTGTCAGCAAGTGATCACGTCAAAGGTGGAAATGATTTCCTTACCGTTGAGCTTGAAGATGAAGAGGTGGCCTTCAGACTGCTAGAAGAGGCCTTCGAACTGCTTGAAGTGACCTTGCTGCTTGTCGAAGAGACCTTGGAGCTGCTAGAAGCAGGCTTGATGCTCGAAGTCGAAGCCTTCGAACTGGTTATAGCCTTGGCGACAGTGGTAGGCTTGACAGCTGATGACGAAGAAGTCTTCTTCGAGCTGGAAGAGGCTGGCTTGCTTGTCGTCTTGGCTGTGCTCTTTGCAGTAGTCTTTGACGATGATGAAGTAAGCTTCTTGGACGAAGACGTGATTGTTGAGCTCTTGGTGGTCACAACCTTGACCTGAGTTCTCAAGGTTGTCTTTGCGGTAGTCTTCTTCGTGGAAGACGATTTCTTGGTGGAAGAAGACTTTTTGGTTGAAGATGATTTCTTAGTCGAAGTCGTCTTGTGAGTTGAAGAGCTCGAATGCTTCGTGCTCGTCACAGCTCTGTCGACAAGCTCGACATTGCACAATCCAGAGTCCGGGTTGCACTCGATAGCGCGTTTGACGTCGGTAGTAGCATCAGCGGAAGATACACTACCTGCCACTGCTGAAACCAGCAACAGGGCGAAGGTAGAAATGGTAGAGATGTTGCGCATTCTGGAAGAAGACGTGAACGAGCGAATGGAAAGGTCGATAGCAAACACTGAGCAGAACAGAATGGAGAGGATGTGGATTTTCTATTTCAGCATCCCTGCTGGCCCTGGACGCCTCCATACAAACCTCCATAATCTCGACGTTTGAAAAACGGTTTGAATCGATAGACCACCTTGACAACGAGTCGGTCTGGCCGAATGTCATTCTAAGACCCTACCATTGACATCTGTCTCTTCTAGCAAAAAGATTGTAGTTTTCCAGGACTCTTGCAGAGCGCCATCATAGCAGGTTTCGGCATGATATTGCGGGAGCACGATATCGACAGAGCAAGCAAGTGTGTGTCGCACGATCATACCGGCAATGTGACGCGGAAACCGTTGAGCTGGGAGTTAGGGGTGATGCAGAAGGCGTCGCGGTACATGTTTGATCAAGCCTTCCACCGAAGTTTCCCCATCGCGTGGTTTGTGTGAGGCAACAAAACGGTTCTCAGGTTCCAACGAATATTGACGACGAATATGTCTTGCCTCGCAACGCGGGATTTGGAAACACATGTCTAGAGTACGAACACGGCTTCGTGACATTCTGGTTCGCACACGCGACACGGCAGAGCAGAATCGATATAACGAACCTCAAAGGTCTCGACGCGCAACATGGGAATATTTGCACTCTCAAGATTGCATCGTCATGGCACCTTTACCTTTTAAGGTTGATTGACCGCTGGATGTCAAGCGAGATATACGCTCTGCTTTTGGTTCTGAAAAACCTTCGTGCTTGACATTTGATCAAGGTAGATTTATGCTCCATGGAAGTTCAAGCGAAATCGGCTCACGATAGTCTCAATCGACACCTTGTTCGGACAGATGAATAATGTCTGAAGACTTGTTGAATCAGATGTCTACAGTCTCTCCTGCGCTGCCATATTTAAAAGCATCCAGTCGCGAACTAGTCACAGAGACAGCCAGTATCGTAGCTTCGATTGGATATGAGTTCTCTGTATTGTGATCTGATTGCAAGCCAAACGCAAGTGTCTGATTATTGTTTCGAGATCGTGCGAGCTCAACAGATTTCAATATCTTTCTGCCGCTTCAGACACCCTGTGTTCTGGACAATGTCCGCTTATATCCTAGGATAGAACGCTTGATAGGGTCGCTTGTTCTCCAGGGGATGAAGGCATGAGATCCTCAGATGGGAACAACCTATGTGTGCTGAACGAGCGACTTCGCTGACCGGACTTTTGTCGACAGATCGAGCTTACGTCGAAACAATGTTGGCAACATGCTTTCATGAACGCGATGAAACGTACTCTGTAGCCTGTCTCAACTCGCACGCCGATACTCAGCGAGCAGCTGGTCGAAGGGCGCGCTTCTGCCTGGCACAGCGCGCTTTGCAGCAAATCCATGGCGTGTGCAAGTCAGACTGCGAGCGCACTGAGCGCCGCTGGGTAGAGGGACACCACATTGCTTCTCGATATCTACTGAAGCCTTCGGTCGAGAGGCATGGGCTTGGTTGGAGTCGGGTTGAGAACCGTGTTGAGTCTGAGTATGATCCATCTCCTATTCAATAGCTATGGTTGTTGTTCACTGTAAAGTTTAGTAGAGAGAGTCGCGAGTTGGTCCCCTCGGTCGTTTGGGTGTGTTGCGTTGTGCCAAGACCGACGCTCTCAACGACCTCTCGTCCTGTCTCAATTCTATCCCACTACCAACACAATTAAAGTACACAAGATTAAGCCCACCGTGTGTGATGGAAGATATCTAGTAAGTCGGTGAGTAAGTGATCGTTTCCGCAGTCTCATCTATCTTCTTCAAAAGATATCGAAAAATACTTTCTGTACCCACGGAGCAAATTCTAGTAGGTGAATGGTGCTTTATATCTTGTTGCAGACAGCAAGACACTCTTAGCGGAACGTGTTTTTATGTCATTTTATGCTTCGAAATCCGAGTCTTGCTTGTAGGTTTCTTGTGATTCATGCTCTCCAAAATGTTTTCTCATCTTCTCGTTTTTTTGCCCGATCTCTGATTCTCTTACTCCCATACTCTACCTCAAGCATCTCCAACAGCCTTGAATACTTGAGGTTCCCTCAAATGTCCTACTGGTAGTCGCTAAGCCCCAGAAGCCTTGAGTTGAGGCGTTTTTGCGCAAATTTTTCGCCCAGGCTTCATCCCCCACCCTCTGCGTCCACCTCATATTCCAAGCATCCCCAAAACCTCTACAACAACGGCTGATTAGTCTAGTGGTTATGACGTCTCCTTTACATTTGTGACGGCCTTCAAGGCGGAATACCATGCTGTAAAGGCGGAGAAGGTCGTGGGTTCGACCCCCACATCGGTCACTTCATTTTGGTACCCTATAGGCTCTCAACACGCCAGTAATACATGGTTTATCAACTTTTTGCTTGCACAGAGCCTTACAAATGCAAAGGGAGACGTCATAACCACTAGACTAATCAGCCGTTGTTGTAGAGGTTTGGGATGCTGGCTGGGCCTTCGGCCCCAGCAAAGACAGGACGACCACGGTTAGGCTTACTACATACCAGTTTACAATCTTCGAGACATCATACAAGCCAGTCGGGCCTGTTGAGGGTCAGCATCTGACAGATGGTGTGCAGAATTTATCAGCGGTGTTTGAGCCGCCTCTCGGACATGAAGCCTCCCAGACTTCCGGCATCGGCCATGCACAACGACAACAAGACTACACGTGGATGTCGACTGTAGTGGCAGTCCACACATTTTGCAGTAATGATTCCATGCATTGAGTACAAACGATAGGTAGCAAATAAATGTAAGCCTCGACATCGAACCGAGATCATAATCTCAAGCAAAGCTTCAACACTTTACCGACAGCAGTAACATGCAGGACATATGAGCACATGTACCTGGCTAGTGATGACGTGAATCGATGCATTGCAATCATAAGTAGACATCACACAAACCCAAGCCTCGACATCGGATCCGGATCATACTCTTCCACCTCCATGCTCTTCTTCAACCACTCAGTCATGGGCGCCATAACCTCATCATACGTCTCAATATCCAACCTCGCATCTTTACTCGGCACTCTGATCAGTGTCGCAGTCTGCTTATTTCCATCATAAACCCAACTCCACCACGTCCTCTCCGCCCTACACTCTTTCCTCCCAAACCTCTCCACCCTATCCAACCTCATCATCGCTCCCACAAACCTATTAAACCAAGTATGAAAATGCGGCTTTACTCTTGCATGATTCCTCACAAAGCATATCTTCTTGACGCCGCCAAAGTCCCTCAACATCTGTGTCATCATGACATTGAAATCGAAGAGGTAGTGCCAGTACGATGATCTGTGCAAGATGATCGTCATGTCTTCGAGTTGAAGAGCAGGTATCCCAAACGCATGAGTCTTCCAATAGTGCATTTGGCGGAAATGGCGCGCTTCGGAGATGATGGCTATACTGCGAAGAGAGGCTACCTGGGCAGGACGGAGGGTGGAATTGATGCGGCCTGAGATATCGAGGACGGTGTATGGATTACGGATCACGAAGGTTGTTCGGGAGAACGCGAGAAGATGGGCATCTTGGTAGAACTGGCGGCAGGTGAGTAAAGGTTGGAGGTATATCGATGCCCAGTAGTTTTCTTGGAGGGCTAAGGGTGCTTCTTCAGTGCATCTGGGACATGAAAAGGCGTCTTTGTAGCTTTGTTCTGGGTCGAAGACGAGATTCCAGATCTGAGTGCGGACTTCGGCTGGGAGAGTAAGGAAGGAAGTCTTCTCGTAGCTATCATCTAGTTCAATGCCCGAGTCCTTTCGGCAGTATTGGGTTGTTGGTTTCGCCATTGTTGTCACGGTCAATTGGATGATGGGATTAGAGTAAAGGAGCTTGGATTGTAGAAGAGCAATGGGAGCAAGGTGCTCCAGGACGATCGAAGATACCGGGTCGATGGTACCCCTCCACCCCTCTACTACATGATCTACCCCGCCTTCATCAGGTTGTCACATGCCTATGCATGGACGATCCTCAAATCAAAGAGACATACTGTACGTGCCGCAGCGCATAGCTCTGGAAAGTCGTCTTCCGTCTGTATTGAAGCCTCTGTATATTTGAGCCAGTCCATGCTCCTCTAATAAATCTAACAGTAGGACGTAATTAGCCCTGGAGATCAGTCGGGGGTGACAAACTTACTACCAGTCGGAGTTGTTGTCCGGCATGAGATCTTCCGCCGTCTCGATCATCTGATAAAATCTACCGCTTCCATCGTAGCTCAAGCAGAAGATTCCAGGCTCTCCTCCATTTTGGTGTTTCCAACATCATCTGCGCGAACCGCATTCATCATCTCACACATCGAATCGACCCAGGCTGCAGTCTCGATTTTCCTGTCCCAGATATCTTTGAACATTTCGAAATTCTCCTTGGTCACCAGAGCAAGAACCTCGTCTCTGTTGTCGATACAATCAATTTCGAGCTCATCAGTTGCCGCGTCGAATCCGGGCTGCAAGTCACCCCAACACAAGGCTCAGAGTGCTTCGAGCAACTTGGGACACAGCGGGTTGCCGTCTTCTCTGATCACGTAGACATCGGCAGGAAGGGAGGTATTCCAGCCGCCATTATTACATCCCCATCCGTAACCCAAGCCGTCAAGATCCCTCATTGTGTCAGGCTCGCACAGAGTGTGAAGAGCGAGTGCATACGACCAACCCATGCCAACTTCTGGTGGCCCTTTATACTGGTAATCGATGGTTGTGCGGAGAGGAGTGCCGATGCGACGCGAGATCTGAGACGAGTCATACGACATCCCATCAGGAGAGCTATGTCCATATATCATCAGACGCTCGATCTCTCTAATTGTGAGTGTGACGCTTTCGAAGGTAGGTTTGTCGGCACTGCAACTGATGTGCACAGCATTGGTGAGGTCGTCTCCGGTCGTGGAAGTCATGGTGGAAAGTTTCTGGTGCTAAAGCTAGGCAAAGAAAAGTATGCGCAGGAAGGGGTGGCTAACGACGTTGAGGCTCGGTAAGACTGCGAGTGTGAAAATCCAGAGTTGAAGCTGGTCAGAGCGGCCGAAATGAATGCGCGTCCAGATGAGTAAACGGATCAAGCGAAAGAAGTGAAAGTGAAGTCAGACCCCAGCGGTCACTTGATAGAAAGGACTGCGATTACACGTAGACACTGAGATCCCGTCGAAGGTTCTTCGTTGTAGACCTAGCAGCAGAAGAGGCGGTAGTGTAATGTTGCTAATGCCGTGTGTATTTGGAGTGCAGTTGGAGTGTGGACTAATGTGGTCAGGTCAGTTGGGGGACCGAGAAGGCGAGCAGTGAAAAAGTGAGAGACAGAGAGCGGAAGAAGTAATGAAAATCTGCTGTTCAGCAAACGACAACTCAGATGCGCGCAAACGACAACAGACAGGCATGTGAAGCTGGTCCAGAAGAATCCGAGCGTTCACTTTCTGACCTACGAAAATCCTGGCGACAGCGTTGACTGTCAGTAGAAGGACATTGTTGTACATCAATACAACATCAATCACATCATGATCCCCTACCTACCGCAGGTATTAGCAGCTGCAAAACAACCCCTTGGTCTTCCCAAGCCTCTCCTCTGTGCTTGTTCCACCTTTTGAGGAGCCTGAGCTCATGTGTCCGACACAGGCCTGGGAAATGATTGAAAATGTGTTGATTCTTCGCATGCATGTAGTCAGCAAGCTCATGATTTAGTATTTGAAACGCCATCCCTTATGCCTTTTGCCCAGATTTTGTTAAGAAGGTAACACCCAGCCACCAACGCCATTGCTCGCCTCGACTGCCATATGGGAAAAGGTTCGTCATTCCCACAGTATTGCTTATCCATTGACTGTATGCTCATCTTCTCCTCTTTCATCCATGTAATGTGATGATGCGCTTAGAAGCGCTCCTTCATTCTCGAGGCGACGGTTCTGAGGTTACCGTAGACCTTGGCTGGCGGGCTACCAAGAATGAGGGAGACAATCGCGGTACGGGCCATGTGGATATTCTTGAATCCNNTGCGCAAATCGTCAGTGTCTTGCGAGAACAAACTCGCTCGAAGTAACATACCACCCAGAATGTGAATTTTTGAGTCTGCGAGCACTACACGAGTTTTGCTTGCATTCTCAATAGCGTGCTTAGTCTTTCCGTCCTTTCCAGCAATNNTCCTAAAACACAGTCAGCACGATTCTGACGACTGAGGCGTCCAATACCACATACTGCCAATAGCTCTGCCCAGATGTTCGCCCTGAAGCGTCTTGACATCCTTGATCTCGAAAGTCTCAATGTACAGATCATCCAGACGCAGCAGTGCAATGGCGTCGTCCAAGTCAAATCCTAGGCAGAAAGCGTGGATAAAGTCTGCGCCCTTCTGCAGTGCTCCAGTGTCATCGGTGAATCTGCTTGTGCGAAGCTCGACGTTCTTGTTCTTGGTGTTGACTCTGCATTGCAATTTGAGGTGTTCGACCAGAGGAGGGTAGACCTTGGGCCAGGCATTCTTCAGAGGAGTCCAGCGGTGAGGCGGCACGGCGACCTTGCGCGATTCGGAACGGACGTGAGCGTTGGTGGCCTTCTCGGCAGCGAAAAGTGGTTGTGAGTCGACGGTCATGGCTGTGTCTTCTGAAGGTTGGGCGGTAGTCTGGACAGCAGGGGCATCGGTAGTGCTGATGAGCATCTCGTCGTCCTCATCGTTAGCAGCGACGGGAGTTTCGTGCAAGTTTTGAGCAATGTCCTCGGGGGCAGCTCTCTGGAGGGCGGTAGGTGCGGGCATGGTGATATTGGTCCGACAAAGAGTATGACGATATGTGTGTTGTCGGTGATGTGTCTTTGATTGAGCGGCAGTAGAACTGAAGTGCTGAGGGGTGGACAGCGGGTTTGTCGGCGAAGCGCGAAAAGATGGTATATTTTTGCCGCGGTCGGGCTCGAAAAGTCCTCCACTCCACATCCAAGTCTGATCTGCCAAGCAAGTACAAGGCGGTGAGCGGACCCTTGGCCAACGACTCCAATATCGGCATATCTGTACGCAATAAAGATTATAGAAAGCATGAGAAATATGATCAAGGTCACAAAGTATGATGCAGGTTCATAGGGGGTGGTCTGATGAACTGCTCTTTGATTGGATATTGTCTCAATCTGTTTTCCTCCGTATGTACTCTCAGTGCCGGGTATTCATTATAATCCCACCCGTACTCCTTGATTGCTCCTGTACGCCATGAACCCTAAGTCAAATCCGTTGTGCATTCGTGGTTAGAGATTCCCCGATTGTGCACTTCCCTTTTAGCATCGCCTCTGAATTTCTACTTCTTTCCGCCATTGTGGGCAGAGGTGGCGTTGAGCAAGCTGACGATCCTAACCTTCTCGACCTCGATCTGCTGCGAGTTGTCCAGCTTCACCTTGACGTCCTTGAGTATGAAGGTCCACACGTCGTCGCAGAAGCGGTATGTGTCGAGGTGTCCCTTTGATCTTGGTCAGCATAGAGAATCGTTATGAAATCCAGGCCGATGGGGCTGGGATATATGATGGACTGTCCGGGATACTGAGTGTACGATAAAGGGACATAACAAAAAGAGGTGCGCATAGTGTTGGACTTGTTAAGAAGCAGTCTCCTACCTTGAAGCTCATTCTAGCCTTGACTTTTTCACCAAGCACCTGGGCGATGGCCTTGTCAAAGTTGGTCATGATCTTGATGGCAAGCTGAGGCTCGATGCGACGACTGCTAATAAGGTCGTCCAGGGTATCTGCGAGTGTACCACCGATGCTATACACATCCTTCTCAGCACAATGTTGGATGGTGGTGAGTCGATGGTAACATACGACGCATTGCGGTACATTTCGTGATACATGCCCTGTTCAGCCATCTTGAACACCGACCGCTGTGTGATGCGCAAGTCGCTAGATTTATGTACTCTATACGTTATGGTGCGCAGAAGATGTTGTGCACAAAGGAAGGAAAGAGATGTCGCTGTTGCCCCTGCTATGGAAGGGCGTTTGTTTGATGGAATCAGTCATGCAGAAAGCCGCGGCTTGTTCCGTTCAGATGACTTGGCCAGGCACCAGTGTACTTTGATACTTTGTCACTTCCAGTCTGTCGTCTGCCGTCAGAGACACCAGTATCATCACCGAAAGACAAGACCAACGGTGTAGCCAGTATATGAGGCTCGTTGCGAAACAGCGCAGTGTCAGTCAGTCGGCAAAGAGATGCAGACTCTCTTCATCGTGTCTATTTCAAACCGAAGCATCCCACCCTGCAGGAAGTCGGTCCCTGATTTGCCGATCGCTTACAGAGGGTTCGCGCTGCCGTTTCCGGTTTGAAAGGCAAGAAGGGCAGGTTCCTCGAAACCAAGAACTGACGTGACGGAGCCTAGACACAGCCTAGAACGAATCGAGCACAAACATGGTCGAACGATTGGATCGAGGTTATCTCGCGGCGCGATCGCGCCCGCGTGTCTTGTGCACGAGCACTGCAAGATNNCGCCAGTTTGCTCAATCCCTCCGGCTCCGAGCGCCCAAAATTGTAGTGTAGATATCATGGATCTTGGAAGCTAGGACGCTTTCCTTCTCAACTGTTTTCTTTTAGTCCTGTTGCTGGTCCTCCTCTCTCCTTCAGAGCTCCATTCGCATCTTCTCGCTCTTTGTCCCCGATACCCTTTCGATTCTTTGCGCTTCTTGGAAACCTATTGTCCGACACACCGGACCGAAACTCCGAAACGATCAAAGATCTCTCTCATCGTCTTCTCGTGCGAAACTCACATAGTCACCACCCTATGGCCTCAACACTGATCAAGGGCAAGCCTGCCCAGCAGCTCTCCTCGATTCTGCCACCCCTCGTCTTTGGATGCGCCGTCTTCAACTCACAATACAACGATGTCAACAAGCTGGACACTGTCGGCCTGGTGCAAGAGGCACTCGAATTTGGTATCAGAGCGTTCGATACCAGCCCATACTATGGACCCAGTGAGGAGCTGCTAGGAGCTGCCCTTGACACAGAATTCGTACACGCACACGTGCCTCGCTCTGACCTATTCTACATTACAAAGTGCGGCCGCATTGCTGGAGACGAGTTCGATTATTCCCCCGAATGGGTCCGCCAAAGTGTCGCTCGCAGTCTTGAAAGATTGCGCACTGATTACCTAGATATCGTCTACTGCCATGATGTCGAGTTCGTGGGCGAGGATGAAGTCCTCGGAGCGATCAAAGAGTTGCGTCGCATCCGCGATGAGGAAGGCACACTGCGCTATGTCGGCATTTCGGGATACCCCGTCCCTCTGCTTTGCTCGCTCGCTGAGCGTGTTCTTCGCGAGACTGGCGAGCCTCTCGATGCTGTCATGTCGTACGCAAACTTCACACTACAAAATACTACACTCGCAACTACTGGCATTGCACGTCTGCGCGCTGCAGGCGTCGATGTTGTCCCAAATGCCTCACCACTTGGCATGGGTCTTCTGAGACGCGCGGGTCCTCCTGTTGCGGGTCAAGGCGACTGGCATCCCGCTGGCCCTGGCGTTCGAGATGCCGTCCGTCGTGCAAGCGACTTCTGCGACCGCCACGGAGAACGTCTCGAGGTCATTGCCATCCGATATGCCCTCGAATCATGGCTCACACAGGGTGCGAGTGTTGGCTCAAGAGGCGACCCTGCATCTGGTGTCCCATGGACCCCTGAGTCGAACGAGCAGGTTGGAGGCCACAAACTTGGTGTCAGCGTTATGGGTGTCAGTAACGCTGGTGAGCTGGAGAAAACAATGTCAGTCTGGCGTAGTATTCTCGACGGTCTCGAGGGTGGTGAAGAGACCGTTAAACTTGCTGGTCGCTGGAAGAGAGACCACGAGTGGAGCTTGAACCGCAAGCACGGTGTCCAGATCATGGCAGACGGCATTCAGGAGCATCTGGCAGAGTATCTCGATTTTGCTTGGGACAGCCCTGGCAAGGACTATGTCAACAAGAGAGCCGCCAAAAACCTGTCGCCCCCTCAGGTTGAAGATGCCCCTTGGCTGACTCCGGCTCAGAGCCCACAGGCTGAGCAGGACCTCCCTGAAGAGATCAGCATTGCGCTCAGATAGTTCTGTAGGCTTTGAGTGTTCTCTTCATAATATGGAGTTTTACAAATGGGTTGGTTAATAGGTCATTTAGATATCCCTCTCTGTTCATGCTTACCGATTTGATTGCATATATCCTGGTTACGTCCTTGAAATTTCACGATTATTCTTCTCTCATCCAAATACACAGCTGATTCAGAAGGAAGTCCAAACGCGGTGTCGACACTGCAGATCATGCAGTGCTTGCGGGTGCGGAGAACAACACCTTGATGTCATGACCTGCATCACCATGCAGAGCGGCATCATATTCTGCCTTATCCACGAACACCACTCTCTTCACAGTCTCGACAGCTAGAACCTTGACTATCGAGCAACATACCTCTGGAAAATACAACAAAATGTCGTCCAGCGAAATCGAAGACAAGATGCCACCAGCTCGCATGACAATAGAGCAATCCTCAGACGAAGAAAAGAACATCTCCATCGTCAAAGAATACATGCGAATTGCCTACTCGCCTTCTGAAAACAAAGGTCGCAAGTCTGTCGAACACCTCTGCGCGGATGATGCCTGGTTCTGGGCTCCCACCACGTTTCCTGGCGTCAAGTCACCTCAANNTTCGCATGTCATGGCTAGCATCGCTGATTTGCATATTGTTTGCTACGATCAAGTGTTTGCCAAAGATGGACATGTGCTGTTGAGATATACGGCCGAGGGAAGTCATTGTGGTGAGCCTCATAATGGGATTGGGAAGACTGGAAACAAAGCCAAGTGGAGCGCGGCAGCTATCTTTGAGGTTGAAGATGGCAAGGTCAAGAGCTTTACTAAGGACTGGGATAAGCTGCATATGTGGAAGTAAGTGGACCAATGAGATGTGGATGTGTATGTCCAGATGCTGACTTGAGTACAGNNGCAACTAGGATGGATGAAGGGGGATGAATATGTCTAAGACCTTCCATATGCGACGGGTTCTCGGTTCATCAACGAGGTTCACGTTGGATGCCTTCAGACCGGACTGTGACAGCAAGCAGGAGATGGTGGAGATCCGCCGAAACAGAGCAACTGAGCCCAGCCACTTCGGCGGCCTGAAAATACTTCAAGATGCAGGCATAATCATTATGTGAGAGCTGAGCACACGACGATCGATGAGTCGAGTGTTGAAAAGTGAAATTGTCTTGAGCGATTGTTGAGTCGACGGGTTTGGGGAAGGGTTTGGGGAAAGAGCGGGCAGCTTCCTCGGTCTTGATGTGCTCGATGGAATTGATTGGCCTCCGGGGCACAAAGCGGGCGTCGTCATCGGCGTGATTATTAGAGACATGGATGCCGGCGACATCAGGTTCTATGTAATAGGAAACCTTGAAATGCTGAAAATGCCCAAGGTTTCCCATGTCATTGTCGTCGCTCCTGGTTTCTGCATCCTGAATCAATCGTTGTCTACTTTACAGCATATCGCTCTTCGTCGGCAGCTTCACGAACGGCTATTTACTAGTACAGGCCGAGGGCGGACTTGTCGGCCGTTGCCCTCTCCAACACTATCCCACCTCGATCCTATTTCGCCTATTCATCTCCATCTCTTTCCCACCCCACGTGCTCACCTCTTCTCCCCCTCTCGACGCCCGTCCTTTGTTCATCGCATGAGTGGACTGGCCAAAGGCTACTCGGATCTTGAGCGTGGAATGCGCCGTCTCTCAAGTGCTTCCCCGCAACGAGCCTGAGAGACATAGGATCGCTCCGCCATGGGGAATACCAGCAGCTCCACCAGGGAGTCGAGGACGACATCCTCACGGTCGCGCGCCGGCACCGCCAACAATGGAAACTCCAACACTGGCTCCAACGAAAACTCCATGTACAATGTGCGCAGCGGCCGTGGCAGCAGACAGAATCTCTCCTTCCTCCATCTGGGCTCTAGCAGCAGGNNGGGAGACCAATCACGCACCGAGGAGCCGCGTCGCGAGACCAAGCAAGAAAGAGAAGCACGCAAGCGCGAGAAGGAGCGTGTGGCTCGAGAGAATGAACGCGAGCGGAGTATGAAGGAGGAAGGCGTTGACGGTGGCTATCTCGTCACGCTGGGAACCTACGTCGGTCCTGAGGACTTTAACAAGACTGTCGTGCGCCAGCTCATGGTATGCCATCTACTATCTACTTCGCTTCTATCCCACTGACACAAACCANNGATCGAACGTCGTTTGGCGCCGTTCTGGAAAGGCCTCAACGACCACTCGGACTCGTGGACCGAAAACCAGCTCGTAGCTGTAGCACGAGGACTACCCCTCCCCGCTCCTGACGANCCCCCACTCCCTGACCCGGAAACCGCCGCCGGCAGCGATGTCGACTCGCTCACTATCCCCATCTCTTCCCGCTCCCAATCATATCAATCCGATCACACATCGACTCCTCAGAGCGCCACCTTCCCTCGCCCAGGCACTTCATCTTTACCCTCTGCCTCGGGATCTCGAGGTCTCTTCCGCGACCGTGCAAAGACGCTGGCATCTCTGGGCACTTCGAACAAGAACAACAATGCTTCGTCTACTTCGATTGCCCCTCAAGAAATCCGCTTGCCACGAGACCCGCGAGTCAATGGCTCNCCCCTCGAAGCTGTTTTGTACAAAGATGCCGCCGAATGCCCCATCTGTTTCATGTACTACCCTCCGCATCTCAACAAGACCCGCTGCTGCGATCAGCCCATTTGCTCCGAATGCTTTGTACAAATCAAGCGTCCTGATCCCCACCCTCCGGAGCATCACGATGACGAAGGAAATCCTACAACCGACGAAGAAGGGTTGCTAGTCTCGGAGCCTGCTGCTTGTCCCTTCTGTGTAACCCCTGAGTTCGGAGTCAGCTATCAACCTCCTTCTTTCCGTAGAGGTCTTGTATACTCTGGCCCAGTGAGCAGTCCAGGTCCAACCAGCGCTCCGTCACCAGACGCGTCTTCCCTGTCTTTGGCTGTACCGCATGGCAGAAGACGTACCACCTCTCTATCAGCATCGGCCCCCACTGTTATCACTACCGATCGAGTACGACCGGATTGGGCAAAGAAACTCGCCGATGCTAGAGCACATGCCCTGCGACGATCTGCTGCTGCGACTGCTCTCCATAATGCGGCGTACATGCTCGGTAACCAGCAGCCATCAGACTCGCGCTCATTTGGCGGTCTGGGTCGCCGTCGTCGTACGCTTCTGGTAGATGCTTCAGCTAGTGCAAGCGGATCGGGTACTCCGAGAGCTGATAATGGCCAAGTGGGTAGTCTGTCCGAATTGATCGCCCACATAGAAGGTCAGGGATCAAGCACAGAGCCTCGTCCATCGGGTAGAAGAAGCCGCGCTCACGACCTCGAGGACTTGATGATGATGGAAGCTATCCGACTTTCCTTGGCTTCAGAAGAAGATCGTAAGAAGAAAGAGGAGAAGGAAGTCAGAAAGGAAGCAAAGAAACGAGAAAAGGAGGCCGCGAAAGATGCCAAGAAGGCAGACAAGGCTGCGAAGAAGAGTGGAAGTCTTTACAGCGCTAGCATGAACGGCAGCACAGTCGCGTGGTCTGACATGTCCCGCTCTACGAGCAATATCCCACGACCGCAAACAGCCGCCTCAATGGCTTCATCGCCGCCGCCAGCCGCTCCTGCAGTCATTGGCAAGGGCAAAGCACCTGCTATCACCGCCTATGGCTTCAATCCACTCGGTGAACCTACATCGACTCTGAATACAGGGATTGCTGAGCAGACAGCAGATTCTCAGCGACATCTCGAAGAATCCAGAGCTAATCTACCTCAAGCAACGCAACCCATCTCATTCCCGGAAGCCCTTCAAAACCGCTCTCACCTTCGTCATATTTCGAACGCTTCGTCAGCAGCATCGTCAATGCTAGATTCCCTACCTGGAAGCTATCAACAACGAACGCCAAACCACCAAATATCTCCTAACGCGAGTGCAACAGTGCTGGACGATGGCACTGGCACGCCTGATACACAATCCGGTACACCAAGCAATGATGTGAACACGGAATCCATGTTCAACTTTAAAAGCTTGACTGAAATGATCCGCAACGACGAGAAGGACCGAGATGCAGATCATGTCGAGTTCTTCGAGCAGAAGCCAGATGAAGAGCGCAAAACCTCAATCGCATCGTCGTCCAAAGGCGATGGTTCTTCTGGACTGCCCCCGTTGAACGAAGATGAGAGGGAAACATCGAAGCATGGCAATGCTGTACAGATTTATAACGGAGCGACTTCACAGATGCAGCAAAGCGAGACAAAGCACGCAGGCGATGTCAACGTCTTGCACACGTCAGGAACGTCGACCAACTAGATGGGCTGCGTGGCTTGTGTACACGGACATGGCGTCGATCAAGGTTGGATGGAAATTCATACGGCACAGGACGTCAAAAGCAAATGCTACTGCAGAGATTCTCCGACCGTCGAGGTCTCCAAGATATAGATGGGCGGTGACTGAAAAGACAGGCTGAGGGACAGCCGGAGTCATGTTGTGGGTTGGGGAAGACCGGGGTTGTATAGGGCAAGGCGTCGAGCAGAGGGTATTCGTTCCAGCTTTTGTAGTTTGGCTCCCAAACATATGCAATCATTTTGTTCATCAAGTCGGATAGAGTTGTTGGTGTTTGCAAACGGATAAATGTCAGTTTCACACGGGCCTGAAACGGTCCTCTGGGTGCACAGACATGCGGGGAGGTACTTGGACGGTGTTGTATGCATGATGAAACGGGTGGATCAGGGCAGCAGGGCACACGCAGGGGTACTGGCGAGACTAGGGCGTTGATGGTCTCTGCATCCAAAGGGACTCTAGTCTTGGATAGTCTGGTGTATGGTCGTTGAGGAGTTGTTGTTGTTGTTGTCGTTCTTGTTCCTGGGAGTCCATGTGCTCCCTGAGCCAGGAGTGAAACTTAGTGCACGAGACAGGGTCGGGACTCAGAAACAGCAAGAACTGGCGAAGCCAGAGCACGAAAGGGGCCACTTTTAGAGAGCGGTCGGCTAGGATTAATATATGGCGTGAACCCCACGCTCCATCAGCACAGTAGCGAGTCGAACAGGACAGATACGCACGGCGTCTAGAATCAGTGGTCGGAAGTATCCAAGAGTCAAGGGGTTTGATCATGTCGCAGCTTTCTCAGCACAGGCAAAGAGTGCCCTCGTTGGGCATTATCGCGACTTCTGGGCGAGGGCAGCAGGCTACTGTCTTCCCGGCCAGACCGAGCCCGCTATCCTCTCACCCGCCAACACCGGTCGAAGTGGTCGGAGGGACTTGCAACAGCAGCAGCAGCGAGCAGCACGGCAACTCGGCGTCCATCAGACACAGCAGGAACGTATCTGCAAGCACATCGTCGCTGCCGTTTGGGTCGCCTAGCAACTTGACCTTGTTCCCGAGGAAGCATCCGAGCAATTTCTCCACGCCCGACCTGTCAAAGTCTGCTTCACCATCCACCGACTCCCTGCACCGACAAGACACGAATTCTTTTGCCGGCAGCTCCTCTCAATTGCATCATCTACCATTGGCATATCAGCTCAACTCGCACGACACGTCGTCCAAGCTCGACCTCGCCAGCGTCGAAGCCATGTCACACCACGACAACCACCGCCACGACAGCTTCGGCTCCCAGCTGCCTGTGCCCAAGGGCTCCACCAACACCAATGGCCGCCGCAGATCCATCAGCATGCAAAAGCTGTTCTCGCTGTCGAGCCTCAAGAGCAGCTTCGGCAACTCACGCACGTCTCTCGTCTCGACCCCTTCTACACAAAACCCTCCACAGACCGCCTCTTCCGACCGTCCGGCCTCCGACAGCACTACCAGTTCCAGAGGTGTCAAGCGCGCTGCGGAAGAAGACTATGTCGTCGTTAAGCATGGCCAGGACAACCTTCAGCCCCCGCTGAGAAAGAGANNAAAGAGCAGCTCGTGGTTCCGCAGGAAGAGCGGCCTCTTCACATTCAACTCCCACAACAGCGCCTCTGCTGCAGTAGACGACTATGACATGCCCCAAGGCCCTGATGCCATGGTGCTAGACGAGCCCGAGAACGTGCATTCCACCGCCGAGCACACACAGGCCATCGAGAGCGACTCTTCAAGCGAGAAAGCGGCCAGCGTCTACACCACACAAACCACACAGTACCCTCCTGTTCTACCGCCATTGTCTCCCATGTCCAAGACCCAAACACAATCCTCGCAGTACTCTCAGCCCTCTCAAGTCCAGAGACCCGAGAGACCTGTCTCACACAGAGCTTTCAGTTCGCAGAGCAGAATCAGTCGATCGTCGTCTCAGCACCGAACTCCATACTCTCCTTCAGCAAGAGAAGCCTTCTCGCCTCCACCAACACTGCCGGAGCTCACTAGAATCGACACGACGTTTGGTGATCAGGACATGGGAGAGCTGTTTGCTCAGTTCGGACGCTAGAAGCGCTATGATTCTCCAGACCGTACTACCGAGCGTCCGTGGTTGAAGTCCTTCGTCCTCAAACGCAAAAAGGGACAGGGATCTCCATGGTTTGGCCGTTCTTGACCACGTCCTCTACGGACATAGTACAGGCTGCTCCTCATTTGTTTATGTGCTCCTCTTCTTTTCCACCATCAGTGTGGAAGAAAGGAATGTCTACATGTATATTCATAACCCCTGGGCGGTTGTACAGTCATTCCTCATGTTGCTTTGTTCTTCATTTGTCCCGGACTCACGTTCTTTTTGTCAGCATTGCTTTTCTGTTCACGGCATTGGCGAAGGCGCTTGGTGGTGTTATCATTCTTGGGGCGGAAGGGTTCAAGGTGTACATTTGATGTTTTTTCTTTTCTTTCCGAACCTTCGTTTTGCAGGAGCCGGGCTCTAGCTTTTCTTTTGTCGAAAATCAAAAGATATTATTCTTTTCTTGTGTTTTTGCATTGTTGTCGTCGTCGTCGTCGTTTTCTTGTGATTTGTTTGTTTTTCGTTCACAGTTATTGGGAATTTGGTATCGGTATTGGTATTGGTATACTGTGCCTTCCTTTCTCTCTTTGGTCTGCACGTAGGGATTCTCATCATCATCATCATCATCAAAGTACTCTAGACAACGCAAAGGAAAAAGTACACCATTACTTTGCCACAAGTTGCATTTCAATCATTCTTTCCAGAAATTGGCAAATGCTTTTTTTATAGGCATATCTATTGTAATCATTGTCGTCATATCCATTTCCCTGAGCAAAACAGAAAGAGCCAGGAGATTTTGGGTCTCAAGGAAAAGCCAGAGGCCTGGGAATGTAGACTACTCGAGACTTGCCTTGTATGAGTTTCAATATCCAATCAAAGAAACGCAAGAGCTGAATTTGAAAGTATTCAAAGGACGTGGGTGGAGGAGTACAATGTCCATCTTTTCTCTTTTTTTTCATTCATTCGTGGTTTAGTTTTTGTTTCTGCATTGATAACTTCTCTACTAAATGTTTTATTCTGTTGCGTTTGTGGGTCTTTTTGTGGCGAATTGGCGCGTCACCCAGTTGGGACCGTGTTCTTGGTATTCTTGCCTGGTGATCAGGATGTTTTTGAGCAGGTCTTTGTCGTTTGCCATGCGGCAGCCTCCTTGCCAGGTTGATGTTATGGGNNGCTGTGAGGGGCTGTGTCAGTGGGTTTATGTCTTTTGGGGTATTTATCGCGGGGAGAGAAAAAAGAAAATGAAAAAAAAAAACACTCACTCTTCAGCTCTCCGTACACGGACGAGCATGTCTTCGGGTGCCAGCATCCTGACGCCTGTCTCGACTCTCTGCACAAAGCCAGGGATGAGCGTGTTTCCTCCCACCAGCAAGATGTTGGCAAGCATAGGCTGCCATAGCAATTCAGGCAAACATTGTAGACTCTGGAGTATGGTTTCTGCAATGCCAGACTGTGGCATGGCGATATCTGAAGGTGTAAACAGCATTTCAGGGACAACGAAGCGTTCGTTGGCCAGCGGAAAGACTTCTTCTCGAACACTGAGCGGGTCATCTGGTTGCCTTACACCCAGGCGTTCCATCTTGGCTTTATGTGAGGCATCATGTGGGCGTATGAAACCACGGTGATAGCGTTCGTAGTCGGGCAGGACATAGTCTACTACGATGCTAGGATCCTTGTTCCTCGCAGCATCCAATTCTTGAGCGAAGTCTGTCGAGAGATAGCAGGCGTCTTCTTTAATCTGGGAGACGATATGTGGTTCGTCGATGAGGGAGAAATGGCGGAGGGAGATGAGTTCGGCGAGATAGTTGTTTAGATGTTTACCGCCGACATCGAGACGGCGCACAGCAGGGTGGATAGGCCGGCCTTGTAGCAATGGAGTGATTGTGGTGTGACTGTGACCGCTGTCTACTACGAGAAGAGCATGGGCCGGCTGGATCTGTGATGGGTCCGCGAGGGCAGGGTCGCCAAACAGAGAGCGAGTGTCGTTGTAGGCATTCAATGAAGAGGCAATGGAACGATATACGGCAGCAAAGTCGAAGTGTTCAAAGACCATCTGGTCCAGGTTCTGGGTGAGCTGCAAGGGTGCATTGGGCTGTTCGGTGATGATCAGATTCGTGTCGTTCGAGTCGCATTGAAGGTGTTGAAGCTCGTTATCCAGCACGGCGACTTGGGCAGGCCAGTTGACGATATAACCCTTCTGGACGGGACGGCGAAAGGTCATTTCACCATAGTCGGTGCATTGCGACAGTTGCGAGCCGACATAAGTCTTGTTGTCGCGCGATCTGGCGATGCAGTTTGGCGCAACATGACAAGTGCCATTGTTATCCGATGAGGCGTATCCAGCCTTGAGAGACCATGCGCCGACGTCGACGACGAGGGTTGGCGACATTTAGAGAGAGAGTCTACATCCATGTTGGTGCTGGCGGTGACGAGACCGGGGTGGTCGCTGACGCCTTTCGAGATCAAGTGCATCCATCTTGGCAGCTTTCTAGAAATTATTTGACCTTGTCGCATTCCTCACACGTCAAGACCCACTGCAGCCATGGCCGCCTCACAAACACTCATAGACCTTGCCCAGACGCAGCGTGCTCTGGTCGCCCAGTTCCTCGCATCTCTGGCCCCAAACGCTTCCGCCGACTCGTCAAGTCAACTGCCACCCAACCCGCCAAACCCTCTCCATGTCCTTCGCGACAGTGCCACCTTGCTCAAGGCCCATACCACCAAGCTCGCTCTTCTCCTGATCAACAAGCCTTTCACGCCTACCGCCGTAACCTCAGTCCTCCGAGATGCCACCCAAACATGTCTTCCCGCCATGATGTCTGCTGTCGAACTCTGTCGTCCTGACATTTGGGGTATCTTCNNCCTACACCATCAGGTTGTTGCCAGAGTCCGCACAGTCATGCGTGAGATGGTCTCTTTCCTCGAAGAAGTCCTCGACGTTGCCAGACAAGAAGACTCGTCGAACCACTCCAAGGACACCCTTGCTTCTACTGGTGTGCTGTGGGAAGCCTGCGACGCTCTGGTTCAACTGGAGAAGACTGGAATCGCTGGTCTGGCTGTCCTCAAGGCTCAGGAACTACGAGATACCATCAACGACGCCATCGAGGAACTCAAAGAGTGGGAAGAAGGCGATGGAGAAGATGACGACGACGACGACGAAGACGACGACAGTGACGCAGACTCCACCACCGACGACCCGCAACCCAGAGACGACCAAGACGAATTCGACGACATGTTTTCCGCCGCAAACAAGCTCCCGAAAGACCGCCCCGATCTGAAACAACGCCTGCAAACCGCTGCCGACAAGCTCAAAAAGATACAGTTCCTCTACGCCGCCATCGCCAAACGCAGACTCAAGACTTTTACGCCAGACGTGGCTTCNAAAAAGGTCAACATCCTGGCTCTGGACAAACTCATGCATCTGCTCAAGGAACTGCCCGAGTCTGTCGACGATCTCGCAAATGCTTTCTACGAGCTCGACGCCGATCAAGTCGATACCATTCTCAGCACATGTATCGACAATGCATGCTCAGCAGCCGACCTTCTAAAGACAGACTGGAACGACAAAGACGACGAGTTCACAACCTGGGTCACAAAGTGGACTTTCATCGTCAAATAAAAAGAACAGTGTTTGGGAAAAAGAAAAGAAAAATGTTATTATCCACCCAGAAAATATGCAACCACCGTCATAGAAAGATATAAAAAGATGCTACGCAACCCCTTGGGTATCGTCAAAAGAGGCTCATTTGTACACCAGCACCGTGTGCTGTTTTCCCCACTTCTTGCTATCACCACAGAACTTTTGCATATACTCCTGTTTACAGGATGAAGGCAAGAGCACCGGCACCGACGGCCATGATGCTGGCGCCAACCTGGACAGCAGCACCAGTAGAAGGAGTGCTAGAAGCCGACGAAGCAGCCTTGGTGGCAGAGCCAGAAACGGCAGCAGCAGCAGAGCCCGAGGCAGAGGCACCGGTGCTGGCGAGAAGGGTACCGCAACGCGACTTGGCGAGGCTCTGGATGCTCTGGAGGTCCTCGGCCGAGCAGTCAGAGTTCTGGAGCAGGCAGGTGGTGCCGGCGGCGAGGAAGGCCTTGGAGCCGGTTGTGCAGAGGCAGACGGGGTCGTTGGCAGAGCAGCCGGATGCACCGACGGCGGATGTGACGCAGGCAATNNCTGTCGAGAATGTCAGTGGGTGGTCATATCTCAGTCAGGGCGAGAAGCAGAAACGTACACCGCACTGAGGGACACCGGCAGTAAGGTCGACGGCAGTCGAGGCAGCGGCAGCGGCAGAGGTAGAAGACGAAGCAGCCATGGCAGTGGCGGCGAAGATGGCGAGGGAAGTGTAGACACGGAGCTGCATGATGGCGGTGTTTGTGTGTGGTGTTGGTTGGTTGGTGTATAGAAGAAGAAAAGAGGATTTATAGAGAGTGTGTTTCAAAAGTTGGATGCTGCTGTGAAAAGAGTGAAGAAGTCGATGTGAATTGAATTGGATAGTCAAAGAGAGCAAAGAGAGCAAGAGCATGCAGTATTATATCCTGTCGTGCAACCTCAACCAACTCCCGCGTCTGTGCCTCTTGATGGAACCTCTGTCTCTACGCTTTCGCTCGCGAGGCTCGAGCCAACGATTTCTCACTCCACTCCGCTTGACCCAGCAGCGGGTGCCATGTCTCTTTCTGGGTGCTGTGATTTTAGATCCGTCTGCTGAAACAACACTTGCGAGAGCCCATGAATCGTGAATCGCCTTTTTTGTTAGCTTCAAACGCCATAGCCCATTGTCCCCCGGCTCTAAACACCACAAAGCCGGTCCCTTGCATGAGATCTGGGTCCAGCACTTGACTCTTTCGGTCCCGCTCTGCCTATTTTTCCATCAACCTTGCAATATATTTTGCTCGTCGTCTTGTGTTCTGCAGCGATCACAGACGTTGAACATTGGAGGCCGGTAGATCTTTCTTGCCTCTTGCCATTCTTTACATACCACAGTGTGGTCGTTGCTTCATCTTAAATAAACGCTTTGAGCAAGCCTTGGATAAAGTCGATAGTCGGGAATATCAAATAGGTGACTGTGCTTCTTCTCCTTTTGGGCAAACACTTGTGATATCTTGGTTGCTGCTCGGCATTTGCGGCCAAGTCTCTCTCTCTTTCTCTCTCTCTCTCTCACACAAAACATTAGATCGACATGAACTCAACCCCGTGCTATGGAGAAAGGTTGATCCTCTTATTACCTCTGACCTGACTCTACCATTACCAAGTCAAGACTTTTGATCTGCTGTCTGCCATCTGCGGCTCACCTGTTTTGGATGCTTTGCTTACTCCACACGCCCATCCGCGCATCAAAGTATCAAAGCTCCGGTCCTTTCGGGAAGCGCAACACAACGCAACCACCCCCCTGATTTCTGGAGCGGGCCGATGTTAATATATCGAACTAACCTATTTTCTTTCTTGTAAATCTACATTGGGATGATTGTCTACAGATCGACAATTTGATTGTACTTTGGGTAGAGCAGTTGCCTGCAGTAGAGCAATTGACGGTCCCAAGCAAAGCATTCTAGAAATGGAATAACCTCTCTTCGCCGTTTTGGCAGATTTTGATTCATTTGCCGATGGGATGGCTTTTCCCACGCGAAGAAGGGGTCCATTTGTTTCTTTTGCCCGGCAAAAGGCTTTTTTCTTCGCTCGTGGGCTTTCAACGTTGGTGCAGTGCCAGCAAGCATCCTCGAAGTGCTATTCGCCAAAGCACTACGACCACCATGAGTTCCAGATAGGTTTAGTGGGTTGCATGACTCTTTCTTTACTTGTCTAACGGCGTGCTTGGATGTGGGTCCCTCTTTTGCTAACCGGCGGTTGAGTGCGGATGAGAGTCCGGTGCTGGAGAGGACCAAAGGATAAGCCTTTCCGCTTGTGCAAGCTGACTGCAAGTGTCCTTGACTCGTCGAGCAGTGATCTCAATCTCAAGGCTTGGGGGAAGAAGAAGCTCCTCAGCTCCAGTCCGGTCGACCATGCTTCGATCTTCATGGACGATGTGTTTGTTCTCCTTGTTATGCCGGGCCACTAGATGTGTTTGCTCTGGAGATCTTATCTCAACACGCTATGTATCAATACCCAGTGCTAGCGAACGGCTGTAACGGAGGTCTCTACCAAGGTCTTTGCTGTTCCAGACAACCGAGTCATAACTCGCAATCGGATCTGACCTTTTATGGTTAATCAACTTGCGAATCTGGCTATGTGGACGGCAGATTATATCTAGCACATCTTCCACATTGCAGTTAGGAAACAGATTACAACGACATGAGCTACTTACAATCTCTATCTCTGTAACACGGCTAACTCATAGTCTTCCTGTACTATATCTTCCACAGTCGTCAACTTGGATTTAGATGCGAGACCAGAAAAAGTCCACCGAGACGGCAATGAGATGGGCAATTGTCCATCTGCTTCACCTGGCCATCTGGGAACTCGAATCCAATCCTTCTGCATGGCTATATCAGAATTTCCACTCCTGGCTCTTGCCCTGTGAAAAGGTGGAGCCAAATTGACGACACTCATATCGATCATGGATGCAGCTTTCACGGCTGCTGTTCACAAAACTTGGACGACTCTGTTAGACTATGCCATCGTTGTAGCGAGGTTCCCAGAGTCTCTCAAGATCTTTGTACTTTTCTCACGTGCAGTGTCACATTCGACCCTGAATTTTGTCTTTCTTCACTTCACTAATCGAAGTCATGCATTCGAACGAGTTCAAGGCAAAGAGATCAACAAACGCATCTTCTCCAAATATATATATTGCCGGCCTCCCTCTACTTGTGGTCCGATTCCTTTGACAACAGCAGTCTGTTACTAGAAGTGCAAAGATGGCACACAACATGGCCACATCCTCTTCCTTTCTAATGCTCCCCACCCAAGATCCGAATCATGATCTATAAACTCGTTTCAGAGGATGACGATTCGTTGTGCCTCATAAGACACCTCGTACAAAAGCAATGCTGTTCACACGGCCACACTTTCCAAATCCCACGCCCTCGATTATATCGCCCCAACAAGACTCTCGCTACTTCAAATCTCGCGACAGATACGAGAAGAGGCGCTACCCTTCCTCCTTCCCGGGCGAAGGCTCTTCGTCAGTGCTAGAGGCTGCTCAATATCAGACGCCGTGGTGACTCGTAATGTAAAAGACAATGCTACACCATATACCACAACAAACATAAGCGCGCCCGGAGAACACAAGGGCGAATAGTGATTTATGTCCTTGGCCTTACGAGATCACTCCAGTCCCGGCAACCCTCACAGGGATACCGATAAATTGATACAATGGCTTTGATTCTCTGGTTCTGAATATCGGGTGTGGCTCCGATCCAATGCTCAGTATTCGCCATTTGTTTCCGTGGACAAAGCGAAATATTGATGTGAACTCTGGTTCCATTGGACTACCGGAGAATAAGAGCAGAAAGCACACGCCTCTGTCTGTCGAACTCAAGGGAGCAAACGATGCTGCCATTGCAGAAATTACAGCCAAGATCAAACGCATGCTAAAAGATACAGAATTCTGCAGCAGGGAATTGATATTCAATGTCGTCTGGGAAGAGCCGAGTCGTGTCGTATGGTTTGGGTCTCGCAAGGCAAGTGAAAACGTATTGAGACCAGCTTGTCGTGCACACATGTCTCTATGTGTGCGAGACTGACCACGAAGACTTGCAATTAGGCTTTGAGAGAGTAAGCAGAAAGCAAGTGAGGCTGACGGTTATACCTTGCACGTTTTCCTTTCGCATCTACAAACTTAAGAAAGGCGACATGTAGATGAGGCAGGAGCGATGCAATTACAAAGAAGGAACGGTATAAAGACAAAGAGAGAGCGGTACAGACAGAATGAAGGAGGAAGGAGCGATACAGAGACAAGGAAGGAAGGAAGGTTGCCGGTAGAAGGAAGGAGCGATCGAGAGCTAGGTGGCACATTCGCCACAGAATTGACATTTATGGGTAAGCCCTCATAAAACTTCTTTGCTGCAACTCTTTGTAATCTTGTGTATGTATCAACTATATCTGTAAGTATAAGCAAAAAGCCAATAGACCCACGCCAAAAAGAACACAAATAGACAAAGCTCGATTGGTATCCAAACAAAAACGCCGGTTCCATGCTCAAATTTGTCTTTCAAACATTATTACAGTAGGGGGGGGTGATTATAGAGATGTCCTTCAACCAAAAGCCTGTCCTCGTGTGGACTTGCCAATCGTATTGAATGTCTGGACGTTGCTTGACATGGCCAGTGTGTCGAAGCGGTCGATGCCCATGAAGCGATTGATGCCACCCTGTTGACACAAAATATTAGCAAGGGGCGAAAAACAGAAAAGAGACAAAATGAGAGAAAGGACATACCTNNCGTCGCTGCTCCAGCTCGAGAACCAGAAGCCGATGATGATGGTCAAGTAGGCAAGGATCAAGATGGATCCCTTGAAATAGTTACTCTTGCCTTCTCCAACAACCCAACCCATCAAGAACACGCCAAGGATGATGGTCACCATGTCCCACTGTGGGAAGATCAGGTTGAATGTATGAGCAGCAACTTGATCGGGCTCCATCCACTGTGCCCAAACACCAGAGTAAAGAACCAAAGCCGGTACTTGCAAAAGCATCACTTGAAGTGCGTAGGCAGAACCAATCTCCATCGACAGCGCAATGTTTCCGTTCATGGCAAACGAGATGGCGTTCAAGAATTCGGTAGTGTTGGGCACGAGTGCGAAAAGGGTGATACCGAGGAACTTCTCGTCAATATCGATGTGTTCGAGGACACTGTCAACGGTATCGACCAGGATCTCGGCGATAACGGCATAGGCAAGGGTAGCGGTCAACAGGATCACCGCAGACTTCGTTCGGCTCCAGTTTGGTGCGTCATGACCACCCGATTCATGGGCTGAAGCCTCGTGGACTTCTCCATGGACTTCCCCGGCATCTTCGGGTGTGGCACCGCTCTTAGTTGCGTGAGCCGAATGACCGATTGAAGAGGAAATGGAGCCATGGTGCTTCACACTGCCAGCGCGGGTGTTGGCCATCAGAGAAGCCTTACGCGGAGCGTTGGTCGCATCACGGGCGGCCACGGTTGCTGCAGTTGCTGCCATCTCTGCGACTTGACGCACCAAAGCGGTATTGTCTTCCGCAGAGAGACCAGGAATACGTAGCTTACGCTGTTGGATCTTGTCGCCCTCTTCCTCACTAGACTTGGGAGGCACGAGATGCGTAGGACCGCCGAAGGGAGGAGCTGTAGTCTTGTCGGGGGAGTGCTGCTCGCTAGGCGCAGTACTTCCAAAGCCAGCCTGCTTTAGTGATTGGCCGAGGATCCGCTTGTATAGTTGTGATTCTTGTATGTTTCCGCGAGATATGGTACCAATGGTGCCTACAGTGCTGTTGCGGCTCATGTGTGCGTGAGGGTTGACAACGATGGTTTCGGGAATGCTGCCATGTCTAGCTTCAATGTGCAATGCCTGATGTTCCATCTTTTCCAGCTTCTTCTCGTCGAGCTCATTATTCCAGATCACTGCTGCATGGGTACGCAGAGTGAAGAGGAGACCGATGAGATATGACATGAAGAGGAAGAAGGCGCAGAACCAGATGTACGGGCGCACTGCTTCAAGGAAAAAGCGATCGTTGGTGGCAGGGACCTGATTGAAGTAACAACGTCTGCAATCCCTGTCTCCTTTGGCGTCGTCTCCTCTGACACACTGGTGGCAGACAAGTTCATGACTACCATAGTTCTGGTAGAACAGGGTAGGACCAAAGGAACCGATGACGGCAAAGAGCAGCATTGTCGATGTGACGCCTGCAGATCTGACATTGAAGCGCTGAGTCTTGCGCTTGATGGCACCAAAACACATCGAGATGCCCGGAAGGAACAGGATACCGGCAAAGATACTACCAATGACACTTCCTTCGACCAGCTGAGCTTTACCTTGGTTGAGAGCAACACAGTACAAGAAAACCTCGACGACGGTGGAGAAGAAGGCATTGATAGTAGCACCCACGCCCATGGATGATTGTGCAGAGATCGAAGCAACAGCTTGACCGATGAAGTAGGCCAAGGGGATGATGGAGAACAGGCCAAGGATGAAGATGAAACCAGAGGAGGCGATAAAAGNGTCGAGCTCCAGATATTCCCTGAGGACGTAGAAATCGAAAATGGCAAAAGCAACCATGCTCAACAAGTTGATGAGGAAGATGTTAGTGCCGTCAATGGTATACTTCCAGTACCTGCTTCCAACAGCACGATACGTGCAGAGGAGAACGCTTGAAGGGGTATCATTTGGCCCACGGTTGGCATCGTGGGTGTCGGAGTGGAAAGACAGAGCTAGCGGGTGTCTCCTCAAGTGATGGTGCAAGAGAAGCGTGACCTTGCCCATAGGGATGGTGAAGACGAGGAACCAACAGAGTCCCGAGATGAGCCAAAGCGAAGGAGTAATGAAGCCCCAGAATACTGCGAAGAAGATGATTCTTCCCACGGTCCACTTTCCACGACCAAAGAGTCTCGACTTTGATTCTTGTTTGTCTCCGCTAGAGCGTCTACCAGGGCGACCGAGTAAGCTATCAGTCTCGTCGGGGGTGGTCTCGACACTGTCTCTTCTACGGCCAATCAGAGAACGGTTGATATCTGTTGGACCAAAGAACAGGCGACCCTCTTCAAGGTCACCAGTCTGCCATCGCTCATATTCGGAGATGCTGCGACCTTCGCCTGAATCCTCATCCAGGTAGGCTTCATCGTGCTCAAGCATGACATACTTTCCAAAGGGGTAGAAGATGTAGCCAGCGAGTTGCCATAACACATAGCCGTATTCCCGGCAGCCTGGAGTGAAGCGTAGAGCAAAGCAAACAAGAGATCCAACAGCGCAAAGCAAGGCAAGCCACCATCCGAATATGAGAGTCCAGAGAAGGTTGAAGAATAACAAGCCGAGGCTGACATGGTGACCAGGGGTTTGGTGAATGTCTCCTTCGGCTGTGACTTGGACAGAGCGACTCTTCTTGTACAAGGCCGGCTTCCAGATACGGATACCGAAAGGGTGTGTCTCGTTGATGGCCTCTTGTCTATCCTTGAGCGTGAAACTCTCGGCATCGCTAAGGTCAGCATCGTCGTCGTCGTCATCTTCGTTATCATTCTCGTCGTCCTGGTCTTTGGCAGAAGTATAACCTTCCTCCTCTTCCTCCATATGCAGTGTGGTCTCTGTGTCGTCAGAGTCGGCCTGTCTGTTTGCCTCGGCCGTTTGGGGCCTGGATTGTGTGTTGTCCTCTCGCTCATCTGACTCGACTCTTGGTAGTTGTGGTGGCTGGGCTGTCGGGCGCCTTCGGAGGGTGGAAGGCTTTGGATTCAGGACATGGCTGGACGATGATGAAGCCTTGTCCTGTTGAACCTCGTTCACATCGTCGTCGACTGAGAACTCCTGTCCGCGCTTGGGTCCGGCTGATGTAGTGCGTTTTCCGAGAGGAGGCTTTTTAGGGGTACCGCGAGTTGAGGGCTGGGGCGAGTTCAGAGACGGCCTTGTGAAGGAGGAGGCCATGGATCCTGCACGTGTCAGAACCGGGAAGCGAGAGCATGATGGGCAGGCAGCCACGTCTTGTAGGANCTTACCATAGTTTAAAGGTCCTCTCTTCTTGGGACCATCAGGCTTGGGAAATGGGTTGTACGTCTGAGCGCGAGTGTCTTCGGGCGCAAAGACCGATTCAGGTCGCGACGTTGGGCGGTGAGAAGCGGCGGTGCTGCTATCTCGTAGGCTCTGTGTTGACGGCTGTAGGGCGGTGAGGGAGCTTTGGGATGTCTCTCCCCAGTTGGACTCCTGTGACGAATGCTGCTCGTCCTTGGGTGCCATGGTTTCTGTCGTGTGTTCTTCGTTATGGCGCGTGGAGCGCTGCTGCTGCAAAATGCTCAGCTGCGCATCAAAAGCAATCTTGATAATGCCGGAGTATTGATTACGAGCTCAACCACGCTAGCTGTATGGAAGCTGGGTGACTCGGTGCCAGATGACTCCTTAGTATTGACTGATGAGTGATTCTGCTACTCACGCGACAGAAAAACTTCAAGTCGGCGTGCAGGTCGTTTTAAACTGCAGACATGTAGAGGCAGCCATCTTGTCGCTATTTACAATCACCACGCATCAAGGTCAAGACACGCGCCATCCCTGATTTGCCGTTTCTCACAACAAAGCCAACGCCTTCTTCGGTCCTAGTAGTGTCAAAGCTCTCTCTTGAAACTCGGCCTCCCATTCAAAAATGTCACCGTACCACACACCGACCGTCTATCTGTCGGGTTTTGTGCCTACTGCCGTCTTCTAGAAACATGCGGATCCAGCTCATCCAAGAAGGAAGCGGTAGGGAAATCATTGGGAAATGACCAAGGGCCGCTCGCTCTTTCCCCACAACTTCCTCTCCACAGCCCTACACCTCTACGAGTACCTTCCGACCGACTCCTTTTCCAATTCACCATCCTGCTTTGTGCTTGTACTCGCCATAAAACGTCTGCGCTTCCCCATGCGTTAGTCCGCTCTTATCTAGGCTCGGTCTATATCTTCAACTGTCGGCCCGCTCCCGATCGCCAACGAGCCCACCAGCCAGGTTGAAATCAAGTTCATTCACCGCCGTCTAACCGTGAGGGCTCTTGAGCAAACGTAACAAGCCTGTGTCTGTTTCACCGCTGGAAGCACAGAACATCCGTTTCCAAGAAACCAAGAAGACCATGAAGTCTTCCTCTTAGCTACGGGAATATATATCCCGTGCATACCACCATTATGCACTACCTTCATATTCGACCCTTGATGTACTTCACAAACCCTCGTCATTTGTCATTCCTGCATTGTCCAATGCTCACCAGATAGGCTCACGACCAAATTCGATTCCTAGGAAAGCTTCTGCCCATCCGTACTGGAGCGAGATAGCTCTGCATATCTGGAAGGGAGGCCTCTTCTTACGAATACTACTTTCCACGGACGGGAGTTTCTGGAGACAGCTCGAGTTAAGCACGAGATCTATCTTCTACGACTACTCTTGTACCACTGGCAATGCTAGCGAGGAAGGCACCAGGCTGACCTTCAAACCGCAGGCAGCGCCGCGACAGTACGGCTGCTCTGTTCTGCAAAGATAGAGCCAACTTCAGAGCGGATATGCTCCATGAGGCAAATGACAATGTATTTGGACATGTGACTGGATCTCTGCGTGTCGATCTTGGCGAGCCACGTGTAGGTGAGTCTTTTTGCGTCAGTCCCCTAGGCCTCTGACCGGCCGCGTGAGTCAACACAAGGATTTCCTTCAAAAGACGTGCTGCCGCTCTCTTTTGATTATGATCCTCTTCCCTAACAGCATTTACCACGACGTCTGAACCATATTGAGCGCGAACAACACTCTCACATACGCGATGACTACATCACCATCCTCCTTCATGACACTTCCGCCTGAAATTAAGAGAATGATTTACAAAGCCGTATCAGTCGGCAGCGATCCATTTACAGGGCTAAAACATCTCGTACATGAAAACTCTCTAGCCTTCACTACAGACTGCTCGGGCGATGAGCCTCAAAACCTCTACTGGGACTATTCAAGAGATCCCTCACGAGAACCATTCTCAGACTTCATCTTGAACACTCGTGACTAAAGATATTCAGGCGACTTGAGCAACTTAGGATGGCATCTCCACCCGCAGAAAGCAGATGTTCCAAACGATGCGTCTTCTACGGTAGTGAATGTATGGCATATAACCGCACCTGGCACTTCTGTAAACGACAGGAGGAAAATGAGAAAATCAGAAGAGGTTATGATGCCCTAGCTCGGCGATCTTGCAGTTCTTCTCTTGCAACGTCTTGGCCCTGTTGTGCGAAGTATCCAGGCAGGCTATTCGAACTTACCCAGAATTTCTTGAGGGAAGGAGTGCTCTGCAGAGTTTTTGTTCGTCATCTCTTCAATTCAAGCAAAATAATTGTATAGTGCTTTCGAAACTCGAGAAACACAACCAAAGCCATTATTGATCAACTCTGCCTAGACCTATCCTTGGACGATAGCTCAATATCCGTTGTCAAAGCTGATGATCCTCCACACATCGATTTGGGAAGATGCATAATTTGGAAATGGTATAGGCATTTATACCAGGGTCATACTCGCAGCATAGAGTGGAGATCTCCATGACGTAGCCGTCCAACTGGACAAGACAACTTCTTCTTCTTCAATGCTCCCGTGCCTTGAATCGCAAACACGAGACACACAAAACTATGAGTCGAATAGCGACACGGCGTGCGATCCGTTTCGCAAATCTTCGACCAACATCACACCCTCGAGCACACCCCAAAACTCTACTGCAACAACACCTCCGCTACCGCAGCAGCGACACCAACAAGGACGACCAAGTCCACCCACTCACCGGCTACTACGCCGACATCCTCTCCTCGCGTCAATCCCCCAGCGACCAGCTCTCCCACATCCCAACCAAGGAGATCCAACCACAAACCCGAACAGCACCAATACCACCTCCCACCACCTCACTCCCCAAGACCGACAAGGAAGAAACGCTAGAAAAAGCACGCATAGTATTCGGCTCACGGCTCGCCGGTCCCAGCGAACGCAAAGACGACATCGAAACCGCGAGCAAAGAAATCGCCGGCGTGGTTGTGCCGCCGAAACCCAAAGAACCAGAAGGCGATGATTGCTGTATGAGCGGCTGTGTAAACTGCGTCTGGGACATTTACCGCGAAGAGTTTGAAGAGTGGAGGGCCAAAGCAAAGGAAGCGAGGGTGAAGATGGAGGCACAACGGGCAGGCCAAGCTGTTGCAGATGCAAGCAGTATGGATGATGATGGGGGTGGTAGCGAAGCGCTGTGGATAGAGGAAAGTGAACCCAAGGCGCAAGAAACAGATCCCTTCGCCAATGTACCTGTTGGAATTAGGGAGTTTATGCGCACGGAAAAGATGTTGAAGCAGAAACACGCCGCTCAAGGTTCAAAAGGTGGATGATTTGGATGGGAGTTTGCACCATGACCGCTTTCATGGGATAAGGAGAGTCATCCCACAGCCAAAGATCTCGAAGACTCCAGGACCTTCCTAGGGCTTTGAAACGCCAGACCATCTTGCCACGACAACTGAACAGCATGCCCACACTGCATGATCGGAAGGAAGTATGAAGCATGCTTGCCAACACAGACTCCTCGTTTCGATGAGCAAAGACACTCTCAGCGGCCAGAAGAAGCAGCTGGCATCTCGATGATCTATTGGCTACGACCATAAACCACAAAGTCGAACCATAGAAGCGCTCAGAGCAAAGAAGCATCATCAAACACCGCCTACACCAGAGTCCACCGAGGCCCTTCTAGCCAAGACACCACAAAGCTAAACACGGATAGTCATTTACGATGCCTTGTTGCAGTGGCTTTACAGCTGGCTCTTGACAGATCAGGAAGAACGAGCACTACTCACCTGCTCGTGTAAATAGGTTGATTGTCACGTCATGAGCAAGCAAATCATGTTCTCATCGTTTGACGAGTCAGCACGATAAAGATTCAAAGATCCTGACATTGCTGTGTCAGCTAGTCGCTTTGGGAGACCAGCGAAGAGTCCTAAGGATGTCAAGCCCACATGCATCGTTCAACTTGAGCATAATAGACACGAAAACACAATATGTGACTTTCTTATAGCTGCATTCGAATGACCGACACATGTCAATGAGGCAAAATGTGCAACAAAGGAAATTTTGTTTTCATGTTTATTTTTGATATGAGATGCACAAGGCTTTGCTCGTGCACTCTCTAAACTCAGCAAAACTGTCTTGAATAACATTCGAATCTCATCTCTCTGGCTCCCATAAGAAAGGCCATTCTCCAAGTTAAAGCAACTTTTTATCTTGTTTTGTGGTATCGTGCAAAAAAAAAATAGTGATCAAGGACTCTCAATCTGAAGAAAGAAAAATGCCCATTGTGGTTCTTCTGTTTAGTTGGTGGGCTTGACGAGCTTCTCCACATCGGCGCCTCTCTTGAGAATGTCTTCTGAGAGAAGAGTCTCTTTTTCTGCGTACAGGCTCTTGTAGGCGCTTCGGATTGTGCTGTCACTAACTTTTGCAACTTCTCCGATGGCCTTGGGAGACCTGACTTGATCCATGAGCAAGCTGGCCATGTAAATACATGCAGCAGCTCCGGACAGGGGTGAGCGTCCTGCAAGAGCACCAATACTGGCCATTCCCAGAGCGAGACTCTTGGCGACTTCGGTGGTGGCAAAGTCCATACCAAGCTGAGCACAGAAACGACTGCAAAGCTCGTCGGGATTGGTCGTAACAGTCCCTTGGTAAGCTTCGTGCATGCCGACAACACCGTTGCCCATGACCTTGGCCTTGCCTCCAGATTGCCTCTCCTGCTTCGCCAGCATGGATTCGAGCAATTTGAATGTTCTCCCAATCTCCTTCTTGGAGACATGTGTCATGTCATAGATCTCGCGGAAGGTACGAGGGACTTTGTTGCGGCGACATGCAATGAAGATGCAGCCGGCAATGATCGCTTCGGTCGACTTGCCTTTGAAATTTTTGGAGTCCTCTGCGTCTTTGAAGATGTGCTTGGCAGCGTCGGCAACGACGTTGGGAAGATCGTAAGAATCGCAGTAAGCACCGATTTGCTTGAATGCTTGGAGCAAGTTTTTGTTTCCCTTATCGGCGTTGGCCTTGCTTTGTGCACGGTGTAGCTCCTTGCTTCTCAGCGAGCCATCGCCAAAGGCAATATTGGTCTGCAACTGACTGCCGTTCAACAACAGGTTGGGGCCCTCACCAACACGGGAGGGATCATCGTTGCCCTGGTCGTCGTTCGCGAATGTGCGCCATTCGGCACGCTGATCGATACCACGTTGCGAGAGGACCATACCGCAGTCTTCGCAGATGACGTCGGCTGCTTGAGGATCTTCGACGAGGTTGGGCGGGTCTTCCTTGCAGTCTGGGCATACCATGCGCACGCTTAGATTTTGGCGCCATTCGTCAGGGGCCTCGACCTGTGGTTCAACATCGGGGATGGCACCCGGCGACAAAGTGTAGCTCATGATGGTCTTTGACTTTTGTTGTGAGCTTCGACGCAGTGATTGACGACGCTTGATGGCTCGTGCGGTCACTCTGAGATTGTATTGTTTTGCGCAGCAGCGGATGAAGAGCGGAGAATACACTTTGGCGACGGGCGACTTATAGGACACGAGATAGACAACTAAGGTGAAGAGATTAGCTCGAAGCAGATGTTGAGGAACAAGACGACGTGTGATGGGTGTGAGAGGCCAAGTTGAGTGGCGACTCGGAGTGCTATGCTAGTGTAATGCAAAGCAGCGCGGCTTACCCAAACATCTAGCGGCAGATGGCCCTTGTGAGGTGTCTGGGAAGTGACTGGCACTTTCGTTGCGAGTCTTGTCTTGGAACAGGCGACTGGCGAGACCAGGCAGCAGGAGCCTTCAGTGTTCCGAGACGGATGCGCAGAAAGAGCAGTCCAGTGGGCGGTCGCGTCGATCCAGGAGATGAGACGTGTGCCAAAGGAAATTGCCGATAAAGGAGAGACAGACGTCGACGACGAGTACGCGGGCTGATCAAGACGAGTTCGACTTGACGAAGCGTAGAAGGCATTGTGCTGTGCTTGTCGGTGTTGTTGGAAGAGTCCGGAGGGTCGGACGCACGGGCCACAAAATCACGGGACCGAACGACAACTGGGGCGCGACTGCGAAAGAGTTGTTGGAAGGCAGTTGCTAGAGAAGGACGCCCACCATATCCACACTTCACTCAATCGCCATGCTCGGTCAATCTCTCAGGGCCTCGGTATGCTGCTGTCCACTTCCATGTCTTTGGGCACAACCGAGCTCCATCCGCTGACACCTGCCACAGCGCCAGTCGCTCGTTCGTCTTGCTAAGCAGCAGTCGGCCACCACCTTCCGCCGTACTTTCGTTACTCCCACTGCTGTTCGCCAAGGTACTTGATACGCCATACCACTCCATACACCCGCCGAACACCTGCTTATTGATCCTTCTTGCACAGCCGATCTCGTCCAGGACCTCTACCTCCGCGAGCTCAAGGCTTACAAGCCCCCCACCGTCAAGGCCACCGACTCTGAGGGCCAGGTCCAGAAGTTCGCCCTTCCCCAAGCCCCTGCCTCCCCCGAGGAGGCCGACATTGCCAGCCAGCTCAGCGCATACGAGACCCAGGAGGTCGAGGTTGAAGGTCAAGTCGAGGCTGGTGCCGCCCCCGTCGAGGACTGGTATCGCTCCCACAAACTACATTCCCTGTCACGGGCAGCCATCACTAACCGCTACTCTCAGNNGTTCGATGAGAGCGAGCTTGCCGACGAGGAGCCCGCCCACCACTAAGCTCCCGTAATACCCGCCATGTAAAACAGTGTGAAAATGCATTCAAGAGCTTGACAAACATAACCTTCTCTTTCCACTTCCGCTCGTGTCTTCGATCTCGCAACTACCGACTCATACATGGGCAAAAATACACGATCAATTCATGTCAAATGCCATCCCATCTCCCTCACTAGAGCTTGTTATTGAGATCCTTGCGACTCAAGCCTCAAAATACATGCCTCGAACATGTCTTATATGGGCTCTTTACGAGCACTCCAGCTGAAATTGAGCAAGCCATCGCTTCTGAATATGATAATCTGGAGTGAAAATGAGACAATCTACTCTAGGGGCATCAGCTGTCGACCAACCATTTTATGATTTACAGATTTCCAGAAGCGTATACTCATCTCAGATGGGGTCCCCCTGTATCTCGCAGCAAGATGAGATTTTCCCATCTTTCATCTTGCGATGCGATTAGATGGATACCCCCGCACAATGTAACATGTCGATATTGAGGTAAGATGAGCCGCATTATCTGCTTGAGATGTTCACTGTTACAAGCATCTCAAAGCAAAGACGTGCGTCGGCTAGTGTTGAAGCCATCCTCCTGAAGCACAGAGGCTTTGGGAGTGTGTCTTATGTGAGGCTCGCGTCACCTTCCACCACTATCACTCAACTACAAGCCACTATCTTGTCAGGATATTTCGGAGTCGGGCAGCCGCGTAAATCACAACCTGTTGACTTTGACGTGCATGGTGGCATGTCTAGGACTTAATCACCCTCAAGCCATGTTCTGCAGCTGTATAATGTAATGAGCATTGTGCATATGACAACCGAGCAGAGGCGAAGCACAGCAAGACACTACTGCATGAATAGCTTAATCAACGTTTCGCCAGCGTGATGTGAGCGCAGCACCGAATATGCGGGTTGCAAGACGTCCGTCGGGATTTGACCGTTGTGGCCGCGCATCGTCGACGCGTACTAGGTAGCTGAGCCGGTCTTGGAACACAAGGCCTTCCGAACCCTCCCAATCAAGGATGCGGGTATAACTTGCCTCGACGAGTACGAATGGCCAACTCGTGCTCGCACATTGTTCGATGGTGCCATATCCGACTGGCATTAACGTTGAGATTGAGAGGGGCAAGGCTGCTCCTACAGTGCGTTTTCCTGGCGCGCGCGATTATTGTTGGCGGGAAGCGAACGGCAGTTCAGCGGACTCTTGCGTGAGCTAGGATGTTTTGTGCATATTCAACCAGATGGTTGACAGATCGAACCAGGGTTGGGTACAGAGAACTGGAGATTGCAAAGCTGTACTTTGCTTGGCACGCAGTAGACCTTGCTTCCACGACCGGCAAAGTCGTTGATCATGGCTTATTTGCCCGGAGCGGTCAAAGGTTCGACAAGAAGTACGAGGGGTGAACAAGTCATGAACGAGACATACTATCGCAGTCTGAATATGCCTACTCGAGTAGAATGGTCGCAGAGTGCCGCTAAATTTGTTGAGCTTTGACAGCAAGCTGTTGCTATTTACAGTTCTGGGAAGGGCAGGGAGAAAGGTCCAGTCTGCTAGAGAGCTCGTGCGGCAGGTACGGGGTCGGCAAGCGTGCAGTCTTCGACGACGCCAAGCTCATCGAATGACAAGATTCGGCTCTGGATCTACGTCTTGCTGGCAGTGTCAGCCATCGCACGCGCACTTGCGGTCACTGGCCTATTGGTGCAATGGCGCTGTGCGCGCAGCAGACGTAGTCGACGAGTCGGACAGCAGGGGTTCCCAAAACTCTAAACGTCATGGTTAAAGAACGCAGACAGCGGTTGTCGGGATGGTTAGACGATAGATGACCATAGCGTGCCGCTGGTGCTGATGGTGCCTGCTTCCGTTTCAAACGACTTTTACCTACCCTGTCCCCTCTCCATCTCGTCTCAGATTGTTCTTCGTGCCTTCACCGTTCCGCCCCTCTTCACCTAACCCGTCGCCTGTACATACGCCCTCACTCCCGCCTCCGCTTCTATACCACTGCGACAACGTCCAATTGACTGAAACCCTCTCAATTCAATTACCACAATCTACCGTCTTTCCACCTCGGCACGCGTACGCCTGGTCACAGCGAATTGACCTGTCTTGGACCATCTGGAACACGTCTGCGCCATACTACTGTATTCGGACATGACTGGGCTGTAATCGCAGTGCTCAGTGTCTGATCAACCCTCCTGAAACGGAAGAGGGAGGCACAGAAAGAGAAAGAGTCTTGGAACAGAACACATCGCAAGGTTCTTGCAGAGAACACGACGCACATCCTAGGCTGGGACAAAGAGCATCTTAGAGAAGGACCGAGCACGATCATCGACCATGACAAGCGTTGCCAACAATTACCACAACCATGTGGACGATCTCGCAAACCCGAGAGCAAGAAGATCGTACGTCGAGGCTTCAAGCGCTCCAGACTTTCCACGTAGCGCTAGTTACACGTTTTTGGGACATGCGGCAACAAAGAATCCCGCTTACAACGCACCCATACCCATCACCAACAGAGGCAGCTTTTGCGAACAAGATCTGATCGCTCCCATGGTGGATGACAGTACCGACAACTCGCCGCCCGAGTCGTCCGGCTGGTCGACACCTGCTGACGATCAGATGATGCCCGTCAGTCTGCCTCAGGATCTGGTCGCCGAGCTACACAAGAGCCCCAAGATCACAGTCACGGCGAACAGCGAGCACAATCCAAGTCCACCCGCCTCGCTCAAGGATGGAACGTCAAGCATAGACTCGGCCAAAGTCCTTCCTGCTCCTAAGCTGGTTGGCAGCGCTCGATCCCCCTCGAAATCAAGGTCTCTAGCCAAACGCCTGAGCAGGAGGTTGTCTAGNCGCGCCCCCTCACGCTCACCCTCTCCTTCACCAGCGAACCGAACACGCGAGCCAAGAGCCGAGGAGCCTGTTCAAGATTCTGCGGGTGATACAACACCAGTGGCCAGCCGACCGGTAGTTTCTCGCAGGAAGTCGATGTTTCGGCGACGGGACTCGGAGAAGAACAAGGAAGATGATACTCAGGCTGCAGAAAGTGGTGGATTCCTGGCCAGAAAGGGCACTGTGCTCAAGAGGAGATCGCTCAAACCCCTTGCTCCGACAGTCAGAGCATCTATGGAAGAGCCTACCAAATCTCAACCGCCGATGCCGCAGCTGCCCAAATCTTTCTCGACAGACAGATTGCACACCACTTCACACTTGCATCCCAGTCGTGCGAACCCCATGCCACCATTGGCTTCCGCTGAGAAGTACCAAACCCTACCTGCACTTACTTTACCTCGTAAGAAAGATGAGCTATGGAGTGTTTTCAGATCGCTCGATGGCGACTACACCAAGTAAGTACACTCAGCATCACTTTGTCTGCTCAAGCTCATACCTTCCAGGTTTCAGTCAAAGTCGAGCACTCTAAAGGCAAATGTGGTCAGATCTTCGCTTTTGCCCTTTCTACGAAACTACGCCGATCATTCATCCAACCTCTCACTACGAGCAGAAGATCTGGACAGACGTACCAATATTCTCAACAAGTGGTGGACTGGCCTTCTTGACATGCTTCATGGAAGAAACAACCAGTCAATCTCAGGCACTGACCGTCCCGCCATTCTGGATGGCATATCAGGCATAATGGATCGTCAGGAATGGCGCCTCTCCCCCTCTCCGCTCTGCCCCCTTGATCGAAGAAACGTCGTCGTACCTGTAAGAAACAAGTCAACGACATCTTTGTCTTCCACCGGCATCGACTTCTTGACAGAATCGGTTCACCATAACGTACGAAATATGTTTGTACAAAATCTGAACTCCCAGATGGCCTTTGTGGTTGACAGAATGTCGCTCAAAAACGCATCTGCCAGTCTGGTCACCTTTTGTGGAAAAGCTACCGCCTATGCTTTCTTCTTCTGTCCGGGCATTGCAGAGGTGCTCGTGCGCCTGTGGGATGCGCCAACAGAAATCATGCGTAGAGTTCTCTCCGAAAGTGGTGTAAGCCGATTCGACAATCTCGCTGAGACTGCTGCAAGGGTCAACTCAGCTTTCCCTCCCTCTATGCAATCCTTAGGCTTTGTCTCGCTGGGCAAGATGCTCAAGCACCTCAGAACTCAAACACCTTTGCCCCTTGGAACAGCAAACATCCAGTGGTATGGTTATTGGCTTGAGCGCTGGTCGGGTCGCGAGAGTGACCTCTTCTTCGCTTTTGTCAAGCACTTCCATATCCTTGTCGCCGATTATCTGCCACCGGATGCTACCAAGAAGGAAAGAATCTGCGTCCCAGGTCTCCTCTTTGTGCACTCCCAGATCTTGGTCAACCTTGATTCTACCATTCACCGTGATGCAGGTCAATTACACGGTGATCCATCAAACAACATTTCTTCTACTTTTGACGACGTTCTGGTTGATCCAGATGCAGTTGCGTCAACTTTGCCTTTACCACCTACTAATGCTATTCGAATAATGGCGGAGAATCGCCTGATAATGCTAATTAGAGACTTTCTATCAGAGAGAGCCTTGGAGCATCCTTTTGCTCGACACCTTTTTGCGGAGTCATTTGCATGTCTGCTACAAGCAGGTGCACGTGGCATATCTATCTATAACCATCTCGCCTGCTATACTCTTTGCGACTTCTTGGAAGAAGCATTCCCGATCATTGTTCGATACGAGCAGATGCATCCTTCACAGTCAGGTCTTATTGACACGGACTTCTGGATCGACGTGTGCAAGAGAATGGTTTTGAGTCAAAACACAATGACCGAAATCAGACTATTTGCTTTCCTCTTCACAATCTGGAGCACAGTCAGTAGCAGCCCCGACCGCAAGACCAAAATATGCATCGATCTTCTACTCGATCAAGAAGTCTTCGAGAAGACCTTCAACCACTGGTGCCCCATGGTACGCGCCTACTACATGCGACTGCTCTGCTGGCGTCTTGGCCGTCACGATGGGGAGGAGTCTTCGGGTGATAAGTGCGTAGACTTTCATTGTGTCTTTCTTGAACGACTTACTGATTTGT